AAGAGGCTCACTTGGTCCTTTTGGTGCTGAGAAAAGCCCTTTCAGTTTTAAGTAATTAAACTTAATAATTTTAGTGCTTTTTAAAAATATGCTCTTTTAAGTACTCCCATGATGCTCATTGTCTCCCTTCTAATTTTCATTCTTTTTTCTTCTTCTTTTTGGTGTGTGTGTGCATGCAGCTTTGGTTTAAATTTTTTATGGCTTTTTACAATTGAATCGTTCAACATCGGGAGATACGTGGGTTATGGGGCTTCATTGAAATGTAAATAAAGAAGTCTCGTCATCAGCCAAAGCCAGCTGTGCTGTAGCTGATCGCACTTCTTATGCAGGCTCTCTCTCGCAGACACAAACACCAGCCACCCAAACATGGGCGATGCATCTCCAGCTGGTGCAGAACTGAGTCACAGCACCCAATCTCATCTACATTTGGCTGATTGATTCGATCAAGCAACATACAATATGCATTGTTTCTTTTTTTTAAAAAAAATAAGCAACAGCAGCAACAAGAACCCTGCAGACTGCGCCTGGCCTTCTCTGAAACTTGGGAGTGAGTCTTCTAATCATCTTCTTCTTCTTCTTCTTCTTCTTCTTCTTCTTCAGCAAACACTCATAGCCGAGTAAGATTGTCTTCTATAAATATGGTTTTAACAATGAGTCCATAAGTGACTGTGGGGGCCAATTCTGGATCCACACGTCCTTCCACAGTGGGGACATTGGTTTTCAGGCGGGAGAGGATAACGGTGTGGATTTGCCAAGCGTGTCTTCCTCTTAGCACGTTTCTTCCTTGCGTCCCGAGTTTGAGTGTCTTCAAAGCCCATAACACCTTTGGTAAAGGCTGTTCTCCAGTTGGAGTGCTTGCAGGCCAGTGTTTCCCAATTGTTGATGTTTATATAGTGGTACCTTGGGCTAAAAACTTAATTTGTTCCGGAGGTCTGTTCTTAACCTGAAACTGTTCTTAACCTGAAGCACCACTTTAGCTAATGGGGCCTCCTGCTGCCACTGTGATGCTGCCACGCAATTTCTGTTCTCATCCTGAAGCAAAGTTCTTAACCCGAGGTACTATTTCTGGCTTAGCGGAGTCTGTAACCTGAAGCATCTGTAACCTGAAGCGTATGTAACCCGAGGTACCACTGTACTACATTTTTTTAGATTTGCCTTGAGGCAGTCTTTAAACCTCTTTTGTTGACCACCAGCATTACGCTTTCCATTTTTAAGTTTGGAATAGAGTAGTTGCTTTGGAAGACAATAATCGGGCATCCGCACAACATGACCAGTCCAACGAAGTTGATGTTGAAGTCTTATAGTAATCCCATAAAGAAACCTGTGTCCCCAAGCCAAACACTTTCGACCCCCCACATGTTCCCCGCATGTTCACAAACATTCTTACTGCTGAGGGAAGAGGGCAGGTGGTGGGATCTGCTGCAGCGATGGTATAGGAACAGGGCATTTTTTCTGGCTGGGGGGAAACTCACACAGGGTTTGAAGTGTGGACAGGAGCAAAATAACAAGAAGACTCTTGGTTGGCATGGGGCAATGGACAGGGAGCCTTGGCACGCTGATAGTCTATCTCTTCAGTTAATTGCTAGGCATCAGTAGGCTAGGAAGAGAGGCATAGGCTGATTCTGGGAGTTGGCACATTGATCCAGAAAGTGTGGACTTCAACACATTGCCATAAGGACCACAGCGCCACCTAGTGGTAGGTTGAAGCAAGATCAGCTTCAAAATAGGAAGGAGGCTTTGGGCTGGAATCAAGATTTAGGGATTGTTCTGCTCTTTGTGAGCTATTCAAAGAGAGCGGGGGCTTGGAGACAGGTCCATGCCACAGGTTGCACAGCTCCTCTGCTTTTAGGAAATGTGCTTTGTGCTGCAACTGGTTCCGCACAGAAATTGAATTATTTTAGAGACTGATGGTCTCTTTCTTCCAGTTTATAAGATTTTATCAATACATAGCAATTAAAAAAAAAACTAAACAAAAACAAAAGGAAAGGGGGGGGACATACAAAGTCCTCTTTCACAGATAAATCTTATCTTGACCAACACAGAGAAAGGTGAACCCTCCCAGCTTTCACCCAACCTCCCACCCATAGCTGTCAATGTTTCCCTTTTTTAAAGGGAAATTCCCTTATTCCGAATAGGATTCCTCGCAAGAAAAGGGAAAAGTTGTCAGTTATGCTCCCACCCTGGGAGATCTCCCCTTTCCCTGCCCCTCACACAGAGTCCTTCATCCATCATCTTCACCTGCATGTTAACCCTTCCTTAACCCTGAATAGAGAAGTAATACAAAAGATGGAAACAGAGCAAAAACAAGAACGAAACAAGAAAATAAAAGGTAGTCTTCAATGGCAGCCCCTCACGCAACACTTTGCAGGAGCCCAGCCTGGAGGTTATTGGCTGAAAATGACCAGGTTCACTGTGCATGAGGTGCTGCAGCTGGTGTGTCAGCCTCTTCTGGTGCTATAGGAGCCCTCTTCGTTTCTCTGAATGTCCTGGGAGACTAGAAGAGAGGGGAGCCGGTTGCAGCGGGAGGGGGAGACTCCCTGGCTTCTTCAGCAGCCTGCCTCATCTCTGTTTCCTGACTCCCCTCCTCTCCTGCCTCTGAGTCTGGACTGCTCTCTGCCCCAGCCTCTTCCTGCTCACTAACCCCTGTTGCCTCTTCAGCTTCCAACACCACCTTTCAGTGGCGTAGCACCATTTGCCAGGGTCCGGGGCGTGTGCCAGCTCTCCACCCTCCGCATTCGCCCAGCCCTCGCTGCTGGAGCCAGGCAGGGCAGGCGCGATGGGGGTTTCTGGGTGGGGGGTTTGGTTCACCCTCCCCAGATTGTGTGCCCTGGGCAACAGTCCCCTTGGGACCCCCATGTTATGCCACTGCACCCTCTTCTCTCTCTGACCGCTCATCGTGATCCCACCACCAATTCCGGGGTTCTGAGCCCTTTTGCCCCAAATAAGGTTACCAGATTTTTTTCGGTGAATCCGGGGACACTTTTCAACTTCAATGGATTTTGTATGGGGACTGATTTGTGGAAACAGGGACTGTCCCCGGGAAAGGGGGACGTCTGGTAACCTTACATTGGGGGTTCCCCAGCTGGTTCTTTGGCATCCAGCCAGTCCAAGACAGCTACTTGAACACCACCACCGCCAATCCCAACTCCTAGCAACTCCCAGTGCTGACGCCTAGACAGTATGGAGTGGCCATATTTGAATGGGCAGGGTGGTGGGTGCTCCAGCTTTTTGCTCAGGTGTGTCGTGCACCAGGTGACTTTGGGCAAGTCACTTTCTCTGAACCCATTTCGCCTCCCAAGATAGCCGAGGGTCTAACACATGGGTAGGCAAACTAAGGCCTGGGGGCTGGATGCGGCCCAATCGCCTTCTAAACCCAGCCTGCGGACGGTCCAGGAATTAGTGTGTTTTTACATGAGTAGAATGTGTCCTTTTATTTAAAATGCATCTCTGGGTTATTTGTTGGGCATAGGAATTTGTTCACCCCCCCTTCCAAATATAGTCTGGCCCCCCACAAGGTCTGAGGGACAGTGGACCGGCCCCCTGCTGAAAAAGTTTGCTGACCCCTGATCTAACAAACCACCTAGATCTCCTTGAAGCATGGGCAGGATCCCAAACACAGTAACCATGCAGTGGTTAAAAGGTGAGACTAGGTGGAGGTATGGAGGAGATGTTAGATTTTGTTTTCATTTTAACGGCACCTACTTCACGCTTCTCAAACTGATACGCGGACCGAAACACAGCGATCCTTCAAAATCTGCCCTTCTCCAAATTTGGTGCCGCAGCTTTCCAACCAATGCTGGAAAATGCATTCCATAAAGTGAAGTGTGCATAACAATCCACACTGAAGACAGCATCCAAAGATGCATTATATCTGGGGGAAATTGTTTGCAAAATATGTATATCGGTCAAAACTGAATACCCAAAGTGTGTTTGTTACAAGTAACTGGTGCTAAAATTCCGATGAATTTTCATGAGGATGTATATATATATATATATTTAGATTTGCAAATTGATGAGGATGTGGAGGTCTGAATTTAAGACAGGTAAAATGAGAAACCGAGAGAGCTGCATCTGACAGATTCGTTGATAGAGCCAACCTGTGAAAACAACTTGCTGGGCTAAGCTTTGTTGCTATGCTGTTGGTTTCCTCAATTATTTCTGATCAGAGATTAAAGAAGCAGCGCTCCTGTAGGTGGGCTGTTTACTCAGCATTTGTCCTGATTTGCATGCACAATGCAGCAATTAGACGATGCCTCGTCTTTATCAAACCTTCGTTCTGATTGTTTGCAGGGCAGTTATAGGGACACGGGTGGTGCTGTGGGTTAAACCACAGAGCCTAGGACTTGCCGATCAGAAGGTTGGTGGTTCAAATCCCCGCAATGGGGTGAGCTCCCGTTGCTCGGTCCCTGCTCCTGCCAACCTAGCAGTTCGAAAGCACGTCAAAGTGCAAGTAGATAAATAGGTACCGCTCCAGCGGGAAGGTAAAAGGCGTTTCCGTGCGCTGCTCTGGTTCGCCATAAGCGGCTTAGTCATGCTGGCCGCATGATCTGGAAGCTGTACGCCGGCTCCCTCGGCCAATAAAGCGAGATGAGCACCGCAACCCCAGAGTCGGTCACAACTGGACCTAATGAATTTTAACCTACTTTCTCTTTATACAGTGGTACCTCGGGTTACATAGGCTTCAGGTTACAGACTCCATTAACCCAGAAATAGTGTTTCAGGTTAAAAACTTTGCTTCAGGATGAGAACAGAAATCGGGCTCCGGTGGCGCGGCAGCAGCGGGAGGCCCCATTAGCTAAAGTGGTGCTTCAGGTTAAGAACAGTTTGAGGTTAAGTACGGACCTCCGGAATGAATTAAGTACTTAACCTGAGGTACCACTGTAATTGTTTTTAGAAGTCTAATATGTTTCAAGAATTTAGCTCATCTTCTAATGTCCATCTGTGCAACTCCTTCCTGTTTTGTGTCATCTTAGAGAAGGGACCACAGGGAAAACAGGGGGGCTTCTCTTCCGCAACAAGTTTTATTGGTTTAGTATGAGCTCATCACACTTTAGCAAGCCTGTCGCAGGGCCTGCGATACATGAATACATAATCTGTAGAAGTAGTTACACTTAATAGACTCCCATCTGTAAAGCTTTTGTACAGAGAGAAAAAAAAGGAAAAGGATAAAATTAAGCCGATAACAAAATAGGACATTAGCTGTCAAACTGATTTTTCTTTCTCTAACAAAATTCGATAGCCAAAAAAGTGACTAAAACTACAAAATTGGAATACATACCACAAGGGTAAAAGGTTATCCGTATTTTAATTTATTTGTACATCTAGTATCAGCTTAATTCTGGCTCTGCTCAGAAGGCCGACAAGTTGGCTTTGTTTGTGTAGTGGATTTATTAAGAGATCCGTAACAGATTTAAGTGCTGACTTGCTGGAAAGCTTTCCATTAGGACTTGTGTTGGTACCGCGGGTTTTGTCTTGGTGTGAAATTGACAACATGCATGTATTTGGTTGGCATCCTCAACTAAAGGGAGAGGACCAGGACGGGTGGTGAGTCACGGGCACCTCTTTGCAACCTGTGGCCTCCTGTATTTGGCTTTCGGGGTGTAGCGTTGTGCCTTAACGAAAGGAGACAACACACAGCGCTTTGCGTTGCCTCTGAATGTTTTCTAAGTGTTTTTGCCAACCCGGTGCCTTCCAGGTGGTTGGGAGTTGTGGTTCAAAGCAATCTGGAAAGCACCAAGCTTGGCAAAGCTGGGTTCACAGAGTCCTTCCTTTAGGTCATAGAATCAGGGTTGGAAGGGACCCTGAGGATCATCTAGTCCAACCCCCACAATGCAGCTGTCCTATATGAAGATTGAACCTGCAACCTTGGTGTTGCCAGCACTACGTGCTAACCAACTGAGCTATCCAGTCCTCTTGATCCTTACAGAGAAAATAATTTGGCCTTCTAGAACAGGGTTTCCCAAACTCAGCCCTCCAGCTGTTTTTGGACTACAGTTCCCATCATCCCTGACCACTGGTCCTGCTAGCTAGGGATGATGGGAGTTGTAGTCTAAAAAAAAACACAGCTGGAGACCCAAGTTTGGGAAACCCTGCTCTAGATTCTCGACAGGGTGTGTGTCTCTTCCTTCACCCTCTGTAACTGGCCTTATATTTTGATTCTTGCACTCACAGACCCCTAAGGCTTTTCCTGCTCACACAGCAAAATGGTCGGAAAAAAAATAAATTAAGCATTACATCCCTTTATGAATTTATTCAGGTCCCCCCTTCAGCTCCTGATGAAGAGGGTGTGTACACCAAAGGTGAGCAGATACTGGCCCTGTGTGCGAAAATATCTTTGGGGCGGGCAAATGATCCAGGGAAGCAGACCCTCTGACCCTCCAGATGTTGTTGGACATGCAGTACCTATCAGCCCCAGCCAGCATGGCCAATGGGAGTTGTAGTTCAGAAACATCTGGGAAGGGCCACAGAGGTTCCCTACCCTTGGTCTTGAATAGATTTGCACAGCGCTTTGTTTCGGGGGGGGGGGGGAAGGTGCCAGTACTCTGGGAATGAGGCCTTCAGAGCCTGGGTGGGAAGCGTGAGCTGTCCTTGGAATGGGGCTTTCCCAAAAAAGGCCCTGTGGATAAATCCATCGGAAAGCACAGAGAAATGGCATAAATGGGGGAGATGATGGAGAAGAATTTACATCTGTTTCTGCCCATCCATAAATAGAAGCAATTCATCAAAACAAAACTGAGAAGCAACACGGGGTGCTTTGTCAGAGGTCCACTTGAAGACCAATGAAGACCGCACTCAAACCATTCATTTCAGCACTAAGACACCACTTTGACTGGTCATGGCTTCCCCGCAAAGAATTTTGGGAACTCTGGCTTGTTGTGGGTGCTGAGAGTTGTCAGGAGGTCCCTTAGTCTCCTCACAGAGCTACAAATCCCCTCAAAGTAGTTTAAGCAACTGATCCCCCTCTTCCCAAGGAACTCTGGGAATGGTGTATCTCTCTGAGGGGAATTGTAGCTCCATGAGAATAGCCCCCCCGTTCCCATGTTATTCTGAACCAAGATCTCACAGAAGTTATATTTGAGTCATTTCCCCCCATCTTGGTGCCCTCCAGAAGTTTTGAACCACAACTCTACAAAACTAGCTGGGGCTGATGGGAGTTGGCAGAGTCCAATAACATAGTGAGGGCACCAGGTTGGCAAAGGCAGTTCTGGTCATTTTGGCCAACTGTTTTGCTCGGCTATTCTTACCAAACCATGCCTTGACGTGCAAACATTTGGCAAGAATACCTCAAAACAGCAGACGAAAAATATAGATGTTTCTTCACACCCTTTCTTCCTAATACTACAGGTATTGGCACAGTGTACGTTTAGGGGTATAGACAACACAGTGCCCTCCAGATGTTCGACTGCAACTCCCATCATTCCTGAGCATTGGCTATGCTGGCTGGGGCTGATGGGAGATGGAGTCCAACATTAGCTGGAGGGCACCAGGTTGGCTATCCGTGCTCTTATCGTGGAAAACAGCAATGGGCAAGAAATTCTGCTGTGCTCCCTCAGGCATTCCTGACCGGGATCCTCAAAAGAGGTCCACGTTACGTGATGCTGGTACACTCACTTTGGGTAGCAGCTCTCACACTGACCTAGATGAGTTCCATCAGAAGAACCATGGAGTTGCTAGAACCTGTGGCCTTCTGAACAACTCCACATCATCCCCAGCTAGCATAACCAACAGCCAGAGATGATGGGAGCTGCAGTCCACCAAACTCTGGAGGACCATAGGTTCTCCTCCTCTACGGAAGACCAGGCCCTCCAACCCTGCCAGCCAAGATGTCCCTCCACAGCGATTCCCAGAAACTGCTTCTTCACCTGGAGTATCGCGCTCCCCATCGCTGGATGTCCAAGGTAGACAATGAGTCTAGGGGTGAACTAAGGTAGAGGCGAATGAGAAAGAGACTTCAGTCCATGACTCCTGGCAGGGCCTGAGAAGATAGTCTGTAGAAAAGGCCTTGTTTGCATTCCAGGCTTAGGGCTTCTCCACATTTCCTACTGCCCCGAGCCCTGAGTTGGAGAGGTCTACTGATTTAGAGCTCTGCGCAGTTCTGAAACTCTGGCCTTGCATTGCTCCATGCTGCTTCTCCTGGAGGTCAAGAGAGGAGCCCTGGAGAACCCATCAGGGAAGGGATTTCCCTGCGCAGATCTAAGGAGCTGCTAGGGACACGGAACTGAACCGCCAGGCGTTGTGGACTGACTGCATTAGGAACAAATCTGCAACAAGGAGTTCACCTGCCCCCCAAAAGCACCCAGAAATATTTTAGTGGTTAGTGACGTACCTGAAAGAAACAAAGTCAAGTTGCTTTAAAAAAAGGGAGGGCTAAATAAAGGAGGGCTAAAAAAAAAGGGAGGGCTAAATAAAGGTCCAAAAAGGAACAACGATGGGGAGAAGAGAGGTCAAGCCAAGCATAGGCAAACTCGGCCCTCCAGATGTTTTGGGACTACAACTCCCATGATCCCTAGCTAGCAGGACCAGTGGTCAGGGATGATGGGAGTTGTAGTCCCAAAACATCTGGAGGGCTGAGTTTGCCTATGCCTGGGTCAAGCTGTTGTGGCAGGGACTGCGTTGACATCAACAAACTAGATTAGGAGCTGGGGTGGCATGCTTTTGGCATATGAGCTCAGCCTGTAATCCATTGGGGAGGAGGGACACTGTTGGCTTGCCATGTTTCTGAGCCAAAATAAATCTAAAAAAAATAAAAAAATTGTCCAGTAGCACTTTAAAGGTAAAGGTAAAGGGACCCCTGACCATTAGGTCCAATCGTGATCGACTCTGGGGTTGCGGCGCTCATCTCACTTTATTGACTGAGGGAGCCGGCGTATAGCTTCCAGGTGATGTGGCCAGCATGACTAAGCCGCTTCTGGCGAACCAGAGCAGCGCACGGAAATGCCGTTTACCTTCCCGGCGGAGCGGTACCTGTTTATCTACTTGCATTTTGACACGCTTTCGAACTGCTAGGTTGGCAGGAGCAGGGACCGAGCAATGGGAGCTCACCCCGTTGCAGGGATTCGAACCACCAAACTTCTGATCAGCAAGTCCTAGACTCAGTGGTTTAACCCACAACACCATCCAACTAAGTTTGTTCTGGGTATAAGCTTTTGTGCGCATTCACACTTCTTCAGGTACCACACGAAAAGCTTACACCCAGAAAAAACTTAGTTGGTCTCTAAGGTGCTACCAGACAATTTTTTAAATTTTTTTATTTATTTCGACTGTGTCAGACCAACACGGCTACCTACCTGAATCTAGAATCATGTTTCTGATTTATAGGAGCCTTTCATTCCGGGTGCTAGAGGTGCCAGCCCTGCTAGGTTTTAAGTAACACCCACACTTGTTGAACAGGCAGGCAAAATCTTCCCTTGAACTGGTCCAGGGATGGGCATTGCCACAACCCCCCAAAATTCATCCGATCGTGACTCCTTTCGGTTGCAGCCAGCGTGGAGAGTCCAATGGCACGTCCCCGCCCCCTGCCCCGCTCCCACAGCACCCTGGCTTGCTACTCTTCTCGATTCCTTGGCTTGGGACAGAGGTTCTGAATGGTGGCAGTGACTACGGGCACATCTGCCTCGCAGCTACTTTCTGATTTGCCAGATTCTGGTGGTCAGGCTAAGAAAAGGCCACATGAACCTAATACCAGTAGGGAAGGGGTGGTGGTGGTGGAAGTGCTCACCCAAACCACTTTTAGAGCTCACAGGGTCCCGAGTTCAAGTTATATTCAGGGGACAGGGGCAACTGTGTCTTGGAGGCCTCTTCCTATCTCTTGCTTTAAGCCCAGACATTGTCTATTTCTGGCACCATTCCCTATATTGCTTTTTTCTAATACTGAGGTCAATCTCTCTGCGAGTGGGGAGAGATAGAAGCAATTCGTAACACATGCTTCATGTCTGGATATTCTAGACTCTGTTTATAAGCTGAGACATGCATGGGCTTCATGTATTCCCTTTGCACAAGGTCACTGTGTCGACCACAGCTTTCCATTGCATCTTAGCCAGGAAACTGTGTTTCATGGCTTCCAAACAGCTCAGGATCTGGAAGCCAACTCTAAAACAGGATTTCATGTTCTGGCATGTCTGGAAGCCATTGACCATGGTTTCCTGGTTTGGACATAACGGGAAACTATGGCCAACTGTGACTTCCTGGTTTGCTTTCCCTGCTCAAAGGGAGGAGCATGAAACTGGTGCAGATCTCAGCTTATCGTGGCAAGATTTGATCCCGCGAACGTTGCCACAAAATCGCAAGCCTGTGGGGAGGAAAAACAAGACACCGCCACACTCACCCCAGCATTCATGTGTTAGAAAAACCACACACACACACTTTCCAACTTGCAGATTAATCTCTGTGGCCCAGTTTATACACACGGAGAATCCAGCGGTAATACTTGACCTGGACTGTGCTTCTACAGCAGGCCTGGGGGAGCTTGGGTGTTTCGTGTACTGCTGGACTCCAACTCCCATCAGCCCTAGCCAGCATGGTCAGTGGTCCAGGATGATGGGAGTTGTAGTCCAACAGTATCCAGGGAGCCACGGGCTTCCCATGCCTGTTCTAAAATCTACAGGGTGGGTGTTTAAAATGCTGCTCTATGGAGAAGGGCTGGGTGGTGGAGAGTATGGCAGGGAGAAGATTAGGTTGAACCCCTCTCACTGCTAGCTTTCTACATGCGAGGAGATGCAATTTTTGTTGGTTTTAGGCAGACACACCAAGCTGCCAAAAAGCAGTACAGCTCAGGACAATAAGAGAGTGTTTTATTTCTTGATTCCACCAAGTGTATAAACTGGGCCTGTATTGAGGGGGGAGGGGAAGAAATCAGCAATGCAAACCCTCCTTCTGACTACTGGGAAAACCACCTCAGAACTTCAAAAGCAAACTGGGCGAAGCGATGGAGAAATAAGCAGGGAGACCGAACCATCTTCAGGGCTTTGCAGAGTTCACCACCACAGCAATCCCACCCACCGGCAACTCATGTAGAGAGATCTCCAAGCAGGCAAGATGGCCGAACTACACCGGGGTGTGTGTGGGTCAAGCAAAGATCTGCGCACCCCTCACCAATTCCATAAATTCCAAATTACCAAATGACTCCACAGTTACCAAAGTTAAAATAAGTTACGAGAAATGTCCACCTGCACATCTATGTCCCACATTATTAAGAGCAGGGTCTCCACATTCTGGAGCTTGAGAGAGAGAGAGTCTCTATTCTGCAGGCCATGGAGGTATCTCGCCCTTCTGCCTCCGACGGCCGACATCCTGGGATGGAGAGTTGCCGCTGTTTTGCTGACCTGCCAAGGAAAGGGAGGAGCTTCCGTCTTGGGGGCGGCGGCCGAGGGGGAGCAGAACGCCAAGGGCATTCGAGTGTATCGGGAAGTCGCTAAGGAGGTTGCGGGCATCTCCCACCAGGCCGCCGGAACGAGAAGTTTCTGCCAGCCAATGCAGCAGGGTGTTAACACCCCCCCCCAAAAAATATACTGGCACAAGGTGACCAAGGCCAATAAAAACAGTCACTGGACGCTGCAACCAGCGGCAGAGAAATCCAGCCGCAGACACACAGCGGCTACACCGCTCTCTTCGGAAACCAGGCCCAGCTTGGAAATTATGAACCGATGTGCCTACGAGAGCGCGCTATGAACGCAGACCTGTCCATAGAGCGGAAATACTGAAAATAATCTTAGGTGGTGTTTTAAGCTGGGAGAGGGGCTTGGAGGGGGCGGAGGGCGACGTCTCTTGCCCGGCCTCTTCTCAGGAGCAAATCCTGGCATCATAGAGTCCTCTCCACCTCCGTTCCTTCATCAGTGCTTCTCCTGAAAGAAAGGAAGGCAGTCTGTTTATTATTGATTTCATTTTACGGGAAGCCGTTTTTACAGGCTGCTCGACGACAATCGTCTCTAAGCTGGCTGAGACATCCCAGAGAACGGATCTGGCCATGTTCGCAATTGACGCCAATATCTCATCTGATGGGCTCTGCCCTCCGAAAACAAAAATTGTGTTCATGTAAAACAGGATCGGCATTAGTTAGAACAGCAATTCCCAAACTCCCTCACCCTCCCCATGGACCTCTTGAAAATTGCAGAGGGTCTTGGAAGACCACTTAATTTATTTTCTGCCCGTGTGGCATTTGTATTTCAGTTTGAAATGGAACGACGCTATCTCTGAGCACGTGCAGGTTGTCTTTCCTTAATCACTGAATCCCAACTCTTCACACAAATAGAAAGCTGCCTCCAAGTCTATGGCCATACTACCCTGAACATGCCCGATCTCGTCTGATCTCAGAAGCTAAGCAGGGTCAGGCCTAGTTAGTACTTGGATGGGAGAAAGCTGCCTCCAAGCACTTGGCTTAGCCTAGGTGTTTTATCCAAAGAGCTGGACCAGTCTCCTTCCATTCAGAAAAACCAAAAATCCCCTTGATGTCTTGAGGTTTGGAACTGGGCAAGGAAGTGGGCAGTACTCCACAGAGCTTGAGAATGCATGGTATGTTTTGCACCGTTGCCTCCACATCATTGGAGATGGAGACAAGGTCAACAGAGCCACCCGTTGCCTGGTTTATTCCCAAGTGCCTCCCCAGAAGAGCTCAGCTCTGTGCTGACAAGGGAAGACGTCCGAGTCACAGCAGGTGAGATGGCAGATGGGCAATTCCTTCCCATGAATCCAGCTCCCCACCTCTCATGCTGCTGGGAGTCTCCCCAGGATCGGACTCTTCCCGGGGTCCAGAATCCCATGCCTCAATTCCCCAATCTCCTCCTCCTCTGACACCCTCCCCACAACACCTCAACGAGGCTCATGAAGGTATCGTTCGAAAGGTTCTGCCAAATGCTGGAAAGGTCAACACAATCCCTTTTTAAAAAATTGCGACATAACGTCTACCCCACTTTTTCCTCCAGGCAGCTCAAAAGCGGTGAAAACAGTTCTTTCCGCACCCCATTTCATCCTCGCAGGAACCCTGTGAGGTTGGTTAGGGTAACGGACAGTGATGGCCCCAAGGTCACCCAGCGAGCATCATGGTCAAGCCTAGGCCTGACCCGCGAGCCAAGAGGCCACACAGACCCTCTTAACTCTTCTTCTAACTTCCCCTGCCCCAAAACTAGTGCTATTATGCTCATTGTGTGAGTATGTTTCAGCAAGAATTTTTTTAAAAAGCAGAGCAAACCAAGGAAGCCGTGCAGGGGAGATGTTTCAAATCACCCACCTCTTGTTTGTTAGATTTTTCCTGTTGGTGGATTCCATTAGCAGATCCAGAATTCCCAATAGTCTAAAATGAAAAGGGTGGGTGGAAAAAGTGATGGAAAGAGGCGGTGTATTAGGTAAGTTGGACGCACAGCAATCAGAAGGTACATCAAAAATAGCCAAAGAATAATGAAAACCAGCAATTTTATGTACTGCAAAAATCCAGATGTGAGATGATTAAAGCTTATTTTGTGGGGGAAAATGGCATAAGCTAAAGACATGGCAATCTTCCCCTTTACATAAAAAGGGGCGCAACTGAAATAACTTGTGGCTAAAGTGAGAAGAGAATCTGCCTGGGAAATGATATATAATGAATTGAAAAGAACATCTAAAATAACATTTGTAAAAGACAACAACCCAGAAGCTTTTCTTTAAGGAATTATAGGGACAGAAGTACCTAAACTGTCTAGAAACTTATTCATCTATGCCACTACAGTGGCAAGAATGATACTCGTCCCCAAAATGGAAAGAAGCTGAAGTCCCAGCAAAGGAAGAATGGATACAAAAACTTATGGAATATGCAGAAATGGCAAAACTTACCAGAAGAATAAGAAATGAAGATAACAAACTTTTTATAAAAGAATGGAAATAGTTTATTGAGTATTTGCAGATAACTTGTAAACAGGTAAGAACATTGGCAGGATTATTGTAATACCCTGCAGTTTTATAAGAGTATATATTTAAAGTCGATGAATAAATGAGCAAATTACCGTATTTTTCGCTCTATAGGACGCACCTTTTCCCCTCCAAAAATTAAGGGGAAATGTGTGTGTGTCCTATGGAGCGAATGCAGGCTCCTTGGCTTCAGCGATAGCAACGCGAAGCCTCCGAAGCGCAGAGGGAGCGCTCCCTCCGCACTCCGGAGGCTTCGCGTTGCTTTCGCTGAAGCCTGGAGAGCAAGAGGAGTCGGTGTCCGCACCGACCCCTCTTGCTCTCCAGGCTTCAGGGATAGCCACCATGAAGGCTTCGGGTTCCTTTTGCTGAAGCCGGGAGAGCAAGACTCTCCCGGCTTCAGCAGAGAGGGAGAGCTGCGCAGCGCCCCTTCAGCCAAGCGGGAGGAGAAATGGAAGGGGCTCCATTTCTCCTGCCCCTTTGCTGAAGGGGCGCTGAGCAGAGAGGGGGAGAATTTTTTTTCTTGTTCTCCCCCTCTAAAACAAGGTGCGTCCTATAGAGCGAAAAGTACGGTAAGTTTGGATATGCAGAAGTTATTATTAAAAATAAATTATTTAATAAATTATTATTTATTAAAAATAAATTGAAGGAACCGCAGAAAAAGGGGAAAGGAAGTCAAGTTTTGAAATGTTAAAATGATTGCAAAATTAGTGAAATGTATAAACCTGAAATTAGTGAAATGTATAAACCTGAAATTAGTGAAATGTATAAACATACACACACACACACACACACACACACACACACACACACATATATATATATATATATATTTAAAGAGGGAATCTGCCCGGTGGGGAGAACAGAGAGTCCATGTGGCAGGGAACACCCACCTGTGCTTTCTCAGAGCAGCTTCTCATGGCTTCCACGAGCTTCTCCATCTGCTGGCCCTGCTCCAGCGCGTTCCTCAGGACGTCCTCCGTGCTGACGAGACGATGCTGCAACCGGAGGACTTCGGACTCGGACGAAGGGTCTATGAGGGAGTATCGTCGCTGGTCTGTTACTGCTTTCTCTTTATCCTGGAGGAGAAAAGTTGTTGTTTTTTAACAACAGTATTATTGCATTAAAATATGAAAGGTTAGATTTAAACAAATATTAAATCAGCTCTTTAATAAAGAAGTGAACAGGAACATTTGGGGCCTATTCATCCAGAGGAGGAACCTTCTGAAGAGCGGACAAGGGGCTGAGGTTGAAACCAGAAGTCACCAGTTCTGGCCTCCTGCCATGCATTCAGGAACAGGTCCTTAGGCAAGGCACTTCTGCAACATGGGATCACAGTGGTACCTCAGGTTACATACGCTTCAGGTTACAGACTCCGCTAACCCAGAAATAGTGCTTCAGGTTAAGAACTTTGCTTCAGGATGAGAACAGAAACCGTGCTCCGGCGGTGCGGCAGCATTAGCTAAAGTGGTGCTTCAGGTTAAGAATTCAAGTTAAAAACGGACCTCCGGAACGAATTAAGTACTTCATCCGAGGTACCACTGTAATAATAATACGGCATTGCTCAGTTACCATGGACAGCTCGGTTGGCTGGAACGTGGTGCTGATAATGCCAAGGTTGCAGGTTCGATCCCCATATGGGACAAATGCATATTCCTCCATTGCAGGGAATTGGACTAGATCAGGCACGTCCAACTTCCAAGAGACTGCTATCTACTCAGTCTTTTAAATAAACAGGCAGTGATCTGCCCATTGTCACTGGAGAATGGACAGGAGTTGTTGAGCTTTTTTAGAAAGCCAAATTGCTTAGCTATTTTTGGGAAACAAAAGTTGTTGAGGTTTTGGTTTGCTTTTTTGGGGGGTGACACACCAGGGGGTGTCGCAATTGACCACGGACACTCCCGTGATTGACCAGTAGATCGTGATCGACCTTTTGGACATGCCTGGACTAATGATCCTCAAGGTCCCTTCCAACTCTATGACTCTATGAAAGACAGGGCTGTTGTGCAGATTATTGATAATTACCGTATTTTTTGCTCTATAAGACTCACTTTTTCCCTCCTAAAAAGTAAGGGGAAATGTGTGTGCGTCTTACGGAGCGAATGCAGGCTGCGCAGCTGTCACAGAAGCCAGAACAGCAAGAGGGATTGCTGCTTTCGCTGCACAGCGATCCCTCTTGCTGTTCTGGCTTCTGAGATTCAGAATATTTTTTTTCTTGTTTTCCTCCTCCAAAAACTAGGTGCGTCTTGTGGTCTGGTGCGTCTTATAGAGCGAAAAATACGGTACAGTGGTGCCTCACAAGACGAAATTAATCCGTTCCGCGAGTCTCTTCGTCTTGCGGTTTTTTCGTCTTGCGAAGCACGGCTATTAGCGGCTTAGCAGCTATTAGCGGCTTAGCGGCTATTAACGGCTTAGCGGCTTAGCGGCTATTAACGGCTTAGTGGCTTTAAGAAAAAGGAAACAATCTCGCAAGAACTTGCAAGACGTTTCATCTTGCGAAGCAAGCCCATAGGGAAATTCGTCTTGCGGAACGACTCAAAAAACGGAAAACTCTTTCGTCTAGCGAGTTTTTCGTCTTGCGAGGCATTTGTCTTGCGGGGTACCACTGTATATGTTAATACTACAAACAAACAAACAAACAAACAAACAAACCACAAGTGCTTTGAGTCCTTCAAACACTATTTTAATGGGGGTTTTTGCTAGCTGTGCTCCATAGGCATTTTATACAACTCTTTACCACTAGAGAGTTCGGCAGTCAAGCGTAAAATGAAAAGCACAGAGAGAGTTTATGATGTTTCTCATAACCAGGTGGGTGGGTGGGTGGCACTCAGAAATTGCCGTTTTACTGACGCAGGAGGAGTTACTACCTCCCCGATTTAAAAAGTCTCATGAAAAGAATTATTGATCGTGCGAGAATCCATCAATTATAATAATTGGTAGCATCCAATCAATCATTTTTTAAGTAGGGAGGGAATATTCTTTAGTTTAGATTATGATGTTTGAAAAGAACAGCAACCGTAAAACTAGAAACACACACTTGACGAGAACCCAGGGAGTCATCTATTCTCATCCCTGGATCAATGCCAGATCTTGCAAACCCTGGCATCCTTGCTTAAATGCCTCCAGAGAAGGAGAAGCCAACACTCCCAACAAGGCAGGCTGTTTCACCGCCCAACAGCTCCTGCTCTTTGGGAAAATTCACCTCTCATGTTTAGCCAGCATCTGCCTCCTTGCAATTTCCACCCCTCGAGTCTAAGCTTCCCCTCTGGAGCAACAGAGAAGGAGGTTTCCTCTACAGTGGTACCTCGCAAGACGAATGCCTCGCAAGACGGAAAACTCGCAAAACGAAAGGGTTTTTGGTTTTTTGAGTTGCTTCGCAAGACGATTTTCCCTATGGGCTTGCTTCGCAAGACGGAAACGTCTTGCAAGTTTGTTTCCTTTTTCTTAAACCGTTAATACAGTTGCGACTTGACTTCGAGGAGCAACTCATAGCACGCGGTGTGGTAGCCTTTTTTGAGGTTTTTGAAGACTTTGGTGATTTTTGAAGCTTTTCCAAAACTTTCCCGACACCGTGCTTCGCAAGATGAAAAAAACCGCAAGACGAAAAAACTCGCGGAACGAATTAATTTCGTCTTGCGAGGCACCACTGTATCTTCTACATGACCGAAGCAAAGACCAAAAGTCACTCTCCTTGCCATCTGATTAATTTTTTTAAGGTTATTTTATAGGAATAAGACCAAGTGATAATGCAGAAAACAGAATCTGGTGCCAAATTAATCCAGGGCAATCTAAACGTTGTCATCTGATTAATCCAACCAATTAATTAACTAATCACTGCAGCTAAGTTTTACTCAAGAGTAGATCCGCTGAAATGAATATGGACCTAATTTAGGCCCCATCTGCATAATACATTTAAAGCAGCATCATACCACTTCAAACAGGCACGGTTTTCCCAACAGAATCCCGAAAATGGTAGTTTGTGGGAACTGTAGCTTTTGAGAGGGTAAACTGCGGTCCCCAGGAATCTGGGAGGGGTGTGTGCTTTAAAATGTATGGTGTGTATGCCGCCATGGGGGTCCTCATAAAATGAGTTCAGGCTGCAGGTTGCCTTCCTGCAGGTTGCACTTGGAATTGTGTGGGGAACCTGAGGCCCTCCAGTTGTTGTTGGTGGACTACAACTCCCATCATTCCTGACCATCGGCCATAATGGCTGGAGCTGATGGGTGCTGGAGTCTGGCAACACGCAGAATCAATGAACTGGACCCAAGCTCAGGGGTACAGAGTGGGACAAGTGGCCTTTTTAGTCAATAGAAGTTTCCGGGCCACTTGTAAAGGCAGCTCCAGAGAGAGAGCGTTGCAGCGGCCCAGCGTCATGTGGCTCAAGCCTTCAACCCTCTCAGCGGCGGAGCAAGCTGATTGGGCGCCTGGGGTCGTGTGCGTCCGCAGGGCCTCAGAGGAATTTTCCTGCCTCCTTCCACTCAGCCACCCTACAGGCGGACCATTTGGGGCAGCGCAGAGCCCTCCCAGGAGAGATGCATGGCTCGGGCGCACTGCAGGCCCCGCTGTGAATGCCGCCCACCATTTTGTCACCCTCAGTGGTGATACCCGGGGTGGTCTGCACCCACCGCACCCCCCTCGCTACACCCCTGAGCCCTCCACCACAGCCCCCCAATGCTCTGGGCACCCAGCCCAGCTCTCCACCAGCTCACCAGGACGATCAGCTTTTCCCGGAGTCCCTTGATGTCGTCCTTGAGCTTCTGCTCCTTCATCCTCCACTCGGCTTTGTGCACCTCGCGACTCAAGTCCCGCTCGGGCCCAGGGGAGTGCCGGTTGGCTTCCATGAGCAAAGCTCGCAGCTCGTTCAGGCTCCTGGTGGGAGAGAGCCAGGAGAACGTCAACAAGGGGGCTTTATCGCAGACGTTTTGCTAGTGCTCTCCACACACACAAACATTGGAGGTTTTGCTGCCGGCACTGTGCCCTTTCACTGTCCAAAGGCTGGGGGAGAGCTTTGCCAGGCAGCTATTCAAGGATTGTCAAGGACTAGTTAGACACAGAGGATTGGTGAGAGGAACCAGCTGAGGAACCAGCAAGGGAAGAAGGCTCAGGGCCTTTTTGTTAGGTCTAACAGGTGAAGAGTTACCGAGAGAAGATAAAAGACTTTTTATGTACACAACAGCAGCAGCGAGAATGCTACTAGCCCAGAGATGGAAGGAAGGAGAAGAATGGCAGATGAAACTGATGGTTAATTACGGTTAATTAATAGGTAGATAATGGTAAAAGATACGGGAAACTTAAATTTAAACATGGAATCCATGGAGGGAGGGAAGGAGGTCCGAAGGTTCAAAAGAACCTTGTATTTGAATGTTCAAAAAGGTTATGTTTGATATGTATAAAATGATTAAAAACCTAATAAAAAATTATAATCAATCAATCAATCTTTATTACGGTCCAGAGACCCAACAAATCGTTACAAAGCAATGCACAATTCAGACAGCCTACCTCCAGGTTAAACAAGCATTTTGTTCAGACTTAAAGATAGGAATCATTGGTTCTTGCAACCACTGATAAAAACTTTGCCACTGCTAATGTTCTAGCGTTTGTCCGGTCTTCCAATAGGAACCTGACATAGTGAGCCTCTGATTTTCCTGGGAAAGGTACCAGCAAGGTTAATATCAGTTCAGCCCTGGCTTGCTCATATTTTGCACAGTGCAGCAAAATATATAGAATCGATGTCTTGAGCACACGAGCAAAGTCTGTCCTGGTAGGGAACTCCTCTCCATCTGCCGTCCAACACTGCAGAAGGAAAGACGTTTAGTCTGGCTTTGGTGAATAACCTTTGGTACCGTCAGGTTTTTAATGTAAGGTGTTACTTTAAAGTCATGCCCATATTGTACTTGCATTGTATTTATAAAAAATTATAAAAAAAGAAGCCTCAGAGCCCAGGGAATTGGTGGTGGGACAACGATGAGTGGGTGAACTGGAAGAGGAGATATTGGAAGCTGAAGGTGGGGTTGCTAAGCCGACGGAGGAGACTGACCTTTCTTTCTTCAGCAGCTCCTGGCTGATGAGGACCAGCTGGCCAGAAGCATCGTGCGTTTTCCTAGACACCGTCTCCAGCTCGGCTTCCAGCCTCTTCTTCTCTTTCAACAGAGAATCTGCCTTCCTCTCAGTACTCCTGCATCTATTTTCCAAGGCTGCCGGACCAAAGGAAAGCGTGTGCATTTGAGGGGGGTGGGGGGAGACAAGGTAAAGCAGACTCTCTCGTTCTCTCTCTCTCTCTCTCTCTCTCTCTCGGCAAGGCAGGGCAACGCAAGCTCCTCCCTAAGACAGGGATCAGGAACTGCAGTGGTCCTCTGGATTATCTGCCGGACTGCAACTCGCAGCAGCCCCCGTTGGTCAGGGATGATGGGAGATGTAGTTCTGCAAGTTTGGCAGCCCAGCCCTGTTCTTAAAGAGCTTGCGGTCCCTGCTCCGTGGCTGCCATGACCCTACTCTGACTTCCTCGTAAGTGCAGCCCTTCTCAATCCTGCTGGAAATTGCAGAAAGTGGGAACACTCTTGCAATCAGGAGGAGGAGCACCTGGCTGGCCAGTGTGAGAACAGGACAGATTATCTTACATTCTGATGTCATAAGCACCAAACCTGGCCTTTCCCTGGAAAGACACGGATAAGGACAGAATGCAACCTTCAACATCCTGTCCAGGGCCCTCCCAACCAGAGGAGGGGGCCCTTTCACATTCCTAAGAGGGCAAGTCCCTAGTAACGTCTCTGTCCTCGTCTATTCATCCCACACTGTCATCTGAGGCCACCATCTTGCTGAAGCTAAGCAGGTCTGGGTCTGGTTAACCACATGCATGCCCCCTTGAGTTCCATGATGGAAGGAAGGTGGAATATACAGAATTCTTGCCTACATTTCTTTCTTCTTCTTCTTCCTCCCTCCCAACCCTTTTTCCTTTTGTGCTGTGTCTTTTGAGTTGTAACCAGCTAAGGTTAGCACAATGGAAGAGAAGCAGGGTATTAATGCAACAGAACTAAATTCTCTTAGTTTTCTGTGTACTTGGGTTTGTACACAGGCTGGCATTTTTATCAGCAGAAGTATTAAATCAATGGTGGAGCTAATCTGAAACACTTTCTTTGGGGTTGGGTGTGTTTTTTAAAGGCTTCTTTTGTTCAGGCTGTTACAGCCATAGGGACTGTGAGAGACCATACTAGTGGTCAAACTCGTGGGAAGCTTTAAGGAAATTTGTATTTCTAAGGTTTGATGGCTCATGACATCAGTTTTTAATACCATAAAATTATACATCATTAGAAAGATAGTTCAATGCAGGATATAAGGGAACAAACAGTGTTGGATTAGGGTTTCCATACGTCCAGAATTTTCTGGACACATCCGGAATACTGCAGTCGGCAGCAGCATCTGGGCAGTAATCGGAAAAATGTCTGGGAAAATCCAGACGTATGGCAACCAGTGTCGGCGGTGTCGCTTTTGCCGATTTCCAATAATATTAGCTTAAAAACATCAAAGTTTTTGCCCCCCCAAAAAAAGCTAAAATAAATAAATTCTGTCCAGATTTTCACTGTTTGAAATATGGCAACCCTATGTTGGATTATGTTATTTCTATCAAATGTTGCAGCCAAATAACCAGAAAAAGAAAGTATGTCTGCCTTACGTAACCGGAAGTGGATTTCCTTAACTCAAAACTGACCAGTGACAGAGTGTAATAGCCCTGACCTGAATCCAATAGAAAATTTGTGGAGCCGATTAAAGAAACTTGTTAGTCAGAAGTATCCAAGGAATAAAGCACCATTGATAGAATCAGTAATCCAATCTTGGTTTCACATTATAACACCCGATGAACTAAAATCCTTGGTTCGCTCCATGGGACATGGCTGCAGGGCTGTAATTGCAACAAAAGCTTCCCACATCAAGTACTAACAGAAACGGTGATGAAATAACCTTTTTCACAACTTTCTGTGTATAACTCCTTTTATCTGGCTATAACTTTTTATAGAATGAGGATCATTCAAAACCGTTTGTTGCATTCTATTCTGCCTTACACCGTCTTTCTGATCATGCATAATTTTATGGTATTATTCTAAAAAGAAACACAACACCAGCATTATGAGCCATCAAACATCAGTAATACAACTTTCCACGATTTCGGCCACTAGCACATACTAAAAGCTGGCCTTTCCTTCCAGCAACAACTGTCGGGTTTCGCACACAGAGAAGGTCCCGAGTTTTGCTTTCTCCCTGAGCTGCTTGGTTTCCATGTGCAGGCGATTCACATCAGTTGTGTGAGAGCCCTCCTCTCAGCTCTAAAGTGGTACAGCCCAGATGTAGATTCGGCCCCTCCATTAAAGTGAGGACTAAAATAGATGTCCGTCCTCGCCCCCCCCCCCCGCTGAAATTATCTGTCAATCTGACCAACACAAGCCTAAGCAAACTTACCACTTACTTGAGTCCTTAGCGTGTCTGCTTGGGAGACAAGTGATGACACCTCTTTATCTTTCTTACTCAGCTTGTCCTGGAGATCTGCAGGAGGATAAGAGGGACTCGGGTCACCTGTTACGTTTGCAAGCTTATATTATTAGGGGCTTCATTTATTCATTTGTTTAAGGGATTAACACCCCAATTTTCACTATATGTCTCAATGTAGCTTACAGGCAGGGCCAGATTTAGACTAATGAGGCCCTAAGCTACTAAAGGTAATGGGGCCCTTTTATATGTCCAGCTGTCCTTTGTCAACAACCAAGTGTCGATGTTTTTTGTGTTGAATATATGCTATATGGTCATCTATGGACCTAATAGGGATCTAAAGCTATTTGCACATGTTGCCATGCAACCAGTCCATGCAGAAAGTAGGCACCCTATATATAGAAATGAGCAAACCAGTGATATTTTAGGGAGCAGGCTAGCAGACAGGGCCCATTACTTACAGCATAGGAGCCTACACAACACATAAGACTGTTGCTGTATGTAGGTTTTATTTAATTTGTTTTTTATCTTAAATTTTGGAAATGTACATCCAGGTGTTTTTTTCCTTTAAATTTTTTTGGGGGCCCCAAGAGAGTGGGGCCCTAAGCTATAACTTGTTTAGCTTATACGTAAATCCGGCGCTGCTTACAGGGAGGTGGGGAATAGCACAATTCGCAAAACTGAAAACATAGGCTCAAACATCAGAAGCAAGAAACATTAGAGTGACATTCATAACCTCCTGAAATTAAGCCAGTTTCTAGGCTGGCCTCTGAAACTTAACACAGCCTGTCTGATTTCTAGAGAGAGTTACCTTCCATGGTCTGCTTCATCTTGATCTTCTCTTCTGAAATGTCATTGGTTTCAATCATCTGTAACAAACGGTAAAAACACGCAAGCGTAAAATTTTCGGGTGCACCTCGGCTCATGCAAATCAAATGGAGAATGCGCACAACTGGCCATTGTACACATTCCCCAGACGTCAGAAGGATTGCGCACATATTAGGGAAAGGAACAGGGGACTGTGTACACAGCCTGGTCAGAAGCACCTAGGACAGGCACTGCCTTGCACAGTCAGGCCACTGGTCCATCTAGCTCAGTGTAGCCTACACTGGCTGGCAGGAGCTCTCCAAAGTTTCAAGCAGGACACCTCCCCGGAGCTGCCCTTGGGGACTAAACCTGAAACCAAGTGCTCTGTCACTGAATTACTGACCACCTATGTAAAAAGTAAGACTCTAGTCCTCATGGTTCTGAACAGGAAGTGCTGGGGACTGAGCATAGGGCTTTCTGACATGAAACTAGGGCTCTTTCCCGAAGGTGGATCGGGGCTCTGATAAAGGCAGGACCTGAAAACAGCCATTGTTGACCCAAGAGGCAGAGCCACCTTCAGAACAGCCTGCCAGTCGGCTGCCGAGCTATGGCTCTTCCTTACGCAGGTCTGTATTGCGCTATGCCATTTTCATTTGTTTGTTTGCTTCCTTGTCTCCCCAGACGCTGTCGCCAGCTTCCGTTCTGCCCCTGGACCCAGCACAAACTCCTTGTCTTTATTAGAGTTCCCACCTTACTTTCTCATTCTGCCTCTGCTCCTCCAAACCTAGCATTCTTTTAGAAGTGGAAGCATACGACAATAAACATCGCTTTCTATCTTGCATTAGGTTTCGTTTCATCTCGAAAAATAAAATCTTGTTTTACGGTTTATTGTTGTTTATATTTTGAATTGGATATATACGGGGGCACCAAAATCTTTTAAGTGCTTAGGGTCTCTAAAGGTTTTAATCCGGCCCTGCAAAGACAGGATGCGTAGCACGCAAAGCTCTGTCCTACAACAGAAGGGAATGTTTGGAAATGTCTGCCGCCTGAGGCTGTTGCCTCACTTTGTCTAACACTAGGGACGGCCCTGGTTTAGAGGAAACATTACTGCTAGCTTCAAATCCTCAGTTGTGTGCTAACATCTTTGTAAATGCATCCGGGAGTTTTAAAGACAATTAAAAAGTGGGGGGTGGGTGAGGGGGTGGAGGAAGGTGCTGGAAATCAGCTAGGCCAGTCAACGTACGTTGGTGTGCTGAGAAGGATGAAGCGCTTCTGTGGACTGCAGCTTGTTCTCCAGCACAAGGACTTTCTCCTGCAGCCGCTGGATCTCCTGCTTGTTCTGGGCTTCCGTCTTCTGCAGCGTCTCGTAGTCCAGCATCTTCTTCTCGGCCAGAGCGATCTGCTCCTTCAGGAAAGCGATGGCCTGCGCCTGATCCTCATAGTCGCCGTGAAGCTTCTCCAGCTCGTGTGCTCGGAGATCCGCGTCTCGGCACTTGTCCTTCAGGTCCTGCAGCTCCAACAGGTGCTGGTTGGTCTTGGCCTCCAACTGCTGCTTCCAGTTCCTGTCGCTCTCCTCCACCTCGTCCTTGGCTTCCTGCACCTTCAGCTTCAGGCCTTCCTTCTCCTTGATGTGGACGGCCGTCTCGATGTCGTGCTTGGCCTTCAGGTTCTCCAGCTCCAGCTGGTGCTCCATCTTGATGCTCTCCACCACAGCCTTCAGCTCCACTATCTCCTTGTGCTGACTGTCGGGGCCCGTGTTCAAGGTGGCCTTGAGGTCCTCCAGCGACTTCTGATGGTCGGATGCCAGCGTGTCCAGCTTGGACTTCCAGTTGTCCATGAGGCCCATGTTCTCGTTGGTGGCCTGCTGGACCTTCTGCTTGAGGTCCACAATTTCCTGCGAGTACTTTTCGTTCAGGGCCTTCAGCTTCTCGATCTCTTGCTGGTGCTTCTTCAGCGTCCTTTCGTACTTCTCCTTCAGCTGGCTGCTCTCTTTCTGGTGCTCCTTGTTAGCGGAAAGCAGCTGGTCGCGGAGGCGCAGGGCCTCCGTCTGCAAGCCGAGGCTGTGGTCCGGAGAATCCGGAGGAAGTGTGTCCTTCAAGCACTGCCTGAGTTCCTCCACCTCGCCTCGCGTTAAGGCCAGCTCCTCCTCCAACTGGAGGATCCGCGACTTCTCGGCCACCGTAGTCAGCTGGAAGAGTGGACGATAAAATAAACGCACATACGCAAAGTCAGCCCTTGCCTTTTCATACTTGCCCATTTCTTTTGGGGTCTTTTCACACCGTGTATCATAACGGTAATAATAATAATAGACAGCCCAATACATTTTTAGGCGCAGGTGGGGGAATCTGTGGCCCTCCAGATGTTGCCGAGCATCAGTCCCAGCCAGCATGGTCAGTGCGGAGGATGATGAGTGTTGTAGTATGGCAACATCTGAGGAACATAGGCTCTCTCCGCTATCCCTGTTTTAACTGGATGTCTGGTTGCGCCAGACGAAAGAGGCTAACGCAAACTTCATTTAAAAGGTTGGGAATTTGGTGGCAAAACTGAGCTGGCTGCTGTATGAAAAGACTCTCAGCAGAGGGAAGGCAAATGTCTAAGTACATTGCTAATGCAAACAGAACCTTCCTTTTGAGGTATGATTTGGTTTTTCTTCTTTTTTGCACCAGGGTAAGCATTCACACACCTCTCTCTCTCTCTCTCTAAGAACCATGTCATTTTACAATAGCAGTAATATTTCTAGGTAAAGGATCCTTGCCACTGGCATTACACCGAAGACGCAAATTTAGGGATGGCTGTCAATAGCCTGGAAGAAGGAAAATGGGATGGCTGGCACCCGGAACAGGAGAGCTTGGCATGGCATCATTTTGTCCCGGGTCCCATGTGGCCTATTACCAGCTGTGAAATCCCCCATCACTGTGGCTGGCAGGGTGTGCATGTGTACATATGGAGGCAAGCCATATATTGCCAAAAAAAACCAACCACCCCAAAACAATGGGTCCCTAGGAGAGGATTAGGCTGGGCCTCCCTTCCTTGCTTATTTTTAATTTTCTCCATTAGAATGAATTTAAATTTAACAACAATTATATACTGGCTGGCTGTTAAAAAAAAAAAAAAGCAACAGCAACCCTAAGCAGATTACAACAATACAGTAGAACCTTGGTTGTCAAACGTAATCCGTTCCGGAAGGCCGTTTGACTTCTGAAACGTTCGACAACCGAGGTGCAATGGGCGGTCGAAATCCACTGAAAACATGGAGAAACGCGTCTTGGAAGCCATTCGACTTCCAAGGTGCGTTTGAAAATGGAAGCATTCACTTCCGAGTTGTCGGCATTCAAAAGCTGAAACATTTGACTTCCGAAGTGTTCGACAACCGAGGTTCCACTGTAATTTAAAAGAAAAAATTGCAGTTATTAATAAAAAGTGGTATAAAAAAATATTCCAAAGACGGTGTCTGCACAATGGCAGCCTTACAGACAGACAAAACACAGAGGAACTTTTAAAAAGATTCCTTCCACACCTGCAGTCGGAAGTGCTCACAGTTTTCCCACCCGGGTGCGACAGGCTCCTGAAAGCTCACACACGCTCTCTCTCTCGCTCTCTCTCGCACACACACACACACACCTTGCCCCATCAATCAACCTCAGTCTTTCCCACCTGTCAAATGGGAACAGCGGTGACCCATTGCACAGCCATCAATGAAAACATCAGCATTCTGCCCCACCCCAACTTTGGTCCCTTGCTTCCTGGGGCCAAAGGAACCCCTTAACAACGAAACATGATCCGGGTAACATCGGAGTTGTTTCTGCTCATTTCTAAGTTAACTTTGTCCCCTCTATTACCACATGGCTTACCCTGGTGTAAAAGGGTGAAGTGCCCTTTTTTAAAAGAAAGAAAGAAAGAAACCAAGTCATGCCAAGTCGGTTAGAAGGAGCCATTAGCTGAGTTCGAGAAAAGAAGGAGTCAGGAAGGGTGCTTGATGCGAAGCGTGTTGCTGACCATGCTTAATGTTGAATGATGGGCTGGGAAGCAGCTGGCTAGCTTAATGCGGGGTACGGTAAGCAGCAGCATGTTTGGCTTGCGAGTCATGGTGAAAATAAATGGAAGGAAGGCGCTTTCAGAGGCAGGAAATCTCAAGGAACAGATCTCAAACCAACCCCACCAGATCCACGCATGGCTGCAAACACAGAATTGCAGAGTCGCTTAGAAGTCACCTATTCCGCCCCCTCTTCCCTTCTCGTCCCTTTTCCTTTTGTGTCGTAACAGGCAAGAGACTGCCTTGTCCTAGGTAAGCTGCTCTAGGGGTCTTTTCAGCAGAAGAGTGGGCTGCAGGTGCTTAAAATGAATAAATAAAAGTGCACAGGAAAGAAGCTAACTTGGAAAGACCTCCACGCAGAAATTGAGAGTCACACAAGTTCCAAACAGCTCAGCAAGCCAGAGGATGGGGCAGAGAGGAAGCCACGGAGAGGAGGCCAGAACTGGACCCAGGCGGACAGAGAACCAGAGACGCACGGCCTTCTTCAAGCACCCAGTGATACCCTGACACCCAACACCACGTCCATTTTAACAGTTAAGCAAACATGCACCCAGTTTAATTTGCATTCCTGGATTCTGGTCCCACCACTACAGGAATTTGGTTTCAATGCAGAATTCCTGGGGCCCTGAAGAGCTCTGCGATGATGAAAGGACAAATACAGGTGGCCATTTATCAAGGAGCATGGACAATTAGTTGACATTCCAGCACGGCAGGGGGTTAAACTAGATGCATAGCTGTCAACTTACAGATTTGAAAATAAGGGACCAGCAGCCTTGAAAATAAGGGACCAGCAGCCAAAACAAGGGATTTTCCAGGCACAGGTATGTTCAGCTTCTGAGCCCCTCCGAGCCAAAGGCAGAAAACCCAGACAGCAGCCAAACGAAGCCTCAAGCGGTGGTTCCCACAGCGCAGCAACCCGGCAAGGAATGCAGCAAGGAAAACCACCGTCACCTCTCTGCTGGGAAGCGCTGAGCAAAGGCGAGTCCCCAGGAAACGCGGCCGATTTGATCAGCACAAGGCATGCAAGCTCCACCCCCCAGTCGTTCTTAGACTCCTTATTGGGTGAGCAACGCAGCCAAGCAACCCAGTTGGAGCCTCCCTGCTCCCTGGCCGGCAGGGAGGGAGGGAGGGAGAGGAGCTGCTTCCTTTGAAACCCAAGAAATTTAAGGGACATCATCAATAAGGGACAGCAGCGGGACACAGCGCTAGGATAAGGGACTTTCCCGCCAAATAAGGGACAGTTGACAGCTATGACTAGATGACCCTCGAGGGTCCCTTCCAACTCTACAATTCTATGATTCCATGGCAGAGCTGCTTGGGAAGCTGGTGGCCAAGGAATTCCAAGTCTCGTTCCCACCCCTCTTTTTGGGTCAGTGAGGATATATGGCGAATTGTTTTTAAAACCCTTCTCCTCACTCCCCAGGTGGCATGAGAACAAGTGGCAGCCTGTCAAGGAGGGTACAGACACACACACACTGCCAGATAAATGGCCCCCTGTATTCGGCCAGCGATTGATTATCGATTGGTTAAATTGGATGGCAAATGGCGGTTTGCTCCAGTCCCGGTGGTTATCATGTTGCATGAGAAGCTGAAGGACAGAAAACCAAAAGGAAGGGTTTGCCTTTTACAGACACGGAGAAGGCAAAACTGCAAAATGCAACCCTTTGCAGGGCGTTAGAGAGAGCGGGTGGGGAAGGGGGCGAAGAGGAAGCGCGGAAATTGCAAATATAATGTAATAAATGAAATAATGAAAGCTGAAGACCAAAACAACAGAAACGAAAACAAAAGTGGGGTTTTTTGGGGGGTTAAGGATTTGTTGGTATCAAAACAGATGCAAGCAATCTGATCCACAGGCATTGGGTTGCGTGGAGCAGGGCAGGATGAGACTGTTTTGCGGGGTGGGGAGCATCAGGGACAGATTACCCTAGAGTCCTCCAATCCTTTGAGAAGCTTTTCAGCCTGCGTCTTCTCAAACAGGAGGTTCTGCTCGAGCTCCCGTATTCGGGCATGCTCCAGCTGGGTCTGGGTCTGGTCGGGAGGAGAAAATAAAAGAAAGAACACGGAAGGAAAAGGGGGGAAATAGAACAAAACAAAAAAATTGGGAGAGGGAGAAAGAGAGTAGAAAACAGAGGAATAAATAAAGAGAACGGACAAGAGGAGAAGTGTAACGTCGTTATCTTCTCCAGAAAACAGGGCAAAGGAAGGCAGTTCACAAACAGGAGAATAAAGAGAGCGTAAGATCCATAAAGGCAGGGAAGCCCGCTCAAGCAAGAGGCAGCAAGGGGCGGCAACTGCCACGCAATTGAGAGACAGCTTCCGGGTCAACCCTCTGAACTGTGGCAGCACATAGGGGCAGGCACCCCTCAAAAGTTAACAATGTAAATGTAAAGACACCCATCTCCTGATCCGAGATGAGACAACCTATCACTGCAAACTGCTGCCCTAGACAACCGCCCGTCTATTCTGTATATTTATCTCCAGGTGCTCTTTCCTGAAGGTACCAAGCACAGAGGACCAGCTCTGTTCGCCCAGAATTGCTGGCAGCCCCTAATAATAATAATAATAATAATAATAATAATAATAATAATTTATTATTTATACCCCGCCCATCTAGCTGGGTTTCCCCAGCCACTCTGGGTGGCTTCCAACAGAACATTAAAATACAATAACCTCTTAAACATTAAAAGCTTCCCTAAACAGGGCTGCCTTCAGATGTCTTCTAAAAGTCTGGTAGTTGTTTTTCTCTTTGACATCTGGTGGGAGGGCATTCCACAGGGTAGGTGCCACTGCTGAGAAGGCCCTCTGCCTGGTTCCTTGTAACTTGGCTTCTCACAGCGAGGGAACCACCAGAAGGCCCTCGGCATTGGACCTCAGTGTCTGGGCAAAACGATGGGGGTGGAGACGCTCCTTCAGGTCCCACTGCACATGCAAACAATTGCTTGCGATGAGAGCGTTTCGCTCCAAACCAGCCTCATCCCAGACCCCTCAAGACTGTCTCCATCCAAGAGTAGTAGAGACAAACCTGCCATTGCAGGGTACCATTTGACCCAAGCCCTCTCTGTCCCCTTGCAGCAATTCTCCCTCAGAGCTTCACGCACAGACGTAGTCAGCTTTTCGGAGAACCTGCCATTCTCAGCCTTGTGCTCCTCCTTCTATGGACCAAAGTGCCCTCGGTGAATCGCGTTCACTTCACCTTTTAATGCGAGTTTTGCTTTGGGAATGCTGCACAGTTCCAAAGCAGTTTCACCCTTCTTTAATACACTCAGGAAGTGGAAAGCATACGAACACCAAGCCAAAGTAGCGTTTTCCAAATAGGATACACAAAGATATTTTAAGTTCATAAATAAATGCATCCTGCTTTCCTCATTTCGAATTGCCTCCACCCAAAAGTAGTTAGATTTTAATTAAAAATCCTTATAGAATGTCTCCTTATTGTATGTCAGCATGTTTAATGCTGTTGACATTAAGTCTTTCTTTCCACAGGTGATAAGTTTGTCAAACTCAGAGTAGTCCTACTGAAATCAATGTACTTAAGCTGCTTAATTTCAGTCTATTTCGAGTGTGACTTAGTTTGATATCACCCTAACAGCGCAGATACACTTCCACTGCTCCTTCCCCCACTCAAAGGGACAATACAGTTTTACTACTAACCAAGATGCAAAACAAGACTTGTTTAAATAGCAGGCAAAACTGGAACAAAATTGGGAGAGGAGCAGGACAGTGAGGGGGTACCCACCACAATCCAGAACTTGGAAACACTCATGATATGCTCTGCAATTCGATGTACTTTTCCCCCTCCCCTCCAGTGAAATAAATGCACTGAGTCCCCCTCACCAGAGAATAAAGGCTCCAAAGAGATCAAAACAAAACAAAACTCGCCCCATGATTGACCCAAAGCACAAGCGAGCAATGTCAGCTCTGTGGCACGTCGTCCGAAAACGGTCCTTTGTGAAAGCCGTTCGGAAAACACACGTCCCAGCCCTGCACTTCGTTAGGCAGCAGCTAATTAATATAACTCTGTTTATTATTAAAACAAGGCTGGGCCAGAAAGGCTGACAAAGGGAAGGAGAGACAACCAACAGTCGCGGGCAACTCAGCTCATGCCTTTTAAAAAATGTGGGGCTGCCACAGATTACCTCCAAGTCTCCCTTCGTAATGGATTCTTCCTCAACGCGGAACTGCAAATCCTCCACCTTCCTGAGGCGGAAAAAAAGAAGTCAGGGAGGGGAAACCATTAGCATGAAGGTTGTATTTTTGGGGGGTGTTTAAAAAATCCTCTGAATCTCTCTCGCACTGATTAAGTAAAGCATCGTTACCAGATTTCTGAACGGCTTCCCGCGAGACATCTCAACGAGATTTGCAATATAATGACATACATAAAGCAGATAGAGAAATAAAAACAATTGCATAAAATAACACTGAATAACCTATGAATATAAAAACAGTTTAAAACAACTGCATCACATACATCAAATCAGTTCAGATCTAGGACAGATGCCGCCTGGGTTTTAGAAGGCCTGTTGATAGAGGAGCCGAAAGAACAACAGAGAAAAGGGGCCTGTTTGATATGCAGTGGGGGGCTGGGGTTCCAAAGGACAGGTGCCAATCATGCTTGCAGGATTGAGTTTCTTTTGCCAGACAAATAAGTGAAAGCCAGCATTTCCACCCTCCCGTTTCTGTCAGGTTTCTCTCAGCATCCCTCATTGCTAGCCAGAAGTGCCATCACTGGCGCTGTCAACACCAAATCCCTCTGAGCAAGCAAGGGGGCTGCGTGTCTCACTGCCCCCTGCTCTATTTGGGATACCTTTTCTCCTCTTCCAGCTGGTTGAGCAACTCCACTTTCTCCTTCTGCGACCTGTCCAGCATGGTTCGCGCCCTCTGCAAATTCCCTTCTGCTTCAGAGATGTACTAAGAAAAGGAAAAGAAAGGTCCCAAAACAGGCAACACACAAACGGGCAAGATAGAGACTGCATGGGCACACACGCACACAGATATCACCGTTATATTTTTAAATATGGAAAGCACAATGCTGGTGGTCAACAAAAGAGGATTAAAGACTGTCTCAAGGCAAATCTAAAACAAATGTAGTATAAACACCGACAACTGGGAAACACTGGCCTGCGAGCGCTCCAGTTGGAGAACAGCCTTGACCAAAGGTGTCATGGGCTTTGAAAATGCTCAAACTCAGGACGCAAGGGAGAAACATGCTAGGAGGAAGGCACGCTTGGCAAATCCACACCGTGATCAACTCCTGCCTGGGAACCAATGTCCCCACTGTGGAAGGATGTGTGGATCCAGAATTGGCCTCCGCCGTCACTTACAGACTCATTGTTAAAACCGTGTTTATGGAAGACAATCTTACTCAGCTACGAGTGATCGCCAAAGAAGAAGAAGATATTTTTAAATACAGAAATAGCAGAGGAAATAAATACACCAGGCATCTTCAGCATTATTTCATTCCTTCAGGAAGCTCAGAGTCCCTTCCACTGGGCACCTTGGTGGTCTCTGAGCAGGTGGAAACCTACAGAGCTTTAATAAGGGCTCAGTTCAGGACTAAACTTGAAGGTTCAGAGAGGTTCAGAGGGTGGCAACACGAGAACGGGGCCTTCTCTGCAGTGGTTCCCCATTTGTGGAATGTTTCCCCAGGGAAGTTTGCCTGGCGCCAACAGGAATGAGATGTTTAGAGGTCTGTGCTGGCTGCTGATTTGCTACCAGGCAAAGCTCAAGGTGTCTCTATTGGTAAATAAAACTCTTAACAGCTTGGGAACCCCTCCACGCTTGTGGGACTGCCTTAGCCTATACATGCCCAATTGACTGCTCCGATCTGCAGAACTGTCACTGTTGAAAGCAGCTCATAATAATCATTCTGCACTTGTAAGAACTTGATTTTTGAGTGCGGCAGTGCCTACATGTTGGAACTCCCTGCCTACTGGTGTCCTTTATTATTAATAATATTATTTTATTGATTAAATTTGTATACCACCCTTCGTCCGAAGATCACAACACAAAAATACAAACAGAAAATACACCAATAAGCAAACCAATAACCCCCCCTCCCACAAAGACGTTTAAAAGGCCATAGGATGTTAATCAGCCCAAGGTCTGGTATTTATTGATATTAAATTTGTGTAGTGCTCTTCATCCAAATATCTCAGGGCGGCTCGCAGCATAAAAATACAAGATAAAAACACAAAATACATAATAAAATAAGAACAAAACAATAACCCACCCCCATTACACATATAAAAGGATATAAAGATGCTGTAGAATCATAGAATTATAGAGCTAGAAGGCACCACTAGGGTCTAGTCCAACCCCCGCAACATTGAATTCTTTTTACCCAACGTGGGGATCTGAGATTAAGAGTCGCAGGATTCAATCATTCATCAGCCCATGTCCTGACTGAAGAGGAACGTTTTTGTCTGGTGCCTAAAGGTATATAATGAAGGCAGCAGACGAATCTCCATGGGGAGAGCATTCCACAAATGGGGAGCCACTGCAGAAAAGGCCCTGTTCTCGTGTTGCCACCCTCTGGACCTCTTATGGAGGAGGCACACGAAGAAGGGCCTCAGAAGATGATCCCAGGGTCTGGGTAGGTTCATATGTGGAGAAACGGTCCTTGAGGTATTTGTTTTAATTATTAAATTTGATCCCTGGAATCTCAAGGTAGGGCAGAAAGAGATAAATCAATGGTCTGATTCGGTATAGGTTCGCTTCCTTATCCCACACAGATCAACAAAAAGCACTTCGTTCCCTGCTTGTGATTTTCTCATCCCTCTCTGCCAGCTCAGAGGTGGCCCAGGCAAGTCCCTTACCTGCTCGTGTTGTGCTTTCAAGATGCTGATCTCCTTCTCCACCTCGCAGATGCGGCTGGTTGCCTTGGCAACCTCAGCTCGCTCCAGGTCTCGCTCCGCCAGCAGCTGCTCAATGTGTTGCTGCTTCTCCTTCAGGGCCTCCTGCAGGGCTGTCGTGCCAGAGATCTTCCGGGCGTAGCGAGAAGAAGTTTCCGTCAACTGCAAGAGGAACAGGAGGAGGAGGAGGAAGGTTGGAGAAGCTCAGATGAGAAACACGACAGGTCCATTATTCGGTCCGTCAGCTTCGCGACAAACCCAACATCCTTTTTTTTTTCTTTTTTTTTTTAAATAATTTTTATTAAAGTTTTAAACAAAGAAAAAAGAAAAAACAACACACACAAAAAAAACACAATACAAAATTTAACAATAAAAACACACAACATAACAATTTAAAACAACCTCTCTTTTACGTTCCCAATTTTAAATTACTTATTTTCTGGACTTCCTCATACCTCCCTCTTTTGTATTCCAATCTACATTATTTGTCCAGCAATTTCTTTTCAACTTTTTAAACCCAATCTTTAATTTAATAAAATATTAAACTATATAACATAAACATAATCCTTGTTTTTAATGTCATATACCTTTAAATTTTTCCCAATCTTAATCCTTAATCTTAATCTATCCTAGCTTTAACCTGTACAGCTGGAAACCACTTATTTTCAATCCAACATCACTCTAACATTCCTTAATTTTGCAGTGTTTCTGAAGATAGTCTTTGAATTTCTTCCAATCTTCCTCCATCGACTCTTCTCCCTGGTCACGGATTCTGCCAGTCATTTCCGCCAATTCCATATAGTCCATAAGTTTCATCTGCCATTCCTCCAGCGTGGGAAGTTCTTGTGTCTTCCAATACCTTGCGATGAGTATTCTTGCTGCTGTTGTTGCATACATAAAGAAAGTTCTATCCTTTTTTTAACACCATTTGGCCCACTATGCCCAGGAGAAAGGCCTCTGGTTTCTTGGGAAAGGTATACTTAAATACCTTTTTAATTCATTATATATCATTTCCCAGAAAACCTTAATCTTTGGGCACGTCCACCAAAGGTGAAAAAATGTACCTTCAGTTTCTTTACATTTCCAACATTTGTTATCGGGCAAGTGATAAATTTTCGCAAGCTTGACTGGGGTTATGTACCACCTGTATATCATTTTCATAATATTCTCTCTTAAGGCATTACATGCCGTAAATTTCATACCTGTGGTCCATAACTGTTCCCAGTCAGCAAACATAATGTTATGTCCTACGTCCTGTGCCCATTTAATCATAGCCGATTTTACCGTTTCATCTTGAGTATTCCATTTCAGCAGCAAGTTATACATTCTTGACAGATTCTTAGTATTGGGTTCTAACAATTCTGTTTCTAATTTTGATTTTTCCACCTGGAAGCCAATTTTCCTGTCTAATTTAAATGCCTCCATTATTTGATAATAATGAAGCCAGTCTCTCACTTTGTTTTAATTTTTCAAAACTCTGCAATTTCAGTCTATCTCCGTCTTGTTCCAAAATTTCCCAATATTTCGGCCATTTGACCTCCATATTGACCCTTTTCAAGGCTTTCGCTTCCATTGGTGACAGCCACCTTGGGGTTTTGTTTTCTAATAGATCCTTATATCTTATCCAAACATTAAACAGCGCTTTCCTGACAATGTGGTTTTTAAATGCTTTGTGTGCTTTGACCTTATCATACCATAAATATGCATGCCATCCAAATACATTATTAAAACCTTCCAAATCCAAAATGTCAGTGTTTTCAAGAAGTAGCCATTCTTTCAACCAGCAAAAAGCTGCTGATTCATAATAAAGTTTAAGGTCTGGCAGGGCAAATCCACCTCTTTCTTTTGCATCTGTTAAAATTTTAAATTTTATTCTAGGTTTCTTGCCCTGCCAGACAAATTTAGAAATGTCTTTCTGCCACCTCTTGAAACAATCCACTTTGTCCACGATCTGCAAAGTTTGAAACAAAAACAACATTCTAGGCAATACATTCATTTTTATCGCAGCAATACGGCCTAGCAGTGAAAGCTTCAGGTTTGACCAAATTTCTAAATCTTTTTTCACTTCTGACCAACATTTTTCATAGTTATCTTTAAACAAATTCCCATTTTATGATGAAATGTTAATCCCCAAGTATTTAACTTTCTTAACCACTGTTAACCCTGTCTCATTCTGAAACCTCTCTCTTTCAAAAGGTGTTAAATTTTTCTCTAAAACCTTGGTTTTTGATTTGTTCAATTTAAATCCTGCCACTTGACCAAATTCTTGAATCAGTTCTAAAACCCTTTTGTACTAGATTCTGGCTCCTGTAACGTCAGTACTAAGTCATCTGCAAATGCTCTTAATTTATAATGTTTAGTTCCGACCTGTATACCTTTAACCAACTGGTCCCTTCTAATCATGTTCAGCAACACCTCCAGGACCGAAATAAAGAGAAGAGGGGAAATTGGGCAACCTTGTCGTGTCCCTTTTTCAATTTTAAGTTCTTCCGTCACAACATTATTTACAATTAGTTTAGCCTTTTGTTCTGAATAAATTGCACTTATACCATTCTCAAAACCTTGGCCTACCCCCATACCCTGTAGATTCTTCTTCATAAAATTCCAAGAAATGTTGTCAAAGGCTTTCTCCGCGTCTACAAATATCAACACTGCTTTAGTGTTTATATTCACTTCTAATTTTTCCAAAATATCAATTATATTCCTCAAATTATCAGACAAGTGTCTTCTTGGGAGAAAGCCCGCTTGGTCCTTATGAATCTCTTCCAACAGCACTTTTTTAAATCTCTTCGCCAAAATATCTGCAAAATTTTTGTAATCCACATTAAGTAATGATATTGGGCGGTAGTTCTTTAGTTGTGTCTTTTCAGCCTCTGTTTTTGGTACAAGTGTAATATATGCTTCTTTCCACGACTCTGGTGCCCTCCTCCCCTCCATTATTTCGTTGCAGACCTCTTTCAATGGTTGAATTAACCAGTCTTTTAAGGATCTGTAGTATCTAGAGGTCAAGCCGTCTGGGCCTGGAGATTTACCCAGTTGCATATTTTGAATGGCACCTTCTATTTCCTGTTCCGTTATTCTATCATTCAAAATTAGTCTCTTCAAACCCAACATCCAAACACAGGGAGCGTTCACATCATAGATTAAAGCACTACGATTCCGCTTTAAACATGGCTTCCCTCCCTCTGCCCCCAAAATCTAGTTCATGGCTAAAGGTAAAGGTCCAGTCGTGGCCGACTCTGGGGTTGTGGCGCTCATCTCGCTTTATTGGCCGAGGGAGCAGGCGTAAAACTTCTGGGTCATGTGGCCAGCATGACTAAGCCGCTTCTGGCAAACCAGAGCAGCACACGGAAATGCTGTTTACCTTCCTGCCAGAGTGGTACCTATTTATCTACTTGCACTTTGGTGTGCTTTCGAACTGCTAGGTTGGCAGGAGCAGGGACTGAGCAACGGGAGCTCACCCCGTGACGGGGATTCGAACCGCCGACCTTCTGATCGGCAAGCCCTAGGCTCTGTGGTTTAACACCCCTATTCCCTTCATGGAGAATACAAGAGCCCGCAAAAAAACTATTTGCCAGCAGAGAAAGTGGAAGAGGTCTGCATTGCAATACTAATATTTAGCACCAAGTTGTTGCATTTAGACCACATCCACAGGGCAGCTTTGAAGCATCATGTGATAGTCATGGCTCCCCCCAAAGAATCCTGGGAACTGCAGTTTGTTGCTCAGTGCTGAGAGTTGTTAGGAGGTCCCTGTTCCCCTCACAGAGCTATAATTCCCAGAGGGAAGAGGGATGGATTGTTAAACTGCTCCGGGGGAAATAAATAGATCTTTGTCAGACACTGACAAGACTGTGAGCCACAGGCAAGCTTCACAAGAAAGTATATACCCCACCCCCCGCTCTGAAGCAGCCCTGCCCAAGCCCTCCAGAGGACGCTGGACTATGATTTAGTCAGGGTGGAGTAGTGGTTAAAGTGTTGCGCTAGGACCCAGGAGACCAGGGTTCAAATCCCCACACAGCCATGAAGCTCACTGGGTGACCTCAGACCAGCTACCTACCTCACAGGGCTGTTGTGGGGATTAACTGAGGACAGGGAGAAGAACCATGTACGTCACCTTGAGTTCCTGAGAGGAAAAGGGTGGGGTATAAATGGACTCCCTCAGGACGTTGTGAGCTCTCCTTTTTAAGCAGAGGTTGGATGGCTATCTGTCATGGATGCTTTAATATCCCTGCATTGCGGGGGGTTGGACTAGATGACACTTGGGGAACCCTTTCAATTCTATGAATGTATGAAATGCAATACAGGTGGCAATCATTTTGCACAGGGGTTCTGTGAGCAGAGCATGCATAAACCCACCCTGCCCTTGTTCTGCCATCTTCTGGGTCTAAAATGACCCACGCGTCGGCGGTCGCACATCAGTTAGATGTGCGCAAAATGGCCGCCGCCAGTAAATAAATCCATCTCTCTTCATTAAAAGAGGGGTTGATTGTTCAGCTAAAGGGAGGTGAGGACAGGTGACCCCACCTAGGCCCAAAGTCACCCCCCCAGCAGGCTCAAAGCTTCTCAAAGCTTTTCAAAATCATTTTCTCAGCAGCTAAGCATCTGCTCATTTGCTCTGCTGTTGCAAGGCAAACCGTTACTTTTATCAGTACAAGAGAGCTTCAAAAAGGCTAATGAATAGACTCTGTCAGAGCAGGCCTGAGAGCTGAATTTTATCTCATTCAGTTGCAACATCTTGAACACTCTGAAACCCCTTGGCTTCTCACCCCCCGTTTTCCTGGGAAGAGTCCCAAGACAGGAGCTTTCTGTTCATGCTCAAAGGAACTCATGGAGCAGGATTTCGGAAGAGGAGGAGAAAGGGGAGGGAACTGGAATATGCTCTGTGCACATGACTGTGAACTCGTGCTTGTATTGTGAAGTATCACACTTGCTCCTTCTACCAGTTCATGGATGGTAGAAATAAAGCTTTTTCTCCGAAACTATTCCTTGAGTGTCTGTTGACTCCCATCTCCCTTTCCCGGGCGCAATATTTTTCCCACCCGAGGGCAAAGCCTCATAAGGCTACATTTCTTGGTGCGTTGGCCGGGAAAAACAGCATTCCCCGAGGATAAGGGACATGGGTCCAAGGCGTCACTGCGGTGAACAGCTAGGATTGGCGTCAGCAGTTCCAGTGCACATCCTGCCAAGTTCGTGGGAGGAATTGCCACCCGTTCCTGAGTGGAGACATTGCAAGGACCGGAGAAAAGCAACGGCCGAAAGAAGGTACCTCGAGGACAAAGGTAAGCTCCACAGGGTATAGGTGGGAGCAAAGAGGGCCTGATCAAGCCCCACCAGCAGGGTAGAAGAAGTGCCACTGGTTTTAGTTTCGCCCAGAAGGAAGCAGTAAAGGTGCTGCTGGGCCCCGGTCGAAGTCTAAGCGCTGCCGGTTGGGTTTGGTTTTTGGTAAAAAGGGGGATTGGGGGAGGTGCATGGGTTTCTGAATGTGCGTGTGGGAACACTCCAGTGAATGTTTTGAGTGTGTGAGACATTGGAAGCAACGTGTGGTCTGTGACTGAGTGAGAGAAATAACGTTAGGAGGGCGGAGTGTCCCAGTATCCCAGTGTCCCAGTGTCCCAGGGTCCCAGGGTCATGGAGAAAAAGCAATAAAACAATTCCCACGATCCCCCCCCTGCAATGTTTTTCCTAGCCACTCTGGGAACTACAGCTCTATGGGGGGGCATGTTTCCTAACAACTCTCAGCACCGTTAACAAACTACACTTCCCAGCATTCCTTGGAGGAGGAAGCCATGACTGTTTACAGTGGGATCATAGTGCTTTAAAGTTATGGTGCGGGGATGTGGCCCAAGCCCTCATTCCTGAACGGAAGCCGCTCCTTACCAGCCCGCTCCGGCTGGGTCTTCCCCCGACGGAGGAGGCCACCGAACTGACGGAGCTGATGGAGGAGCTGCTGGGGCTGTGGGTCAAGGCCGAGACGCCCATGGCCATTCGCTTGCTCTTCTTGGCTTTGGCTGGGCTGGTGGACGGGAAGCCGATGCGGATGACCTTGTGGATGGGAGCAAAGAGGCCGAACTTGGGCGGGCACTGGAAATACCTGGAGTTGAAAAGACAGGCAGAGGTTACGTTCCTGCTCCATGCTTCCGGATCCCCCACTTGGGATCCCAAAACACAGTCGGTCATTTTTGTCCTGATAGGCTTTCCCAGCTGGATAAATGGATCTTTGCCATGAGCACCTATCTTGTATTGCCCTCATTGTTTAATAATAATAATAATAATGTTATCATTTATTATATTTGTATACCGCCTCTCATCCGTAGATCCCAGGGCATCTTTGTCATCATTTTTTATTATCATTAATTAAATTTGTATACCACCCGTCATCCATAGATGCCATGGCGGCTCACAACGTAAAATTACAGTATAAAAGGCAAAACATCCTATAATAAAAATAAGAACAAAAACAAACCAAGAATCCCCCTTCCCTCAACACATTTAAAAGGGCATCAGATGTCAATCAGCCAAAGGCCTGGCTGAAGAAGAACGATTTTGCATGGTGCCTAAAATATGAAGGCACCAGGCGAACCTCTCTGGGGAGAGCATTCCACAAACAGGGAGCCACAACAGAGAAGGCCTGTTCTCGTGTTGCCACCCTCTCGTGGAAGAGGCACACGAAGAAGTGCCTCAAAGTTTGCTGTTTTTGTGTTTTCAATGTTGCCTTGAGATAGTTGTTCAGAAGGCAATTAATAAATTGATGGTGATGGTGATGATAATAAAAGACTTTCAACAATGGCTAGGAAAAATGAGAAGTCTACAACCTCAAAAAAGACGCAACACCCAAGGAAAGGGGGAATGGGAGAGGAAGAGGAAGAGGAAGAGGGGGAAGCCTTGCTCAGGTGCCAGTTCTTAAAACTCTCCTCATAATACATAGCCCTGTTTATACAGATCCCGGCTGCCTAGGAAAACAAGCCCACCCAAGAAAAACGATACACACCACCAAAAAAATATCAGATGTGGCAGCAGAGCAGATGACAGTGTCTGGGCCAAGAGGGCAGGGCTATTCCTTTTCTCAGGCAGCTCAGCTGACTAAATAAGCTGTTAGTGATGTATCACTGAAAAGGCAAGTGAAGATCTCTACAGGCACGCCAAACATCTCACCCAGATGTGAGCAGCTGTTCCAGAGCGCCGCCTCAAAATCTGCACAAAAGCAGCTGGCAGCTGCCCCAAATTCTCTCCCTGTGGGAGGCAGAGCTGGGGAATTGCAGAGCTGAGGGCTAAATGGGTGTTCCAAATCCTTTGCAAGCAGCTGTTTATGGTTGCCATTTCCAAGCAACTTTGGATGCCTCTCAGCTAAAGCATCTCCTTCGGCTGGTTGCCAGGGAGACGGATCCGCAGAGGTGTCAGAAGATCAGGAAACCTCCAGGCATCTCTGTTTGCCCTGGGCCTCTCCCCATAAGTGTCCGGTCTGAGAGTGGCTTGATACACCTGATTCTCGACTGAGGTGGTCCAGGCTACACCACTTCATGAAACCTTTGGCACACAGAAACCTAGACCATCATGGTAGGTCAGAAGTGCGCAGGATGTTTTTAATTCACTTCTCTATCCCCTTGGTTGTAATATATGCATGTGGGGTTTATTGTCTGTTTGGTTGTAAGTCACTTTAGGTTGCCCTGTGTGATTTAAGTGACTAACAAATTCAGCAAATAATAATTTATAGGTAAGAAGGATTTCTAAAATGTGTATCTGTTAGTTTGCAGAAACATTCCGGGCTTATCCTCACTTACCTTTCTTCTGCTTTTTCCAGGCACAATTTGCACTTAAAAGCTCTGTGTCCAAGCACATACCATATTTTTCCATGTATAAGACGCCTCCATGTATAAGGCGACCCCTGTTTTTTGAGTGCAAAATTAATAAATAAACAATTGCAACATTCCGTGTATAAGATGACCCCCAATTTTAAACTTTAAAAAATTGGGGGGGGGGGAAAATATAGTCTTATACACGGAAAAATACAGTACTTTTTTGCTCTGAAGTTTTCCCTGCGAAAACCCAGAGCAGACGGCGATCACCGGGAAACGTGGATTGACATTGGCTCTGATTGGGCACTAAGGAGCGGGTTTTCACAGGAAAAGCTCCGGGGCAAAAGAACAACCCTGGACACACGGGCACTGCTCACCCAGGCTGTGTCGCCCCCCTACCTTGTTCCGGCAACAGCTCCATCGTTCTTCCCCAAAGGTTCGTCCAGCTCCACTCCACACCACTCCCCTTTGGCAAAATCCGTCTCCCCCACATATCGCACAACGCCAGTTTTTGTTCCGCCAACCTGAAAAATCATATGGGGGGAAGAGGAACCAAACAAAACATTTTACAAAGTTTTTTTTTAAAAGACATAAACATACAGAAAGGAAAAAAAGATTAAGATAGAATCAAAGGTAACTTGGGGTCAGAATAAGAAGCTTGACACAACTCCAAAGCAATTCTGAGATGCTTCACTGATTTTGACACTAATTTGGTTGGTTTTCAAACTGCAAAAAAACAAACAAAAACAAATCAACTCTGGCAGAATATTAGCCCTGGCCACTGTTACCAGAGAACGAGAGGGAAACAGAACTTTGCAGTTTATGGTATCTAATTTCACTTTTGCATTTGCTCACGTTAACATAATATTCTAACAGATTGGTCAAGATAATCACATCTAACAAAGTGTGTCGTTTTCCTCTCCGTTGATTTTCGACTTTACAATATATAGGCACCACCCAAAAAGATCATGAGACAATGATACCTGAACCACGTTGGGAGATGAAAGTGTTTTATCTGAGCTTTTTTAAAAAAGTTATGAGATCTAAGGAATCGAGCATTCATCCCAATTTGCTCACATAAAGCTTATGAGGATATTGGACAAGCGCTAGGTACACCTCAGCAGCTTCAAATTCAGTAAAGTTGTTTCTCACACCACCCCAGATGCATTTCAAGTTGCATTTTCACATTGCTGTACAAGGCAGGGTAGGGATTTCTTCACCTGGTGAGCATTACTGATTTGTTCCCCCGTCTGCAATTCCTGTCTCCAAATCTCATCTGGGCATGTGCAACTGTTGTCTCAATTGTCCACACCTCAGCTTAACTGCAAGGGATGCGGGTGGCGCTGTGGGTTAAACCACAGAGCGTAGGACTTGCCAATCAGAAGGTCGGCGGTTCGAATCCCCGTGACGGGGTGCGCTCCCATTGCTCGGTCCCAGCTCCTGCCAACCTAGCAGTTCGAAAGCACGTCAAAGTGCAAGTAGATAAATAGGTACCGCTCCGGCGGGAAGGTAAACAGCGTTTCCGTGTGATGCTCTGGTTCGCCAGAAGCGGCTTAGTCATGCTGGCCACATGACCCAGAAGCTGTACGCCAGCTCCCTCGGCCAATAAAGCGAGATGAGCGCTGCAACCCCAGAGTCGGTTAACCGCAGCTTCTGTTTTTAATCAGATGGAAGCTGGATCGAAGGAAAACGCATGATAGAGGGGCATTTCTCCAGAAACTGCAGGATGAATTTGGATCGTGGCTAACATCATGTCCGCTTGGCTTCAAACACCGGTGGAGGGAATGCGCTGGAGTAAAAAGTCATGTGTGCACAGCTGGTGTCTTTATGGAACGTTCGTTTCGATTGCTTGTGGGCAAGTTATACGTCTTCCCATTAATCGTTCGTTCATTCTACATTTTTCAGTGTATTTCTCCATCACTTTCCTAACTGCAAAAGTCATGCAGAATAAAAGGAACTGGAGTTTGTTAAAGGGATTGGGAACTGTAGTGCTGTGAGGTCAGCGCTCTTAACAAACTCCAGTCCCCAGGATTCTCTGGGGGAAGTCGTGACTATTAAAGTGGTACAAGCACTTTGTATGGTGTGGGTTTGACCTCAGGCATCAGATTCCGGGGGGCAGTGGGTTCCCCACTGGCCCATCTGTTGGTGGACAGGGCTACACTATCAGTCCTGGCCTCTCTAAAGTAGGCTGCGGCCTGACTATCAGGCTACGCACGCACTCTACTTTTAAAGCACATTCAAAACACACAAACCCTCACAGAACTCTGGGAACTGAAGATTATGGGTTACTGCAAACGGTGACTCTGTGAGGGGTCTACAGTGCTCTTAATTCTTTGAGGGGGGGAATGTGCTTCCACTGTGCTTTCAAGTTGTAATGTGTATGTAGCCTGAATGTGAAAAGCAGCTTTATGAGAAACATAGGAAAGCTGAGTTTTTTGCTACTCCATCTTCCAGCACAACCATCAAATTGATTTAGTTTAAAAAACAAACAAACAAACAAACAAATCTATCCAAGTACATTTTAAAACTCCATGTTTATTATTGATGAGGTTTTTAAATTGTCCCACTGCTCAGCAATATATATATACAGCGGTACCTCAGGTTACAAACACCTCAGGTTACAGACTCCGCTAACCCAGAAATAGTACCTCGAGTTAAGAACTTTACCTCAGGATGAGAACAGAAATTGTGTGCCGGTGGCGCAGCGGCAGCAGGAGGCCCCATTAGCTAAAGTGGTACCTCAGGTTAAGAACAGACCTCCGGAATTGATGAAGTTCGTAACCAGAGACCTTCGACTCCCAAGGCGTTTGGGAGACGAGGTACGACTGTGTATATATATATATATATATATATATATATATATATATGGATCCCAGGGTGGCAGTTGCTCCCCTCAAGCTAGCAACCTAAAAAGGTATGGCAGGAAAGGAAAACTGATTGGGAGGGAGGAAGAAATAGGCGAGCTCAGATGCACGTTCTTAGTTGCAAGTTTCTCTAATGTCCATTTGGGATGTAAATGTTCCAGGAGGGGAGGTTAGTCTCTCAAGCTGCATTTATCTTCCACACAAGCAGCACAACAGACCTATCCAGAGTCGCAGCTTCCCTGCCCTGCAGGCACTCTCAAGCAGACAGCTAAACCAATAATGATGGCTTTAGGCCACTAATTCCATGGCCCCACTAGAACCCGGCTGCAGATGCCATTTAGCCACAGGGTGCAAACCCAGGAATGAAAGCGTAGCAGCAAACACAGAAAAACAAACAGATGAACACCGTCTGACCAGTAAGCAGATTTATTCATCTCCATCATTTCTGCAAATGCTGTTCAAATAAATGCATATGGGGATGGGCTCTGTGTTTGATTTAAAAGCCACTGACAAGTTTGATCCCTCTGCTAGTAGGACGGGCTCATTGAATGCAAGGTATTTGCTGACTGCAATGGGGTGGGAGAATCCTGTGTACGGAAGTTATGGCCTTCAAGTGAGGAGGTTTCATTTCAAGGGCAGAGAGACTGAGGGAGACACTTTCTCAAATGATTTGCAAGCTGCTAGACTATATTGCTAAGGTCCCGTTGTCTGAAGACAAACAAGTCTACCAAATTGCTGAAGCTAAGCAGGTCTCGGCCTGGACTGGGGAACCATCTGGGCACATGAGAAACAGTGTGGTGCAGTGGTTAAGTGTGTCAGACTAGGACAGGGGTCAGCAAACTTTTTCAGCAGGGGGCTGGTCCACTGTCCCTCAGACCTTGTGGGGGGCCGGACTATTTTTTGGGGGGGGGGTGAACGAATTCCTATGCCCCACAAATAACCCAGAGATGCATTTTAAATAAAAGGACACATTCTACTCATGTAAAAACACGCTGATTCCCGGACCGTCCGCAGGCCGGATTTAGAAGGTGATTGAGCCAGATCCGGCCCCCGGGCCTTAGTTTGCCTACCCATAGACTAGGAATTAGGAGACCAGGGTTCAAGTCCCCACTCAGTCATGAGGCTCACCAGGTGACCCTGTGTCAGTCACCACCACTCAGCCTAACCTACCTCACAGGGTTGTTGTAGGGCATTAAATGAGGAGGGGGAGAGGCCATGCGTGGGATACAAATGCAATAAATATAAAATAAAGTAGATGTCTGTCACCTGAGGGTTCCATGATGAAAGGGAGGAAATAAGTGAAGATAAACATCTGAAAACAAGCCTTAAGACCTGCTGGTTACTAGCTGCGACATGTTGGCTCAGGGCTCAGAAGAAACTATTTGACAGCTCTAACGCAGACAGGGGAGGAGTAAAAAACCTGAGTTTTGCAGCTGCCCAGAAGAAGTGGATCAGGATAGCGAGGGCGGATCGAAACACTGCACATTTAAATCAGGATGAATTCAGGCCAAATTGCTCACTGCCGTGTAACTGCCCCAGAAACAAATCAGAACGAATGCCCAGTGAAGAGCAGACTTGGTGTGAGGCTCCCGACTCAAAAGACAACAGCAACTCTCACTTGAAAGTAAGGAGAATGTCTTTATTCAGGTGAATAGTGCTACAGGCTCAGGACCCAGATGTCGAGACTCCAATGTACCACATGCAAGGCAAGAGGTTCATAACTGGGCGGAAGATGACCCAACAGTCGACACATCCCTCCCGCCAAGTGTTTAAAGATGAGGCAGGGTGAGCTCACTCACGAGACTCTCTCACCCTCTGCTGGATGGGCACATACACCTGGTGCCACCTTTGAAGGCAGTACCAGGTCCCAGGTAACAAGGCCGCATCCTGCCCACCTGCCTCCAGCTCTGATGCCACCTCCTCTAGCTCAGTCCCTCCCTCTGGCTGGTCAAAGATCTCCCTGCTCTGTGCTCCACAGGAGAAGCGAGCGAGCGGACTGGCAAATCTGTTTCCTCTTCTCTAGAGACAGAAAAGGAAAACCTCTCTCCTTCATCCCTGAGTGTCCACCTTCTGCAACTTCTCACTCCATCTGCTCCTCTTATACCTTCTCCCTCCTCCTCTTGTGTCTGAGGTCACCATGTCATGCCAGGTTCTTCTGGAGTCCAAGGGACCCATGACACTCAGGTTGCTTCCAGACCGCTGCCATTTTTGCCCAGGATTCAACCATGTATCGGAAAATCCATGCTGCACAATTATAGTTGGCAGAGAGATCTATGCGCAAGAAACCTGCTTCATTCCTCAAAATTGGAAAGTGATGTGAAAATGCACTAGAAAGTATGGGGCAACACTTTTTTCAAGGTGAGGTATAAATCATACATTTGAAGCATTCCTCCACCCACAAAAAAAGGCGAATCAGAGGAATGGTAGCTTGTTAGGGTGCTGGGAACTGTAGGTCTAAGAGGGGTAAACTAACGTTCCCATGATTTTTTTAAAAGGGGAATGTGCTTTAAATGTATGGGGCCTACACCTCCTCGCAAACAAATCAGGATGAAAGCTCAGGATAAAGCCTACATCTTCTAATTTCCCTGGAAACAAAGCAGGATGGATGCTTAATAAACAGACCACCTGGAAGTGGCCAGAAAACTAACCATCACATAAGCTGTTAAGGATGAATGCTCAACGAACAGGTTGTCTGGAGGTAGACCTGGAGCCTTTCAAACCCACCATCAGTTAGTATAACTACAGCTTAACTGATCATGGACACACAAGAGCCACTGTTTTCAAAGTAGATATTCTAAACCAGGAAGAGGCAACCTCGACCCTCCAGATGTTTTGGGACTACAACTCCCATCCTCCCTAGCTAACAGGACCAGTGATCAGGGATGATCAGGGGCTGAGGTTGCCTATGCCTGTTCTAAACACAGCCTGGCCAAGTTTTTTCCCTTCTAGAACTTAATTACATTCTGCAAAGCAGGGTGAAGCCTTCCCAAGATGTCAACACAGAGAGAGAGAAAGAAAAAAGCCCACAGCTGAACGAGAGGCAGCACAGAAGAAAGGAATTCCAAGTGTGCCTCTTGAGCAGCAATGGGAAAATAATCCCTTTTGGAAGCCAAAGAGAGAAGGGAAACCTTGAATTACCGTGTCTCGTAATTGCAAGGCTGTCGCTGCTCCAAGACCGCCCACATTTTCCTCCCAGACATGAGCCACTTAGAAGTACACAAGCTGGGTGGGATGTACTGCAAGGACAGCATGCTGGGTATAGTAGATGCCCTGGTTCAGTGGCATAGCATCTTTGCATGCAAAAAGATCCCAGGTACATCTCCAACGGGATCTCCAAGCAGGAAATGTCCCCTGCCTGAAATCCCGGACAGTCCCCGCCAGTCAGGGATAGTCGATCACAGACAGACCAATGGCCCAGCTTCCCACGGTTGCGCAAGGAAGTCAACTGGGGCGAAGGGAGTCAAACCTCCTAACCTATTTATAATAATAATAATAATAATAATAATAATAATAATAATAATAATTTATTATTTATACCCCACCCATCTGGCTGGGTTTCCCCAGCCACTCTGGGCAGCTTCCTTTCAACAAAACACTAAAATACAGTAACCTATTAAACATTAAAAGCTTCCCTAAACAGGGCTGCCTTCAGATGTCTTCTAAAAGTTTGGTAGTTATTTTTCTCTTTGACATCTGGTGGGAGGCCGTTCCACAGGGCGGGTGCCACTACCGAGAAGGCCCTCTGCCTGGTTTTGCCATTGAGGCTCAATCCTCAAGAACCAAGTGTCAGTGTTCCTCTGAGCACGTACAGAGCAGCCTCCTCTCACAGAGATGCTTCAACAACAACTGCTATAGTTACGATTTAGGGCTCGCTTGGTTTCTGACCCCTGCCCCTGGTAATTCAACCCTGTTTTTGCCTTTTGGAGATGCCTTGTCAACAATGTGTTGGTCAGAATTGCTGGAAGATTGAACTCTGCGGCTGGACTGTTGGTGGAGACGATTGCCAGCATGTAATTCTGGTGCACAGGGTGCCCAGATACTACAGGGCCTGGTTCAAGGTTCTGGCATTAATTGACAAGGCCCTGAGCAACTTGGATCCAGTATGCCTTAGCCTTGCCTGATCTTTGTACACCTGCCCCATCACTGAGGTCTTCAGGGGAGTAACTGTTAGTGGTTGCCCCACGGCTTGGATGCATGGCTCATTAGTTGGCTAGAGTGTGTGGTGTTCATAACACCAAGTTTGCAGGTTCGATCCCAACATGCGACACAGTTGGAGGGAGTGATAGGAAAATCAGCACCCTTGGCACCCCAAACCTACGAAAGTGACTAACGTTGGCACAGGGAGGGGTTTGGCTGCCTGAGATGCAATACTTTCCTACGTCTCACAGACAATAGGCCTTCAGATGAACTATAATTATACTCATTCTAAGGTCACCAAGAGTCTAATTTAGGAGTTCCTTTCTCCCTCTTGTGGTTGCCATTTTCGCTACAAACTCAACATTGGGGATTTCCTGAAGTTAAAGTGTTGCAAAGGAAAAGAGATGTGTGTGGATACACATGATGGCGCTACAGCAAAGTACTGCCTAGAGAAGTCCACCCCAAATCTCTATAGACACACAGGGGTCATAGCTGTCAACTTTCAGATTTGAAAATAAGGGATCAGCAGCCTCCCAGTCTACGGGATATCTAACAATCCGGGATAGCAGCGGGAAGCAACAGGAAACGGCACTGGAATAAGGGAATTTCCCGCAAAAAAGGGGGAGGTTGACAGCTATGGCAGGGGTCAGCAAACCTTTTCAGCAGGGGGCCGGTCCACTGTCCCTCAGACCTTGTGGGGGACCGGACTATCTTTTGAAAAAAATTATGAATGAATTCCTATGCCCCACAAATAACCCAGAGATGCATTTTAAATAAAAGGACACATTCTACTCATGTAAAAACACGCTGATTCCCGGACCGTCTGCGGGCTGGATTTAGAAGGTGATTGGGCCGGATCCGGCCCCCGGGCCTTAGTTTGCCCACCCATTCACCAGAGTCTGCAATTCAGGGGTCGCCACAGTGGTGCCAGGGGGCACACATTTTCCAGCAGGGTTGTTCCTAGGTGCCCTTCCTACCCCCTCACCCAAAATTAGGCTTGAAAGTTAGGGTTGCGAGACCTCCAGGTCTAACGTGAAGTCTCCAGGTTTGTTTGGCCCCTTCCAGGGGGCAGGTGGGGGGCTGGAATCTCCCACCAGAGTGTCCCTGTTCAGGGTTTGAGCCCGCTGCAAACATCTGGTGCAAGCCCAGAGAAAGAGACAAGGGCAGCCAGCTCTCTGAAAACTAAAGCCCAGAAAAAAGTGTTGTCGTCCCCCCCCCCCCAGTTTGTAACCTTGGCTGTCATCTCCTTTTCCAGCTAAATACTAATGGCTCTGAAACACTATGCAGCATCGAAAGCCACAAGCATTGCCTCTGCAGTAGAGAGTGAATGCACTCAGCCCATCTGCAAGAGAAACCCCAAACCTGAACTCAGAGAGAGCCAAGAAGGCAATTATGAGCTCTCTCACACACACACTTAATGGGGGGGGGGGGGACTCTATGCAAAGAGGCTTCTGAACAGTAGCCACAAAGAAAGATAAGAATCGCCAAAAAGCAAAGTAGTTTCCTTCTTCTCCAGCCCCAGATTAAAATAATTATTTTATAGCCAAATCCTCCCTCTGGCTCCTCAACAGCATGAACGATTGACTTACTGTATTTTTTGCTCTATAAGACTCACTTTTCCCCTCCTAAAATAAGGGGAAATGTGTGTGCGTCTTATGGAGCGAATGCAGGCTGCGCAGCTATCCCAGAAGCCAGAACAGCAAGAGGGATTGCTGCTTTCACTGCGCAGCGATCCCTCTTGCTGTTCTGGCTTCTGAGATTCAGAATATTTTTTTTCTTGTTTTCCTCCTCCAAAAACTAGGTGCGCCTTGTGGTCTGGTGCATCTTATAGAGCCAAAGATACGGTACATTTCTGTTGCACCAAGGAAATGGACATTGTTCTGCCTTCCTGCCTGTTTCACAAATATATGCATCTTTCTGCACACTTTCCCCTATGAGGAATGTTCCCTGTTAGATAGATAGCAACTGTGTGTGTGTCTAAAATCAATAAAAAGGCTCTGGTTGCCTCACCTCAAAAAGGACATGGAAGCGTTGGAAAAACTTCAGAAAAGGCCAACCCAAATGATTGTGCATTTCCAGAGGTTGTACTAGAGGGGTCCCCATTCTAATTCTACGATTCTACTGGCTGTCTCTCTAATTTTGCATTACGCCACTCTCACCCCTAACAGACCCTCAAAAGCAGCTACTTTGTCCCCCAGGACTCTCTCAAATCTCAAAATGTGCCCTCCGGCCAGGAAAGGTTGGCAACAACTGGTTGTAAGGTCTGTAGGAGAGGGATCTATCTCCTTTTGTGCTCTGCAAACATGTTCATGCACATTGGTTAGAGTTATATAAAATTAAAATTAAATATTTGATGGCGCACAGAGTTTTTGGTTTGTTTGTTTTTGAAGTCTGGGTTCTTTTTAAAAACTACTCTAGAGAAAAGGCCCTCTTTTGCTATATCCATCCCCAGCAGAAAGCCCGGAAGACAGACATGTGGTCTAAATAAAGACTGGCGCAGGGGGGAGACAGTCGTAACATTTGAACTTCCCCTGCAGTTTTCAAATTGTGTCTCCAGAAACATTCTTTCCCTCGCCTGTTTCCAATTTACTGCAATCCCTTTCCCTTCCACCCTCCCTGCTCTCAACTCCAGAGCAAAAGAGGTCTCTTGTTCTCTCGGGGCTGGTTCAGATTGAGATCCATTCTTGCATTATCTTGTATTACCTATTTGTTCATTTATTACATTTGCTTTTTTTTTTTTTAAAATAAATAATTTTATTAAAATTTTAAACAACAAAGAAAGAAAAAAGAAAAACATCCACAATACATATGACAACAACACACACAAAAAACACAACAAAATTCAACAAAAAAAACAAAAAAAACAAAAAGCATAACAGTTAAAAACAATATCTCTTTTCCCTATCCATTTTTTAGTTACTTATTTTCTGGACTTCCTCATACCTCCCTCTTTTGTATTCCAATCCAAATTGTTTATCCAGCAATTTCTTTTCCACTTTTTTAATCCCAATATTTAACTTTAATAAGATATTAAAATATATAACTTCAACTTCTTTAAACCTGATCTTTAGTCTTGGTGTCATATAACATTAAAATTTTTCCTCTTAGTATCAAATTTCCATTTCTTTAAACATCTTTAATCCTAATCTTTAATCTTAATCTATCATTAACTTTAACCTGTACAGCTGGAAACCGCTTATTTTCAGTCCAACATCACTCTAGCATTCTTTGATTTTGCAATGTTTCTGAAGATAGTCTTTAAATTTCTTCCAATCTTCCTCCATCGACTCTTCTCCCTGGTCACGGATTCTACCAGTCATTTCTGCCAATTCCATATAGTCCATAAGTTTCATCTGCCATTCCTCCAGCGTGGGAAGTTCTTGTGTCTTCCAATACTTTGCAATGAGTATTCTTGCTGCTGTTGTTGCATACATAAAGAAAGTTCTATCCTTTTTTAACACCATTTGGCCGACTATGCCCAGGAGAAAGGCCTCTGGTTTCTTCAAGAAGAACCCTTCTTCCTACAAACACATTTAAAAGGCTGTAGCATATTAATCATCCCAAGGCCTGGTTGAAGAGGAACATTTTTGCCTGGCGCCTAAAGGTGCATAAGGAAGGCACCAGGCGAACCTCCCTGGGGAGAGCATTCCACAGATGGGGAGCCACTGCAGAAAAGGCTCTTGCTGTCTTCTGGACTTCTTATAGAAGCGGCGGCAAAGAAGAGGCTCAGATCATAGGGTCTGGGTCGGTTTATATGGGGGGGAGACATTCCTTGGGGTTATTGTGGTCCTGTGCCATAAATAAGGTCCTGGCCTTTTAAGTATGCTACTGGACAGAGCCGAAACATCCAGCAGCCACATTCGAGAGAAATCTTCTGCGCTATGTATATGGCATGAAGCCCAGTGGCACTTCACCGTCGAATGAGCTGCTGTTTTCGTTCCTCTGCAGAACGCAGAGCAAAGGCGCAGCAGCAGCTCCTCCCAGCCCGTCCTATCCAGCCTCCCCAAAAAGGTTACGGTCTGCTCCCGTCTTTCCCAGTGCCCCATGAGCATCACTCCGGATCAACCTCCCCCAGCCGTGACTCTTTGGATGGAGCAAGAGAGGGAGCCAGGCATTCCACACAACCAAGGTCTGTGTCTGGAAGCAATTCTGGTGAGACGGATAAAAACTTTTCTCTGTCCATTTTCTCCACACCCCACATAATTTCCGCTTTTCTCCCAAATGCTACAAACAGGGCCCAGTTTAGGTTTGATGAGGCCCTAAGCTCCTGAAGGTAATGGGGCCCTTTATATGTCCAGCTGTCCTTTGCCAACAATTTGTCACTGTTTTTTGTGTTGAATATATGCTATACGGTAATCTATGGACCTAATAGGTATCTAAAGCCATTTGTACATGCTGCCATGCAACCAGTCCATGCAGAATGTAGGCACCCTATATATTGAAATGAGCAAACCAGTGATATTTTAGGGAGCAGACTAGCAGGCGGGGCCAATTACTTACACCATAGGAGCCTACACAACACAAAACCCTGTTGCTGTATGTAGGTTTTATTTAATTTGTTTTTTTATCTTATATTTTGGAAATGTACATCCAGTTGTTGTTTTTTCCTTTAATTTTTTTGTGGCCCCCACAAGAGTGGGGCCCGAAGCTATAGCTTGTTTAGCTTATACGTAAATCCGGCATTGGCTACAACCTTTCAACGTTGTTGCTCCATCCCCCTGACTACTCTGGCTGCCTTTTCTGATTCTTCCCCACCTCCTCGATATCCATCTTGAAGTGAGGCAACCAGAGCTGTACACTTGGGCTTGCGTGACAATTGCCTCTTTGGCTTCGAAAAGGCTAGCACCCTCCCCCTGAAGACTGGAGTTCGTAAGCATTAAGTTTTGCCTCACTGGCCCTCATCCAGCCAGCTCCTGATTCCAAGCAACGACTGAGGAATTCCAGCACCGCACTGGGATTTGAGGAGGAGGAAGACGAGAACGGCAGGCGGGTTGTCACCAGCATACTAATGACATGGAACACCAAATCGACTGACTAGACACTCACCTGCCAGTGGTTTCTAAATGTCCACATAAAAGCATGGTGCAGTGGTTCTAGGGCTGGGCAATATCTGGTTTTCAACAGCGTGATATATCACCAGCTAAACATCACGATATACCGATATATCACGATGTCTGAAAGAAATATGGAGCTATGTAGAGGCATCGGGTGGCTTCAAAGTTTTCCCCACATTGTGATTTTTTCATAACACACACACACACACACACACACACACACACACACAATTCATGATATATTGCCAGGTCAAAAATCATGAAACCAATATCACGATACAGACTTCAAACCGGTTTTGGATAATATATCGATATACAGTGGTCCTTCGGTTTTCGAACATCTCTGTTGACGAACGTTTCGGTTTTCGAATGCAGTAAACCCAGAAGTAAATGGTTCCATTTTCGAACACATCTCGGAAGTCAAACAGCTTCCACTGAGTGTACAGTGGTACCTTGGGTTAAGTACTTAATTCGTTCCAGAGGTCCGTACTTAACCTGAAACTGTTCTTAACCTGAAGCACCACTTTAGCTAATGGGGCCTCCTGCAGCTACCATGCCGCCGGAGCACGATTTCTGTTCTCATCCTGAAGCAAAGTTTTTAACCTGAAGCACTATTTCTGGGTTAGCGGAGTCTGTAACCTGAAGCGTATGTAACCTGAAGTGTATGTAACCTGAGGTACCACTGTATATATGTTATTTTTCTCCATTTTCTTTATTAAATTTTCAGACCGTCCTTTGCACCTTGGGTTTCGGAACTCGAATGATCTTCCGGAACGGATTATGTTCGAAAACCGAGGTACCACTGTTATCACCCAGCCCTAAGCACTTCACAAACCATGGGCCTCTTGAATATTGCTGCAAGTCTCAGTGGCTGCCCCCTTGCCCTGCAAGAAACCAAAGGGCCTAACTTTTAAATGGTTAAAGCCTCAGTTTGGAATGATCTAATGACTAGAAACAAATGAATCAATCTGATCCAATCACAAACCAATGTGCATAAGACAGTCATATCGCAGGATCAGCAGCAGGTACCTTCAGATCCTGACGACACAGGAAAGTTGCACCCGCAGAACTTCCATGATGGAAGGTTTTCCACCTTGCATGCTGCCAGGTTCTTTATTCTCCCAAACAGTCCCTGGTGCTGTTTGAAGCCCACTTAACAGCAAAGTCCCATTTTAGAAATGATAAGTTATCTGTTCTCTGATGAACGCACTCGTTTGACCGAAAGAGATGTTTCCACTATGCCTTGGCAGCTTTGAGTCTCTCAGTAAAAATGAAAGAACTGTTTCAGATTTCACCACTGGTTGCCACAGTGATGATTTTAAATTCAAAAAACTCATTGCTATACTTGGCTATTAGTGAAAAGGATCACCTCAGCTCACACGTACCCACTCAATCACTTCAGTTTGTGGAATGGGCAGGTTTATGAGTGCCATATAATGTTCATTCCACACTTGGAAAGAATTAATCTTTCTTTGTGGAACTGTTGGAACTCCCTGCCCATTGTAGGCAAATTCACTGCATTGTTTGTGGTGCCTACTAAAAAACCGAATTCTCCAGGCAAGCGTACCCAGACATGTTATTTTAAAGCAAATGTTTATTTTAAAACAGCTGATTATATTTATATCAGGATAAACTTTACGCCAACATCTTTTCAACATGTGATTTTATCAGTATACTTTTACATTTTGTTAAAACCGTTTAGAGGTTTTTGCTGAGCAAGCAGCTACATTTAAAAAATCGGTTTTAAATCTAAGATTTCTTCTTACTATTATTATTCTGAAATACAAAGTTTGGGAGCTTATATTTCTGAAATCTCTTCTCCACCCCACCCCCACTTGTTGGAAAGTTGCAATGGCCACTAAACAATCATTCCTTGTGGCCAACAACAGTAAATGGCCAATTTATTTACTGTTATTAAATAAATAATAATATTTTTAAAAATGTATTAATACGACATTTTCCATCATCTGTTTGGGAGTCACTCGATTTGTCACAATTTCGGAATTCTGAGGCAATATTTCAACCTCTCCGAAAAGCTGGGCGGAAAGAAAAGACTCACCAGGACGCGGTCTCCAAGCCGGAAGTCTTTGTCCCCTTTCTTCACTGACCCGCTGTCTGAGAGGTTTGACCCGGACTCGTTCCCCGTTTTCATTGTGCTGTTGAGGACGCTTTCCCTGAGAGGGATGATGCGCGTGGAGAGAGGAGGGGTGGACGTCCCTGAGTGAAGGGACAAGTTCTGAGCCGTCAGCGACTCCACGGAATGCGCGTCGCTTCCGGAACCTTCCGCGGTGGGCTGGCGGGTCAGCTTGGAAGGCCTCGTGAAGATCCCCTGCAGGGGCTGGCACTCAAAGTAGCGGACCCCACCCACCGAGCCATCGTTCTTCCCCACCGGGTCATCCAGCACGACGCCCGCCCATTGTCCAGGCGCAAACTGAGTCTCCCCCAGGTATTGTACCACGCCTGGCTTCACTCCGTTCACCCAGACACGTTCTCCCACCACGAAGTCCCCCAGGAAGTCATCGCCCACCTCGGTGACTTTGGACCCTGCAGGCTTCTCGGGGGCAGCTGTGGAAGAAGAAGAAGAAGCGGAGGTCTGCTTATGCAGAGGCGACCCTGTAAAATAAAATAAAGGGACATGAAAACAAAGCCTTCAAGCAAGGAAGGCCCTATTAATGCCTGCCCTGGAGATGAGAAGATCAAGAGGGGGCATTTATTTTAATTGTTTCACACCATTGCAGAAGAAGAAGAGGTCCCAAACATCATTTATGTACCGTGCCATATTAGAAGCAAAAAAACTTGTTTTGATGAATTGGAAGAGCCGCAAAAAAGGAAGGCACTTTCTATCATATGTGGTGGTATGTAAAAGAACAAAAATGACTTATAACGAATTGAAGAAAATGCTTTAAGATAACCTTTAGGGATTGTGAATATAGAGATTCTGAAGGACCTTTAAAATTTGCTATTGTATGCCACAACTGCAGCCAGAATGGCGCTTGCCCACAGGTGGGAAGAAGATGCTATGCCAACAAAGGAAAAGTGGTTGATTAAATTGATGGATTCTGCTGAAATGTCAAAACAGACGGGTGTAATAAGAAACCAAGAGAAAAAGAAATTTATTACAGAATGGGAAAAATTTGAAGAATATCTGAAAAGTTCTGGCATGCAAATAAGTTCCTTAGCAGGATTAACTTAAATCAAGCAGTTAAAAATATTACTAAGATAAAATAATAACTTAAAAATGGAGTAAAGTGGAATATGCAGTGTTAAAAATCTAAAGTAGAAAAGGAACCACAAAAGGGGGGGGAGGGAAGTCAAATATGTAACTGTATTCGAAATATGTGTTTGCAAGGTGTGTATTTGGAATCTTGTGAATAATGAAAAATAATTTTTTTAAAAAAGGGGGGAGGGGAGAGAAGGGATGGGAAGCAAACTTGGGTACCAATTCTTAAATTCAAATGTCTGAAGAGTTGCGACACCGGATACTGGAGAAGACTTGTTCCCTGTTGCTGCTGTACCCAACAGGTGGAAACAGCGGGGAAGAAGATTAGGGGGAAGAATTCCTATCAGTAAAAGCCGTTCAGCTGCCTCAGGAGGTGATGGGCTCTCCTTCGACCGGGCTATTTAGGAAGAGGCTGGGCAGCCATCTGTTGGGGATGCTGTTGCCGCATCCTGCACTGAGCAGCGGGTAAGACTACATGACCCCCGGAGGACCCTTCCAACTCTCTGATCCAATTATTCTAGCTCATGCTCTGCCGCTCCCCATTTCCTACGGCTCTGTAAAGGAGTTTAAACGGGCCTGACAGATTCCCCCTTCCAACTCCCAAGGTGGCCAACACGCCAGCAGCAGTGCCTGGGGATCAAAATGGGAAAGAAAGAAAGGTGTTATGCTTCAGCTGGTGCCAGGCATCCTTCACGAGGTTTCTGCACTTATGAGCATTAGGTTTTAAAGCACAGGTGACCTTCAAATTTACAGGTATGCAACGGGAGGCCTGTGGCCAAAAGAATCTGGCCTGCAGGCAAAAGTGGCAGCGGAAAAATCCTTAACCATTTGGGGAAGGAGGTGTGACAAGAACAGGGCAGCTTTAACTCCCCTCCCCACCCCACCAACATTTCCCATCGGCGTCCGAATCTCGCGTTTAATCCTGTTATGCCTGTGTGACGGGTCTGTGCCAAGACGGCCAGCTGTCAGGCGGTGCAGAATGGGCCACGTAGCAGCCCAGTTTCCATGGTTATCTGGTAGAGATGGAGGGGGGGGGATGAAGCCCAGATTCCAAACACCACAAATATCAGACTTTCTCCAAGACTCACATTTTGGGAGGGGCGTGCGTGAAGAGCCCAAAGGCGTACTTTACAAGGTGGGGGGGGCAAGGGCAAATAGTCTAAAGATCCCCTTCTTTCAATTTAAATAAAAAGTACACTTCTACCATTTGGCTTAAGTGGGTGTCGCCCAATCTTTATGATCCACTGTTTTCATATGGTGACTTTTTAATGTTTAATGTTTTATTGTGTTTTTATATCTGTTGGAAGCTGCCCAGAGTGGCTGGGGCAACCCGGTCAGATGAGCGGAGTACTAATAATAATGATGATGAAGAAGAAGAAGAAGAAGAAGAAGAAGAAGAAGCTGAAATACGGAGCAAAATGTGCAGGAAGAAGAAGAAGAAGAAGAAGAAGAAGAAGAAGAAGAAGAAGAAGAAGAAGCAGCAGCAGCAGCAGCAGCTGAGATACGGAGCAAAATGTGCAGGAAGTATTATTGCCACCATGAATTCATTCACCCTCTTCTACACAATCAAGGCGATGTAGAACAAAAACAGCAAAATCTGTTAAACACACGTAAATAACCCATACATTTTAAAGACTACAAAGCAGACACGCATGCAGAAGAACCATTTGCCCATTCATTTTGCAAGAAACTCGTATATTGGCTGATTTGTGAGTATTTGCTCCCCATCCACCCCGGAAAAATTCCCGCAGGTGCCCATGCAAAGCCTATGAGCATCTCCCCAGTCAGGGACCATAATTTAGTTTTCATGCCCACAGCCCCCCCGGGTTCAAGCCAAGGTGCTTCCAGGTAAATTTGTCCGCAGGGAACAGGAGAGGCCTCTCCTTCAGACCCTGGAGAACGCTTTAGTTTAACTCAGACCCTTGGGTTCATCCACCTTAGCGCTGTCCACACTGAATTGCAGGTCTCCAGGAATTTCGCCTCTCCCAGCCTTACCTGGAGAGATGCTGGGGACTGAAACTGTGGCCTTCCGCATGGGGTCAGCCTGGATAGCTCAGTTGGTTAAAGCGTGGTGCTGATAATGCCAAGGTTGCAGGTTCGATCCTCATATGGGGACAACTGCATATTCCTGCATTGCGGGGAGTACTAAGAGATTGGGTGGCCTCTGAAATCATCCTCTTCCAAAGTAGCAATTTAAACGGAGGAAATCTGACAAACAATTGTTTTTATCCCTTTTTTGGTGGAACCCCCCACTTCCGCATCTCCTCCTCGTCTTCTTCTCACCTTTCCCCAGAATTTAGATTGTAAGCTCCTGGGGGCAGAGACCTCTCCCCTTGTACTCTATAAAGCACTGTCCCGCTGCAGGGAAGCCTTACGACTAGGATAATCAGAGGGTGTTTTAAAGAAACAAGCAGCCAGTACAAAGATGGAGGTGGAGATGAAAGGAGGAGAATAACCATCAGCTGCTCACCCTGAGGAATAAAATATATGGCTTTGTGATGCCTTGAGAAGCGGCCCCGTCCATTAGCGCTCGTTCGTGGGACCAGCCTCCAGGCTTAGTGCCTCATTGTTTAGGCACAAAATTATCTTCAGGCTTAGTGCACAAAATTATCTTCGCTCCTGAAGGTCACGTGGGGTGAGCTGTCTTAGCGGCCACCCGCCCAGGCCTCACACTCTGAAATCAGAAGCTGGAGTTGGGCCTGTACAAAATCCAGCCATAAATGTGCGGGATGTTAGTATTTAAAGAGTTATCGGCTCTGTGGTGCCCAAAACAAAACTCACAAGCAAGTGAGATGGCTCAGTTGGTGAGGATTAGATTTTCAATCTCAACGTCATGGGTTCGAGTCCTGCATTGCAGGGGGTTGGAGTAGATGACCCTCGGGGTCCCTTCCAGCTGTACAATTCTGTGATTCTATTATGTGATCCAGCAGAATCTTCTTGCATTGATATATAACAAGCATCCCTCTCAGGCCCAGACTTCTCATCTATCCGTCCCCTAAACTAAAAACCCCTCTCCAAATGTTGGTAACTTCATAGATTCTCTTTCCAAATGTTCCAAATTTTTAAAAAAAGGCATCCCAGCCTTAGGAATCCCCGCCACAATCTAAATGAGTAGCCCAACCCAATTTGCTGCAAAAAGCTTCAGCGAGGAAGGGGATTGCAACCCCCCCCCAAAAAAAAATAGCAATTAAAAGCAACTCATAAAAACCACACTTTTTCTAAAGAAAAAAAGATAGCTAATCAAACAAACTGATTTTGCGATCGTTGCTTCTAGAAGATACGCTGGTATCTATTATTATTGCACAGTGAGCTTTTTCAAAAAAACAAAACACAAAAAGGTGGGGGAACAGATTTGCAAATACAGTTGAGTTTGCTGATGCTTCGAGGGCACACAACAGACAGGAGTGGATTCAGCAGCTGGCAGGCATCCATTTACGCCAAGCCTGGGCAGCCAATAAAAAGCTGCAATTTTTTTTTCAAAAATTTGACCAGAAACTGTAAAGAAGCACTGTACGTTAAAAGCAATAAAGAGCCAATTGTGCACGATTCATTTCACGCCCTGGGGATCAACAGTTTTCATTGTACGGAGTGTCCACTGCTATTTTAAAGGGGGCGGAGAGGGGTGGAGGAGCAAGAGAGAAAGAAGAGAGGTTTTAAAAAGAAAGCCTCTCCACTGCAAGAATTCAGGATTGAAACTAAAATCAGGGACAAGTTTGTGATTCAGTACGTTGGAAGTGTGGTTCTGTGTGTGTGCTAGTTAGTTAGTTATTACAAAAAGGATCATTTTACAGGAAACAAATTACCCAACAATCTTCCAAGATGGAGCCTAGATGCTAACAGCACTTCAAAGTATATTAAATTCCTGTTGGGGATGAATATATCTGTCCATTTCGGTTCCATTTTTCCAGTCTTAAGTTCAGTTCCTCCACATTTCCACAGTTTATTTGCAAACTTCTTAATAATACTAATACTAATACTACTACTAATAATAATTTATTTATACCCCGCCCATCTGGCTGGGTTTCCCCAGCCACTCTGGGTGGCTTCCAACAAAACACTAAAATACAATAACCTATTAAACATTAAAAGCTTCCCTAAACAGGGCTGCCTTTAGATGTCTTCTAAAAGTCTGGTAGTTATTTTTCTCTTTGACATCTGGTGGGAGGGTGTTCCACAGGGTGGGTGCCCATACCGATAAGGCCCTCTGCCTGGTTCCCTGTAACTTGGCTTCTCACAGCGAGGAAACTGCCAGAAGGCCCTTGGCGCTGGACCTCAGTGACCGGGCAGAACGATGGAGGTGGAGACGCTCCTTCGGGTATACTAGGCTGAGGCCGTTTAGGGCTTTAAAGGTCAGCACCAACACTTTGAATTGTGCTCGGAAACGTACTGGAGCCCGTGTAGGTCTTTAAGACCGGTGTTATATGGTCTTGAATCTTCATTCAAAAGTCCTCATGAAAATTAATCAGCATTTTCAGGACAGGTTTCTCCACGTTTTTGTAAAGCGAATTTCCCTACTATATTGCATTTCTGCACACATTGTTATCACTACCCTAGTGTGGTTTATTGTGTACCCAGTACTTGGCTGAAGAAGTGCACTTCAAAAATCAAATCCTCATCCCTCATTCCTGCTCACATTACTACATTAAAAAATTCAGGCACATTTATTTTTGCAGCCTGTTCTTAGGTGGGTTTAACTATGACTGAGCTGTGGAAGAGAGGAAGAATTGCACTTTAGTAAACTAAGCACCGATTATAATTGCATTGACTAACTGGAGAAATGGCTCCCCAAAATTCCTACTTAACCACCACTGGGTGACTGGCTATTCCCAGGCTAAATAGAGGTGGCCTGGCCAGGTTACCACAATGGATCAAAAAGGCTGAGAAAAGGGTGATAGACCAAAGAGAGAGAGAAAGAGAGAGGAAAGGGTGATTATGCTTTATAAAGTTCCCCCACTCACTGACCCAACACCTCGTTAGAAATCCGCCATGTGTTAAAAATAAACCAATTTATTGTATAAATATCAACGATGGTAACAATGTTCAGATGCCTCCTGTGAAATTTTGTACACTACTTTTTGGAATTCTTAGTAACTTTTCAGTGCCAAGTGAGAATATCAAATGACCTTGAGGAGAACATCCCAATATTTATAGACGACACAATTACTTTAAAGGTTATGCTACAAAGGTTGTTTTTTGGTTTCTTTTTTGTACTGTATATGGGTATCATTTCTCCCCCCATTTTTTCTTTCCCCCCTCTTTTCATGTCACACACACACAAAAAATGTTACAACTCTCCAATATCTGAAATTACAGTGGTACCTCAGAAGTCGAACAGAATCCGTTCCGGAAGTCTGTTCAACTTCCAAAACATTTGGAGACCAAGGTGCGGCTTCCAATTGGCTGCAGGAAGCTCCTGCAACCAATCGGAAGCCACAGAAGTCACATCAGACATTCGGGTTCCGAAGAATGTTTGCAAACCGGAACACTCACTTCTGGGTTTGTGGTGTTCAGGAGCCAAAATGTCCAACTCGCATGGCGTTCAGGATCCAAGTTATGACTGTATTATTATTTTTATTCATCCTAGGGACTGTGAATGCAGCTTCCAAGTTTTGTTCCTTCTCTGTGTGCATGTTTAATTTCTATTGCACTGTTTTCCCTTTATGTTTGTTTTTTTAAAAAAATTCACTCTGTTATAAAATCACATGTTTTCAGTTAAAGAAGTATCAAAAAATGGGAGGACACAACGCAGACACATTATAAAGGTCCCTTCCTCATGGACCACCTAATGCAGTGATGGCCAAACTTGACCCTCCAGCTGTTTTGGGACTACAACTCCCATCATCCCTGGCTAACAGGACCAGTGGTCAGGGATGATGGGAACTGTAGTCTCAAAACAGCTGGAGGGCCAAGTTTGGCCATCACTGACCTAACGCCTCTTGTTGGGAAACCAATATGGCGGCCACAAATCCCCCGTTCAAATCTCTGCTGTGGCCAGACGCTGTTCCTTACCTTCTTTTGTGGTGGTGGAGGCAGTGGTGGAGGTGGTGGTGGCGGCTGCTGTCCCGCCAGGGCGTCCCACGGGGCTGGAGTGCTTCCCAGCCCTCCCGGGAATTTTAAGTCCACTTGGTTTCAGCATGCTGGCCCAGGTCTGTGGCTCAAGCCAAGGGATTCGGTCGAACTGCCGGCTGAGGACTTGGCGTCACAATGTCAGGCATCTAGGCAACGGACCCCTTCATCTATCTTTGGAGACCTGGAGGGGAGAAGAAAGGCACCCAAAGAGAAAAAATCAGGGGAAGGAGAAAGAAAATACCAGCTACTGTACAGAAAAATTGTACGTGGAATAAAAGTGTGCGTCAAATAGCTCCAGCTCCCACCTTCCCTGACCACTGGCCACGTTGTGGTTGGCACTGATGGGCATCGAAATCAACTAGAAGCAGTGCTTTTTTTTCTTAAAAAAAAAATGTTTGGGGTACTCTCATTTTGACTCAAGAAAATCACCATTGACAGGAACACTGTGACAGGAAATGAGGCCGCCATCAGGAGTAGCAACGGAACGGACAATTCACCGTACTAGAGAAGAAACTAAAAATTTAAAAAATAATTAGTTTCTTCTCCTGTTAGATTCACAAAATGTTTAGGGGTATGCGTACCTCTGCGCCCCCCAGAAAAAAAGCACTTAGAAGGCATCAGGTTAGGGAATGCATGAAGCAAGTCAGCTTCTCAAACCATGGTTTGAAAGTGGCTTGTTCCAAACAACCTACAGTTCTCCCCACTTGGTTGGGTGTCAAAACCACCCAATAAGCTGTGGTTATTCAAAAAAGGAAGCCAGAGCTTCCAAATGACTCCAAGCAGTCGCCCCAGAGGAGGAGCACAAGCGTAAGGCTTTACAGTGGCGCATTGACATCACGATAAACCAAGATTTCCTACGACGTCCAACTGAGGTTTGTGCAAACAAGTGTTTACAGGTTTCATAGTCTGGCGGACAATGGTTTGCCTAAACCAGAAGTTAATTTAGCAGTGCATTGAAAGGAGCAAATGAAGCAGAGGGCTTGTTCCCATAGTAATGAACAAGAGTTCGGCATTACATCCAAAACAACGCGGCGTTACAGATGCTGAACAACAATTGCTTTTGGGGGTGGCGCTGTGGTCTAACCACAGAGCCTAGTGCTTGCCAATCAAAAAGTTGGCGGTTCGAATCCCTGCAACGGGGTGAGCTCCTGTTGCTCGGTCCCAGCTCCTGCCAACCTAGCAGTTCGAAAGCACGTCAAAGTGCAAGTAGATAAATAGGTACCGCTCCAGTGGGAAGGTAAACAGTGTTTCCGTGCGCTGCTCTGGTTTGCCAGAAGCGGCTTAGTCTGTGGACAAATGTCGGTTTCCCTGGCCAGTAAAGCGAGATGAGCGCCGCAACCCCAGAGTCATCCGCGACTGGACTTAACGGTCAAGGGTCCTTTAACTTTACCTTTCAGATAGCTAATTAGGAGATGATCAATGGGATTCTATAGTTAGGAGATTTGGGGGAAATCCATACAAGGTAATGCCTTAAGAACAGCAGAGGATGGAGAAAATCTCCATTAAAATTGGAACAAGGAACATGCTTAGGAGAGTTCCTAGCTAGAAACGGAGGCACAGCCTTGGAGTCTGTACTTATTTGTTCTACTTATTTGTCGTTCTCTCTTTTTGCCAACGCAACCCAAAGCAACTTGCAACAATAAATAAAAACACACACGTTAAAACCATCATAGGCAAATCTAAAAAGCATCCACATTTTTAAAAGGCAGGATTAAAACATCCCTTCCCCCCCCCCCACTCAAGGAGGCCACAGACGATTAAAAAGTCTGGCGAAAAAGAAATGTTTGGGCCTGGCGCCTAAAGCTTTATAATGATGGTACCAGGTGAGCCACTACTGAAAAGGCCTGTTCTTGTGTTGTCGCCCTCTAAACTGATGACAAGAGCAAGGTCCAGGGTTGGTTCACGTGGGAAGAGGCAGTCTTGAGCTGCATAAGATTTATGGGTCAAAACCAGGGCTTTGAATTGGGCCCAGAAGCTCACTGGCCACCAGGACACAAACGCGTACTCTTGAGGAAGCCGATGCAGAGCTTCTGAGATCCTACCACCCAATTTAGGAGTAGGACTGACTCCCATGTTGTTCCATTTCTACTTTAGCACGCAAAGGAGATTTCCCAGAAAACACCTTGCATCTCTGTGGCTCTCTCATCCAAAGGCAGTCAAATCCTGTGCCCTGCTATGCTCGGGACTTCTCAGAGCAAGATGCATTAAGGACAAACTGTGTCGGGATTCTCTCAGTCTGGCCTGGCAAACACCTCCCCACCCCCCTACGTCAGCCGCTACTAAGTGAAACGCTGCCAAAAGTCTCCCCCACCAGCTCAGCTTACACCAAAATCCCCGACTCATGCCTTAATTACTTCCTGTCTCTCAGCTACTACCATTCCTGCTTTTATGGTCCTTTAAAAATACTGACTTTGTTAACCCCAGGTTCGCGCACAAGCACAAGGCAGAAGAAGGATAGGGATCCTGTGTGGTCCTCCAGCTCCCATCAGACCCAGTCGGCAAGGCCAATGGTCAGGGATGATGGGAGTTGTAGTCCAACAATATCTGGGAGGACCACGAGTTCCCCATCTCTGGGCTGGACCGTTGCGGAGACGTTTCCCCAAGAACCGTACAAAAGGCAAGACTTTAATTTGGTCAGGTCAAACTTCCCTCGCTTATGGCCAAAAGGGTTTTGCAAAGCACAACTTATAAGACACTTGATATCCAACAAGTCACATCTGCAAATGCTGGGTTTCTGCAGCTACATTTTACTCAGAGTAGACCCACTGAAATTAATGGTTCCATGAAGCTACTGGCAGGGGTAGCTAATCCCTTTGAGCAGCGGTTCTCAAACTTCTTTCTAAGGGCCACACTTTCAGAATAAAAATTTGCTCATGCCACAACGAATTTTTTTACTGATAATACATACATTGGAAAAAGAAAAAAACAACTCCTAGTGGTGATTTATATCACAGAACACAACTACTTTATAATATGATCATGGGACATCCAGTGCAGCTACATAAAAACATGCATCATTCCCAAAATATAATTATAAACAGGACTCTTAAGTATGTACTGTGTACAAATTCAATTAGAGTGAGCTTGCTTTTGCTGGGTAATCTCATTTATATTAGGTCTAATTTGAGACAAACAAACTGTCATCTCCTCATCAACACAAAGAAGCCTTTCTCTTTTCTGGTCTTTCATATTCGTCAGAGTTGAAAATCGCTGTTCACAACAGTATGTTGTGAACAACTGTAGAAGAACAGCCAATTTTCATCCTCTCATTTTGAAAAGCTATCTATCAATATTCTGCAAATTAAAAAATATATACCGTATTTACTCGGATCTAATGCTCAACTTTTTTTGGCCAAATTACATTGCGAAAATTTAGGTGCGCATTAGATTTAATGGCACATTTACATTCACCAGCAAATACTTTTTTTGGTTTCAAGGTTCTGAAAATTCAGGGGCACTTTAGATTCAATGGTGCATTAAAGGTAAAGGGTAAAGGGACCCCTGACCATTAGGTCCAGTCGTGGCCGACTCTGGGATTGTGGCGCTCATCTCACTTTATTGGCCGAGGGAGCCGGCGTACAGCTTCTGGGTCATGTGGCCAGCATGACTAAGCCGCTTCTGAAGAACCAGAGCAGCGCACAGAAATTTGGTTTACCTTCCCGCCAGAGCGGTACCTATTTATCTACTTGGACTTTGACGTGTTTTTGAACTGCTAGGTTGGCAGGAGCAGGGACCGAGTAACGGGAGCTCAGCCCGTCGCGGGGATTTGAACCGCCGACCTTCTGATCGGCAAGTCCTAGGCTCTGTGGTTTAACCCACAGTGCCACCCGCGTCCCGGTGCATTAGACTCAAGTAAATACAGTATATACAGTACTTTACAATACTGAAATGTTTATACGTTGATTTGATTGTCCTTGAATCTTCCCACCACACTCTCCTGCCAACTCTTTGAGAACCACTATCTTAGAAGACAGAATCAGGATTCAAGATGACCTTAAGCGAATGGAGAACTGGGCCAAAACTAACAACATGAACTTCAGTGGGGACAAATAGGCAGGAAGAACCAGATGCACATATATAGGATGGGGGGCACCTGGTTTACTAGCTGTATATGTGAAAACGATCTAGGGGTCTTAGTAGACCACAAGTGTGTTGCAGCAGCAAAAAAAGGCCTTCTCACTTGTGGTACCCACCCTGCGGAACACCCTCCCATCTGACGTCAAGGAGATAAGTGACTATACAACCTTTCGAAGACATCTATATTGAGAAGTTTTTCATGTTTGTCATTTTATTACGTTTTCATATGTGCTGGAACTTGCCCAGAGTGGGTAGGGTATAAATAATGAAATTGTTGTGTTGGTGGCGGCTGTTATCCGAAGGCAGTCCTACATAGGGAAGCTGTTAATGTTTAATGTTTTGTTATGTTTTTATATATGCTTTATGTCTAATAATAATAATTGCTACTATAGGCTGCAACAACAGAAGTATAGCGTCCTGATCAAGGGAAGTAATAGTCCCAGTCTGTTCTGCCTTGTTCAGACCATACCTGGAGGACTGTGCCAAGTTTGGGGCACCAGAATTTAAGGATATTGATTAGCTGGAACGTGTGCAGAGGAAGCTGACCAAGATGATCAAGGGTCTGGCAACTAAGCCTTATGAGGAACGGTTGAGAAGAGAAGACTGAGAGGTGATATGACAGCCATCTTCAAATATCTGAAGGGCTGTCACATGGAAGATAGACGAAGCATGCTTTCTGCTGCTCCAGAGGGGAAGACCCAAGCCAGGGAGTTCAAATAATAAGAAATGAGATTGTGGTTAAACATTAGGAAGAACTTTCTGATGGTAAGAGCTGTTCATCAGTGGAACAGTCTCCCTTGGAAGGTTGTGGACTGTCCTTCATGGGAGGTTTTTAAGCAGAGGTTGGATGGTTATCTGTCATGGATTATTTAGCTGTGATTCCTGCATTGCAGAGGGTCAGATTAGATGAGCCTTGGGACCCTCTTCCAGCTCTACAATTCTGCGATTCTAAGTTACGTCATGTCCACTATTCCAATGTGTCTACTCTGAGAAGGAATAGCACTGGGTATAATGCACTGAAAACTCTATGTGTGCACACAGTAAGCGCAGTAAGCCAAAAACCAGAATCAACGACTAAAAACAACCACCAAGCAATTAAAGGATAAAAAAGCCAAACCAGTAAATAAAACCGAGGATCAAATCAGAGCATCAACGCGACAATTTAAAACCTCTCTCAAAAAACTTTTGGCACATGCACACCATACAGTCAATGCATACAGCTTTCCCCAGAGGATCCTGGGAACCGTAGTTCACCCGCTCAAAGAGCTACAATTCGCAATACCCTTAAACTAGAGTTCCCATGTTAAGTGAAAGTCACATGCTTTCAATGTACAGTGTGGACGGGACCTGTTTCTCATGGACTCCTTGCAGCAGCCAGGCCAAAATGACAGGCCCAATAAATCCAGGGCTGTTCCTCTTCAAACTGGCCCTTTACTCAGAAGGACTGGAGGGACATACCATACCAATCTTGCCTAGTGGTTACAGAGCTGGTTACTAGGCCCTGGGAGACCAGAGTTCAAATCCCCACTCAGCCACGAAGCACAACCACCATCTCTCAGCCTAACCTACCTCACAGGGTCGTTGTGAGGATAAAATGGGGAAGAAGAGGACAGTGAGCACCTTGGGAGGAAAATGCGGGATACATAAGTACCATATTTACTCGAGTCTAATGCGCCATCGAATCTAATGCGCACCTCAATTTTCTGAACCTAGAAACCAAAAAAAGGATCTGCTGGTGAATGTAAATGTGCCATCGAATCTAATGCGCACCTTAGTTTTTGCAACGTGATTTGGCCAAGAAAGGTGAACGTCAGATTTGAGTAAATATTGTATAATAAAGATAAAAAATGGTAGCCATTTATTCTCCATGAATATATCAGGCCCCCTCCTAAAGTCGCCCAAGCCAGGAGCCATTCCCTCGTGTCTCAAAGCCAGAAACACCATTGAGTTAACTCTGGGTCACGGCACAGACGCAAGACAGAATGAGCGGAACTCAAAGTGACCCCCCCTCCCACTTACCTCCCCAATAGAGCTGCTTCTAAGACTGAAACAAAGACAGAGACGTAAATGGGGGGGGGGGAATTGGCTTAACTCTTCAACTCTTACAACAGGATGCCGGCAAGAGGGTGCCAGGTTCTGAGGCAGCAAATTGTCCCTGAACAGAGGCCAGAACTTCGGGACAACTTGCCAGGAGATGTCTGAACTCCTCTGGAAGAAGCAGGAGATTTTTGAATGTGAAAGGCACACGGTCAGTTCTCCTTCAGAGCGCCTGCCCGTTATTTGGGAAAGCCGGAGAGGCTCGGTCTGCTTACCTCGTGTGCAGAGGTTCCTGTGCATTTGTGCGTTAAGTCAATGGCTGCAGAATCCCGAAAGAAATGTACTCTCTCAGGCAGTTGCTCCTCCTCTGCCCCTTCGGCTCTGCGCTCTCTGGCAGGGAACCAGCTGTGTGATTCACTGCAGATTGAATTGGGATGTGTCTGCAAGAGGAATGGATTCTCCACTCCCACCCCTTTCTCCTCTCTTCTCTTCTCTCTCTCTCTCCCCCCACCCTCCCTCTCTCTTTCTTAAACAGGAAGTGGGATAGCATGAGACAATGTCAAAGTAGCTGCAGAAGGGCTTTGGGCAATAAAAGGCACTTTTGCACAGACTTGCTCAGGGAGGAATTCTAGCTTTCTAAAAACCCTTTGGAGGGGAAAAAATTGCTCTCAACAGTGCCTGCAAACACACTCACTGACTGTGGGGAGGAGAGAGACCAATGCGGAAAAGAGTAATCTAGTAAGTCCCAATGCCATTTTGCAAAATGGGCAACACTACTGATACAATCTGCTGGTTTTCAAGAGGTTCAGAAATCCAGAGTCTGCATCCACAATAGTGATTTTATACACACACACACACACACACACACACACACACACACATTTTAAAAAATAACAGCACATGAGTTAATTTCCTTCAGCTGAATTCCCCATGTTGAATGACAGATTGTAGGCCACTTGGAGCAGAGACTGCTTCTCTAGCACTCTGAAAGAAGCAGCTGTGCACATGCTATATATCTGTAAGCATATTTTCCCCACCCCCTTCAAAGACTTCTGGGCATTGTAGCTTACCCCTCACAGAGCTATAATTCCTACAGTCATACATCGGGTTAAATATGCTTCAGGCTGAGTGTTTTCAGGTTACGCTCCACAGCGACCCAGAAGTAACGGAACACGTTACTTCCGGGTTTCGCCGCTTGCACATGCGCAGACGCTCAAAACGACCTCACGTGCATGCGCGGAAGCGGCAAACCGCGACCCACGCACGCGCAGACGCAGGTTGCGTTCGCTTCAGGATGCGAACGGGGCTCTGGAACGGATCCCGTTCGCATACAAAAGGTACAACTGTAGCAGCCTTTAACAAACTACAGCACCCAGAATTCTTCTTCATAGTGTGTACTGTACACAGCCTGCAGACGGCAAAACAACAACAACAAATAACCTTACCCTGCATGTTATACAGTGGTACCTTGGGTTACATTCGCTTCAGGTTACAGACGCTTCAGGTTACAGACTCCGCTAACCCAGAAATAGTGCTTCAGGTTAAGAACTTTGCTTCAGGATGAGAACAGAAACCATGCTCCGGCGGTGCGGCAGCAGCGGGAGGCCCCATTAGCTAAAGTGGTGCTTCAGGTTAAGAACAGTTTCAGGTTAAGAATGGACCTCCAGAACGAATTAAGTACTTAACCCGAGGTACCACTGTAACACTGTTTCCAGAAAACAACTTTGAAAATCAGATTCCTTGAATTGTTTGTTAGCCGGGGCTGTAATCACATGAAGAGGGTTCTATGTGGGAACTCCCCTCCCCTCCAAGATATTCCAGGATGGCTCCTTGAAAGCTTAGCCTTCATTTAATTTTTGTTAAGTCTCTACCTTGCTTTACTTGCAGAAATGTGGAAGGAAAAGGGTGCTTACTAAGGCACCAACATTTGGGACATTAAAATAGTATTGTACCACTTTAAACGGTCATGGCTTCTTGCAAAGAATCCTGGGAAGCGTACTTTGATAAGGTTGCTGAAAGTTGATGGGAGACCCCTGTTCTCCAAACACAGCTACAAATCTCAGAGTGGGTTTAATAGCCAATCCCTCTTCCCAGGGAACTCTGGGAATTGAAGCTCTCTGAGAGGCCTCCTAACAGCCATGACTTCCTGCAGAGTATCCTGGGAACTGTAACTTGAACAAACCACAGTTCCCAAGATTCTCTGCAGGAAGCCATGGCTGTTTAAAGATGCTGCTTTAAATGTGTAGTGCATACAGGCTCAAAACAGCATTACCAAGTTCTCCAGAGGATTACTCTGCACTTTTTTCTTCTGCGGCTTTGTGTGCAGAAAAGCACTGCTGGAAGGAAGATCAGGACAAGAAAAGGCCCATGAATGCTTGGGGAAGATAAGATAAAGGGAGTGCCATGATAGCTGCCTCCAAACATCTGACGGACTGTCACGCAGGAGCAGACTTGTTCTCTGTGGACTCTCCCAGCAGCTGGAAATTGCGGGGAAGAAGATACTGGTGAAACGTTAGGAGGAACTTCCTAATGACACAAGCTAGTTGCGCAGTAGAACAGGCTGCCTCAGGGTTTAATGTGCAATGGGAACTGTGCCAGGATAATGAAGACAAGTGGAGTTTATGAGCGCTAACTGCAGCTTTCAGGTTTTGAGAACACAGGGCACCCAAGTTGGCTCATTGGTCCACCTAGCTTAGGACTGTCTGCACTGACTGGCAGCTGCTGTCTAGGCTTTCAGGCAAGGGACACTCCCAGCCCTACCTAGGGATGCTGGGGATTGAAACTGGGACCTCCTGCATCTCCTGCTGGATGCAAAGGAATGTGGAATCCCCAAGGGAAGAAGGCTCAGAGCCTGGAAGCAGTGGCGTGTGGCCACTGGACTAAGGGGACTATGCTAACTCCCTAAATATTTCCCTGGTGCCTCCTTCCCAAAGCCCAGGAAGCCTCTGCCCAGCTTCGGGAGGGAGGCGCGAAGCTCACGTGTGTGACGTCGGGACGTCGCAACATTACATACATGACATCAACCCCCACGCCCCTTGTAAGCTAGCACCTCTGGCCCTAACTGTTCCCCTGTGAAATATTTCACCGCACGCCACTGCTGGGGGGAGTGGAATGACAATGAGGGGACAGAGGGAGAAAACTTGGAAGAGGGTGTGTGGGAAGCTGAGGAGGTAATAGGAGCTGGCAGAGAGATTCCAGAATCAGAGGTAGACGCTGAAGCAGGAGGTTTGGAGGAAAGAGGCCATGAGGCAGAGATGAGTCAGGCTAGTGAAGAGTCACGAGCGTCTCTGCCTCCTGCCGCGACAAGCTCCCCTTCCCACTGTCTCCCAGAACCAGAAGAGGCATGAAAAGGGCGGAGTAGTGGCAGGCTGTATGTAGGCACAGTTTCTGATTGCTTGGGGGAAATCCCTGGAGAGGAGGGGACCTAGATGGCGGTGGGGAGGTGGGGACTTTCAGTCTCAGCAACTGATTCATGGGGCAAGAGCTAGCAGGGATGAGCTGCAGTGTTCATTATGCCTGACACTCCACCAGGTCTGTGCAGGACGTGCTCTTGCTAATAAAGAGTTAACTTCAACTTTGAACAGTGTGATTTACTGCCAGCTCACTTCTTGACATCCTGCATGCAAAGCAGAGGATCTGCCACTGAGCTAAGGTCCTTCCCCAGGCAAGGAAAATTTCTACAGTAAAGCTACTGCAAAGCACTGCAGCAACGGAACAAGGCAGAATTGAAAATGGAGTGGGGAACCTATAGCCCTCTGGACGGCGTCAGTCTCCAACTCCCATCAGCCCCAGCCAGCATGGCCAATATGCAGGGATGATGGGATCTGTGATCCCAAAACAGATGGAAGGTGGCAATTTCCCCATCCCCTGCTTAAAAACAAACAAACAGAAAATTCCTCTGTTTGGGAAATGGGGAATCTGACTTCAGTCTCTGCATGAATAAGCAACATTTTTCAATCCTCTGCATCCTGGGCAGGACAGCATTTTCCATTGATGAAACTGTTGAGCCCTTTGCTTTCAAAGGAGACCTCATTATGCCAAGTAGAAGACGGTAACTTCTTCTGAAAGGAAGAGGCGCTTGCAGATTCAAAATTTTGTTTGACGTGTTCAAAGGAGATAAGAAACTTTGATGCCCTTTGGTGTTATGCAACTGTCATAGTTCTGAATTTGAAGCGAATGGAATAAGTTTTGCATCTGCATGACAAGCCAGGATGACACGGTGGCTAGAAAGAATGAGGATCTGTGCAGGTAGCCAATGGGGCAACTGCAAGATGTTGTTGTTGTCAATTAACTCAACCTGAACCCAGGTTCTCTCTCTCTCGCGCGCGCTCTCTCTCTTTCTTTAAATATGTATTAAGTTAGCAAAAGCAGAACTAGGAACACGGTATTTGTGTTCTATACAGCTGCAATTGCATAATAGTTGTTATTACCTAGCAATGATCTTACGTGCTAATAGCAAACTTATTCTCTGAGTGTGGGATCTTATGCAGCTAAAAAGGTCCCTTCCATGTACAAAAAGGAGGAGATCAGCACACCCAGCTAAACTCAAAGCCTTCAGAAGTGCAGAAAAATCTTTAGGGGGAGAAAATCCCCCAAAGAGCCCATGAAGACTGAGTATGCTGACCGGTCACAGAATGACGGCTAGCTGGGGTGGGTGGCTAGGACAATGGGACATAAAACTAGGCCGAATGGAATGAAGTATCCTGAGAAAGGGCATGGAATGGTTGGCTGGCTGGCTGGCATCCTGGACATTCTGCTACTGGTGACATTTGTCTTTATAAATCAGTCAGCTAAGGAAGAAGCCCAGCACACCTGACAAAACGGGCGCTACTCCAAGAAAGTTGATACCACAATAAATCTTATCTTTTCTGGTTTTGCTGCAACGGGCCAACGTGGAAATCCCTCAGGCTCTGTCTTTCAGGCCACAAGCCTGCAAGGTACCAGGGACTGGAAGAGAGAAATGGGCAGACTTGAGGTTTGTGGGAATCTACCTCAAGATTCACCAGCCAGACATAGAAACAAGGTAATGGCTTGGTGCACCAAAAGAAATGCAGAACAGGGAAGCACCACTTAAGACTACAAGTTCAAGGCTATACCGCTTAAATGGACATGGCCTTGCCTAAAAAATCCTGGGAACTGTATTTTGTTAAGAGTTGTTAGGAGTTCCCCTCATCTTAAAAAGCAGAGACATCACCTTGCCAACAAAGGTCCGTATAGTAAAAGCAATGGTTTTCCCAGTAGTGATGTATGGAAGTGAAAGCTGGACCATAAAGAAAGCTGACCGCCGAAGAATTGATGCTTTTGAATTATGGTGCTGGAGGAGACTCTTGAGAGTCCCATGGACTGCAAGAAGATCAAACCTCTCCATTCTGAAGGAAATCAGCCCTGAGTGCTCACTGGAAGGACAGATCCTGAAGCTGAGGCTCCAATACTTTGGCCACCTCATGAGAAGAGAAGACTCCCTGGAAAAGACCCTGATGTTGGGAAAGATGGAGGGCACAAGGAGAAGGGGACGACAGAGGACGAGATGGTTGGACAGTGTTCTCGAAGCTACCAGCATGAGTTTGACTAAACTGTGGGAGACAGTGGAAGACAGAAGTGCCTGGCGTGCTCTGGTCCATGGGGTCACGAAGAGTCGGACATGACTAAACGACTAAACAACAACAACAAGGAGTTCCCCTCAGAGAGCTACAGTTCCCAGAGTTCCCTGGAAAGAAGGACTGGTTATGAAACCATTCAGAGGGAGAGACGGTGTGTCTCCTAAGCACTCTCAGCACCCTTAACAAACTACAGGTCCCAGAATTCTTTGGGGAAAACTATGCCTGTTTAAAGTGGTTTCAAAGTGCTTTAAATGGCTACTGTGGATGTGGCCTTAATCACTGCAACCCACAAAATGATGTGCATAAACAAATACAAATCCACATCCGAGTAACTATAGCCTAGAATATTTGCTAGAAGCTGAAAAGCCAATCCTTTAATCGTCCTATTTTTACAGGTGAGGAACGCAAAAGAAAAGATATAAGCAATTGCAGTATGGCCAGAAATGGCAGGTAATTCTTTGTAGCTGCCTTTTGGTTTGCTGTTCTTAAAATTTGGAGGTACGGGTTCTTGGAGAAAAAAATGGAAGGAAATGAATACAGTGTGAGATTGGCCACTGCCCAACTTTATAACTTCTAAGAAATAAAAAGAAAACTCATCATGGGTCACATTCACACCATACATTTAAAGCACAGGACTTTTTCCCCCTCCCCCCTAGAATTCTGGGCATAGTAGTTTACTTTCAACAGAACTAGAATTCCCAGCACTCTTGACAAACTACAGTTCCCATTATTCTTTAAGGGAAGCCATCTGCTCAACATTTCATGGGGGGGGGAGGATACGTCCCTTTTGCGTTATTGCAAAACAAGCACTTTTATAGTTAATAATATTTCTCATCTTTTGAGGCATGTTAATTTGGTATTGCCACTCTGAGGCAAATGTATTTTATAGTAGGCAACAATTTATTTTTTTATTTTTGAAAATGTACGGTTTGGATGCAAGTTGTGAACCAGAATGTCAAACTTTGCAAGGTCACTTCCACCTCTGTGACGTTTGCAAAGTCAAATGTCTGCCTGGGAGGGAGCTGCTGACTTTCAGGGCATCACATTCACAGCTGAAACTTTCCCAGCATTAATTGGAGAGCACAGACTCCCCTCCTTTTTTTTTTGCAAAGGAAAAGGACAAGGGGATGTCAAAAGAAGCAGGCCATGCGGATAAAGGGACTGCGTCAGCAACCCAATTCTCTGAGTTAATTGGGCTTACAGAGATATCAAAGGTCCAACTTTGCGGTTCCAAGATTGGCTTAAGAATAAAGGACGTTCACAGGCAGAAAACGAACAGCACTACGGGTAAGTAGACAATGCTAGCCCTGCTCAGAGTAGGCACACTGAATTTAATAGACTGGCAAACTTAGGTCCACTATTTCCAATGGTCTACTCTGAGTAGGGATGGGCAGATTTGCCAGTTTTGGTTCTCTCAGATTTCCAGTTTGAAATTCAGTTTGTCACATTTCTGCAACAATTTGCACATTTTTATTTTTTAGAAAAATTCTCATGAAAGTCCTTCAACATTTTAGTGCAAATTTATTCACATAAACACATTTCTGCACGCAGCTTTGACTAATGTACAAATTTTTGCAAAGCGGTTTTCCCTAACGTAATGCATTTCCCTGTGTTATTTTCACTAACATATTCAGATTTATGCACACGCTCCCCTAATGTTTGCATTTTTGCAAGCATTGGTTGGAAAACATTGCTGCAAGATTCCATGACTCAGATTTACACCGTTTCCTAAACAAGCACCTATGCTACACATTTTGCCACACAGTACAAACACAAACAAACTGTTAACACATCTGCTGTCCATGCAAGTTGGCTATGTGTGCTTCACAAGTGAAGACTGAAGTTAAGGTTGCCATATGTCAAAAAGTGAAAATCCAGATTCTAGACTTCTGGATTTTCCCAGTGATTTCCACCCGGACACTGCTTCCAACTGCCGTATTCTGGCTACGTCCAGCAATTCCGGACATATGGCAACCCTGCTTAAGTGCATTTCTAGTAAATAAGGCTGATCAAAGTAGCAAACAACCAAATCCACAACAAAAAATCAGCAAATGATTGGGGTGGGGGAACCCCTTGAAATATTTCAAACACACATAGCAGCAGTGGCACAAAATCTACTGTATTTTTCCGTGTATAAGACTATATTTCCCCCCAAAAAATTTTAAGTTTAAAATTGGGGATCATCTTATACACGGAATGTTGCAATTAATTATTTCTTAATTTGGGGCACACAAAAAATAGGGTTCGTCTTATACATGGGGGCGTCTTATACACGGGAAAATACAGTACTTTTCCGCAGCTTCAGCTGCTGAGTGGAGAAAGGACCCTTCCCCATCCCAAAGCTGTCTCCTGAGTCACTAGCCACTAAATTGGTTCTCAATTTCACAATCTCCCAGGACAACCTTCCCTATTCTGGTGCCCTTCAGAGGTTTCGGACTACAAGAGAGCCAGTGTGGTGTAGTGGTTAGAGTGTCGATCCAGGGTTCAAATCCCCACTCGGCCACAAAGCTCACTGGGTGACCTTGGGCCAGGCCACTGCCTCTCAGACCTACCTCACAGGGTTGTTGTGAATGAGGAGAGCAAGAACCATGCAGGCCACCACCTTGAGCTCCTGAAAGAAAAAGCTGGGATATACAGTGGTACCTCGGGTTAAGTACTTAATTCGTTCCGGAGGTCCGTTCTTAACCTGAAACTGTTCTTAACCTGAAGCACCACTTTAGCTAATGGGGCCTCCTGCTGCCACCACCATCACATGATTTCTGTTCTCATCCTGAAGCAAAGTTCTTAACCTGAAGCACTATTTCTGGGTTAGCGGAGTCTGTAACCTGAAGCATATGTAACCTGAAGCGTATGGTACCTGTAACCCGAGGTACCACTGTAAATGAAATACATACAATAATAAATACAACTCCTGTCAGTCATTTTGGCTTTGGGACCAACAGGAGTTGTACTTTCAACACACCTGGAGAGCACCAGGTTGGGGGAGGCTGGTTGGGGGTTTCTTCCAGGCAGGAACTACCTGGATTCTTAGGGGAGGGGAAGCCATGACTGCTTGAAGTGGTATGATGCTGCTTTAAATGCATAGTGTAGCTGTGGCTCTAGTTTCAGAAAAACAGGGAGAGCAAGGTAAGTTGCAGGTAGCTGGCTGAACCTATGGACAGCTCCCTTGTGTCAGTAATGCAGCCCTAGTGACTCACGGCAGGTCTCAGTTTGGAAACAGAAACATTTCAGTCGCCCAGGTGACAGCACTGTGGCAATATAGATCCACAGCTGGCTTGCAGCAGCCCAGATACCACCAACTCTCCATTGCCCATGGGCTCCTGAATAGCAGGAGCTCTGTGAGTTTGCGGGTACATTTCACCCCTGGAGAGGAGGTAGCTACCAGCTCACCTACCCGGTCACCACCAAGCTTAGCCTGTTTTCCTGCGATATCCTCTTGGGGAAAGTATGCAGTCTGGGCCCACAATGGGAGGATTCTTTCATTGTCAAAAGAATGCAGCCAGATCTGAGGTCCCACCAAGACGAATCAATGCCAGCATGTCTCTCCTCCTCCATCTCTTAGTCTTGCCCGCTTTTAAAAGCCCTCAGAACCTATCACCCACACTGGTTCACCTGAAGAGATACACATTAGAGGCTGGTTTTCTCTTAGGCACATACCTGCAAGAACACTTTTACCCACAGAGCAAAGAACTTCTACTTCTTCTTTGGCGATCACTCGCAGCCGAGTATTTTATCTTCCATAAACACGGTTTTAACAATGAGTCCATAAGTAACTGTGGAGGCCAATTCTGGATCCACACGTCCTTCCACAGTGGGGACATTGGTTCCCGGGCAGGAGTTGATAACGGTGTGGATTTGCCAAGTGTGCCTTCCTCTTAGCACGTTTCTCCCTTGCTTCCTGAGTTTGAGTGTCTTCAAAGCCCATGACACCTTTGGTAAAGGCTGTTCTCCAATTGGCGCGCTCACAGGCAAGTGTTTCCCAATTGTTGGTGTTTATGCTACATTTTGTTAGATTTGCCTTGAGACAGTCTTTAAACCTCTTTTGTTGACCACCAGCATTACGCTTTCCATTTTTAAGTTCGGAATAGAGTAGTTGCTTTGGAAGACGATAACCAGGCATCCACACAACATGACCAGTCCAACGAAGTTGATGTTGAAGAATCATTGCCTCAACACTGGTGATCTTTGCTTCTTCCAGTACACAGGTATTAGTTTGCCTGGCTTCCCAAGTGATGTGTAAAAAATTTTGGAGACACTGTTGATGGAATCTTTCAAGGAGTTGGAGATGGTGTTTATAAGTGGTCCATGTTTCACAAGCATACAATAAGGTTGGTAGTACAATAGCTTTGTAAACAAGCATTTTGGTTTCCCTGTGAATGTCCCGGTCCTCAAACACTCTGCACTACAATCGGGAGAAAGCCACACTCGCAGAACTCAGGCGATGCTGGATTTCAGCATCAATTTATCGGAGGCAGCCTTGTATGGTCTCCTGCCCAACCTTCTCCTGCACACAACAGCCACCTGACCTTCATATAACCTTGAGCATGCAACCTTCACAACAGGGCAAACATACCATTTAGACTAGTCATTGCCATCCTAATGCAATCCAGATGTTGGGGGCTAGAAGTCCCAGCCAGTTGTAGATCCAAAACACCTGGAGGGTACCATGTTGGCACAGGCTATTTTGGACTATTTGAAAGCAACAAAAATATACAGTCGTACCTTGGAAGTCGAACAGAATCTGTTCCGGAAGTCTGTTTTACTTTCAAAACATTCAGAAACCAAAGCACAGCTTCTGATTGGCTGCAGAAAGCGCCTGCAGCCAATCGGAAGCTGCGCAAGCCCCGTCAGACGTTTAGCTTCCAAAAGAACGCTCGAAAACTGGAACGCTCACTTCCGGGTTTCGATCGTTCGGGAGCTGATTTGTTCGGGAGTCAAGGCGTTCAAGATCCAAGGTACGACTGTAATAATAATAATAATAATAATAATGCATAATAATGCATTAAAAGAAAGTAAATACACTTCCTATACCATTGTTGAACCAATATTTTGCAACAACCAGTGTTTGAAATTGAGGGAACTTAAGAATTAAGGGAAATTAAAAAATACCTGAAGAAGTGTGCATGCACACGAAAGCTCATACCCAGAACAAACTTAGTTGGTCTCTAAGGTGCTACTTGACCATTTTTTAATTTTTTGTTTCGGCTGCGTCAGACCAACACAGCTACCTACCTGAATCTGAAACTGAGGGGTGTGACTGTGACAATCATGAAGGGACCCTTCACTTCTGAATTTGCCACTACACTATTGGGTTCCGCCCACTGCTCCACCCTTCCAGTCCTAGTGGATACCAGCCACCTGTCCTCCAAAGTGGTTGGAGCAGAATGTATGTGTGGGAGAAGGCAGCCATGAAATTTCTAGAGGGACTGAGCTAGTTTGCTTACATATCAGTGAATCCACAAAAACATTTTCACAGTGTAAGTCGACACACAGAGATATATGCCCGTCAGACCGATTGGACAGGAGGTATTCAATCTCCTCCCATGTCATTCTGAAAGGCACCTAAAGGCCAAGTCTCCCTTGTCTAGACAGATGACCCAGATTTCTGTGTGCCGAGAACCTAAAGAGGTATTGATTTTATGCTGGGGGTATTCAGCACCTTGGGGGAGGGGAAAGAGAGAATGGGGTCGTTGTGGATCTGGGTTGTTGTGGATTGATGAATCCTTTCTCCTTGCATGTTCAAAGACTGACAACTCATGTTCTAACACCTCACTTATTGCCAGGACATTTTTAGGTGCCATGTTAATCTCACACCCCAACTAGACTTAAGGTGCGCATTTTTACATATTCAGAGCCCTGTGGACATGACTAACGTAGGTCCCTTAATTCAAATAGGTATACTCTGAGCAGATACAACCCTTTTGTGAGCGGGGGGGCAGAATTGTGCATGTGCTGAATTTGGCAACTGTCACAGAATTCTTCCCAATATCATAATTTACAATGCAGACATTTTCAGGACCACCAAGGACCAACAGTCCCAGCTTCAGGCAATAAGCCTGGGCTTTGGTGGGGTGGGGTGGGGTGGGGTGAAAGCCGTCTGTTTAAAGCACTATGACGCCACTTTAGACACTCATGACTTCTCCCCAAAGAATCCTGGGAACTGTAGTCTGTTAAGGACACCAAGAGTTCTTAGGCTCTACCCTGAGTAAAACGTTCGATTTGCAAGGCATTCAGGATCCAAGGTACGACTGTATATAGATATAGCTATTAAATCACAACAGAAAATACACAATATACCTGCTAGCCTGTTTAGTACACCAAATCCAGTAACTCTGGCTGTGTAGACAATACAACTTTTAAAGCACATCCAAAGCACATTTTTCTCCTCAAAGAATTCTGGGCACTGTAGTTTATGCCTCACGGATTTACAATTCCTGCAGCCTTTAACAAACTACAGATCCCAGAATTGTGTGTGTGTGTTTTGAATGTGTTTTAAAGGTATAGAGCAGAGGCAGACCTATTTGTCAGGGAAGAAGACACATTTCTTCTTCCCTTTCCACACAACATTCCTTGTGCTTTGTTTCTTCTGCGCCCTTCAGGGAATGTGGCTGCCTTTGTGAGTCTGGATGGGCCACCAACATCATCCAACATAAACCAATAAACGACAGAAAGCCACCGCCATCGCCATCACACCCCCCACACACACACAAACACACTTTCCCATCTGGCCTTGCTTAGAGTCAGCCTTTCCATCAAGCACAGCCAAGAAAGCATCGTAGAAGCCAACATCAAAACAGAGAGAAAGAGGCAGCCACAAATCAAGCAAAGCCAGAAATCAAGCGATTAACCCACAGTCAACAACCCAAAGCCATACTCTAATATATTGATATATATAGTGGTCTATTTCACAGAGGACAGTCCTCTGTAAAGTACCTCTACCATCCAGGGTTAGAAACTCCGATATATAAGCTAGGCGCCAAATGGCTCCTTAAACCAGGATTAGTCGCCAAGACAGAATGCCTAGTTGACATCTTGGGGCCAGACAGCTCAAAAGCCTTGTTTTTTCCAGAATGACTTTTTGGTCCCTGAAATTTATTCTGATTGTGCAGATAGAATTCTACAGGATGCGTTGCTAGTGTGTGAAAACAGTTAAGATCCAAGCAACTCTAGGCATCCACCTCCAGATGGAGATGTGAGGTGCTATCCTGGCACCCAGGCATCTTCACTTGCTTGCAGGTGGGCAACAGCCAGGTGCAAAATGCGCTTGACAAATTTGGAACGCTGCCACCATCACTCCACACAGCAACCACTCTGGACCTGACATTCATAATCTGAGGCCCTTCTCTGTGTGTCGTCTCTGAGGGCAGTCTGGAGAGTGGCAACACAAGAGGCCTTTTTAGTGGTGGCTCCCCACCTGCAGAATGCTCTCCCCAGCAAAGCTCAACTGGCACCGTCTTTATTTTTAGGAACCAGGAAAACATTGCCCTCTTTTACACAGGCTTTCGACTACTCGTGGCCTCTTTTAGTGGGACAGGATCTGTTAAACCTGCCTTTTATTTGCATTGTTGCGCCGGGGGTGGGGTTATAGGTTGTGTTTGCTGTAACTGGTTTGTAAAGTCACGTTGGTTCACTTTTGTGAGGAAAGCAGCTAACAGATACAAATAATAACACTATATTTTTGTAAGGGGGGAAGCCAAACAGCAAGGAGGCAAGCAAGCAAGTGGCTTGGATGGCAGGCAGCCCAGGCAAGCTGCTGAGGAAGGAGGAACATTTAAAGGAAAGCAGACACTCCAGAGAGCAATTGGGAGGACTGCTTTCTGAAGCGTGCCACCCCAGTTGGGCATTTAAAGATCTGCGAGGGAAGGGGGTGGGAGTTTGGGGACAGCTGAGTGGGAAAGGAGTTTGGAGCAAGCCATGGGGTGGATTTGGACAGGTTTAAAGTAGGGAGAATCCAGGAGGTAGGGGGTCATTGAGTGAAGTGAGCAACAACAGGAGCCCCCAGTAACATTAACAGCAAAGGATCCTGTTGTATTAAACAAGACTGCAAAATATTATCAACTAACAGTGCAAGCATACATGTGCCTAGTTATTCAAATTCAGTGTGATTTCTCCTATTAAGTACTACAGAATTGCAGCACTCTTGCCTCTTGCTTTCCCACCCTCAAAAAAAGAAACTCAGGTCAGATTTCAATAGATAATGTATCACACCACAAATAAAATGTCATAAATTGGAATATTTTTGAACTCACTCTATAACCCAAAGTTTGCGAAATCCTATACAAGCTCCTGTCTATTTTCCATTGTAGATGTTTAGATGGAGGGATTTAGATTGGGGAAACCGCAAGACGGAGGGAGGTGGAGAAAAAAGAATTAATCCTTTTTTTCCTCCCACAGCCACAGGTGCATTAAAAAACTTTATAAAACCAGGAGGCATACAATGAGAATTAAAGTCACATGGTTAAGGCAACGAGGGAGCACCTAACTTGCCCAAGCTTTCAAATTGTAAGGAAGCGTTGCAAGTTTGTTTCTAAAAATATTCTTACAATCATTCAGGGGCTTATTAATTAGAATCATAGAGTTGGAAGGGAATCATCCAGTCCAACCCCCTGCCATGCAAGAATCTTTTGCCCAATATGGGGCTTGAACCCACGACCCTAAGGGCGGGAACAGGGAACCGGTGGCCCTCCTAATACTGCTGGACTCCGACTCCCATCAGCCCCAGCCAAAATGGCCCAGGGATGATGGGCGTTGCATCCATTAACACCAGAAGGGTCCTTGTCTTAAGAATTATTCATGGAAACAGAATGAGAACCTCAGGGATTCCATTGATTATTTCTTCTCTCCCCCTCCCACTTTTTGTTTTTTTACGCATTTTAAAGCACATAGTTTTTTACACATAGTTAAAGCACCTAGAAGGGACGCTGGTGGCGCTGTGGGTTAAACCACAGAGCCTAGGACTTGCCGATCAGAAGGTCGGCGGTTCAAATCCCCGTGATGGGGTGAGCTCCCTTTGCTTGGTCCCTGCTCCTGCCAACCTAGCAGTTCGAAAGCACGTCAAAGTGCAAGTAGATAAATAGGTACCACTCCGGCAGGAAGGTAAACGCCGTTTCCGTGCGCTGCTCTGGTTCGCCAGAAGCGGCTTAGTCATGCTGGCCACATGACTCGGAAGCTGTACGCTGGCTCCCTCGGCCAATAAAGCGAGATGAGCGCCGCAACCCCAGAGTCAGCCACGACTGGACCTAATGGTCAGAGGTCCCTTTACCCTTTACCTTAAAGAACCTAGAACAGACTTCAGGTAGGAGCTGCTTAAACAAACAGACTCTCATGACACAGCTACTGCACCCATTTTGCAGCTGCGGAGCCGAGGCCTGAAGTACTCACCCAGCTGAACAGGGTTTGACCCCTGGGCCTTCCTCACCAATGTGCAAACATGGATGTCACCCAGAGTTTCATTTTTAAAAGAAAAGAAAAGAAGTAGCAACCCCAGCTACTTCCCCAGAAGGGAAGTCAACCCTTCCAGGAGTTCATGCCCTCTCACCTGGAAGCCCATTGCCTCACTCCATAAAGCAGTCGGAAGTGACTACAAGGCTGGCTCATGGCTTGGTGACTACCACATCGAGGGGTGACTTGCACATAGGAATGAGGCAAGCCAGGCAGAGCTGCTGCAATACTTCAGCCACGTTTTTTAAAAAAAATAGAGGAGTCCATCCCATAGTCACACCCTCCAAGCTGCAAATCGGTCAGGCGATGGTCTGTAGATGAATGAAGTGAACTGCCTCCAAGCTTGTTAGCAGAGAAGAGGAAAGCATTCTGCAACTACTCAGAAACAACACACACACACACACACACACACACACTTCAAGGTGTGCTCCATCCCTGGTACCAAAGATGCCCAAACACAACTGACTGTCACTCTCCCCCAGCCACTCCTCTCTCGCCAAGTCCACTCAAAAGCAGTTGTCAACACAGGGCATCCTTAGCCAACAGCTCCATCCCTGCAAGATGAACAACCAGAGCCAGGCGGCCGTTCGCAGATGGTGTGCCTGTGTGTGCAGAACAGCTTTTCCCAAGATGGAGAAGCCGCATTAATTATTACATTATAATCCTCATTTTTTAAAGTGTGTTCCCGTCAACATTCTTCGCCCTCCACTGCGGTCTGTCATTTTAACCTCACCCTCCAAACCTGGGGAGAGGAGGAAGGGGGGAATATGTCGAATATCCCAAAGCTTGGTCCTCACCCGTGCCCCCTCACGCAAAACGCACCCCACAATAACAAGAGCCCTGCTTTTCCTCCCTTCCACCCAAGGACAAGGACCAGCCCTTCAGGAGGAGAGAAGGGATGCATGTGTGCATGTTTGGAAGGAGCCAAACAGCCTCGGATAGAATCCGTTGCCAAGGAAGGGCTGGCGCAGCAAACCTTTCCTGTTGGATGCTCAGATATTTTCCAATTTGGGGTGGATCTGCAGATCTCCCCCCCTCCCTCCCCCCAAGCCCCCAACCAGAAGCAGCCCCCTCCCCAACCCTCTGCATGCCTCCCCCCTCTCTCTCCTTCCACCCTCCATCCCAGAAACTGCATCCCACCCCTCCATCCCCTCCTTTGTTGCTGTCTCAGCAAAGGCAGCCACCCTGAAGAAGGTCTCCCTTTTGAATCCCAGCCTCCCTCCTTCCTCCTGCGCTGGGTGGGCTTACCTCCTTTCTTCTGACCGTGCAAGCTTGCTTCTTCCTTTTTTCCGCCTTTTTTTTTTTTTTGCAGAGGGAAGGATCCGACCTCGGCGGGGCTGATCTTAGGCCGCCTGCTCCCTCAAACAGAAACAGCTGTAATAATCCTGGTGGCAGCGGTGGCAGCAGCAGCAGCAGCCAGCCACTCCCTTCGGATGCAGGCTCGCTGCATCCAAGTCACAAGGAGGAGAAACGGGGCGCGTGGACAAAAGGCGACGCCGGCGAGGACGGGGCGCCTGGCGCTGCTGCTGCGAAGGAGCGTCCGCGCCGCCTCCCTGCATGAGTCTCGGCTCCGCGGGGGAAGCAGCAAGAGGGGGCGGCCCAGCGGGCTCTCGCGGGTCCCCTGCGCGAGATGCGCGCAGAAGCAGAGCTCTCCGCCGCCGCCGCCGCCGCCGCCGCTGCCTTCGCGCCGCTTTGCAGGCGAACAAAAGGGGAAGGAGCCGAGCGGGAGGTGGGAGGGGCGCTCCAGCTGTTTTCACCAAGGCAGGCGCACAAGGTTGGGTCTAGGCGCCGGCGCCGCCGTCTCTGCGTTTCTCGCGGGCCGGCGCTGCAGCGGAACTGAGGCGGGAGGGCGGGAAAAGGGCTCGGCGCGTCGTTTTGAGGGGGTGAAACTCATTTTTGCATTTTTATTTTCAGCGAGCTGTCTTAAAAATATGTTTTGGGGTGTGGGGAATTCAAACCTGCAGTTGTTTTTTTACGACTGAAGAAGATTTAGCTTTGTGTGTTGAAGAAGCACCTAAAACGCTTTGGGGAAACCAAAGCACTTTAATTTTCCCTTCTGGAAATGTCAGGTAATTCTGAGGAAGAGGAAGAGGAAGAAGAAGAAGAAGAACTGCAAATACAACAACAACAACTGCAAATACAACAACTGCAAATACTTGCTGATCACCTTTAATTATTTCTACGCACACGCATGTGACTTTCCAAGCAAAGCTAAATTATATTAATTTATATCTTTATTCAAAATACCTTTTGAATTCCCAAGTCACGTTGCAACTTTTTAGGACCCCTCATTTTTGCAAGTTGAAAGTGGACAAATTCAACACGCCCGCCACACTGTGGATTTTATTTTATTTATTTTTTAGCAGAGTGCACTTTGCAAAGTAGGAAAAGGTTTGGGGAGCGAGACCATAGACTTGGTTTGCTGCTGAGCCTTTAATAGTGAAGTTCTCTCAGGCCTGGAGCTTCAGAAGTCCTGCTGGAAGGCCAGTTACTGTACCTCTTGGGGAGGGTGTGTCTGCCTGTCTTACAACCACCCTGCGAGGTCGGTTAGGCAGAGAGATAGGTCTCACCCAAATGGCTCAGTGGCTGAGTGGGGATTTGAACCCTGGTCTTGCACCACTCTAACCACTACACCACACTGGCTCTTTTGGTCTTAGGTTTAATCCAATCACAACAGCGCTAGATTTAGGGTGGTGCGGGCCATTCCCTCAGGGTGCTGAGCTGAGGGGGCACAAAATTGAAATGATCCATTTGGCATAGCTGTCAACTTTTCCCTTTTCTTGCGAGGAATCCTATTCGGAATAAGGGAATTTCCCTTTAAAAAAGGGAAAAGTTGACAGCTATGCCATTTGGGGGTGCAAAATTTTGGCCTTGCACAGGGCACCATATTAGGAAAGTTTACCAAACTCCAGCCCTGATCACAACGTCGCAAGATTGTGAAGGGATCCCTAACGCAACCACAGAAAGTCTTAATGGTTGGCGTTTTGTATTATTTTGATTGCATTTTGAATGGACAGCCTATTTGTGTCTGTGCCAAAAAGCATTTTACTGTATCTGAAACGGTCCTTTGCTACAATCAGCAAATGTTTCTTGCACTGGATTAAAAAAAATCAATATCTGAAATATTACAATAAGGTGCAAGACTACACCCTTTAATTTTGTTTCTAAACCATGATTCCCTTTAAATAAATAGGGGATGCACAGAATTAACCCACAGGGTTGTGGCAGCAAGAATGGGGGACTGCTCAGAAATGGAAAGCCCTGAAACTGCCCCTGGCTGGTGAGCGGATCAACAAGCTCTGGGAATTAGCTTTAATGTCAAAACTAACCTACTACATCAGATCAAGAGAACAGATTTGTGGAAATATGGTCCCCGTTTATAATACATTGCCAGAGAAATCATTCTCTCCCAAATGCTCAGTATGGTGTTGATGTTTTGAAGAATAGCTGATTCTAATAATTAGAAGTAGATCATAGAATCATAGAGTTGGAAGAGACCACAAGGGCCATCGAGTCCAACCCCCTGCCAAGCAGGAAACACCATCAGAGCACTCCTGACATATGGTTGTCAAGCCTCTGCTTAAAGACCTCCAAAGAAGGAGACTCCACCACACTCCTTGGCAGCAAATTCCACTGTCGAACAGCTCTTATTGGCTGTAATAAAACACAATGTAATAGGAGCCGGAGTAATGCAGTTATAAAAGTGAAAAACTTAGTTGTGTATCCAAATGAGTTAACAACTTCTCATTGGGGATGCGTTCATATGTCAGAAATGCACAGCGCTTCTTAAATGTTCATCACTGTTTTTGAGTGCATACAGCTTCCCATTATTATTAATAATAATAATTATTATTATTATTATTATTATTATTTATTATTTGTACCCCGCCCATCTGGCTGGGTTTCCCCAGCCACTCTGGGCGGCTTCCATAGAAACAAAAAATACAGTAAAATATCACAGATTAAAAGCTTCCCTGAACAGGGCTGCCTTAAGATGCCTTCTAAATGTCAGGTAGTTATTTATCGCTTTGACATCTGATGGGAGGGCGTTCCACAGGGCGGGCGCCACTACCGAGAAGGCCCTCTGCCTGGTTCCCTGTAGCTTTGCTTCTCGCAATGAGGGAACTGCCAGAAGGCCCTCGGCGCTGGACCTCAGCGTCTGGGCAGAATGATGGGGGTGGAGACGCTCCTTCAGGTATACTGGGCCGAGGCCGTTTAGGGCTTTAAAGGTCAACACCAACACTTTGAATTGTGCTCGAAAACGTACTGGGAGCCAATGTAGGTCTTTCAAGACCGGTGTTATGTGGTCTCGGCGGCCGCCCCCAGTCACCAGTCTAGCTGCCACATTCTGGATTAATTGTAGTTTCCGGGTCACCTTCAAAGGTAGCCCCACGTAGAGCACATTGCAGTAGTCCAAATCATTCCCATTAATGATTTGTTCATCTCACACTTGTAAGTGCCTTTCACTGTCACTTTCCACACAGCAAACTGTGTGTTTTCTTAAAAGCTGTAGAGCAAGGGCTTGCCGACCTTAGGTCTCCAGCTGTTTTTTGGACTACAACTCCCATCATCCCTAGCTAGCAGGACCGGTGGTCAGAGGTGATGGGAATTGTAGTCTAAAAACAGTTGGAGTCCAAAGTTTGGGAAATTCTGCTCCAGAGTGACAGAGCACGTCAGTTCACTGTAAGTGGATGGGGAAACCCAGTGATGTGGGCAGGGTATGAATATTATTATTATTATTATTGCAAACCCGTGTTTGCAGCACTGAAGTGACTTCTCTGGGGCGCAAACCTGGGTAGTATGTATGGAAGGCCTGGGCTGCCCAGGTGAAAAGACCCTCCCCTCAGCATCACCGAGGTAGTCCAAAGGAAAGCAGAATAATACATTTGTCACCAGCTTGGCTGCAGAGGTTGCCGGAAGGAGGCCAGTATTTGCTCAAATCCCACAAAATAGTCAAGGAGCCCTGAGGTCATGTGTGTGACCTTACTCCACAACAAACCATACAACTACCGCCCGGCTTCCCCTGCAAGTAGAATGTAGTGACCTTTAATGTATATTTAAAACAATCATTCAATTTCTTTTGTGAGATGAGTATCTTGCGTCCTTCAACGTCTTCAAAAGGGCACAGCGCTATCATCTCGGTGATACGCGAGTTTATGTTGCATTTCACAGATGGATCATTTAAAAGGTTCGAAGTTAATCAAGGGGGGCGGGAATCTTTAAATCAGCAGGCACTCTAAACAGAGTCCTTTCTAAAGACTAGCCAGAGGGGGATGCCTTGTGTTTTGAAGCCAAATGAAGTTTAATATGACACAAACCGGGCTTTCCCCAACCAGGTGCCCTCCATCAGCACAGAGGAAGTTGCAGGGCTATTTAAGCCTCAGTCTGAGTGGGCTGGTTGCTGGATTTACATTCACAGAATTGTAGAGCTGAAAGGGACCCCATGAGTCATCCAGCCGAACCCCATGCAATGCAGGAATCTCAGCTAAAGCACCCACAGCAGATGGCCACACAGCCTCTGCTTAAAAACTTCCAGTGAAGGAAAATCCACCACCTTCCAAGGTAGCCCATTCCACTCTAAAACAGATCTTACAATCCAAATGTCCTTTCTGGTAATTTGAATCCACTGTTTTGGGCCCTACCCTCTTCACCACCAGAAGCCTGCCATATCTAAGTACAGTAAAGGCCTCCTTGGAGCTATCCAGCGTGCTATTGCTGCTTTGCCCGTTTGACCTCTGCCCAACCTTCCATATCTGGGCTTGCCCTCCAATATATTGGCCTTGCATTGTGGGAATCTGACCTGTGCATGACCTGATTGTGCTTCTTGGACCTGGAACTGGTATAGTATCTCGTGTCCCTGGACTCTCTGGCTTGTACATTCCCCCAATTTGGTCCCATCTGCACTGTATATCTGAAGTAGTTTTGTATCACTTTAAACAGTCATGGCTCCCCCCAAAGAATCCTGGGGGCTGCTGTTCGTTGCTTGGTGCTGAGAGTTGTTTGAAGGCCCCTATCCCCCTCACAGAGCTACAATTCCCAGAGGGAAGAGGGATTGCTTGTTAGACCTCTGTGGGGAAAATAAATAGGTCTTTGCCTGACACTGAAAAGACAGCACTGTGAGCCCCAGATAGGCATCACAGTAAATCCCACAGAAAAATATACCCACCTCTGTTATGAAGCAGCCTTCCCCAAGTCCTCCAGAAAATGCTGGGCTACAATGTAGTGTGGAGTAGTGGTTAGAGAATTGTGCTAGGACCCGGGAGACCAGAGTTCAAATCCCCACTCAGCCATGAAGCTCACTGGGTGACCTTGGGCCAGCCACCTACCTCACAGGGCTGTTGTGGGAATTAAATGAGAATGGGGAGAACCACTTGCTGTATTTATTTCTCCCAATTTGAACTATAAAATGGTGATTTTCTTGAGTCAAAATGAGAGTACAGTGGCCCTCGGGTTAAGTAGTTAATTCGTTCCGGAGGTCCGTTCTTAACCTGAAACTGTTCTTAACCTGAAGCACCACTTTAGCTAATGGGGCCTCCCGCTGCTGCCACGCCACCGGAGCACGATTTCTGTTCTCATCCTGAAGCAAAGTTCTTAACCTGAAGCACTATTTCTGGGTTAGCGGAGTGTGTAACCTGAAGCGTATGTAACCTGAAGTGTATGTAACCCAAGGTACCACTGTACCCCTAAACATTTTTTAGGGGGAAAAGCACTGGTTGTGGGAATTAAATGAGGATGGGGAGAACCACGTATGTCACCTTGAGCCAGTGTTAGAAATTAGCCACGCGCCAGGCGCGTTTTGCTACTGGTGCGGGTCCAATTGTGACCATGTGGAGATCTCGGAATGCCAGATTGGCAACTGACTTCTCCATCTGGCTGGCTCCTCCAACTTTTTAAAGCAGGTAAGCAGAAGGGTTTATTTACTGCAGTTATCTCCCACCTTTTTCTCCCAAGAGTACACCAGGCATAGGCAAACTCGACCTCCAGATGTTTTGAGACTACAGTTCCCATCATCCCTGACCACTGGTCCCGTTAGCTAGGGATGATGGGAGTTGTAGTCCCATAACATCTGGAGGGCCGAGTTTGCCTATGCCTGGAGTACATGGTTCAGCCCCCCTCCTCAGTTAATCTTCATGATGACCCTGTGAGATAGGTTAAGAGGCTGTGCCTGACTCCCAAGTTAACCCAGTCTGAAATACTTTCCTTGAAGCTTGAATTTGTTTTATTCTGGATTGTTTCATTTGATGTTTTAATGTGTTGCAAACCGCTCTGAGATGGTTTTTCTTTAAAATATAAAGCGGTATAGAAATGAAATTAATAATAATAATAATAAATTTCATTGTTTTTTAAAAAAGGCACCTAGACATTCCGTTGCGGCAACTGTAACCTAGGTAATAAGGTGTCGTTTTGTGATTTGCTTATATATGTGAGTTTCTAACGCTGCCTTGAGCTCCCGAGAGAAAAAACGGTGGGATATAAATGCAATTGATCAATCAATAAATCTGTCATTATCCCCAATTCATTGACCATGCTGATGGGCACTGGACTGCAACCACATCTGGAGGGCATCAGATTGGGAGAAACTGGTCTAAACTGTAATAGAGGGATGGGTAAGAGCAGACGCAAGGCTCCAGAAGACTAGAGAGATATTGGCGGTGAACCCCCCCAGGCTTGCAGAAGCTGAAAACAACATTTGCCATGGGGGAGACCCCCCCCAAAAAAATATCCCAGTAAGCACTGAGCATGCCCAGTGGCTCTTGAACGCCCTTTTTTGGCAGGGGGAGGAAAACCAGGTAGAATTGGGGAGATAGAATGAAGTGACTAGAATCTGAACAGAAGCACTCCCACATGTCAACGTTTCGTTTGCTGCTTGTCTCACCTCGTTTCATTCACAGCGTTTTCCGTTTTCATTGGGCGGTTTATCGTTCTCAGTTTTCTCATCATGGTCAGGTTTAATGTGAGCCATATGGACGGGGATCGGATTAGAAAGCTACGTTGAGGAAGCCGAAATTGCTTCGGAAGATTTTGGCCGTGGACAAAATTGCAGCAGTTTCTTGTTGTCGTCTTCAGGCGGATTAAATGCAGTTCAGAAAACTGGCAGGGGATTGGAAGTTTAGCCGGGGTAAGAATTGCGCAAAGGCACATCAAAGCACCTAACATTTAACTTCGCGTACAAGAATAGGGACAAAAGCTTGCAAGTCACCCACCCATCATAACACAAATCCCAAGTTAAGACCCTCAGGGAATTAGGCATTCACTGCTGAAGGCATCGTTCTGTTACAGGCTATATTTGCATGGAGGCGGAACCTGTGGCCTGCAGATATTGTTGGACTTCAACTCCCATCAGCCTCCAGCCAGCACAGCCAATGGTCAGGGGTGAAGGGAGCTGTAGTCCAACAACACCTTGCCACCTTCACATCACTTCTTCTGCAATAGCCAGCCGTCCCCTAATTGTTAAAGCCCAGAGAGTGATGGGTCTTTTGCTAACAGAAATGCTAGAAAAAATCTACCAGGCAGCTACCCAGCTCAAAATTAACCTCAGCAGCCATGGTAGGTAAAATTGCAGGCCATCCTGCTGCAAAGCACCAAAGGTATTCATGTGTATGCATTTTTTATATGCATATATGCTACCTAGACATCCAAACCTGATGACTGTGATGTGTAAAAACGCCCATAGGTGCAAAATGTGGCTGCCCAAATGCTAGTTTCAGAAACTTCAACAAGTGCTAGTGCAGGCCAGGAGGTTCAAATGCATTGCAAATTAGCTGGCATCAAGAACACTGCTTCCTGGTGCGTTTTTAAAGCGCTGATGCTAAATTGTAAAGCCCTAAATTGCTTGGGTCTGGCTTATCTAAAGGCTCGCATTTGCCTATGTGATCCTGTCTGCTTGTTCGAATCAACAATAGAGGAGCTGCTCAAGTGCAGTCCATTATTTGTTTATTTATTAAATGTGTGTACCTCCCTTCATTCGTAGATGTCCTTAGGCTGGAAAGCACAAGAGTAGGGTCTTCTCGGTGGTGGCCCCACAATTGTGTTAAACATTGTTCTTATAAACTGTTTCACTTCATACTTTTGTACTCTGCCTTGGAATCCTCTCACAAAGGGCTGTTTGTATGAATGACATGTATGGGGCTGTATTATAAAGGTTGCAATTCTGTATACGCCTACCTGGGAGTAAACCCAATTGAATTCAATGGGACTTACTTCCCAGTAGGCATGCATAGTGTTGTCCAGTAATTGTTTCCTTTCTTAGGAAGGCTTTTTTTTTAATTTGAAATTTTACAAAAAATACTAATAACGGGTTACATCTAATGCTAGTCCTATTCATCATTATTATCATCATCATTTCATTATTTATACCTTGCCCATCTGGCTGGGTCTCCCCAGCCACTCTGGGCAGCTCCCAACAGAATTAATAATAATTAAAAAGCGATAAAACATCAAACATTAAAATCTTCCCTAAACAAGGCTGCCTTCAGATGTCTTCTAAGTCAGGTAGTGGTTTATTTCCTTGACATCTGATGGGAAGGCGTTCCACAGGGTTGGCGCCACTACCGACAAGGCCCTCTGCTTGGTTCCCTGTAACCTCACTTCTCGCAGGAAAGGAACCGCCAGAAGGCCCTCGGAGCTGGACCTCAGTGTCTGGGCTGAATGATGGGTGTGGAGACACTCCTTCAGGTATACTGGGCCGAGGCCGTTTAGGGGAAACACATTGATGTTAATGGATATGACTAAGTTAGTTGTTGGTGTATGGTGTGTTCTTTATATTCTTTATATGGGACAACTCAGTCAGACGGGCAGGGAACAAGTAATAAATCATCATAATCATTATTATTATTATTAGGACTTAGGAGGATGCAACCCCATATTACAAGAGAGAGATTTCTGCTTTTGGAGCAGGAGGTCTGAGCAACCAGAACAATATGAGCTTCTAGACTACAGCAGTTGGCAACAGTTCCCTCCTTTGATGGCTCCATGAAAGCAGCTCACACTAAATTCATCAACAGCAAAGCAGGGCTGGTGGGTGGTGGTGGAGGAGGAGGATGATCTGAAGGTCCAGGAAGTAAATATTTCTTAGGCGCACTGGAGTCACCCCTGGCCCACATCCAAAAAAACAAGGGTGGGCCAGAGAGGCTGGATGAGAAGCAAGAGATCCCTTTGGAGGCCGGCCCAGCAATAGGAAAGAGATAGCTGTAGGAGACAGGGTAGCTTCCTTCTTGGAGTTGAGCTCTCCATCAAAACCTAGAAGTCTGGCACAGCTCTCCAGGTCCACCTCACAGCGCAGAGTCATAGAATTGTAGAGTTGGCAGGGACCACAAGGGTCAACCTAGTTGAACCCAGTGGCGTAGCGTGGGTTGTCAGCACCCGGGGCAAGGCAAGTAATTTGCGCCCCCTAACCCGGTAGGGGCAGAGAGCTGCGAGTGCGAGCGCGCCCCCCCCAGATGTTGCGCCCGGTGCGGCCGGCCCCCCCGCACCCCCCACGCTACGCCACTGGTTGAACCTCCTGCAATGCAGGAATCTTTTGCGCGACATGGGGCTCAAACCGACAACTCTGAGAGGAAGAGTTTCATGCTATTCCATTGTCGTCCTCTCATCTCTGCTGACCCCTGAAAGGCACCAGAAGAGGTTTAGATTAACTGTTAGGCTAAGTATTTGTTAGAGCAGGAGTGGCAATCTTGTGGCTCTCCAGATATTTTCTGAACAACCACTCCAATCCATGTTTTCTCACTGGACGTGCTGGCTCAGTTTGATGGTGGTTGGAGTGCAAAATCCGGAGAGCCACAGATTTAGCCAATCCCGCCGAAGAGCATATCCATCAGTATTGCACAGGACAGCCTTCTTTGCACAGGTGCCCACTAGGTGTACTGAACTACAACTCCCATCTCAGCCCCAGCAAATGGGGGTAGTTGTAGTTCAAAGCATTTGGAAAGCGCTAGGGTTGGTGAGATAGAGCAAAGCATGTTACCTGGTTGATGGTTCCCATTAATGCCAAGAGAAGCTTTTCTCCTGGTGCAAATAGGAGTGGCAGGGTGTATATCACTTGATCTGGCCAAATCATAGAATTGTAGAGTCAGAAGGAAGCCCCAGGGTCATCCAGTCCAACCCCCTGCAATGCAGGAATCTCAACACGGTCCCCCATCCAATCTGAAACTACACCGGACCCTGCTTAGCTTTGCAAATGTGCTACCAGTTATATTGCTGCAGCATTAGAAGGACACGTTTGTCTTAGGAATTATGACCAGTAGGGGAAAGTTAAACTTGCCTTCCCCATAAGAGGCAGCCCCGATTCAGATATATCTATCTATATATTGAAATGCAACATACAGATTACTGAAATATAGAGTTGTAGAATTGTAGAGTTGGAAAGGACCAAACCTCTGTTGGAGTCCACCACCTTCCAAGGGAGTCCATTCTACTGTTGAACAGCTCTTACTGTCAGGAAGGTCTTCCTAATGTTTACTCGGAACCTCTTATGTAGCACGAAAGTTTGTAACAGAATAGATTTTGTTTATATGCAGTCATTTAAACAGCGGACCTTGGAGACGAGTTCAAATCCCACATTAGGCACAAATTAAGGGAGAGGCCTTCCGTCAGTCTGCAAAGTGGGATACCGAACAGGGGCTGCTTAAAAAAAATAAATAAATGCATAAACACATTGCAGCAAATTTCAGTATAATTTTGGCTGACTCTCCTTATTACTCATGGCTGAGTAATGCCACTGCGTAACTCTGGTCCGAGCCAAATCTGGGTGCCAATTTCTCGGAGACAAAAGAAGATTTTGACCTTGCAAAGTGGCCATTTTCCCCCTCCACAGATGAGTTTCTGATCATCCCAGAAGTACAGGCTCCCTCTGCTGCTCAGTGTTGCAAATGCACACAACATTTATGACGGTGTTTCTGCACCAGCCATTTATAGCACAACGAACGCACATTTGTTATTCATGCTCCTCTTCCTTCAAGGCTGAGAGTCTGCCACCGGCGGCATCCCATTTTAGGAACATGGGGATGTAGTTTATCTAGCCTGGTATTGGCCACACAGACTGACAACTTGTCCACAAACTTGGTAGGGTTCTCTCTCAGCCCTAGCTGGAAATGTTGGGAATTAGGATCATAGAACTGTAGAGTTGGAAGGGACCACGAGTCATCTAGTCCAACCTCCCGGGATCTTCTGCAAGCAACGCAGACGCTCCAGCACAGAGCTATGACCTTTTCCTGATTTTGCAAGGTCTGAATGTTCTGCATAATTTTTTCCTAAAAAATACAGCTCCTCTCCTCAATTGCTCCCCACTTGCCATTGCTGCATGAGAAATGGCTGGATCTTGTCTTTGGCATCAACAGTGTTGGCCCTTGCCTTTAAAGAAGGTGGGTGGAAGCTTTGGCCTGCCAGGTGCTGCTGTACTACAACTCCCATCAGCCCCGGCAAGCATGGCCAACGGCCAAGGGTGATGGAGGTTATAGATTGGCAACATCTGGAGGGACAAGGATTCCACACAGCTGCTTTATAGTTCTAAAAGGCTTGGGACCCAAATACCTGAGCAAGCATCTTCCCGTACCTGTGTTACAACATCTGTTGTTGGGGCTCTTCTCCAGGGGCTTCGATTATCAGAGGTGCACCACTCAACTGTAGGAGAAAGGGCTTTCATTGGCATAAGCAGGGAGCCACCACCGAGAAGGCCCACCCTCTGCACCTCCCTTGGGCAGGGCACACAGAGAAGGGCCTCCTGCAGAGCTAATATTCCAGCATTCCAGGGGGTTGGATAACAATTCTATGATTCTATGAAAGCGTAGGTAAGCGACCAGAATGCTATGACCTCATTTAGGCGCTATGGGAGTTTCAGAGCTTTTGGCACACCCGTCCAAGCTCCTTTGCTTAAATCCACACGCGTGCACCTAGCAGCACTTCAGAGTTATTTTAAGCATTTTGATTCCAGCAACTGCAGTGCAGAAAGCTCCTCTCTGTTTCTACAAGTAGTTTGGAGGCTTGGCACAAGAGCGGCTGATGAGGTAAGGTATTTGGGGTTGGGAGGGGAAATGCTTGTACATTTAAGAAGACAGTTTCCATTTGGCAGACCTGTGCCAACGCCAACCCCTTCTTGGAATGCCTTTTATAAAGGCCTATAGACAATTAATTCAGGGATGTTTCAGCAGCAGGTGGGAGGGAGCAAGTGTCACTAAGCAGCAATCCTATAAACCAGGGGTGGGGAGATTTTGGCGTTCCAGAATATTGCTGAACTGCAACTCCCATAATCCCTGGCCATTCTGCATGCTTGCGGGGGGAGGGGTTCAACAACCCCCTGCAGAGCCAAAAGTTCCCTACACCTGCTATATACTATTACCTGTTTTGGCAGATGAAGCCCTATCTAGAGAATGCTGATCGAGCCACAGTGATACTCAATGACTTGTTTGCGTCCATGTTAGATTACTGTAATGTGGGGCTGCCTTGGAAAAGAGCCCAGAAACTGCAGCAGATGCAGAAAGTGGCAGCAAGACACTCAGACCATGCAATACCTAATTTGCAGCATATCCAGTCTGTTACTACAGCTGGTTTTGGCCTTTAAAGACCAGAAGGGTTTGGGATGACGTTATCAGAAGGAACACCTATGTGGGTTATGAGCCTTCTGAGGCTTTAACATCAGAGACCTTGCTCTCTGGCCTGCCAGTGGGAGCCACTTTCTCGGTGGTGGCCCCACACCTTGGGAATTCCGCCCCTTCCACCCCAGCTATGTGTGACTGGCTGTGACTTGCGGCAGGGACAATTAATCGCTTCTGTTTCGTGTATTTTGCAATAGCTGTTTTCCTGTCTTAGAGACTTGTGAGAGCAGTGTCCCTTGAAAGGTGTGTTAAAAATCTGCTGAGCAAATCATGCACGCACGTTTACCTGTGAGTTAAGTCCCATGGAACTCCTTCCAATTAAGAATTGCACTGTAAGGCCACGATACTAATACACACTGACCTGGGGGCAAAAGGGATGCAAACTCAACCAGACTTATTTCTGGGTGCATCGTATTGCGGTGTCAACACGCCTTATTTCCAGTTCGGCAGGTATAAAAATCGCGCACCTAGCGCGATGCAGTTCCTTCAACAACATGAAGATGGCATGAGCGGGAGAGCTCTCCCTGCCGCATTTCTGCCTGCCGTGCAACTCGTTAAAAAGTCAAGCGGAGAAGGAGATTGGCGGGGAAACCAATCGCAAAATGGGCATCTCCGACATCAGCCAATGCGGCGGCAGGGAAGCACAGGCCCCGCCCCAGTGAGGGCGGAAGCGCCGCGCAGGCGTCAACCGTTGAGGTACGCCCGGCCCCGTTCCTTCATCTGCCCGCAGCCAAGATGGCGCCAGGGCCGTGCTCTGCCGCGGGAACAGGGGGCGGGGCCAGCGAGCCTTTCGGCGGGAAACGAACATGGCGGCGGTTGCCATGGAGGTGGCCGGGCCGGAGAAGCCTCTGCAAGAGGAGAAACCGCGGGGAGGCGCCGCCGCCTCTTCCTCCGCAGGGAGCGGCACTTATGAATTGCCCTGGTGAGAAAGAGAAATGAGACCCCCCCCCAAAAAAGAGAGAGTTGCAGGGAGCCCCATAATGTGTAATAATAGCAGCTGGAGGGGAGTAGCATTGTCCGGGGCGGGGGCAGTTCAAATAGAAGAACATAAAGCTTCTTGGAAGGATATTACCTGGGGGACATAAAGATTGATTGGAGGGAGTCAGGGACCATCGTTTGGGGGCTGTAAGGCTGGTTTTGGGGAGCATATATATTTAGCTCTTGGAGGGCATATATTTGGCATGCAAGTAGCTGGAGGGGTATTGTTTTGGGGTGGCCATAGTGTGTGGGTTAAACTGGTTGGAGCAGCATTGCTGGGAGGAGGTTTGAATTATAGTTTTTTGGGGGGGTATAAAGTTCATAGAGTTGGAAGGAAGGGACCCCAGGGTCATCTAGTCCAACCCCTTGCAGTGCAGGGATCTCAAGTAAAGTTTTTGGCGTGCCCTGGCATGGGATAACTTCTCCAAACGTGAATGTTCACCCTGCTCAGAAATTGGGGGGGGGGGAGCTCCTTATGAGATGGAAGCAGAAGGGATTTGTAGCGTCGCAGTGCGCATGGAGGCAAAGTAATGTGCTTGCGCTTTTGCAGGTGTATGCTAGCATGCCGTGTTCGGAAGGCTTCCGGGAAAGCTATGCCATCCACCAGGCCATAGTCATTGCTATCCAAACAACTGATGCCCCATGCTTTAATTCATACTAAGCTGAAAGCATTTCCCCTTTTAAGAAATCTTCGCTAAGCCTTCACTTTGAGACTTACTCCTCAGTTGGGTTTGTTTTCTTCTGGTCTTTTATACAAGGGAGAGGCTTAATGTGTCTCATGAAATTTTTTGACACAGGGTTGAAAAATACAGACCTGTAAAGCTGTCTGAAATTGTTGGGAATGAAGACACCGTCAGCAGACTGGAGGTATGAGACAGCTTTGCTGTAACAAAGACCCCACTTTTGAGTTTCCGTAAGTGAGCTTACTCAGGAATGCAGTTTAAGTCTGTCTTGTAGATAAACCCCCCAAAGCCTACAGAGGTTTTGCTTCCTGCCCCCACCCCACCCCCAACCTGCTGGGTGCTGGCAGACAAGGGAACACCCCGACTCTAGCAGTTAAGTTGTTTAAGAACATAAGACTTGCTAGATCAGGCCAATGGCTCATCATTCATTACATATCCATTTTTATCTATTTCCCAGTAACCTAGTCATCCCCTTTTCTCTCTTTCCCTCCCCAGGTCTTTGCAAGGGAAGGAAATGTCCCAAATATTATTATCGCAGTGAGTATTGATCAAATCAATGGAGTGCCTTCTTGCAGATCTTTCCAACTGAAGATTTAATCTCAAACCTGAGCAAGGCTTAAAAATAGAGTTATTACGCACTATCCAACATGGGTCACACCCAGAGTAGACTCATTGAAATTAGTGGACATGGCTAACTTAGGTTCATTAATTGCAATAGGTTTACTCTGAATAGAAATTAGTTGGGTGAACGCCACTGGCAGTTACAAAAACAGCTACAGTGAAGACAATGTTGCTGTCGTGGGCCACAATGTACTGTTGCTTTTAATATATATACAGTGGTACCTTGGGTTACATACACTTCAGGTTACATACGCTTCAGGTTACAGACTCCGCTAACCCAGAAATAGTACCTCAGGTTAAGAACTTTGCTTCAGGATGAGAACAGTAATCGTGCTCCAGCGGTGTGGCAGCAGCGGGAGGTCCCATTAGCTAAAGTGGTGCTTCAGGTTAAGAACAGTTTCAGGTGAAGAACGGACCTCCGGAACGAATTAAGTACTTAACCCGAGGTACCACTGTATATTGTTTTTAAAGTTATCCTGCCTTGCAATTCTGAGACCTTACAAGCCAATTTACAACCAATCAAGGTTTTGTGGCTTGGGTTCTGAGCATCCAAGAGTGGGGTGGGAGTTATCTCTAAAGCAGCAGATAATCAGAATGCCCTCTGTGGACAGTGTTGGACTACCAAGTATCTTGCATTCTGTTCTCATCTCTGATGGGAAATTCCTTGTATGCTTAGATTTTACCTGTTAATCAGCATCATCATCTTAGATCATCTGTTGATGCCCTTCTTTCTGCTGGAGGTGAAGCCTGTGATACCTAAGGGACAATGGAAGATTATGGAATGCCCACCCTGGGGAGGCTAATAATTGTAATTTTATTATTTGTACCCTGTCCATCTGACTGGGTTGCCCCAGCCACTCTGGGAGGCTTCCGACAGATGTAAGAACACAAGAAAACTTCAGACGTTAAAAACCTCCCTATACAGAGCTGCCTTCAGATGTCTTCTAAAAGTTGTATAGTTATTTATCTCCTTGACATCTGATAGGAGGCTGTTCCACAGAGCATGTTACTAATTTTTAGGTGCTTTGCATTTTATTTGGCTCTGCATTTTACATGTCAGGAGCGTTTTTATACTCTACTGACCCTTATTAGCTGGCTTCTTTTATTGCGATCTTTGTATTTTATTTTAAATGTGCAAACCAACCTGAGGACTTCTTTATATGAAAGGTGATGATATACAAATGTTTTAAATGTTGGAATTCCTAAAGGTCTGGTTGTTTTGAATATGAGTGTGTGTGTGTGTGTGAGAGAGAGAGAGTTGGCTAAATCTTTGGGCAATCTTTCTTGTGTTGGAAGGGTCCTCCAGGAACTGGGAAAACCACCAGCATCCTCTGTCTGGCACGTGCCCTTCTTGGGCCTGCGTTGAAAGAAGCTGTCCTGGAGCTGAATGCATCAAATGACAGGCAAGTCCAAAAGGATTCCAGTGGGAATTGGGTCATGCCTGGCTTTGCCATGAAGCAACACAAAGTTGTTGGCAGATTCTAGAGGAAGTGCTGTCTCTGTGTCCTCAATCATCTCTGTGTGCTGTTGGCTTTGTTTTTGTTTTTTTAATGCTCTGGTCCAGTGTGTATTTGTGTAATTCTGACATGATTTCCCCTCCTACACCCTACTTCTACTTCCTCAAAGCCTTACCCAAAGGTCTTTTGGATTTCTGAGTAAACCCCGCAGCAGGCTTTCGGGCCCTTGTCCACCTTGGCGGGACTCCTTAGTTGAAAACAAATCTAAGGGTTGCGTCCACTGTTCCAGTTGTGCACGGACTTGTGCAAAAAAACTTCTCCCCCCCCCCCCCCCAGTGCCTTCTTGATTTCTTTGGAGCCGTAACTTTTCTGCACCAAAAACTGAAAGAAGATGGCATTTTTCTCATTTCTTTTTTTAAGAAAATATTTTCTCCCCCATAAAACTTGCTGTCTGTGACCCACAGTTAAATAACAATTGGACCTTCTTCTTCCAGAGGCATTGATGTTGTGAGGAACAAAATCAAGATGTTTGCTCAGCAGAAGGTGACACTTCCAAAAGGCCGGCATAAAATCATCATATTGGATGAAGCTGACAGGTGCACGAATCTTTCTTCTAAACCAGGTGTGAGGAACCTTTGGCAATCAGATGTTGCTGAACTATGACTCCCGTCAGCCTGAGCAGGCCTGACCAGCAGGTGTTGTACTTCGGCAGCATCTGGAGGGCCAAAGATTGCCCACAACTGTTCCAAACCTCTGCACCACATTTGACACTCTTTGCGTAAGTTCTCGTGTGTTTCAAGGGCTGCCTGCCTCTGTCATGAGAAAGATCAGCGCTCCTTATCTCACAGTGCTGAAATAACTTGAGAGAACCATGCCGCCACTCCTCCCCTTCTCACACTGTTGTGTTGCTTGGCACCAACTTGCACTCTGCTGAAGCATCACAACAAATTCTAGTTGAGGTTTCATCCCTGTGCAAGAGGCATTGCAGGGAACAGTAGCAGCAAACAGCAGGCTCAAAGGGTTATTTACTTGTCATTATCTCACATCCCATATCCTAAGGGCAAGCTCATTCTCAGAGTGTTTATATGGCATGATCTGCACACAGGAGGGAGGTATCAGCAGGCTTGGGGAACCCCAGAGTTTCCAAAATGAGAAAGAGAGAGACCCTAACCAGGGGAAATCCCAAAACTTCTGGTGAGGTCTGAACATAGTAAGTGGCTTGAAATTCTGACTTACTGCCAGGGAACACATTGTTTATCAGCTGGGTGTCTGGTGGAATAAAATATTATACCGTAGAAGAGAACAGGAGCGTCCCCACCCCCATCATCCAGCCCAGACACTGAGGTCCAGCTCTGAGGGCCTTCTGGTGGTTCCCTCCCTACAAGAAGTGAAGTTACAGGGAATCAGGCAGAGGGCCTTCTCGGTAGTGGCACCCGCCCTATGGAACACTCTCCCATCAGATGTCAAAGAGCTAAACCATTACATGACTTTCCATACACATCTGAAGGTGTATCAGGAACTTTTTAATGTTTGGTGTTTCGCTGTGTTCTGTTATAATCTAATGGAAGCTGTCCAGAGTGGCTAGGAAAACCCAGTCAGATGGTTGGGGTTCAAGTAATCTATTATTATCACCATCATTATTATTATTATTATTATTATTAATTACAAAACTGACACATTTTGGCAAGCTTCTGTGACTTAAATTATCTTACGTTTCTCCCCACATCCCCAACTAGCATGACAGATGGAGCCCAGCAAGCCCTGAGACGAACAATGGAAATTTATTCCAAAACAACTCGCTTTGCTCTTGCTTGCAATGCTTCCGATAAAATCATAGGTAAGAGCTTTCAGCCACTTGGGGTAGGTGGCATAGATCTCTTTCAGTAGTTCACACCACATGCTGCCTCCCTCTTTTGTGCAGCTCTGGTCTGGCATAGTGTAGAAGCTAAGGCAGAATCAGGAAGTTAGTTCACATCTCACCTTGGGTGTGAACTCACTCGGATACCTTAGGCAAACCACACACAGGCATAATCATGTTGACCTGATCTGCAGGTAGGGCTGGGAATTCGCCTTCACAAGTGCAGTGGCAGAGGACGGGGGGTGCGGGCTGCCCCGGGTGTCATCACCAAGGGGGGTGACAAAATGACAAAAAAATGAGTTTTAAAAAATATTTTTTTAAAAAAATGGGCTCACGGAACTTTTTAGTTCAGTCAACAAACATAACGAAACACGGCTGGCATTGGGCGCCACACCACGGGGGCCAGCACTTACCGCGGGGCCTGCAGTGTGCCTGAGACACGCGTCTCTCCTGGGAGTGACATGGTGGCTTGGGCACCTGCAGGCTTCCCACTGCCTGAAACAGCAGCGTGGGACTTGCGTCTGCCCTCCACCTCTCCCTCAACCACCCTACAGCTGAGGGGGAGGCGGCAGAGAGGCTCCACGCAGTGTGCCCCGCCCTCATGGGAGGCTCACAATAGGTGGCTGGCTGCACCCCACCTGTCAAACTTGACCTGCCTGGGTAGGCAGGTAAGGATGGAGCCTCCTGGCCAGATTCTGTTCCCTACCACTGGTGTGGGTGAACCTGCAGTCTGGTTGTTTTAAGGAAGTTTCCTAGGCTCCCGAAAGGCAGGATCTCACCTGTCCTTTCTCCCTCTGTCTGTCCCCCACCAGAACCCATCCAGTCTCGCTGTGCGGTGCTCCGCTACACCAAGCTGACGGACGCTCAAATCCTTGCCAGGCTGATGAAAATTGTCGAGAAGGAGAACGTGCAATATACAGACGATGGGCTAGAAGCCATTATCTTCACGGCCCAGGGGGACATGAGGCAGGTGAGCAAGGAATCGAAACCATCCTTCCACAGCTTTTCTGTTTCATGTTATTAACTAAGCAGTGTGGCTTTGCAGCTGTCAGTTTCCGAGGCCCCACGGTTCGAGGAAACCAAGCTCCGGCCGTAGCCGGAGGGAGCAGACATTCTGCAGAGAGCTTGTGGTCTCCGCTGCAGACAGGGTAGTGCAGCTGGGCTTGCGATGTTTCCAAAACCACAGAGAGAACTCCGTGTTGCCAAAAAGCAACTGATCTAAACCTCTGTGACTTTTATGTCAGCCCCACTCTAAAGTGGGGGGTGCAATGGGGAACTCCAAGCCTCAGAATCCAAACTGCAGAGGTCCTTCCCAGGCCACGCCCCCTGATGACACACGAGCTGCTGCACCCCACAAGTGTCTTCCTGAGCTCCTACATTTCCCCCGCCTTCCTTCCTTTGGCATCTCTTGGAGGGTGAGGAAAATGAGAGACCAGAGGCAGGCTGGCAGACAGGGAAGCTCAGAGAGCCAGTCGTGGACTGCAGCAACCCTTGCTAGCTCCCTTGTCAGCCCACTCTCTTCCATCATTGGCAGTTTGCTGCATTTCCATGCACACAGAGTGGAAGCCAAGATCTGTGTGTGCGCATGTGAGCGCACACACACACACACTTTGGCCCCACCTACCACCTGTATGTGGACCCTAACCGCTTCTGCCAAGGGACTGGGACTTTAATGTTCCGTGAGCAACGGATGGCTCTTGCACAGGGTCACAAGCAACTTCAATCCAGCTATCCCATTCTGATTAGCAAATAGAGCCTGGGTGGAACCTGCAGCCAAATCTTTGCAGAAAGATCCAGAAGGCCTTGGTGGCCAAAACCCATGCTATAAAGAAGGGGAATCCATCAGGCCAACCCTCACATGAGCAGAGAGCTGGTGTAGTGTGAAAAAAAGAAAAAGTCTGCTTGGCTTGACCTTGCACACAACTGCAGTTTGCTCCTGCAGGAGAGCCAAACTTTATATACTTCAGCAACACACCAGCCTTTCGTTCTGCCAGACAAAGAGTACTGAATAACTTGGAAGATCTCCATCACTTAAGTTCATTTTTTAAAAACTCTCTTTTTGAAACAGGCGCTGAACAACTTGCAGTCTACCCATTCTGGATTTGGCTTTGTCAACAGTGAGAACGTGTTCAAGGTCAGCAAAAGCGTTTTCTCCTTCTCTCTTTAGCCTGACCAGATGCAGAGGAGAGTCTGCGGGGCTCCTGTATTTTTCAGGACCTGCATTGAAGAGAGGACAGGGTGTAGGTGGTCCTGTGGCTTTTCCAGGGCCAGAGGGACTTGTGCAGTTCAGAAGCTTGCTTCATGCATGGAATGCCTTCTTGCCCGGTTTGTTTATTCTCAAGACATTGAACCTCTCCGTTGGCTAGCTGGATTCTTCTTTCCACAGGTGTGTGATGAGCCCCACCCTTTGCTGGTGAAGGAGATGATTGGCCACTGCATCAGCGCCAATATCGATGAAGCATACAAGGTGAGTTCAAGGGAAGCGTTCAAGCTCTTGCCACCCCACCCTATGGATGCATCATATTCTGGGCAGCCATGACACAGAGCCAGTCGAGAGAGCAGTGGTCATGGATTGAGATCCTGCCTCTACTTTTGTGTTTGCACATTTGCTGATTATATTGCTTTTAATTTACAGTGGTACCTCGAGTTACAAACGCCTCAGGTTACAAACACTTCAGGTTACAAACTCCACTAACCTGGAAGAGTTACCTTGAGTTGAGAACTTTGCCCCAGGATGAGAATGGAAATTGTGTTCCGGCGGCGCAGCGATAGCAAGACGCCCCATTAGCGAAAACACGCCTCTAGTTAAGAACAGTTTCAGGTTAAGAACAGACCTCTGGAACGAATTAAGTTCGTAACTAGAGGTACCACTGTATATCGTCAAACTGCTGCTAAGAGATGAAGATAAATATGTTAGATATATGGGGGTTTTTTTTAACGATTTGTACTCCTTCCTGGTCCAGATCCTGTCCCACTTGTGGAGGCTTGGTTATTCTGCTGAAGACATCATCGGCAACATCTTCAGAGTGTGTAAAACCTACCAGATGGCTGAGTATTTGAAGCTGGAGTTCATAAAGGTAGGTTCTGGGGGAGGGTTGTCAGTGTAAGCTGTAGCATTGAGATGTCCAGCCATCCGGTCGAGAGGGGAATCTGCTTAGCACTTGAATGCTTGTGTCTCAATTTCTCCACACAAGACATCATGGAAGGTGTGAACATAGTGGACAAAGAAGGCTTTCTCCCTCCTTCATAACACCAGAGAACTTGTGGACATCCTGTGAAGCTGAATGATGGAAGATTGAGCATAGACCTGCGTTTTCCAAACCTGAGCTGTTTGGACTACAACTCCCATCATCCTTAGCTAGCAAGCCCAATGGTCAGGGATGATGGGAATTGTAGTCTGAAACAGCCGGAGACACAAGTTTGGGAAATGCTGATATAGACAAAAGAAAGTACTTCATGCAGCATGAAGTTAAATGATGGAATTTTCTGCAACAAGAGGCAGTGGAGGACAGCACCTTCGATGGCTTTATAAGACAAATTCATGGAAGATAAGGCAATCAGGATGCCTCTGAATACCAGTTACGTAATAGGAATTTCAGGTGGGGAGAGTGCTGCTTACCTCGGGTCCTGATTGTGGGTTTCCCATAGGTGTCTGGGTGGCCACCTTTAGAATAGGCTGCTGGTCGAGATCTTACATTCTTATCTGGGATAGCCTCTTCACACATGCACATGTAGAGACTTGCTTCTCTAAGTCTGTCCCCGCAGCAGACCATGCAAATACACAGTGCAATCCTCTCTGAAATAAGTGGAATGAACATCTTGGATTTATATCACAAACAGTAAGTTGAGCAGCATGACCGAGATGCTCTTATTTGGCATCACTTAGTGCAGAGATGGGACGCGGGTGGCACTGTGGGTTAAACCACTGTACCGCTTGGGCTTGCCGATCAAAAGGTCGGCAGTTCAAATCCCCGTGACGGGGTGAGCTCCCGTTACTCGGTCCCAGCTCCTGCCAACCTAGCAGTTTGAAAGCATGCAGTGCAAGTAGATAAATAGGTACTGCTCCAACGGGAAGGTAAACAGCGTTTCAGTGTGCTGCTCTGGTTTCGCCAGAAGCAGCTTAGTCATGCTGGCCACATGACCTGGAAAAACTGTCTGTGGAGTGGACAAACGCCAGCTCCCTTGGCCTGTAAAGTGAGATGAGTGCCACAACCCCAGAGTCGTTCGCAACTGGACTTAATTGTCAGGGGTCCCTTACCTTTAGTGCAGAGATACAAAAGTTAATTAGGAAACCGAAGCTGCCTCCCTCCCCTCCTAGGTTCTGATATGTCCACAGGCATTTCCTCACACATTTGTGTAAGATCTTTCCACCAGGAGGGCTAAAAGCATTTATTAAAAAAATTCCCTTAATGAATGTGGAGGTGCTCAGGAAGTCATGTCCTTTTCCAGCTGCAAAAAAAGGCCCTTGATCTTGAGGTCATGGTTTAGGGATATGTGTGAGCCCAGAGGTACTCTTTCAACCATATTTCCTTGCATGTGTCTCAGAGTTCTGTGTTTTCTCTCAGCAGAGAAAAAAGGTAGACTAGCTGGATCTTAAATGTCTTTTTGTATGGTTAGGAAATCGGCTATACACACATGAAGATAGCGGAAGGAGTCAACTCACTCTTACAGATGGCAGGACTGCTAGCCCGGCTTTGTCAGAAGACAGCGGTTCCTACAGCGAGCTGAAGCCATGGATGAGAGATGGACCTTGTGAGGAGGGAAAACTGCAAGTGAACCAACCTGTTTGTGTAACAGGTGTGGGCATTTGGAGTTGCACTTGGCAATTTGGATACAGTTGTCAAAAATGTTTGTGTGAACACATGTGAGGTGTAGGGATTATTTTTTTTCCACTTCAGACGAAATAAAGTTTGATATAAAGCTGAAGACCTCTCATTTCGCTGTATTGATAAGATTACCACAATCAGTAAAAGCAGGTGCCTTTTAAAATTTTCCCTCACCTGTACTGCTCTGAGATCTGTGGCTGAAGGGTGATATACAAGTATAATAATGATGTCTTCTTCTTTGGTGATCACTCATAGCCGAGTAAGATTGTCTTCCATGAACACAGTGACTGTGGAGGCCGATGATGATACCGTTTTTAAGGACCTGGGTAGCACATCTATCTTCTCATGAAAGATGTTTGCTCAGTTAACCTTCTACATCAGGGTTTCCCAAACTTGGGTCACCAACTGTTTTTGGACTACAATTCCCATCATCCCTGACCACTGGTCCTGCTAGCTAGGGATGATAGGAGTTGTAGTCCAAAAACAGCCAGAGACCCAAGTCTGGGAAACACTGTACATAATGCCCTTTTAAAAAAGCATTCAGTGCAGTTGAAGCATCTGCTGATCTTTACTAGTTGAAGGAATATCTTAACATTGCTCCTGGGAACAGATGTAGACCTGCTGACATAATCCTTTTGTTGTTGTTTTAAACACCCCCAAGCAATTTGATATTGTCAGCAAACTTGACTGCAGCCTCGCTGGTCATATCTGGATCATGGAGAACAGGATACAGCTAGCTGTTAATCAGGTGATACCACAGTGAAATCAGATGCCCCAAAGGAACATTTTTCCTTTGTTGGAACAGTTTGACCCGTGCCTGCAGAGGGAAGATCCTTTGCATTGAATACAAGCCAGTGGTTCAATGGGGGGGGGGGGATTGCATGGCAGTTAAGCTCATTGACTCAGAGGTTCCCCCCATCTTTGTCTGCTCTGGACCATTCATGGACAAGTTAAAAAACACAGGTCCCAATTGCAGTCCTCAGTTGACTCTACTTCCTACAGCCCTCCATTGGGAGAACAGCTTCTACTATCTTCATCTTGTTGCTTAACTAGCTTACTGAGCCATAAGAAGACCTATCCTCTTACCCTATAACTGCTGAACGTGCACTTTGTAGACCACAGGGGCCTCGGAAAAGATATAGACCACACTAAGTCGAAGTCTCTCTATTTCTTTCACAAGAGATCCACCCACTCGTTCTTCTGCTAAACGATAAATGTTGAACTTGCATTGCAAGCTAAAACAAACGCAGCTAGAATTAACTCACCGGAGGAAAGTGAAGATATTGTCACAGGACGAACTACAGAACTGTGCTACCAGTCTGTGCAGATACAACACTCAGAAGAATTATTTTTTATCCCTACTTGAAGAACTAGGGCCTGAAACCATATTTTCACCAATCAGAAGCTAATGGTTGTCCATGCCTTGTATTGGCCGAGGGAATAAAGATTTATCGGGATCTGTTACTAGGCAGAAGGGCAATAATTTCACTCCCAATTATTCAACCATTGCAGCGCCCACATAAGGCTCCCCCACTCTGGGGGGCTTTCAAAATTACACCGTAAATGGCACTACTCTGGAGTAACCTCAACTTCCCAGATGATATTGGGACACATTCCCCACCCCAGCAGAACAGTTAAATCTCTTGCTGTGAATTATACACTGGGGTTGCTTGCTTCTTTTATTTTCTAAACTGCTTAGAATACAATAGACTTTGCTCTGGCTAACAGACAGAACAAATAAAGCAAGAAAATGAAATGTAGATTGCCATTTGCTCATACTTCATTTATGAACAATCTCTCTCCCCCTTAACACACGCACACACTTTCCAGTGGACTCTTTTTGGAGAGTGGCCTGCCTTGGTGAGGTGCACATCGCTGAATTTGCTTGAAGCTGAACTGCAAGGCAGGAACTAGCTGCAAGTGGCCAGGTTCCCTGGACTGTAGAATGAACGACTGCCAAAGTTCTCTTCGCCAGCTCTTAGGCAGGAAACCTAAAGGGAAGAGGGTGGATAGATAAGAGGACTCTTTACAACCTCGGTGAGTTTTAGGGGATCTTGTAAGTCGAATCCCCCATTTGATGCATCCCAAATAGATGGCCATCCAGCATGTACTTCAAGACATCCAACAACCAAGAGGTCCTCCATCCCTTTTGGGTCATTTTGTCCCATTGTTGAACTTTTCTTGCAGTCAAGATGCTGCTTCTGTTGCAAGAGACCCACCCCACTCATTCTTCCTGCGGGCAACTTAAGTGAATCTAGTCCTGCCCTCCGGGGCAGCAGCAGAGACCAACCTTCACCGATATGGAAACCATTCAGATATTGCAACTTTGCAATCATCTTCGCTCAGTATTCTTCTTCAGGCAATTCCTCCAACCTTTCCTGGTCAGACCTTTCCCTCCATTGCCCTGTCCTGAACCTGTTGTAATTGATCTGTACTCTCAAAAGTATGGGCCCCCAAACAGGACACAGTGCTCCAGAAGAGGTGTAGTGGTTAAGAGTGGGGAACCAGGTTCTTGTCCCCGCTCCTCCACCTGCAGCTGCTGCGTGATCTTGGGCCAGTCACACTTCTCTGAAGTCTCTCAGCCTCACTCACCTCAGAGTGTTTGTTGTGGGGGAGGAAGGGAAAGGAGAATGTTAGCCGCTTTGAGACTCCTTCGGGTAGTGATAAAGCGGGATATCAAAGCCAAACTCTTCTTCTATTGCAGTAAAATTACTACCTATTCTGACTTGGAAACCATGGCTCTAGGAACTCAAAAACGGCATTAGCCTTCCTCGCCGCGACATGTTCTGCTTGCAAACAACTGCAATCCTGAGCTCTTGCCTGACATGTTATCATCTCCATCCCTTCCAAGTTCTATGCATCTGGATTTGGCCGGTTGTATGGGGCATCCCCAGGTTTTCCTAGGTTTGAGGCTTTTCCCATTTCTTTTCTCCCTTTTGGGTCTCCCCACCCCAAAACGTGGGAGGCTGTGAAATAACTGAACTAAAGGATTGGCTCAGAGCTCCAAAAAAGTTTGAGAAGAAGGATGCGAGAAGCTCAAGTCACTCCAGCCTAGTCTTGTTTACACAGGATTGGGCAACTTTTTCAGAGCTGAAGGCCTCATTCACTTGGAGGAAAGTGGTCAGGGGCCACCAACCAATGGCGGTGAATCAAAGAAGAAAAGTGAGTGGAACACCCCTTTTCTCTCCCTTATTCAACCATCACCATTTTCTTCCATTTTCTTTTGTGGAACATAGGGGAGGCATCAAAGGAGATGGAGGGCCAGTAGCAGCTGCAGATTGCCAACCTGTGGGCTACTCTGACAGCAGAACAGAAAGGGGAAGAGCCCTGGCTCAGTGGTAAAGCAGCTGCTTTTGATGCTAAAGGTCCCAGGTTCAGTTCCCAGTGGCATCTCCAGGTGGGAGAAACTCTTAACTGCTGCTAGCCAGGATAATCTATGGAGCTAGTCAGCCCACTTAGTATAGATGGCAGCTTCCTATATAGCTCTCCCGACATCTGAGCTGAAGGTCTTTCCTCGGTGCTGTATACCTGAAGGAGCGTCTCCACCCCCATCATTCAGCCCGGACACTGAGATCCAGTTCCGAGGGCCTTCTGGCGATTCCCTCACTGCGAGAAGTGAGGTTACAGGGAAGCAGGCAGAGGGCCTTCTCGGTGGTAGCGCCCGCCCTGTGGAACGCCCTCTCTTCAGATGTCAAGGAAATAAGCAACTATCCTACTCTTAAAAGACACCTGAAGGCAGCCCTGTTTAGGGAAGTTTTAATGTTTAATGCTGTGTTGTGTTTTTAATATTCAATTGGGAGCTGCCAGAGTGGCTGGGGAAACCCAGCCAGATGGGTGGGGTATAAATAATAAATAATAAATTATTATTATTATTATTATTATTATTATTATTATCCTAATCTTGCTGCCAGCAGTCCAGTTCACTCATGCAAGAAGTATGAGGTGACAGAAAGTACTGGACCACTTCAGACTATAGGGGATGGATAGCAATTTTTTTTTAATGCTCACACTAACAAAAAAAACCCTCCCTGCAACTAAAAAAAATCACAGCAGGCAAAGGACGGGGCTTGAAGCTCTGTCCTTGGTGTGCTAGATTTCTAACTGCAAGGAGTCCCCTTGCCGCACTCTATATTAGGCAGGTTTTGCATCTGGGACCTTAGGGGTATAACTACATGCTCTTAACACTGAACCATTGAACAAAGTGAGCTGAGGGAGAAGCCATCGAAAGTTCTCAAGCAGACAGTGACTGCGTGCAGACTTCCTCTCCATATGTTTTGGACCACAACTCCCACTAGCCTGAGACCACATGTGCTGGCTGGGGCTGATGAAAGCCATAGTTTAAAACATCTGGAGGGGAGCAGCTTGTGGAAGCTTGCTTTACACTCGTCTGCCAGAGGCAGGGAGAAAAAAGCAGACACACACATATAAATTACCTGCAGTTTGGATGTGAATTGATGTAATCTGATTCATCGTCGTCAGAGTCTTCTGGTTTGAGAAAAACATTCCAGGGTTGGTCCAAGACATTTTTGATGTAAAAATCTCCACATGTCTCCCTCCCAATCATGCACTAATTAGCTAGGGGCATGATCTACCACAACTTCATTCTGCTGAAGTAAAGTGGTCTTGGGCAGTTTATTGTGTTCATCCTAGGAAAACTTCCCAGATATCTGAGTCCTATAGATGCAATAGCTGACTTCAACCATCAAACTAAACCGTAGTTCAGTCCAGTGGTACCTCAAGTTACAGACGTTTCAGGTTACAGACTCCGCTAACCCAGAAATAATACCTCAGGTTAAGAACTTTGCTTCAGGATGAGAACAGAAATCGTGTGGCGGCAGCAGGAGGCCCCATTAGCTAAAGTGGTACCTCAGGTTAAGAACAGTTTCAGGTTAAGAACAGACCTCCAGAACGAATTAAGTTCTTAACCCGAGGTACCACTGTACAATGCAAACAGGCCATACAGCAATTTAAATGCACAGATGCAAATTTAGTTCATCTTTCAGAAGGGGAAAAACAAAACTCTGGCTTTTGTTATCAGGGCTTACTTTTACGGGCTGGTAGATCAATACAATCCATTCCATAGCTAGAAAGCAGGAAAATGCTTTATGTGCAGAGCAGATAGCTCAAGAAAGTTAGCCAAGTCACGCATGACATGCATCATGTCATCAAAGAATTGAGATTGTAGATGATTTCTAAGAGAATTTGCAGCCCATCGTTCACCTGCAATCTGCGAGTGCTTCCATATCTGGATCGTCGTGCTGTTTTCATAGACATCCACATCTGCCAAGACTACAGAAAGGAAAGAGAATCCAGTCAGGGGAGGGAGCTGAAATTATTTGATTATTATTATTACTACATAAAATGTCTCGAAGCAACTTACAATTGTAAAAAGAAACAAGCAAAGAAACAAACAAACAAACAAACAAACAACTGCAAGGACTTAAAATGTCAAACAAGATGAAGATTGCCGGCTGAGCAAATCTCATCCAGGTCCTATAGGTAACCGGTTAGGCAACTAGGATTCTTGGGGAAAGAAGCAATGGCTGCTCTGAAACAATTGCATTGAAACAATTGCATTGTTTGTTCGCAGGCTTACTTCCAAACTTCTTTTCTCTCGACCCCATCATAGACTCCTCTGTATTTAATGGCTCTGAGTGCCATTCCTTATGTAGCCAAAATGGCACCACCCACATTCTGGAGGGATGTCTCAGCAGACTTGACCCCATGGAAACCGAAAGAGCAGCCCAACGAGGGCTGAGCATGCTCAGTGGCCCACATTCCCCACCACAACTATGCAGTGCTAGCTGGTTATTACAGGGGTACGTGTGTAAAACTGGGAGAGGAAGGAGACTGGAGTGTGTGCTGGTGGGCAAGGTCATGTGGTTCGCTTGTGAGGGAACCGCCAAAAGGCCCTCAGCATCCAGGCAGAACAATGGGGATGGAGACGCTCCTTCAGGTATACTGGGCCGAGGCCGTTTAGGGCTTTAAAGGTCAGCACCAACACTTTGAATTGTGCTCGGAAACGTACTGGGAGCCAGTGTAGGTCTTTCAAGACCGGTGTTATGTGGTCTCAGCGGCCACTTCCAGTCACCAGTCTAGCTGCCGCATTCTGGATTAATTTCAGTTTCCAAGTCACCTTCAAAGGTAGCCCCACGTAGAGTGCATTGCAGTAGTCCAAGCGGGAGATAACCAGAGCATGCACCACTCTGGCAAGACAGTCTGCAGGCAGGTAGGGTCTCAGCCTGCGTACCAGATGGAGCCGATAAACAGCTGCCCTGGACACAGAATTAACCTGTGCCTCCGTGGACAGCTGTGAGTCCAAAATGACTCCCAGGCTGCGCACCTGGTCCTTCGGGGGCACAGTTACCCCATTTAGGACAACAAATTATAATCCTTATTAACAAGGCTGGGCTGATGAAATTATGCCTGGTGTTTAGAAAGTGGAGAGATAAACACCCTAGTAAATAGAATTTACCAAGCCCACTGCTTCTTGATGGGCCAGCCACGTTTTGATAAGAGTAGGTATCTTCATCTGAAAGAGGAAATATTTGAGAATCAACATAGCATAAAAAAGAAGCCTAGTATCGATTAGGTGCTTGGCTGAATGCATATAGGAGGAGGGATGTGGTCGTGTGTCCCCGACCCAGCCCCTGGGTGCGCTGAGCACGGTATCTCCAGGACCCTCCACACATCCAAACTGCACACCCTTCATCTATGTATTCTTGTCTCGTCCACTTACCACTGGATTGCCTTACGAAACTCCCACAGTTGTAATAAATATCTGCATCGATTGGTTTGCTAGAAGAGGGAAGAAGAGGGAGGGGGGCAGGAAATCCTTATGGAGTCAGAAGGAAGGATTTCCACCCAAAGCTCAATATTTTGGCTACCGAAAAGGCACTGTGACTTGCCCAGGAAGCATTTGCTACGCAGCTCCAACATTTATTTATCACTGGCACCTCCATATGAAATGCCACAAAAAGACTAAAAACACAGTATTACAATAAAGCCGTCAGGCACACCTGCAAGAGCCGGTTGGGAAATAATCTTAGGCCCGAAAGGCCTGTCAGAATAATACAGTTTTTAGAAAAGCGAGCAAGGGTGGCTCCTGGTGAACTTCTATTGGCCAGGAGTTCCACAGGGCACTGTCCTGACATACTAAAGGCTTGGTCCCTGGTACAGGGAGCATGTGAGACCAGTAAAGATGGCCTACACTCCTGCATTATTGTGCCTGTTTTCTGAGGTGAAGTGCTAAGAAGAACGTAAGAAGAGGCCAGCATCCTGTTCTCACAGTGGCCAACCAGTTGCCCAAGAGTCCTCTCCTCTTCTGCAGTTTCCAGCTGCTGGTATTCAGAAGCAATAGTGCCTCCAACTGTGAAGGCAGAACAGAACAATCCTGGCTAGCAGCCATTTGTAACCTTCATCTCCATGAATTTGTCTATTCCTCTTGTAAAGCCATCCAAGATGGCGGTGTTGTGAGAGGCAGGAGGCATTGGAAGAGGCCATAGCTGAAATGCTTTCCACCCCAGTGACAACGCCAAGCGTTTTGAGACTCTCTGGGCCAAAGAAATACAGTTTTTTGATGGACCACTCTTTCCATCTGACCCTAGAAGCCTTCCGAAGGAAGCCGCTTCCAGAAGACCTCATAGGGGGCACAAAAAGACTGTGGGAACAGTTTGATAAATATTCATGTAGGGCAGTTTAGGGGCTAGTTTTGGGTGTGAAGCTACTGGATATTTTTTACCAGAGCTTTATGCTCCCTTCAATATTGATGTACATTAAAGGAACTGCTAATTTGGGTCGATTTGTTTTTTAAAAAACGTTACGCTGCAGCGACATTATACTTTTCATTGTGTACCCTTATGGTACTACTGAATTTAGACTGTGAACCATAGAATCATAGACGTGGAAGAGTTGGAAGGGGTACCTGAGGATCATCTAGTCCAACCCCATGCAATGCAGGTATATGCAGCTGCCCCATACGGGAGCAACCTTGGCATTATCAGCGCCATGCTCTAACCTTTAATTTGAATTCAGCCTGATCTTTTATTTCCCTTCTCTTCCCTCCCCCTCCCCTTTTTTGAAGATCACCCGCTCTGAGACCCCACAGCTAATTCTCCCCTGGCCTCCTCGCTGGCCCAAGTAGGACCAATTCAGCCAGCTAGCCCTGGGGATTATCTAATTGATTTTTGAATTTTATTGTTATTCATGTTTTTATACTGTATTTTATGCTCCTTTTATAATCACATGTTTTAAATTTGTTGTTAGCCGCGCTGAGCCTGGTTTTTGAACCGGGAAGGGCAGGGTATAAATAAATATTTATTTTATTTTATTATTATTACCAACTGAGCTATGTTGAGTGCGGAGGCATTTGTGGAATTTATTATAAGAAGGTATTGGCTATGACCAAGATTTCACGTGGCCCATGTAGGGGGGAAAACGGAGTCTGCTGTGCCTAAGAGATCAGGAGAGTTTCAAAATAAGCAAAACACCCTCCCCTCCTGCCCCCAAAGCCTACTGCAATCCTGGACTTACATATATGCAGGATCTTGCTCCATCTGCAGCACTGAAAGTACAATTGAGTGACCGTTAGCTTGAAGGCCATGCACATCATCGAGATAAAATTCAGAAAACTGTGCTGAGGTTTCACCTCCAAATCCCAGTGGTGCTGGGACCAAAGTATATGGCAGAGGATGGAGAGATGAGTTCATCCAACAAGCCCTCGCACACAGGGTGAGGACATAAGATGGCTTTGCTCTTGGCAAGGGAGAGGGGACAGGGCAGGGCGGTGAGAGAGTTGGGGCAATGCGTCTCTTGAGCAGAAGGATTCTGCTTCGGGACAATCCTGGCTCATTCTCCTCCCATGCTCAGTGGCGGTGGCACTGGAGGCAGGGAAGCGGGACACTCTCGGATGAAATCAGAAGCTGGGATAGCTTCTGTAATTCTGTGCATGGTCAGGGGAAATAGGGACACTTGATGGGTATGGTACTGTTGACTCATGAAAGAAACAACAGAGGACCATTTATGGGGAAAGGGATACCCTTCATGGGTATTCCATCTTCTGATTGCACACACCCCAGTTTTGCACAAATCCTGGCCTCTTGTAGTCTCTTGGAAACAGTGGCCGAAGGGGGCTGGATCCCCTCTAGCCCTCTGAAATTTACCCAGCACCCGTCAGTGCTCAAATCACAGCATCCGTTTCCTTTACCTGCGATATGCTGAAGTAGCGCACTTACCTTTTTCAGTATTTTGATACCTGGGCTCAGGGCAGGCTTCTGAAAAGAAAAACCATGACTGGGTGTGATGAAGTTTTGCCTGTTTCAGCCTGTGTTTGGCATGCGTTCGTTCATAATCCCACCTCGCCCCATTTCAACATTTACTTTTAAATCCACATGATATGAATACTATTTAAACACACATTGTTCGGGCACAACATACTGACAAATGTATTTTATGCGAATGCGTGCATTTGTCAACATTTTGTTTATCCTTTGAGATCCACTTGTGTACTTCAGTACTAAAAGATAAGAAAAAAAGGCAAAATATGGAAAGTGCAAAATCTGAAGAATGGTTCTATAATGGTATGGGGTTGCTCGTGCGTAAGTTGCCGCCTCTCTCCCTGCTATGTTGCCTTGTTAAACCTTTCTGTCTGGACAGTCCTTCAATTCGTGGCTGCCTCAGTCGCTAGCAGAATCTGGCCAGTGGGCGTTTCTTAAATCTTTTCCAACATAAAAGTTGCTTGACACCCAGTCTCCTCCTACTCTCTCTGCACGGAAGTCTTCTGCGCAGGGTGGGCGTGGGTAGCGGAGGACCCGTGCTCTCCCCGCTGGTGTCCGGTGAAGAGTCTTGGAGCCCTCTCGCCGATTCCCCCATCAGCCCCTCTCTTTCCCTGGTGTTGCGCTGATTAGCTTCCCCCTCTGCGGAGCTGCCTCTCTCCCTGCTGGGCCCTTCTCCAGCATCATTTGAGAGCCTTCCCTCCGCCTCGAGCTCCGATGTCAGCTCCCTGACAGGTTCCATTCAATTCTGAACATTAACCCCCAAAGTCAGTGAGATCTGTGGGTCTTTCTTCCTCTCATACCTTTTTTAAAAAAATCTGGATCGACAGGCTGCTGAGTGATTTCGAGTTTGAGTGGCGTTTGTCAAGCATTGAAACTGCTTGGACATTTGCAAAGCAATAAGCAGGGGCAGGGATGGTTTCAAATTAGATGGGCATTATTGGTATGTTGACATTCCTGCCTTGCAGACGGTTGGATTAGATGACTCTCAGGGTCCCTTCCAACTCTACAAATCTATAATGAGAAATCAAAAAAGAGTTTTGTTCCCCATCACTTCCCCAACATGCTAAATTTGAAAGGCTACAACACCGTCACCCTCCTGAGGGTATCGTGGAGAATGAGTTGGGGAGGGAAGTGTTCCCTCTCTGACCCCAGAAATATCTGCCAGCCATGGGTCGCTCTCTTCAGAGGCTGCTCTGTGAGGTCTCCCCAGTACAGGCCTGGGAAACCTGTGGCCCTCCAGATGTTAGGATCATAGAATCGGAAGGGACCCAGTGGAAAATCTAGTCCAGCACCCTGTAATAATAATAATAATAATAATAATAATAATAATAATAATAATAATATTTATTTGTCTCCCGCCCTCCCCGGCCAAAGCCGAGCTCAGAGAGGCTAACAACAGGTAAAAATAGCAGAGTGTACATAAAACCGCACAGTCAATTAATTAAAATACATTCTAGAATCAATTCAGAATCAAATTAATGGCAACCATCGGGTTCTATGAAGATTACAGAAGGAGAGAGGGGGTCAGACTGTGCTGTCTCTTCTGGGGATCAAACCTGCAACCTTGGGGTTATCAGCACCATGTTCTAACCAACTCCATCTCCCATCAGGCATCTTGCCCAATATTCAGGGATGGTGAGAATCGTGGTCTAGCAACATCAGCCCTGTTTAGGAAAGTTTTTAATGTTTGATTCTATTTTTGATATTCTGTTGGGAGCCGCCTAGAGTGGCTGGGGAAACCCAGCCAGATGGGTGGGGTATAAATATCATTATTATTATTATTTATTATTATTATTTGGAGAGCCACAAGCTCATTGCCCCTGCAGCTTTGCTTCAGGGAACATTCAAGGTCTATGATGAATATTCCTGAACATAATCCTCAATTTTGATGTAAATTCTGTATTGCTTTGCGATGCAAACCACTGCTTGCTCCCAGAGGTAGCATTCCCCAATGCTACTACCCTCAGTATCTTAGCTGAGTTGCGTAAATGCTTGTTTTCAAGTGATGTGGATGTTGGTTTCAGCCACTCCTCCTGGGGCTTCTCTATATCGTTTAACCAGTTTCTACTCCTCACCGTTTGTGAACCACATTTCCCAGGATTCTTGGGGGGAAAGCCATGCCTGTTCAAAGTGGCGTGATACTGCTTTAAATGTGTGGTGCGGAGGTTGCCCAAATGGGCGTGTGTGTGTGTGTGTGTGTGTGTGTGTGTGTGTGTATATATATACACACACACACATATAATTTCCAAAAATCATATAACATATTTTCTTATCTTATACAATGTTTTTGGACTTCCATCAACTACATCTGAATATTTTTCAGTCTTTATCATTTAATCTGCATTTCATTGATTTCACTATTACTTTTAATAATCCTTCACTAATAATTCTCTTCATGCTTTTCTCTGCAATATTTCGCATAGTCCTCCTTACAAAACGTCTTGCAGTCTGTTGATTACAATTGCTTTTCAAATAGTTCACATATTTACTCCAGTCCTCTGAGAATCTCTGATCCCGCAGGTTTCAAATCCTTCCTGTCATCTTATCCAATTCTGCATAGTCCATTAATTTCACCAAAACAGGCTTTTCATGGGGCCTGTTTCACAGAAACACGCCAGCATCATGGACACGACACTATTGGACTTACACGCTTTAAAAGCCCATCAGTTCCAGCGAGAGAATATTGAAGCCTATGCCTGAGTTTAGTCTGGCTCATGGGGCCTTTTCAGGTCCTGTTAAATGAGTAAGAATACTTACGAAGGTGACTTTCAAGGACTGGATGTTTGCTTCTTTTGCTAAAATATAGAGGGACATATTTAGAAATGGAGAAAGACTACAAGAAAGCAAGGAATGCTAGATGGTGGTGGTGTGCCCAAGCCTACCCAACTGCTTAGACTGGGTGCTTGGCCAGGCAGATGGTAACTGGCCACAGGACCTTTTCAGCAGTGGTACCTGGTTCTAAATGAAGGTTAGCAGATTTTTTTTCAAAGTATCCAGGGACACTTTAAAAAAAAATGGGGGGGATTATTTTTAAAGTTTTTGTTTTTTGTTTTAAAAAATAAGTAATATCTTCTTTTCTGTGGGCAGTTGTCCAGGTTGCTGGGCACTCTTGCTCCCGGCTCCAGTTGGGTTGCGGGGGGGTGTGTGTCAGCGGTTTCCCCAGTTGACGCGCCGGGCGTCCCCGGTTCCCCTTTGGCAGTGGCAGTCTCAGCAGCCCGGAGCCAGCCTGGTAGTGCAGTTGGCTCTGGCTGGCTTCAGGAGCTGCTTGCTGCCGTGTCGTCTGCCATTTTGCCTTGCCAGAAGTCCCCATATGATGTGTCTTGTGCCGTTGAACCAATCCCACAACATCCATTCCCTACTAATAAATCTACAACACTTAAAATATAAATCCGGGGACATTAAATTAAATCCGGGGACATTCTGGGGATGGGACAGATCTGCCCTGGGACAGATTTGTGAATCCGGGGACTGTCCCCGGGAAACGGGGACATCTGGTAACCATATTCTAAATGGGGAGGGAGGGGGGAGGAGAGAACCATATTCAAAACCCTAAGCACCCACTGGGGTAAAAATGAAATAAATGCATCAGGCTGATGGAGCACAGTCTCCTTCAGAGGCTGCCAAAGCAGCCCAACGTACCTTTGTCCTGGCGTGTCACATGGGATTTTTGGACAGTCATGTCTCGACACTGAAATCAGAGAGGAGAGACAGAGACAACAAGTAGTCACGCCTTTGGAGGGGAAAGATTCAAATGCTACTAACTACATCAATGCAGAAATGCTGTTTCTGCTAGGAGGTGATGCTTGGGACTGGTTGGATGCAGAGGGATGGTGAAAGGAACCAGCTGGGGAACCCCAAGGGAAAGAAGGCTCAGAGCCCGGGGAATGGTGGTGGGACAGGGGAGAAGAGGGAGAAGACTTGGAAGAGGAGGTGTCAGAAGCTGAAGGGGTAACAGGGCTTAGTGAGCAGAGAGAGTCTGTGGCAGAAAGCAGTTCAGAGACAGACTCAGAGATGGGCCAAGAGGCAGAGATGAGTCAGGCTGGTGAAGAATCACAGGCAGGGCCGGATTTAGGTTTGATGAGGCCCTAAGCTACTGAAGGTAATGGGGCCCTTTATATGTCCAGCTGACCTTTGTCAACAACAAATTGTCACTGTTTGTTGTGTTGAATATATGCTATGTGGTAATTTATGGACCTACTAGGTACCTAAAGCCATTTGCACACAACAAAATATGTATTTTATCAAAGTAATTGTTGAACTTATCTTATATTTTGGAAATGTACATTCAGGTTTGTTTTCCTTTAATTTTTTGGGGGGCCCCAAGGGAGTGGGGCCCTAATCTATAGCTTGTTTAGCTTATGCGTAAATTCGGTACTAATCACAGGTATCTCCCCCTCCTGCTGTGACCAGCTTCTTTCTGCCCTTGCATCCCAGAACCAGAAGAGGCATGAAAAGGGCGGAGGAGAGGTTGGCTGCACGCAGGCACAGTCTCCAAATGCTTGGAACAAACCCTTGAGAGATGAACTTGTCACAGCAGGAGCGGAAGAAGCTCATGACTCTTCACCAGCTCAGCTCATCTCTGCTTCTCAGCCTCCCTCCTTTCACTCTCCTGCTTCAGCTTCTGCTGCTGATTCTGGACTTCTCTCCATCACTGGCGGAGAAGTGGAGACAACCACCCGATGGTAAACTCTCTAATCCCGGGCTAAGCTGGCTAACTGCATCATCCTTCAAAACAGAACATGGTTTCCAAAGACCACATATCAGGTGCAACGCACAATCACTTATATGGATCCACTTTGGCCATAGCAAACAGTGGGAGTTAACTCAAAATAACACATTTGCACCTCTCTCACCACCAAAGAAACACAAGTGAATAGCAGAGAACCTACACAAACGACGCTGACACAAAACCTCACATATATTAAGTAAAAGAGAAACATCACCACCCAACCCCAACCCCCCTCACCTTTCCCCCCCTCCAACTTCCCCCCCATTTCTTCCTAATGTCTCAACAAATGAAACTGATCTGTAAAAAATGTTACTTGAAAAAAAGAGAGACACATTGCACATACTTTTGAAAACCAAGAAAATATTTAATAATAAAAAAACAAAAATGGGGGGGAAAGAACACACTTACTCGAATGGGAGCGGACCGCCTCAAACCTCTGCTGCTCTCCATAACTGAAAAGATACGGGGAGAATCTTTGGTGTTTAGTTTTCAACATTTTGCTGCCAAGAACTACATTCCCTTCATTATGTGCAAAGATGTGGGAGAAATTCAACTTAAAGTTGACAGAATATGCACAGCTTGCAGACTTAACATACAGAATAAGAGAACAAGAAGAACGTACGTTTAAAGAAGACTGGAAAACGTTTATTGAATATATGGAAAATAATCGAGTACAGCTGAAAAAGCTGGCAGCAGATAGTGGGAAGGCCACAGGCTTCCGCATCCCTGAATGAGAGAAAGCAGAGCCGTTCTCAGTTATGGAGTAGACTGCTGCAATGCGCCTCTGTGGGGCTGCCCCTGGAGACTGCTTGAAAATGTCAACTAGTGCAGGACGTAGAACACTAATGTTGGAACTCAAAGCACACATTGCACCAATTCTGTGCTGTTTACATTGCCTACCAATTTGCTTCCAGACAGAATTTAAGGCACTGGTTTGGGACTCCTTCAGATTGGTGTTTGGCTGCAAAATAATAATAATAATGCGGGTTGCGCTGTGGGTTAAACCACAGAGCCTAGGACTTGCCGATCAGAACGTCGGCGGTTCAAATCCCCACGACGGGGTGAGCTCCCGTTGCTCGGTCCCTGCTCCTGCCAACCTAGCAGTTCAAAAGCACGTGAAAGTGCAAGTAGATAAATAGGTACCGCTCTGGCGGGAAGGTAAACAGCGTTTCCATGCGCTGCTCTGGTTCGCCAGAAGCGGCTTAGTCATGCTGACTACATGACCCGGAAGCTGTACGCCGACTCCCTTGGCCAATAAAGCGAGATGAGCGCCCCAACCCCAGAGTCGGTCACGACAGGACCTAACGGTCAGGGGTCCCTTTACCTTTACCTTTATATCCCACCCATCCGGCCGGGCTTCCCCAGACACTCTGGGTGGCTTCCAACAAAATATTAAAATGTAATAATTAATCAAATAGTAAAGGCTTCCCTAAACAGGGCTGCCTTCAGATGTCTCCTGAAAGTCAGATAGTTGTTTATTTCTTTGACATCTGATGTCCTTGATGCAATAACAGCACATTAGTTGTGGGTTGTACTGGAACTTCCAGACATCATTCTGCTTCCTTAGCTGTTCTGGGATGCTTCTGTAATGTCACTGAATTATTGCCATCTGGAGGAGCCCTTTTGCATCATAGCACAACAACAACAAAAATCTGAAACATTTCCGATAATTAATTTATATGCTGCTAGCTTGTAATAAAACCTCTTAAGCAGTCTGTGTTTGGTTAATGTGCTGCTTCTCCAAGGGCACTGTTACTGCTCCTCAGCCTGGGGATGGTTTTAGTAAGCTGTTTGATTTTATTAAACTTTTTTACATGCCGATTTGGGAAAGCTAAGGCAGGGTAGAAAACTCTGGCCCAAAACCTGTGCTGCCTTGCAGCTATGCTCATTTGTGAGAAAGGCTTTCTTGAGGAACAATCTGGACCTGTTGCCTTGTGGGATATCTTTGGGAAAATAAAAGGTTAAAGAGTGAATTTGGAGTGGATGGCATCTTCTACGCCCCCTTCTGGCAACTCCTGCAGCCAAGCTGGTGCCAAATGTATTGCTCTGGTTTCCTTTGGACCACATCAGCGAGTCTGAGAGGGGCGTCTTGTCATCTGGGCAGCCCAGGACCTCCATACACACTGCCCAGGCTTACGCCCCAGAGAGAAATAAGAGAATCAGACATGCAATGGTGATCAGCTACTTACTGATTCCTCTGACTGTCCAGGCCTGTCTGCTCCTGTCTCCCTCCTACAAGGAGGAGAGAGAGAAACACAAACATTTGTGAGCTAAAATTATACAAAAGGTGGGAGTGGGGGAAACTAACATAGCATGGTCCAGAGCAAAAAGTTATCATTTGTCAAGAGAAGATGAAAAGGGGGAAATCAGGGTCATTCTAAGGTTGTGTGCGGTAGATGCATTTGCAGAGTGTGGTTGGTGGGGCAGTATCGTCGTGCCCATTTTACAGATAGGCAAAACTGAGGTTGAGCAACAGTGGTTTCGTTAACACGTATGCTTAAGGTGTCTAATCCTGCACAGTATCAGCTTTCCAACTGCACCATTTCCCCACAGTTGTGTCCAACTACACACACACACACACAATTTTAACCTTCTCTTTGTGGCCATAGATGAGGCTCGTTTTTCACATTGTGTTGGGGACTTATAGAAAGAGGGGAAAGCCTCTAAACACGGATCCAGATCCGTGTTTCAAAGCTAAGCCTTACCTGTCCGTTGGCATTTCATGCACATGCTGACCAAGGCTCCTAGGAACATCAAGGAGAAGGCGCCCCAAATCAGCTCTACTTGGCTCATAGCTCGATCTTGCCGCAACTACAACCTTGAAAATGCAAGAGGAAGGTGGGTGGACAGCTCAAACCACAACACATGTATCTCCCCCACCCCAGCTGCACAGAAGCAGGCAAAGACTACCATACCCTCCGACATTTCTCCAGTGAAAATAGGGACGTCCCATTCCATAATTATGTTTTTTCTATTTATACTCCACACAACTTACTGGGTTGTCCCAGCCACTCTGGGCGGCTTCCAACATAAAAACATAATAAAACACAGTGGTACCTCGCAAGACGAATGCCTCGCAAGACGAAAGAGTTTTTCGTTTTTTGAGTTGCTTCGCAAGACGAATTTCCCTATGGGCTTGCTTCGCAAGACGAAAAACGAAAACGTCTTGCAAGTTTGTTTCCTTTTTCTTAAAACCGTTAATACCCAGGGTGACTTCGAGGAGCAACTCATAGCACGCGGTGTGGTGGCCCCTTTTGAGGTTTTTGAAGACTTTGGTGATTTTGAAGACTTTGGGAAACCGTGCTTCGCAAGACGAAAAACTCGCAAGACGAAAAAACTCGCAGAACGAATTAATTTCGTCTTGCGAGGCAGCACTGCATTAAACTTTTTTTTTTTAAAAACTGTTCTCTATTCAGGATTGCCGTCACACGAATTGGGGGTCGGATAACTCCAAACCCTCCAACATTCCTCCCATGAAAATAGGGACATTCTAAGGAAAAGCGGGACATTCCAGGATCAAAACAGAACTTGGAACGGCTTCTCTAAATCAGGGATATCCTGGGAAAATAGGGACACTTGGAGGGTCTGGACTATGCCTGTGTGTAACCTTCTGCTCCTCTCACTTCAGTCCTCTGCTGGTCCTGGGAGACAGGGGAGCAGGAGGAGGAGGTATGGAAGCCCTTGACTCTCCACCAGCCTGACCTCTCTCTCCCTTCTCCTGCCTCTGACTCTCGGGTTCCCCCAAGGAATCCTGGGAGCTGTAGTCTGTTAAAGACACTGGGAATTTTAACACTGTGAAGGGGTAAATGCCAGTTCCCAGGATTCCCTGGGGGAAGTCATAAGCTATAAATGTGCATTAAATTATGCTTTCAGTGTAGGGTCTGGAACCACCCTTTGCAATGCACATTACTACCTGAAGAGGGAGGTCTCCCCCACGGCCTTCACGCCCGGAGTCAAACGCTATCCAAATGCATCACATTCCCACCCAATTCGAACTCGGCTTGGATATTTGAAGGGAACAAAGCAACTCACGAGGCCTTGGCTCACCAAGCAAGGAGGAAAAGCTGGAGACTGTTGCTCAGACAACTTCTCGTGCTGCCATTGGAAAGTCTAGAATCATAGGCCTGGGGTGACCGGAAACATTGAGAGCCAGCCCTCATGGGATGCTGATCACTGGATCCCTCTAGCTCATAGAATCATGGAATTGCAAGAGATCTGGGTTGTCTAGTCCAACCCTCTGCAATGTCAACACACAGTCTTCCATCCAATTTAAAACCATCCCGGACCCTGCTTCACTTTGCAAGTGTGCTAGCAGTTTTATGGCTGCACCACTAGGAGCTAGTGTCATCTAAGCTGACTGGCAACAGCTTTCCTGGATTTCAGATGGAAGATGTTCTCAGGCCTGACTGGAGATACTGGGGTCTGCTCTGCTGCTGAGTCCACAGCCAGTTCTTTCCTCAGCCCCAATCCTCCCTAACCCCACCAGTACAAGAAAAGACTAACAGGTTTCAACATATGAATAAAATAAAAAGAGAAGCAGTTGCTGCCTCCTGGAGCTGTAACCACTGGCGTGGTTTACAGACTAACTCCAACATCTCTTCCTCTCTCTCTCTCTCCTCTGCTGCTCACCTGGAATTGTCTCCCAATTTACCTGAGCAACATTGCATCCCTCACATCCATCCCCTTCTTCAGAACCCACCTTTCCTGAGTGACTTTTGCTACAGCTCCTTCATGCCTAAATCCAGCCAGAGTACATGCACCTTAAATAAAGCCAGAAGCTAGTGGGAATTGTAGTGCCAAACATCCAAGGGTGCTAGGTTGGTTGAGGTCAGCCAATAGAGTCCCGGGAGAGGGAATGGCCTGGTTATTGGACACAAGCCAGAAGAGGAGCCCTCGTGGTAGGAGGGAAGGGTGTGCGCCATTACATGGCACCTTTTTGTTGCGATTCCCACCTTGTAACGAAAAAAGGCTCAGCTTGGTGGCACATTTTTCGATTTTAACTGCCTAACGGATAGCCTCACATCTAAGTTCAGTTTTCACAAGGAAAGAAGGAGAGAGATTCAAGGATATTGTAGGCTGGCAGGAGAGAGAGAAACATTAATGGGAGATAGAAGGAGAGCAAGGGCGAGAACCCAGATAGATAGACAGATAGATAGATAGATAATATATTACGGTTGGAAACCAGCCTATAAAACACACTTGGGGGTACAGTCACAGAAGGAAAACAAACAATTAAAACAATGTACAGCAATAAATTTAAAATTTATAAATGCTATAAGCGTGTAGACACTTAAAACTTTAAGATAAACTACCGCACCCATGGAACCAAGTTTGGGGATTTTCTTAACGAACTAGTTTGAGTCGGGAGATGGTCTGCGCCTACAGATCTGTACACAGAATCTGGCGACCATCCTAGAAGCTATTCATGCAGAGGAATGAAATAAGGTCTTAGCGGGTGACTGCCCAGACAAAGTCATACCCCTAAATTAGTCTTTCGCCCAAAAGATTCTCCCATTTCTTCGAGAACCCAGAAGCAAAGTGTCTGGAGTTGAGGAAGGAGGCGCAAAAGTGAGAAGGCAGCTGAAGGCAGCCCTACCTTCTGGTTCCAGCTGTTCTCAGGAGCTGCAACTGATCCTTTCCCCTCCGGCCATCTCCCCTCGCTCGCGCTTCTCTGCAGAAAGAGCTGACCTCAATGTGGTCACTGGCTCACAGAGACGGTGAGCAGACCTATAGCTTCCTGTTCCCTTACGTGAGTCACCAAACCCGGCATCCGGCAGCCGGGCTCGGACGTGGCCCTCTCATCAAACCACAAGACCAAAAGCAGAGTCGCGGGCTGGAACGCCTGCGCGTCGCATTCAGGTCAACTGCTCAGCCAAACCTGGGAAAAGGCTGGCTTAAATCCTACAGGTTGACTTGGAGGAATATCGGAGGCTGCCTTCACAAGAGAGGCAGACCAGGGTCAGCCACCTCAGTGCTGCCCACAATCATTGGTAGTGGCTCTACGGGGTTTGGGGCAAGTCAACCTGGATAGCTCAGTTCATTAGAGCATGGTGCTGATGATGCCAAGGTTGCAGGTTCGATCCCTGTATGGGTAAAAATGTAAAGGGACCCCTGATCATTAGGTCCAGTTGTGACCGACTCTGGGGTTGCGGTGCTCACCTCGCTTTATTGGCCGAGGGAGCCGGCATACAGCTTCCGGGTCATGTGGCCAGCATGACTAAGCCGCTTCTGGCGAACCAGAGCAGGACATGGAAACACCATTTACCTTCCCGCCGGAGTGGTACCTATTCATCTACTTGCACTTTGACGCGCTTTCAAACTGCTAGGTTGGCAGGAGCAGGGACTGAGCAACGGGAACTCACCCCGTCACAGGGATTCGAACCGCCGACCTTCTGACCGGCAAGCCCTAGTCTTTGTGTTTTAACCCAAAGCGCCACCCGCGTCCCTCCTTGTATGGGACAGCTGCATAATTCCTGCATCGCAGGGGGTTGGGCTGATCCTCAAGGTCCCTTCCAACTCTACAATTGATCTTCCCTAGCCCTTTCTGGAAATTGAACCTTTCCATGCAGAGCGTGCACTGAGCCATAAGCCCCTCCCCTAAAAATACAGCACCTTTCCACTCCTCATGGTTTTGAATGACCGAGAATCATAGAACTGTAGAGTTGAAAGTGAACCTGAGGGTCAAACCTCCTGCAGTGCAGAAATCACAGCTAAAAAACTCCCTGGCAGATGGCCATGCAACCTCTGCTTAAAAACCTGCAAGGAAGGAGACCCCCACCATCTTCCGAGGCAGTTCATTCCACTGTTGAAGAGCTCTTACCACCAGAATCTTCCTGATGTTTAGTCGGATTCTCCTTTCTTGTCATTTGGATTCGTTGGTTCAGGTCCTCCTCTCCGGAGCAGGAGAAAAACAAGCTTTGCTCCATCTTGCATGGAACAGCCTTTCAGATATTTGAAGATGGCGACTGTATCTCCTCTCCTCTTTCTGAGGCTAAACAAACATACCCAACACTCTGCACGGTTTCCAGACCCTTGATCAACCCATTTTTTAAAAAATTACTGTGGTACCTTGGTTTACGAACTTAATCCGTTCTGGAAGAATTCTTAAGCCAAGGTGTGCTTTCCCATAGCAGCGGGGGACTCAGTTTACAAATGGGACACACTCAACAGGAAGCGGAACATGTTCTTATTCCAAGGAAAAGTTCACAAACCAAAACACCTCCTTCCGGGTTTGCGGTGTTCTTAATCCAAGTTGTTCATAAACTCAGCTGTTCTTAAACCAAGGTACCACTATACAGTGGTACTTCAGGTTAAGTACTTAATTTTTTCTGGAGGTCCGTTCTTAAACTGAAACTGTTCTTAACCTGAGGTACCACTTTAGCTAATGGGGCCTTCTGCTGCCGCCGCACAATTTCTGTTCTTATCCTGAAGCAAAGTTCTTAACCTGAGGTATTATTTCTGGGTTAGCGGAGTCTGTAACCTGAAGCATCTGTAACCTGAAGCATCTGTAACCTGAGGTACCACTGTGTTTCATTTCATCAACAAATCTCTTTCCAAGAAGCTGATGTGACAATAAAAATGTTCAAAAATGAAACGTACACAAAAACTAATTTCAAATGCAAGACAGGTGACTGGGATAAAGATCTCCACAGAAAAGGATGCTTGAGAAGACAACCATCTGATATGTAAAGGGAAGAAGTTTCAAAGGGAGGGTGCCACCACAGTAGAGGCCCAGCAATTCGCAATGTGCCACTTTTGCCATACAACACAGTAGCTGTAACTCAGTGGTCGAGAGAGCACATGGCTTTGAATGCAGAAAATTCCAGGTTTGACCCTCGGCCTCTCTAGCTAAGGCTGATCAGAGAACCAGGAGAGCTGCTGTCAGTCAGATCAGACAATATGGAGATGGATCTGACCAGATAAAAGGGAGATACAGGCCTAAGATTCCAGGGAGAAAGTCTCAGATGTTTTCTGAGAATGCGTTTTTTAAACACATCTCACCGTTGGGCCCTACAACTTTTTTACATTGCGCGTTGCTAGGCCCACCTTGAAACAGGAAGCTGCTGTGCGATGGTGCCAAACCACGACACCCCTCTGAACAGAAGGAAACATTTAATGTGAAACCAAGCCAAGGTTCCCCGCAGAGCTGATAGAGACCCTAAAAGATCATCCCACTCAGGTGTTAAATTGCACTTGGCAAAAGTTGGCTTCAGGGCCATTTGTGATAAAAGCCATTCAATAACAGGTGGTTGTATGTTTTTCATAAATGGAGTAAACACTAAGGGTGGAAAACCAAATAAGAACGTCCTGTGGTAAAATGATGGGGTCCAGGACCTAGAGCGTTCCAGGGAGGCATTGCTATTGTTATTGGGGGTTTAGGTTTTTATTATGTATTTTGTGTTAGTTTTTTAAACATCTTTAAAGTTCCAAAAGTACTTTATATGTGCACTAAGCATGGTGAGAAGTAAATAAAAGAGAGATAAAGAAAATCAGAACCCGCGTGGAAGGGGAAATAAAAGGGGGAGGGGGGGAACCCCAAACTGTGTATTTTACAAGGTTGTTATTGTACTTCACCAGATCTTAACCTATTACAGTATTTGTAAGGATTCCAAACATCATTGAATTTGTCCATGGCAAATCTGCGTTTACATGTTGCGAGTTTGTACAAGTCTTCAATCCAATCGTAGAAGGGAGCCACATTTTTATTTTTCCAATTCATCAGTATCAGTCTTTTTGCTTTGGGTAAGGGCACAGAAAGTCCACTCGCATTGTCCTTTTGTAAGGTTCCATGTGCTGGGCATACAATTCAAGAGGACATTTTGCTCTGTAAATGTTAAGGTTGTTCCGTACAGTTGTGTTGATAGTTTCAGTTACCTTCTGCCAAAAACCTTTCAATATAGGACAATGAAAAAGCACGTTTTAGAGAAGCATTATCCCTATTGCACCTCCAACAGTTAGATACCTTAGATAGCCCTTTTTTAAACAAATGCAATGGGGTCCAGTATATTCAAAATATTTTGTTTTTATCTTGTATTTTTATGCTGTGATCCACCCTGAGATTTACGGATGAAGGGTGATATACATATTTAATAAGTAATAGCATTAGCCTCAATCCCAACAGCATGAACAGAACTCCAAGCAAAATTCTCAGTTCCTATTCATTTTTGTGGTGGAGGCAAAAACAACAAAAATGAATGGTGAGGTGGATAAAGTTTAAACCTCTCCATCCAGCCCAGCGCTCCGAAGGGGATGCAAAATTAACCCGCCCCCCCCAAGATCTGAGCAATTATTTGATGAGTGGGCTCAGGAGATCTGCATGGGACATCCGTTGCAAAAGCTAAGCTGAGTTTTGAGTGAACATCTTGTCCAGGCCAAAACCCAGACCCATCCAGAGGGTGTGCAGCTTATGCCACCTAAGGGCCAAATCAGAGATGACATGAAATGCACGCCTGCAGTTTTGAAAAGGAATGTGTTGGAATGCTAACAGCATCCCGCTTTGGGGGAGCGCTGGGAAGAGAGGCAAAGAGAAGAGCTGGATTCTGAAGGGAACAGCTACTCTTTCCTCCTCTTGTGTTCTGGAGGGGAAACCCTCCTTTGAAGCTGGTATTTGAAATGGGAGGAAACCCCTCAGAGGCACCAACGCATTCTGAAAAATGTGCATGTTACTACTGAAAGCAACATTCGCTTCTGGCTCCTCTGTATGGACAGGAGCGAGTGAAGCAGCCAACCCTCCTCGCTCTTTCAGCAGAAGGGACAGAGCCCCGGGAAGCAGCTGGAAATCTTTTGGCAAAGAATCCAGCATCCACAAATAATTAGGGACTTTCCCTTCCTGCCATCTCTGTGCTGCAAATAGCAGCAATCTACCTAGTGTTGCAGCAGAATCCCAAGAATTTTACTTCGGAACAGGCTTCACTATTTAAATCAATAAACACTTCCACTTAAGCTGCCTTTAATGGTATTGGTGCTTCTTTTCCTGCTGTTCAGGGGTGAGTGGCAAAGCTTTTGTAGCCAAAACCAGATCATCCATGCACCATGCACCAGTAGGCCTGGGGGAGCCCCATTGTTTTGTAGAATTAATTTTTTTAGAATGAACCTGAACCCAGTGAAGACTGAGCATGCTCAGTGACCATGGAATGCTGACCAACTCTTTGCTAGCAGTGAGGAGGGAAGAGGGAATGGAATGGAGTATCCCAAAAAGAGGATAGCTAGCGCTCAGACACACTCAACTCCACATTGCTAACATTTCATTTTAGGTCCCATTTTGTCAATTTTCCAAGCTCTGTATCACTGGTTCCTTCTACAATGCCTTATTCAACACCAGTTAAGCAGGATTGTTGAAAGAAAAAAAAAGTAATTCGGATAGACATTTTAATTTTTGCAAGAAAATTTACTAGAGCATGTCTGCAGAACATCCTTTTTGGTTTTCCATTCTATAAACTGTTGCCCCTTGAACAAATCTGACAGCCCCGACAACTCTTCTCTGCCCAGATGGTGAACAGACTTCAACACAGACCAGTCTTAAATATTACTTAATGTTTTCTTTATTTAAAAGTTCATTCACAAAATACCATATCCATAAATTTACTTTGTCATGAAGCAGAATGTGTTGAGTGTTTGGAAACTTGTCTTTACACGTTTAAAAGTCAAACGGATTGACTACCAGGTGAGTTTTGCATGGGCATCCTCTTTTTCTTTTTTTTGCTTTTGCTCTTAAAATCTCGGGTCTTCCACATTTTGAAAGGAAGAGCGGCTACTGGATGGATTTCGATTGGAACACAACCACACACACATACACACACACACAAAAAATGCATGTCTCGAAAGAAAAGTAGTGTTAGACAAATGGTTCTTATTCTTAGAAGTGGACTGAAAGACAGGGGCGGGAAGAGACATTTATACTATGATATCCAAGGGGAGGCTAGCCCTTGGAACATTTGCCTATACAAATTGGAACCTGTTTTTACACAATGGACATGTCTTTTTTTTTTTTTTAAGGGGAGAGGAAGAATAACACATCTGCTGCTTTCAATTCTACCTGTTCCAAAGCTACAACCGGATACCCTAAGCATCCATGTCAGGCACTGCAGGTGTTCACACCTTGACCAGACCTCACACTGAAAGCAATAACCTGCGAGCGAGAAACAGCTCCCTTCTTGGTCACCCAACGGTTCAGTATTCTGCTCGCTCTTTAAGTGCGCCATCAAACCTTTTCAAGCAGAATCCTTCCGGCATGGAGAGACAGGGGTTTGCAATCACCTGTTGCCTTTAGCGGCACAAAGACACTGGGGTTCTGCAATCCAAAGAGAGCGTCACCCCCTCCCGTCTGTTTGAGAGGCGAAGCACGAAAGCAAAGCAAAGTTCTGCACGGCAGCCCAAGAGACAAGAGCTGAATGCTGGAAGGGGAGAGGAGAGAGCCGTTTCCTTCGAAACAGAGCCGAAGGAAGGAAGGAAGGAAGGAAGGAAAGTAAACTTTATTGGTTTCAGAAACTAGTTAAAAAGTGGTTAGCAATTATGTAAAAAGAAAATGCTGGAAGAAGACAGTCCTTGGGTGCTACAGGAGGCACGAGCTTCGAAGGCCAGGGAGAAGTCGGCAGGCCAAGTCAAGGAAGCAGCAGAGCAGGGGGCCCTGTCTAGATTTGGCTGCTGACACGCAACTCAGCCCCAGGCAGGGGTCTGCAAAGTGCTGGCGGCACTGCCGGGAAGGGAAGGGAAGGGAAGGGGTGGAACTGATTTTATACAGTATATATATGTACATATATATTATTCCAAAGTGCCAAAGGGCTAAAGGGTGGCAATCCTATTTAACGTTGTATTGCATAAGCTAATTCTACAGGGGCTGTATTCTAGAGCTCAAGACGTCTTCCGCTTGGCCGGGACTCCTCGGAGTTGAGGGGCCACGAGGTTGTCGGTGGTGAGCATGCAGTGGAGGTAGAGAAGCACCGTGGAAGGCAGAAGGGAACGACGTGGAGCAGCAGGACTGAACCCTAACCCGTGTGTCTCGGAAGTGGAAAGAGCCAGAGAGGAAGAAAAGGTGAAAGCAGCACCCCGGGGGAAGAGAAGTCGACTTCTGTGGAAGAGGGCAGCGATTTATTGGCCAGAAGCCATGTGCCGGGTTTGGGGGGAAATGGCTTGCGGGGGAGGGAGAAACTTAAGACAATGCAGGCACTAGATACAGCAAAGCCAAGAACGTACTAAAAACCACTTGTTAACAGCTGACATGCATTCGCAAGCTCTGGTTTGTTTTGTTTTGATTTTTCCTTTTCTGTTTCAAGGAGGACAGGTGTCAGATGGTAGGAATGGTGGTTGCAGGGTTAATGTTCCGAGCACAGTTAGACACTCTGGGCTGTCTTGCGTTTTGTCTCCCACCCCCACCCCCAGTCCCCTCCCTCAACCCCTTTCTCCCGCCCACCCCCTCCCATTGCATCCCACCCCTCAAGCTCATTCTTGCTCTTCCTTTACTATTTCCTCCCTCGGCTTGGCTCCACCAAAGATGGCAGAATTGGGGTTGGCTACTTGATTGAGAGGAGTGGCAACCGTCCGGGGCTTGAGCTGGAGTCTGGGCCGCTGGGCTCTTTCCTCTGGAAGAGAAGAAACATTTCTGCTTGAGATGCAGCTCAGGCGGTCCCGTGAGCCAATGAACAAAGGATCGTAGGGCACCTGTGACAGATTGATCAAGGAGAGGAAGCCTCCGGGTGCTGAACTCCCAACTCCCATCAGCCCCGGCCAGCATGCACAGTGGTCAGGGACGACAGGAGTTGTAGTCCGACAAGATCTGGAGGACCGCAGGATCCTATATTTGGTATAAGGCTAGAGCCCACTTCAAATGCATGAAAGTAGCAGAGAAGTCCTCAAGAAGGCAGATGAATTGAGAGCAAAAAATGCAAAGCCTTATATCTCCTATCATGTTCATCTCTTTGCCACTGGCACAATCCTCCGCTCACTATCCTTGCAAGTGTGTGATGTATTTTACATGGACTGTAGCACACCCCACCCCCCACGAAACCTCATGCCAGGTGCCTTTAAGAGATCCATAAGACTCTCCAGTGTATCTGTTATAGCAGACGGTTATGGCCTGCTACTCTGGAATGTCTCATACTCACAAGTCCAAACTTCTGTTGAAATGGACGAAACCAAAAAGCATTTCAAAATCAAGGTGTATCACAGTGCCGTCTGTCGCCGCAACTGACGTGCGACCCTCCAGATGACGTCACTGAATGCTGCAGGCCAAGAGCGGTGGACAGCAGCAATTCAGTTGGGCCAAAATGCAGGAGAAAGCAAAGGCTGCCCACCTTCAGTTGGCTCTCTGAAATCCATGGAAGCGCCACGCACTGGAGGCCCATCCCTGAAGCGACCGGTGCCTCCCATGGGTGGACCGGCTGCTCCTCCTCGCCGGTCCCCGGGACGGGTCCGGCCTCCCCGGCCTCCCAGGAAGTCGTCATCTCTGAAACCTGTCGGGAGAGACGCGGCAGTAAGGGCCAGCTCTTCGGACATGTCCGAAGCGACAGCCTTGCTTCTCACAGAGGCAAACCCACCAGCAGCTCCATCCAACCTGCGGGAGCACCTTGCGGTAGAGTGGCGGCCGAAGGACCAGCTTGGCACGCTTGGCTTGCCAAGAGACAGAAGTGGTTTTAGTTAAGCAGGATGCACTGGAGAGATTGGGCTAGGAGATGACGGCCATGAAACAGGAAGAGAAGAGGCACTCTGCCGTTTCATACAACTAGCTACAGAAAGTGAAAAGCTCCTCCAAAAGCGAGGGCATGTATGGGCCCTAACGCTGCCCAAGGTTCGTTGAGAGGTAAAGGCATGGCTTTTTTTTTTGAGGATTGCCTGGTGCCAATGCTATGCCGTGGCTCTTGGTGGTGGTGTAAAAACTTGGCACTCTTGATTTTACTGTTAAGTGCTTATTTCATTCTCTTAGTTTGATTGGGTTGCTGTGTTAGATTTCCTTGCAAAAGGAAGAGGTTTTTTTGAAAAATAGATTGTTGATATTATGAGGGGGATCAAAGAAAAAGGGAGAAAAGGTTCACACCTGCAGACTGCAATACAAATGTAAGATTGCTGCAGCCTGAAATCACGATCCCATACGATTTCTTCCTTTTGGAGAGTGTCAAGTATGAATGCACTGAAGCAAGAGTGGTTGCTTTGGAAAGAAGGTAATCCTTGCTGCTAAAATCAAGATGCATACATGCATTTTTGCCAAGAGGTTTCTTATGACCGACAGGCAATCCATCCCTATTGCAAGTACTCTCAAAAATAAGATGGGAGGATAATTTGCACCAACTGACATATGCATACCTATACAAGGATGCCAGAAGAAACCTCAAATTTCTGACTAGAGAAAAATGCATGGACTGTAATTATAATGACTACTTTTTATTAGGCTGCCTACCAGTATGCTTTTTATTATGTTTTTATCACTGACATTCTGTAATGTGTTTTTAATGTTGTACAATGACCTGGGAACTTCTGTTAAAGAGCAGTATATTAATTGAAATGCTAATAATAATAAATAAATACTACTACCACTACTACTACTAGACTTACAGAGGCTTACAGAGTTAAGTTTGAAATTTTTCTGGCCAAAAGGAGGGTGGGGGTTGAAACATGATCAAATACAAGGAAAAAGCAGTCTAAGTGCATCAGGAGCAGAACAGGAGAGGGAAGAATGAACTACTTGAGGATAAGATGATCTTACAATCTCCATCCACTATGGGATGCCTCCAGCATCTTCTTGTGCAACTAAGAATGTGGCTGAATTTCAAGTACAAGCATCTGCCATGAACACAATGCGTAGCCACAAGCATTTGGTTTATACTCCCAGATTCTCATCTGTTAAACAGGAATAACCCTCATTACGGTAGCTGTGGAGGTTGGATTGTGCATACAAAAACATCTTGCTAGTTTAGTGCTGTGTAGCAATAAACAGGAATAAAAGGAAAGAGCTATATAAGGCTACACACCCCGCTTTGAGCTGGTCTGCCCAGTTGATGGGAGCCAACTTAGTCCTACATCCAGAGCATATATTTACGCCCCTCTCCCAATTGCCTCTGCCCATATTGCAGGAAAGAAGCAATCCAGCATGTTCAGCTGAAAGGCAAGTTAGTAAGCTTTCAAGAAGGGGGCGGAGAATAAGCTACCTGGGCCTATCCTCATCTACTTCTCACCCAGTGGGCCCGATGCTTTTATTACAGGATCCAGAAGTGTTGTGTGCACCAAAAAGAGACAGACAGATGGAAGCAGAGTCCCAGTTGATGCTAAGACAGAGCAACTCAGAACTGCACAATCCAAGCCATGCCTTCTGAAAGCAATTCAGGTACTTGTATTTGTCAAAAAGATCCAACACTTATTCATGCCCTCAAGTCTTCGAAGACTTTCAACTCCCCACCCCCACCCCAAACTAGGACTAGACATTGAAATCCTTCAATCAAAACACAGACGACTTGCAACCTTTGCCACGGTCTTCAAAAATTAAGAAACATCCAGATAAAGTTTTGGGCTTCTGCCTTAGTGGCCAACCAGACTGCCATAGGATGATCTGTGCTCACAGGCATGTCTGACAGAGAAAGGCAAAAGGGAATAAAAAAATTTTTTGGTGGGGGTAGGGGACGAGGAGGAATCAGGAAAATGAAAATGGAGAAATACTGCTACCAGAACTGAAGTCATCTCTGGAATCCCATCCACCTCCTCGTGCTTCCCGCGGACCTCCTCCGCCCATGCCTAAAAAGAAAGCCACATTACAAGCAGGGGTCAATGGGGAAGGCGGGAAGATCTAAAAGGTTCCACTGCCAGCGGGCGGAAATCCCAATGCTCTCTCCGTCTGGTGCAATCCTCACATTCACAACCACTGGGCAATTGTACTCTGCAGGAGAATGTGTCTAGATCAGAGGTGTGGTTGGCACATGAAAACCCAGGAAAGGACACCGCTCTTAGTTCTCAAAGAAGGAGGCTCATCCATCCAGGCCTGGGCAGGAAGGTTGCAATGAGGAGACCTGTGAAGTGCCAGCATCTTCAGAAAACGCAAATGTTCAAAGACAGCTTTTCCGTTATTTCCCTGAGCTGAGATGCACTTAAACCACTTACATCACAAAACTACACAAAGAGGCAGAGGGGACCTGCTAAGGTTAGGAAGATGGCACATTTTCTGCAACAACATCTACTACACAAACCGTCTCAGCTGCTGCACCTCTATCTGGGAGCACTCAACCTTGTGACACATGCAGTTGCCCAGGCTATGAAGTAGAGCATTAGCAAGCTCAAGGTTCTTGATATTAGTTAAACAAGAAAAAAGTTTGTTTCCTTTTGGATCCAACAGCTCAAACTGTATGGTATTAATAAAATAGTAGATGAACACTTGTGAGCTCACGCTGCTGCCTCCTTTTGTTTTAGAGAGCACCACACCATGAAATAGCCCAGCCTTTGAAATACCTTTCTGCTCCGGATACTTTTCTGCCTAGCAAAACACATACAGCTGTTTAGATCTGTCTGTGTGAGCCTGGAGCTCTTTAGAACAAAAGAGAAGGCAGCATTAAAACAGTCCAGCATTACTCAGAACAGTAAGATGCACGGTTTTGAAGACGCCAATTAAATCATTAAGAGGTTATGAGTTAACTGCTCATTTCTACTTTAGCGCCTCAAGATACACGATGCCAATCTTGTTTTCCCACGTAGTTTTAAACTCCATACTTAACTTTAGTTGGGGGAAACTCAACTCAAACATAGTTGGGGGAACTCATGTCTTCAAAGGCTGGCATACCAATCTACACTAAGCCTTTTCTGAGCATCTGCCTACCATCAGAGCTAAGCAGTCACCTCCCATGTTTGCGGAGTGGCAGTGCATTAGGACACATTTGCTTTCAAGCAAAATGAAAAAAGTCAGGTTGAGGCAAACTATTTATTCTCCCTGCCCTCCAGTTAGCCAAGAAAGCAAGAATATTCCCTCCAATTCAATTTCTCAATGATGTACAGCAGCAGGCAGGGAGACCCAAATCTCCAGCCACAGTTCAGCCAAAACTGCTTTTGTGACTACCACACCTTGAAAAGTCACTGCTTGCAGCTCCTCAGATTATAATTGAGCCTAGGTAGCTCCTTCCCCGAGTCACTCTCCTTCAATTTGCTTCCTTGAGGTTCCTCCCATGCCAACCTTTAAGGAGATAAAGCTACTCACCTGCCTGGCTCTGTGCCTACCTATGAGATTCTCATACTTGAGTCATCCAAGAACACTTGAAGTCTCCTAAGCGGGCATTTGCTGGCACATGATATGGCCACTTGGTGCGCAACAAGACCTGGCTTGCAGCCAGAGCACCAGAGAGGTTGGAGAAGAGGACTTGCCACCACTGCCACTCCCTTTTGCTGCCTGCCACCAGCCACTCCTGGAACCAGCTGTGAACCACCCAGCCCAGCAGAGGGCAATATTCAAGCTTGCAGGATCTAATTTGTGTTTTACTGGAACTCTGTCAGCTGGAGCCAGGTGCAAAAGACATACCCTTAGAATTAAAGAACAGGGTACCTCTGTGCAACTGCTGAGCACATGAATTTGTTCTGAGCCCAAGAACTGAACTGAACTCAGTCTTTCCACACATAAATCAATTTCTTGTTAAATATTGTTTGCTTTTTAGACAGTACAGTACACTCTGTGTGTGTGTGTTTAAATGCTTTATATTTATATTCCAAGATTTCAGCAATCTAATTTAGGTATGACATTTTGCTTGTTGCTATTGTTGAACAACTAGAAGTCAGAAATCTTTGCCAATACACCACGAAACACCCAAATATCTAGATCGCAAACTACCTTCTGCCTACCCCGATCTAGGCTGCCCACCTCTTCTGAACTGCTGTGGCCTCCTGGAGCGCAGCAAGACTAGAAACTGATTAGCTTCTTGATTTATTTACTGGCCTGTTTGTTTTGATTTAGCTCTGAACCTGTGGTGCATGAAGTCTAGATTATACCACTCCAATAATACATTATCACAAACTCTAGACTATTCCATCATTAAGACTAATTTTTCCCCATATGTATTTAACTGTGTTTCTTGTCTTTGAATTTATTGAAGTTCAATACAGATAGTTTCCCCCCAAATGTTTTGTCTTTTGATAATACTAACATTTATATAATACTAACTTATTGTGAGCAACTTTGGGCACAGTTTACCATTGGAAAGTGGTAGGTAACTAAACTAAAAGCTTAATATTATACATACACACATGCTAGTTTAAGGCGGCACTAATGCACTCATTCCAATTTGCCATATATTAAAGAGCAGCTATTTAAACATCACCTCTGTCCTCTGGGCCGCCACCTTTTCTGAAACCGAAGCCACCTTTGTCTTGTTTCCTGCCTTCGGCAATGTCCACTCGGAGTGACCGGTCCCCCCAAAGCTGTTGGACGCAGAAGAAGAGGAGGAGAAATCTTACCACCAGTCATTCCAGCAAGGGCAGCTATCAAGTTTCAAATACTATTTTATAAAAATGGTAAGCTTACTGCTCCATCGTATGTCAGAGCTTCTTTAAGCGATTCAACCTCATCAAATTCTACGTAACAAAATCCTGTAAGACAAAACGAGATTACAAACAAAACAAAAAACAGAAGCCAACTTTCATCTCAGTATCTGGAAAGTTGCGAACCCAGATAGTGTACACAAGTGGGCTGTTAGGCAAGGAAGTCAAACTAGGATATCAGGGCAAACAGAGGTTCATGAGCTGATCTGTCTCCTTGAGGTACCACTGATTTCCATCCTGTTCCCCAACTTCTTCCCTCACTTCTGCAAACAGAGTAAGGAGATTTGAGAGATGGGGGAAAGAGGGAACATGTAAGCAAACCTGAAGGACAATGTGTTCCCACACAAAACTCCCCCAAAGCAAACGTCTTCAGAGAAGTTAAGCTGAGTGACCACCAGAGACTGCCTGTTCTTTCTATGACTGTAAGCAGACTACGAAAGCTAAATGGTACAGCACATGCTCTGCAGGGAGAAGGTCCCAGTTTTAATCCCCATTATCTTCAGGTAGCTCCTGATTAGCAGAGCATGATTGAAAACTACTTAAGATGGCATGTGCACCTTAAAACCTGGTATCTCTCACCCCTAATCAGCTGCCTCTCTACCTCAAACTTGGTTATGAAGGAGAGACATAGAAGCACCTACCTTTAAATTTATCTGTCTCTTTGTCTCTGACTAATCGCACACTCCTTACACTGAGATCTTTGAAAATGGCATCGATGTCTCCTTGGACCGTGTTGAAGGGGAGGTTGCCAACGTACGCTGTGAAGGGGGGCTCTGTTGGAAGCTCTTTCTGTCTACGTGAGCCAACACCAGCACTGCCACGAGATCTGTTGACAAGCACAGAATTAGAGCCTAGGCCAGAATGCTCCAGGGATCAGGGAGCAGTAAGGATGCTCCATGTGGGGAAGGCAGAAAAGAGATGTTACAGTAGAGCTGTATCTCAGTTATACTATACTGTTGTTGACAATTCAGATTTAGCCAGTAGAGAGAAAGGAGGGTGTTAATGTATACAGACACAGGGGCACAGAAAGTAGAGTTTTTGTATTAATTGGGTATATGTTTTAACTAAAATCTTGCTATTAATAATAATAATAATAATTTTTATTTATACCCCGCCCTCCCCAGCCAAGGCCGGGCTCAGAGGGGCTTACAAGCAATAATAAAAACAAGTTAAATGATTACAACTTAAAAACAAAATTTAAAATACAACATTAAAATATTGAAACATTAAAATATTAAAATGTAGCTTCATCGCAGGAGGAGAAGGAAAGAAAAAAGAAGAGAGGGAGGGAATCAAATTGGCTCCAAGCCAAAGGCCAGGCGGAACAACTCTGTCTTACAGGCTCTGCAGAAAGAAATCAGATCCTGCAGGGCCCTGGTCTCATGAGGCAGAGCGTTCCACCAGACCGGAGCCAGAGTTGAAAAGGCCCTGGCTCTGGTTGAAGCCAGTCTAACTTCCTTAGGGCCCGGGACCACTAGGGTGTTGCTATTTATGGACCTTGAGGCTCTCCGTGGGGCATACTGGGAGAGGCGGTCCCGTAGGTACGAGGGTCCTAGGCCATGAAGGGCTTTAAAGGTCAAAAGCAGCACCTTAAATCTGACCCTGTACTCCACCAGGAGCCAATGCAGCTTGAAAAGCACTGGGTGAATTTGCTCCCATGGCAGAGACCCCGTGAGGAGCCTCGCTGCAGCATTCTGCACCCACTGGAGTTTCTGGGACAGCTTCAAGGGCAGCCCCGCATAGAGCGAATTACAGTAGTCAAGCCTGGAGATGACCGTCGCATGGATCACTGTGGTCAGGTCGGGGCGGGAAAGGTAAGGGACCAACTGCTTGATGCGGCAAAGGTGGAAAAATGTCGCCTTGGCTGTTGCTGTAACTTGCGCCTCCATGGAAAGGGAGGCATCAAGGATTACACCCAAACTCTTAACGGAAGGCAATGGCACTAATTGGGCCCTTGCTAGAGAAGGGAGTTGGTCCCTCATCCCCATGCCATCCCGACCCAGCCATAGGACCTCTGTCTTCGAAGGATTTAGTTTCAATCGACTCCCACGAAACCATCCAGCCACAGCTTCCAAGCATCTGGTCAGTGTGTTCGGGGCCGAGTCGGTGTGGCCATCCATCAGCAGATAGAGCTGAGTGTCATCAGCATATTGGTGACAACCCAGCCCAAAGCTCCGGATAATCTGGGCATGGGGTGCATAAAGATGTTAAAAAGCATTGGGGAGAGGATTGCGCCCTGCGGCACTCCACACACCAAGGAGTGGCGCGACGACATTTCCACCCTAGTGCCACCCTCTGTCCCCGACCAGAGATAAAAGAGCACAGCCAGTTACGGGCTATGCCCTGTATCCCCACGTCTGCGAGGTGGTGGTCCAGAAGATCATGATCGACCATGTCAAAGGCTGCTGACAAATCTAAAAGGATCACCAGTCCTGACCCGCCTTGATCCAGCTGTCTACGGAGATCGTCTGCTAGGGCAACCAGAGCCGTCTCAGTCCCAAAAGCAGGAGGGAAACCGGACTGAAATGGATCTAAAGCCGATGTTTCCTCCAGGAACCTACCAAGCTGTTCAGCAACCGCTCTCTCAATTACCTTACCCAGATATGGAAGATTTGAAACTGGGCAGTAATCGGATAGGTCTAAGGGATCTAATGAAGTTTTCTTTAAGAGTGGACATACCACTGCTTCCTTCAGTTCCCCTGGGAATGTCCCCGTGTCAAGGGACAAATTGATAATTTCAACCAGGGGGGTCCGCGCAACATCTGGACACTCCCTAATCAGCCAAGACGGGCACGGATCAAGGAGGCAGGTGGTGGGCTTACCAACTTGGAGGAATCTATCCACATCAGCAGGGAGTATTCGATCGAAATGGTCCAACACTGGACCTGAAGTCAGTCAAGGGGCCTCCAGTTCAGGCACTGTATCTAAATTGGCAGGGAGGTCACGGCGGAGCAACAGGACTTTATCCGCAAAAAAGCTCGCGAATGCCTCACAACTGTGGGTCGAATTTGTGCTTAAATTTGGTCGTCCTCCTAAGGACGTTATTGATCTAATTATTCTAAAAAGTTGTGCCAGGCGAGAGCTAGCGGATGCAATGGAAGCTGCAAAGTAAGATTTCTTAGCAGCTTTCATAGCCATCTCATAGGCTTTCATAAGCGTCCTATAAGATGTTCTTGAGGCTCCGTCATGAGTCCGTCGCCATACTTGCTCTAGCTGTCTGAGATCCCGCTTCATTTTCCGGAGCTCCTCAGTAAACCAAGGGGCCCAGTTTCGACGGGGTCGCAGAGGGCGCTTAGGCGCGATCTCATCAATGGCTGCCAAGAGCCGGTTATTCCAGTCCTCAACAAGGTCATCTAATGAGTCGCCAGGAGGAGCAGGGTCCCGCAAGGCTTGTCAGAATCTATCAGGATCCATCAGTTTTCGCGGACGAGCCCAAAAAGGTTCGCCACCCGAGCAGGGGAGGAGCAGGAAGTCAATCTTGGCTTTCAGAGCGTAGTGATCAGACCATGGCACTTCCACAGGGGGGAGCATGATCACATCTATGCCAGCCCCAAAGATCAGATCCAGTGTGTGGCCCGCTTGATGAGTGGGGCCCAAAACAAACTGGGAGAGCCCTAGTGTTGCCATGGAAGTCACTAGGTCCAGAGCCTGTGAGGAGGGAGTGGCATCGGCATGGACGTTGAAGTCTCCCAAAACCAGTCTCCCAATTACACAGTGCGGCCCCAACAACAGATGCCTGTGAACAAATGCAGTTATGTGCAGCTCCCCAAGTATGAAGAACAGCAGTCAGTGAGCATGAGTAGAAACCCAAGGGCAACTTACTTTTTATATAAAATTAACTCATATACACACGGTGTTCAGTTTGTTAACTTGACTGAATTGGGAATGCATAAAACCAACCCCATCATCCTGAAAGGCATCTGGAACAGCAAGGTGGCTCTAACCAGCTGGCTCTGTCATTTGGTGTCCGTGATGGAAGATGTTGACAGGCAGTTAAAAAATGACATACTACTAACCATATGCAGGCCATTTTATACACAGGGCAGGCAGGAGGTAGATCAGGATGTACTGACAAGACCTCTGGATGAGCTGCAGCTACAATTTGGGACTCCCAACAGTTTAAGAAGAGCAAGTACAGAGGACTTTGCTGATATGGCTAGCCTTGTGCTGATAGATAATCTCCAAGCCTATTTAAGCCAGTATTAACTGTCAGGCTTTCTAGGACTGGGCAGTATCTGGTTTTCAACACCATGATAGACAACTAACTACACATCGAGATCTATCACAATGTGTAAAATAAGGATGGAGCTGTGTGGTCATTGGCTGGCTTCACGGTTTTCCCCACATTGTGATTTTTTTGCATAGCACAAACATTTATCATTATTTGTGATGTATTGACAGGTCAAAAATTATGAAACTGGTATCATGATATGAACTTCAAACCTGTTTTGGGCTATGTATCAATATACAGCCCAGCCCTATTGACTACATCTTTGTGTAGCTCTGCTAGCCAATTTTAAAGCTGTATTGGAATCCTATCTCTAGTGACTTCGATGTAGATTGGTACTTGCATATTTATTTAGAACATTTTAACCCTGCTCTTTAGATGAAAAGGCTCCCAGATTGACAGTCCCTGACTACAATGTGCTAGGGATTGACAGTCCCTAGATTTACAATCTAAAATGCATGAAATAAAAGGGGAAAGGGAAGAGGGTTGAAGAAGGGAGAAAGTTAGCGAGCCCAGGCTCCAGTTCTAATTGGTGGACCTGAGAGGTTTAGTAACAAAGCATTGCAGATCTGCCCACCTCTATTTTTGAATGTTCTGACAGGCAAGGAGGGCACCCTACTTGCCTATGGCCTTCCCAAGACAATCTTTTTGCAGTCCTTATGGGAAGAAAACTATTCCACAGCCAAAGCATGTATTTGTAGTTAAAATACAGTCATACCTCGGGTTACAGATGCTTCAGGTTGTGTTTTTTCAGGTTACGGACCGCTGAAACCCAGAAGTACCGGAACGGGTTACTTCCGGGTTTCGGCAGTCGTGCATGCGCAGAAGTGCTAAATTGCGCTTTGCACATAAGTGCCAAATCACAACCCGCGTCGCTGTTGGTTGCAAACGCTGCAGGCTGCGAACGTGCATCCGACACGGATCATGTTCGCAACCCGAGTGTCCACTGTACTTTTTGGTATAATGCCCCAGTCAAAAATTCTGCCAGGGCAGCAAGCATTTTAGATAAGTGGCACATAACTGCTAAGAAAAACTACTATGCGAGCAGTACACAAAAAGCAGCAAATTTCAAGAACAATGAAGGATGAAGGGAGAGAGCTAACTTCTCAGTTAGGAGGGCAGCACTTGGACAGATGCTAGCCAAACGCTTTTGGATATTTTATCAGTCCTCCATTTGGAATACATCCCAGTTGCCTTCTTTTCACCTGATCAACATGCTTAATATGCCTAGAAAGAAGCCACAGGGGTCAACTGGCCAATTCCAAATATACCTGGAGCTCTTTGCCATTTTTAAACATGAAAAGCAATGCAGAAAAGGTGCAGATATGCCTAGGTAAATATTCAAGTACAGTAATGCTATCAGAAAACATAAAAAGATGCCTTCCAACTAAGGTTAACTAAATTGATAGTCTAAACTAAGACCATTTCTAAACTTAAATACATATTGAAAAAGAAAAGATACTGAAAGCTAGGACAGGGTAAGTGTGTAGTTCTGAGTGTGGTGCTGTTGAGAGACTGTACTGTATCAAATGCTTATCAGTCCTAAATCTACTTCTTAAATAGAAGCAGTCACCATAACCTTCTCAGTTTTTCTTACAAGAAAAAGAAAAAGAGAAACCAGTTGGTTCAGTGCTAGAACACGTGCAAAGATCTTCTTTACCTGCACCCAACTGTGCATTAAAACTCACATCATGGATACCTTACGTATAACAGCAATGCCAGCAGTATAGTCTCATGGATATGGCCACTACGTTTATAAATGGGTGACAAATTATATTAGTCTTATGGAGTTCGACCACAAAGAGCTTAGGGAAACTGGCCCGTCCAAATAAGTATTGAGTGGGTCTTGCTTTGTGTCTTTCCTTCCACATCAACCAGCCATAAATAGGTTGGGCTTGGTAGAATTCTTCACAACTAACAGAGGCAACAGACTGATGAAGCATGTCACCACCAGTCCTATGAAGAGATGAACAACTGTTTTCTGGAAGGGTGACTCGGTTTTCTGAGCCAACCATGACCAATTCATGTGCTTTCATAAGGACACTCATACAGATGTCACATTAGACACACTTTAAGAACAGTTACTCAACCCAGTTGACCAGCAAACCAACCTCAGCACCGTGAGCCCTAGATGAAGACTCCCTCCTAGATACTCCCAGTGACACACCTATCCCATCGTGTTTCCTAATGACAATCTGTAGTCATCTAAATTTATGAAGCTGGTTAGCCAGGGGTGGAAACTGCTATTCCATCAAGACAGAGACTATAAAGGAAATGGGAACTAGGTAAAGAGCAAATTATCTGGTATAGTCTGCAAGAAAGGATGTTTAGAATGATGCATGTAGACATGATGTACCCTAAACACAATCTACTCTTAAAAAAAACTACAACCATAAATGCTTCTGTATAGCTTTCTGAAGAGAACTCAATTTCCTTGTCAAAAATTTACCAGCCGCCTACATAGAGGCAACATACTATTTTAAGATACAACTTTTCTAAAGTCCATATTACTGCAGAATCCAAAGAAATTAATAACTAACATAATGCTATCACCCTTGCAGCACAAGAGCATGTGATGATTGTGGAAGATTCAGGATTCTTCCCTAGCTATAAAGAGAGTTCTCAACTCCCTCTCACTCCCATAGGGTCTGCCCTAGCCTGGATGAATCACTAGCCCTGGATCAAGTCTTCTTGAGGGGAAGTCTTCATGCAAATGGCCTCAATTTCACTCCTGGCATATCGCTGGCACCGGTATAATACTCATTAGAACGATCACAGCTGCCAGCTATGAAGTCAATGCCATTAATAAAGAGTGAGGAAAGAAGAGGCAAAGTCGTATCACTCTGACTGCCTCTCTAATAGGAAAACACCACCTCCTTTCAAAGGTGAGGCAGCTTATAAAGCTGAGATACAATACTAGGTTCAACAGATGTGCATAACACCCATAAAAAGTATACGTAGCCTCTACCAGCTAACCTGTGACCCTCACATATTTTTGATTACAGTTTTCAGCAGCTGCAGCCAACAATTTATTACAGTTTACAATCATATAAAACTAAAATAAAAGCAGACTATTATTAAAACAACAATGAAACAATAGAATACAAAGTAATGTAAAAATTTAACATACAAACAGCCTGAAAGAAGCGTCTTATCTTGATAAATAAATAACTATAAGCTCAGCACAAATGAAACCACTTTGGGGGAAACTGAACAAACAGGACTAACATATCCTCCTGTTGTCACATCTGGTGGCAGGAAACCCAGAGACGAGTTGGAATGGGAGCAGGCACTTCTCTAGACATCCCTGTGTGACAAGAGCTCAAGGCGCGCTGCAATGCATCAGTGCACTTTCTGCCAGAACAGAATCAAAAATATTTTTGCTGCAGACCAAAATCTAATTTCCAGTCCAGAAATGGGGGCAATAACTTTAACATATAGTTACAGAATGGCTGCAACTGCATGTTTAGAATTAGGTTGTTTCACTGCAGTTTGATAGCACTTGAAATTGCAACTTAAGGAACTAGGAAATTACCAATACAGTACAATAAAGGGGCCATCAACATGTGCTGTTTGTTATTTTCAGCAAATCTGAACAAACTTTTTCAGGCTTGTGTCCCAGCTGTGCTCAAAAGTTTAACTTAGATTATTTAATTACTGAAATTAATTGCACTGAGACTAATACAGCCACAGCAGTCAGCATTTTTGCAAAAGGCAGCAGTAAACAGCTCAACCAATTTCCAAGGTATTATGCCTACCTACTGCTTTCAGGAGCCTTTAAATAAGAATGCTAGTGAACAAATGCTGGAGCCAATGAAATGTGGCATACACTGATGAGTTTTCCATCTTAGACTACACCCATACTGTAATCAGCTCATTTCCCAGTTTGATAAACTCGAACTGAAAAGTAAGCTCCAAGTACCAAATGTTCACTTCCCTTTCCATAGGCAACACACAAGCAGCACCAGCCACTCCTCATAGCCCTACTCCCTTATTTGATTTTAGTCAGACTCTTCTCTGCCTTTTGCTTGTTCCTTTCTCATGCTTAGCCACTGCAAAGGGCTAGGAATGCAGAGTTCTTATGGCTTGTAGCAAAAGGTACAAGCTGTGATCAGGTCAGCAAGATGCCTGGCAGAGATGTTGGGGAAACGAACCTCCAGGTGGCAAAGCAGATCACCTCCATACAGCTGCCAGATCATGTTAATGTGGAGAATAATACAGTGCAAGGCACATGCAATTCCTCCTGTACAAAAAGTATCACCTAAAAATACTGTTCAGGAGCCTTTGTGGGAGGCATCAAGTGACCAAAAGGCCATTAGTCTCTGCTCCACTAGATTCAAAACTAGCCAGATGAGTAGCCATGAACTTCTCCTTTGCTCCACCTCATAAATGTATAAGTGCCTTAACCTACCTCCTCACCCTAAAGGATATAACCTTGTATTTCATTCTCTATTTCACCTTCAATCTCATTTTTATCCTTACCCCACTATTTCCATTTCGTCTGAACTCTGTGCTCCACCTTACATCCAAAGGATCTACCTTCCCTGACCCCTAGATTCATACCATTCATCCCCACTCCTGCTTAACCTATTGATTATTGATCCATAATCTTACTTTCTTCTGCTCTATCAAGATTTAGATTTGGCAGCTCCTTGAGGAATAGCTTTGTTTTATTTCTTACTCATGTTACTCTGTCAAGCTATGCTGACATTAGCAGCACTACGTATAGTAAATTCTCAGCAGTCCATACAAACCATACTGTAAGGTAGACAAAATAAAAAGGGCCACCCTGGAAAGACATATGAAATAAAAGGGGGCAAACTGAGGAGCTTAGTAAATCTTCCTATCCAGTATGTTTCACACCCACAACCATTTTCGTAAGAGATGCATATATGCTTTTCTAAAGAGATACGCAGTCAAATTGAATGCAGACCAGAAAACAAATCACATCTCCTAGCAGAACCCATCCGCCTGCAAAAGAATAGGAAATGTTTCAAGTGATTCCATTCACTTGCGAAAAGTATCATCCACCCTTCGCCAAATGGTCCTAGGGAGGAAAAACCACAAATATTACTTTAAAAATCATTAAAACAAAATACTCAACTAGATGACTCATCACTATCCCTGGCTCCTCCTGCAGGCCTGGACAAAGAGCTATGTCTTCCGTAAACGAAAGTAACACTGCTCTAGATGCACCTCAGAAGGGAGGGCACTCCAGAGATGAGAAAGCGCCCAAAGAAAGCTCTCATATTAGTCAACTTTTATCAATTTCATCCGAAAGTAGAATCACACGCCAGGCTGCCAATCTTCAAATATTTGCATCACAGGTAGTTTAAGGCGTTATACATCGATGAGAGTACATTGAATTGTACTCTGAAGCAAACTAGCAACCAGTGCTGAGCCTTTAAGATCAGTGTTAAATGGGTGTAGCCATCAATGCCCACCAGTACCTAGCCAAAGCATTCTGCACAAGCTGCAGCCTCTGAAACATGTGATGGCAGCTCCACATAGATGATGTGGACAATAATTTTATCAGGAGGTTATGAGAATATGAGTTACTATGGCCAGGCTTTTTTTTTCCAGATTGTAAGATGAGCCTGAAAGGTCAGGCCAATGGCCTATCTCATTCATTATCCAGTTCTCACAGTGGAAAGCTAGCTACTTGTCAGAAGCCTGCAAGCTAGGCATGAGCACAACAGCACTCTGCCCACTTGTGATGCCCAGGAACTTGTATTCAGAAGCACAATGCTTCTGCAGTTGAGGTAGACCATAGTCTCATGGCTAGTAGCAGTGGCTACCCAGGAATGGGTGTAGCTGGTGAACCAGGAAGTAGACACACCTAGCCACTGAAGCAACTTGGACCTCAGGTAACATAGCTGTATTATGCACCATCCCAAGCTATCTACCTGCCTTTCAAGGAAGTGCAACCCCATTTAGTTCTTGGATTCAAGAACCCAAAGCAAACCTCCATCTTGTCTGGATTCATTTTCCATTTATTGGTCCACATCCAGCCCATTACTGCCACCAGTCCAGTCAACACTCTGCCTCACCTGTTTCAGATGGAACAGAGAAAAAGAGTTGTGTGTCATCTGCATATTGATGAAACTTTGCTCCATATTGCCTAATGAGCTCTCCCCGCAGCATCATACAGGTGTTAAAAAGAATGGGGGACAGGATGAAACCCTGCAGGACACTTACCATGCAGTCAAGCAGTAGCTCCCCATTACTACTCTGTAAGTAAACCTGGAACAGTGTGGTCACCTCCCAAAGCCACAGATTTGTTTGTGAGCACAACACACATAGTACTTCTTGACTGACCCTAAAGCATTTTTCTTACGACAATTCTTTATGCTGGTTCTTTCTATTTTCTGAAACCTGTCAAGATAACCCAGATGATTTCACATACTGAAGACTTCTTTGGGCATTCCTCCTCCCCTTCACTCAAAAACTTATTCAGGCAAGTCACTCTGACTCTTCCCCCCCCCCTCTATATTTGCTATATGAAGATAATCGTGATGAACCTACAGGGGTTTTTATGAGAATGGCTGAGATAACTGCTCTCAAGTGAACAAGATATAAAACTTCATAATTTTCTCACTTATACCACTTTTAAACAGTTTACAAAGCACTATATCCCAAATATACTCTCTACTATTAAAAATAGAAACCTCTCAGCTTCGCTCTGATAAGAGATCACACATTATTCTTACTGGAGTAATAGGACTGGTCAATAACTCCAGATTCTCTCACAAAGACAGCCCTGCAGTTATGGTTTAATGTTATGCGTGAATGCAGTCATGAGATGTGGAAAAAGAGGAAGCAAAAATAAATAAACAGGCAAAGTAACTGTTACTTTTTTATGCCCCCTTCCCCATATACTATACTTATCCATCTATAAGTTGCTGGGTGTGTGTGAAGAAGAAAACATTTTCCTCCAACTTCCATCCATTCCTCCATATCCATATTACTCTTTCCTATGGTATGACTCTCATGCTCCCCACTCATTCAAATTACCACCCCCCTTGCACAAAAATAAGCACCAACTTGGGGAACAAACTCAAGTACGAAAACAAACTCAGGTCCCAAGCCAGAGCTAAGAATATAGGATCAGCTCCTTATTGAACTACATGGAGAGGTTACAATATGAGGGAGGAGTAGTTTAGAAGAAAAAGTAGAGTAGGGATGGACCAGAAGATTCTCTCAAATTTATCCATCAAATAAAACTGAATGGCACAAACTATGGGATTCACTGCCACAAAATGCAGGGACAACAATGGGAATGGACATGGATGGCTTTACAGGGCATTAGACAAATTTGTAAAGTTTAAGACCATCATTGTTTACTAGTCATGACAGCTATATGCTACCACCTTCAGCAGCAGAAGCAGAATATATCTGAATAATAGTTGCCCAGGCATTACAGCAGGTTCCTATTGCCCACCACCCTGTCTACCTCTGGACTTCCCAGAAGCATCATGTTGGTCACTGTGATGCCGAATTAAGTAGGACCCATCTTATTCACCCTTCTTCTCCTGTGGGACTGCAATCCCAGTTCCCATGCAAAAGCATCCAGGCCTGAAACTTCTTCCCCATAGGCTTTACTTACACCCTGCGGAGTCCCCTCCCGCTTTCCCCTTTAACCAACCTGCCCTGTCAGAGCCAGCTTACCTTCCATCAATGCCCAAATCAGTCTTCCTGCCCCCCCCCGCACCACCCACCTCTTGACACCCCACTAAGGGACTAAAGAAGCTGGAGCCCTTTCCCCATAAGCTTGCACCTTCCTCGACCCGCCTCCCTTATCAGAGACCCCTTACCTTCCACCGAAGCCTGTTACCCATTCCCATAAGAGACATCTCAGGCCTGGCCCATTTCCTCCCATCAATTATGCCCTCCTAGATCTCTTTTTCAGCCCCCCTTTCCTGTCAGAGGCCACTTCCACCAGAGCCCAAAATACCCCCCCCGCCCCAGGAACACCTTTGCTCACACCTTCCTCGATCCCCCTTGTCCTGACCCACCTCCCCCCGCCAGGGGCCACTTCTCTTCCGCCAGAGCCCGGATCCGTCTCCCCCGCCCCCTTCTTGGCACGCGCGTGAGAGGCGCTCCAGGCCCGACCCGTCCCCCCGCCGCAGAAGCTTCGCCCGCGGCCCTCCCGGACCCCGCGCTCGCTCTGGCCCGCCTCCCCCGCCCGGAGGCTCCTTCTCCTCGCTCGACACACGCGCTCGCCGCCCCGCGCACGGGGCCTCCTGCCGCCGCCGCCACCTCGCTCCTCCCCTCGCCCGGGCCCCGAGGCCTGCCTCCGCCTCCCCGGCCGGCCCCGCTCCCCTTCCCCGCTCACCCGCGGCCGCCGCCGAAGCTGCTGTAGGCCCGGTCGTCATAAGCGTCGAAATCCGCCATTGCTGCTGCTGCTGCTCCTACTGCTGCCGCTGCTCCTGCCGCCGCCTCAGCCTCCCCCGAGCGCGAGCGAGCGCCGCAGGACCCCCGCGCCGCTTATATAGCGGGCCTCGGCCAGGGGCTGCCCGTCGCGGTGCCTGCAGCCGAGGAGCGCTTTGCGCCTGCGCGCAGTGGGGGTGGCCCCGGCGGTGCCTGACTAGAAAGTGAAGTGTTGGGGGGGGGAGGGAGGAGGAGAGGTTTCAAAATGACCCAGCCCTAGCAGGCAGTAGAGCCGCATGTGGGGATTGGGGTGATGGAGGATTAAAAGCTTCCCTCCTGCTACCTGAGGAGAGACGTGGGAGGCAGTGTAGCTAGCTTCCCTCTCTGACCTGCTGGGAGGTGCAGAGAAGTGCTTTGCCATCCCATGCGTGAAATCCTAGCCTTGCAGCGCTGGCATTTCCAGCTTACAGTGGTACCTCGGGTTAAGTACTTAATTCGTTCTGGAGGTCCGTACTTAACCTGAAACTGTTCTTAACCTGAAGCACCACTTTAGCTAATGGGGCCTCCCACTGCCACTGCGCTGCCGGAGCACGATTTCTGTTCTCATCCTGAAGCAAAGTTCTTAACCTGCAGCACTATTTCTGGGTTAGCGGAGTCTGTAACCTGAAGCGTCTGTAACCTGAAGTGTATGTAACCCGAGGTACCACTGTATAATCATTCCTCTGAATGCTAGCTGCTGGGAATCGCAGGAGGGCAGATCCCCAGGAGTCTGGTTGGCCACTGAGGGCAAGGCACAATGAACGTATGCTGACATCTGCCTCTCTCTTGGGAGACAGTGGAAGAGTGCATCTTTGGGGCTAAAGCCAAACTGTTGGAGAGTCACAGTGCCTGCTGTGGCTGTAGAGACAAAAAATGGGAGAAACATGTTTTGTTGCAGCTGGGGCAGAGGAAGGCGTCTGGTTGGGCTGCTGCAGGTGCACCACGGCATTTCTTCTCTGCGCGCTCCTCTCAGCAGTCGGTCCTCCTCGGGTCACTGCTGTGGATACACAACCTGACTGTCTCCAGGCGCTGCAGTCGTCTGCAAGGGATTCAGACAGGTGGGGTTGAGGTTGCCAGCCTTTATGTCTCATTTGTAACACAGAGTTGGTCTGCCAGGGGTGCCTGAAGACAGCTTGTCTATAGGAATCCTGTCATCTTCCATGCTGTGCACACGACCAAGCCAGCATAGATGTCGCTGAGACAGGACTGAGAACATGCTGGGGATGTGGACTTGGGAGAGCACATCTTTGTTTGAGACTCTGTCCTGCCATGTGGTGCCCAAAATCTTCCTGACGCCGTACATTGAAGTGGCACTCCTGGTGGGTGTAAGTTGCCCACAACTCACTTCCATAATGTTGTGCTATCTGTCTGTCTTCCACCTTTGTCTCCAACAATCTCAGGCTAGTGCATTTGATTTTCCTCCTTCATCATTTTAGCCTCAAAACAACCCTGTGAGGTAGGTTAGGCTGAGAGGCAGCAACTGCCTCCCCTCAAATCAGTCGGTGAGCTTCATATGTCTAAGTAGGGATTTCAAGCTTGGACTTCCAGGTCCTAGTCAGATGCTCTAACCACTACACAACATGACTAGATGAGCCACTGGCTTGATCCAGCAGGGATTGTTTTATCTTCTTAATAATTACAAGAAGGTTAATAGACAAGAAGGTATTTGTTTCATGAATTATCCCCAGATTTAGTTTATGGGAGGAAGGCCCATAGAATTCAAGAGGGCTGACTTCTAAACAGACATGCACAGGATTGCAGTGTCACTGCGTATTCTTGTAAACACCACTCCATGCTGTTTTGTTTCTCTTTAAAACCAATGGGGAAATAATTAAAATATATAAAATAAAATAATTAAAAAGCAAACAGGCAGAGAAGGGAAGGGAAGCACCCGCTAAAGTAGAAGAATCACTAATCACCAGCTAACTGTAAAAAAAGTTTTTTCTTTAACTGTCTGCTTAAACCTAGAATTGTTTCTAGCAGACATCTAAAAGTTAATATTGAGGATGTTTGCTGAATCTCTGTCAGAGACCATTCCACAAGACTGAGCTGATGAAAATGAAGGCTCGGTTTATATACTGCACATATATCACGTGCACATCTAAAAGATTTTTAATCACTTACATAAGAATAACAAACAAGACAGTCCCTGCCCACAGGCTTATAATAGAAAAGACACAATGCAGAAGGAAAAAGGGATGGGGAGGGCACAGAAAAAGAAGCAAATTCATCACACTGTCTTATGCAGGTTTATTGGTAACAATTGGTATTATTGTCAGGGGGGTAATAACATTAAAAAAACCTTTTATTTCTAAATATCAGGCTATTGTTTGTTCCACATTATGACATTTTCACTTAAAGCTAAAAACTAACCAAGAATTCCAAACAGTAGCATTATCTCACAGGGGGCATTTAGACATTGTTGTCCTCATTAATACATAAAATAACTTTTTGCCACATAGTTGAAAATTAACATTTGTTTTGTTTTGGTATAACTTAATATTTGGATTAATTCTTCAGCAGCAGCTACGGAGCTATGGAGACCACAAATCCTCATTTAATCCATCTATATACTGTTGCATGCCATCCCAATCTCCGAGCGGTGCAAAATTTTCAGGGGTTCCAGGCGTCTACCCAGGGTTCCGTTTTCTTGGAATGGTGGGATGGCGGAGACCGTGGTGTCTTTCTGATATATGGTTTATTTACACATATATACGAGCTGAGCCTACGATGGAGGGCTCACAGCATTAGCCCCCAAGAGGATCTTGCTTCTCCCATAGTCACACAGCTTTCGATTCCACCATAAATCAGGCATTTTTCTGTCCTCAGCTACCTAAGCCTGCAGCCTTGCTTTGAGCTCTCACACACAACACCCATTTTGCCTCTGGCACAGAGCCACCCATACTTTAGGAACCATTGTGTCCCTTGGCTGGCTAATTCAGCAATTGAATCCCTGCTGGATCCATGAATTTGAAGAGACTCAGGCAAAAAACCTACCCCCCACAAAAAAAACTCACAGCCATACTTTCCATTTTCTTGCAATAACCATCCCATCCCGGCAGCTAACAGTGAACGTGGGCTCAACCCTTTCTCCAAACCGTTTCCATTTGCCCAGCAGACAGTGGTCTGGGACGACAGGAAATATACAAAGCCACTAGTTCCTCATCACTGAATTTTGCGCCCTGGGCAAGTCTAACCACTTGCAACACCCCCAATTGCTAACTCCAGTTTTCTAAAACAAAGTATTGTAGGAAAGCACAACACTTGAAACTGCAAAGTTCATTGCAAAAATAAAGAACGCAACGACGTTTGATTGCCTTTCTCAAAATACGTCTTGGCACACGAATCCTTTGCAATAATGTGAATCTATAGAAAACAGTGCCCCGCAAAAGTCAGCGCTGCCCCTTTCTGTGGTCTGCGCCCCAGGCGACTGATAGCATCCGCCTTAGGCAAGCAAACGCGCCACCAAAAAAACCCCCAAAAGAGCTCACATCCCAGGCAGGGATTGATGCGCGTGCAGAGTCTGGCGTTTCCACGTGGGGCAGGCAAGGGCGTTGTGCAAAGGAGGAAGCCGAAGAAAGCCAAGCCCCGGCAGGGAGGCTCCTATCCAGCCTCTGCTTTCCTTAACCCGGAAGGGGAGGTTCTCACGTGCGCCTCTACATCCCCTCCTTCCACGTGCGTCTTTTTGCTGCGCTGCCTCCAGCATGGCCGGGGATGGCAGCGGTAGCGGCAGCCCCGGCGATGAAGCTCTCGCCGCGGCCCCCATCTCCCACCCGGGCCGGCTCCTGGGCCAGAACCGGCAGTTTTTGGATTTCTTCTGGGACATCGCCAAGCCCCAGCAGGAGACGCGCTTGAAGGCGACGGAGGATCTGCTGCGCTACTTGCGAGAGAACCAGAAAGTAAGAGAGACGGTGGAAAGTTAATATAAGCTTTTTGCAAACGCCGAGCTTCTCCCTCTGGGTTAAAAGGGCGGCTGGTAATGATAATGATAATAAAATATATGCCAGCCATCTAACTGGGTTTCCGCAGCCACTCAGGGCGGCTTCCAAGGAATTAAAACATCAAACACAGTATAACATCAAACATTAAAAATACAAAACATTAAAAATATTAAAGCCGCGTCTCTCCCCCTCTCACTTACCCCCCAAAGTATGTGTTTGGAAGTATTGATATTATATACAGTATTGTTTAAGTTCCAGCCATAGGAGTCCCTTTGAAATGGATTTTGTCCCGCTGATTTCAGTAGGTCTTCTCTGACTATGGCTCAGTACAGCCGATTGTTTTTAAATTTTATTTTAATAGCAAAAAGGATATCTAAAGTTTTATAGCACCTGGACAAATAAAGACAGGTTTGCAGTGTTAACAGACAAGATACAAAAGGAAAAGGACTAGGGAGGGAGGAGGAAATGGATGGGACCAGGTTGGTCTCTCTCTCTTCCCATGGTGAGACACGGGGTGCAGCTGCCCAGTGGGTCCTCTGGCCGAAAGCAGTCCCAATATGATGCCATCACATTAACTTTTCTGTAGCATTCTCACATTCTGCATTTGGTGAAATTCACCTTTGGGTGTTTGTGGGCAGAAGTTTTCAGGGAAGTGCAGTCACCAAAGTCGGCCCTGCAAGTTTCTTTCCCTGAAAAACCGGCTGCTTTGCAGGGGGTTGGATCCTTGGGGCGCCATCCAACACTACGGTTCTTTGATTCTATGTACAAAGCCCCACAAAACCTATTGGTAGCAGCTTTGCACACCTATTTCATTAGGGAAAGTGCCTTATACATTTTATAATAAATAATTTGCTGCATGCAAACTGGAAAAAAACACCGTACTGTGTTTTCAGTTGATTTTATCATGTTATGTCTGTGGGAAACATATAGTTAGCAAGCCTATACACACAGAGAGACATTTGATGCTGGGATTGCACTTTAAACATGCTCAGAGGTGCCCCCCCCCTGTTTTTTCCAGGTATTTGAACAAGGGAGCTATGGATTTGAAAAAATCAGGCCCTGGAACTGAATGGATGATACTGGGGGTGGCAAAGGCCATGTTTCGGAAGAAGGCTGATGGGGTTGGCCTACTTCGGAAGGTTGTTGTTAGGATTATGAATGTGGCTGTGGAATTTAAGAGGTTTTAGGTAAACTGATTCTTTTTAAAAAAAACAACTTTGATCACTGTAAAAGCCGCTCTGAATTAAGCAGAATAATATTTTTTTCACAGAAGCTATTTTAAAGGAAAATAAACATTACTGTATTTTGGTTTGTGGGGTAGTCAAAAATCCCACCATCACCACTGCCTGAACTTCTGAATATTTTATTTTAGGACGATGAGCAATTGAAATACAGCTTGAAGCGCCTGATTGATGGATTGGGAGCAACACGCGAAGCAGCCCGTCCAGGATTCAGTTTGGCTTTGGCTCAGGTTGGTGTTCCCCAGTGGAGTGCATTTTGGTTTTCTTGCTTTTAAGTTTTTTTTTTTTTTTAAAAGCAAACTTTAAAATAATTCATTCCATAATTCTTCCGTAGAAGTTTTTTTTAAAACAACAACAACTGTAGATTCGAAAGTAACATGCAGCCCTCCTGATGTTGTTGGACTACAACTCCCATCAGCCACAGCCAAAGGTTAGGAGTGATGGGGCTTGTAGTCCCAGCAGCATCCTGTTGCCTCTTCTCTCCGATTCACACAGGTGTTCCCTTCTTTTTCTCTCTCCCCAGGTATTGCAGGTTTTTGAGGAGATCTCCCTCCTCGCAGTCCTGGACCAGATCAAAGAAAAATACGACCTCGGCAGAGTGAAGAAGGTAAGGAGATGGAGTGGGCTTTGAGTTTACAGTTCGTGGTTGCCGTGAACAGCAGGATTTTGTTAAGAGGAGCTCTGCAGGTCCGCCGTGTTAATCTGGTGATCCAATCAGCGTCAGTCCACACGGGCCAAATCCTGGCCATTTGGGGGTTTGATTTTGTTCTGCAGGATTTGGCAGGGTGACTGATGTCGATTGGGTCGCTGGCATAGCAACATGCTCCAAACGGGCATTGAGAGAGAGAATGTGCCACAGCCAAGTTTTACCCAGAGTGAGTTATGCTTGTGACCGTAAGGAAGTTTGTGGGTTGCTGGTGCCCATTGGGAATGCCTGTTTAAAGTGGTGCATTGAAAGAATGGTGCAAAGAGCCAGTTTGGCGTAATGTGTAGAGTGTTGGACTACAGCCTGGGAGACCAGGGTTCGAATCCCCACTCAGCCATGAAGCTCACTGGGCGACCCTGGGCCAGTTGCCATCTCTTAGCCTGACCTACCTCACAGGGTTGTTGTGAGGGTGAAATGGGGAGGAGGAGAACCACGTACACCACTTTGAGATATTTGGAAGATAAAGGTGGTATGGAAATATATCAAATAAATAAATAATTTGTCAGCATCAAATATGGGTAATGAAACAGGCCTTTTTTTTTTAAAGCTTAACTGCAGTTGACCTAAACCGTGATCCTCTGTGCCAGCAAAATGGGACAACGTGTTTAATATAGAAGCAGAAGCAAAAGCTTCTGAGATCTTCCTGGTCACGCTAGAGGACAAAAGGGGATGTCACAGCAAACTATGGTTTGTCGTAATGCGTGATCATGGCTGTCTGGCTGGAGAAAGGGGAGGGGAGCCGTGTGGGGAAATTGTCTCATTGTCTGAGGCAGCTAGGAACGTATCACGACCCATAGTTTGAGAAGCACCGGGTAAAAGCTGGTTATTTATTCAGGCCATTTGAACCTTGCTCTTTTGTAAAAAAAATGCTTCCAGGTTAGCTTTCATGCAGTCAGATAACAAAGCAGGCTTGCAATCTGAAACAACATGACACAAGGGAAGATGGCAGGGAGGGAAGAGGAAAAAAGCAAACTCAGTTACCATCCGGCATGAAAACAGTTAAGCAGTAGAAGGTTTTTCAGCAGAGCTGGGGGAATGGACTTCTCCCCACATTTCCCAAGATACTTCCCATGTTCCCCAAAACAGTATTTGGGGTCATTTTTTTGGGGGGGGGGGGCTATTTTGTCAGCGGTGGGAAGGTTTTTTTTGAGGTTGAGGGCTGCATTTCCATATTGAAGTGTTTTTGGGGGTGGATGGGGACCCATTCAAGTGGTGAGTGTTGCTAGATACTTCTTGTTTGCAAGTTTGCTCGCTCCAAAGAGTCGCTCGCGAGATTCCACAGCCTTGCCTAGATTGTCTTTCTGTGTTGGTTCCCCGTTTTGTTTCAGAAACTCTTCCGAAATGCTCTGTTTGGGAACTTTTTCGGCGTTCTGGCTCTGTTCCAGTCTGGGCGTCTTCCAAAGGTAACACTAAATGCAAATGTTTCAGGCCTGCATGCCCCTGGTGCAAACCCTGTGACGTGATGTTGATGATAATAATAATAATAATAATAATAATAATATGATGCTGAATTCTCTGATGTGCATAAATTATGCCAATAGAGTCAGCTCTGCTGAGTCGTCTGCTGAATGAGAGGCCCTGGACATCACTTCCACCAGTTACTGGAAATCCCAAATCACACCCCCCCACACACCTTTTCCACCTTTTGCTCACATATGATTTCAAGCCTTGCTTGGAATTCATATGGACTAGAAACTTGAGAGAGCTCCTGTGCCTCATAATGGAACACATGATGCTCCAGTGTTCTTTGGCGCATCTGAAACATCTGCTCTGCCTGGCAGCTGGTGGTAGAGTGAGGAGTGTTTTTCCTCCATCGGCTGTTAGATCCTTTAAAAACTGGGTGGGCAATTTTTTCCTGTTAAGTTTTTCCCTCTGGGGTAACCTCTCAGGGAGGACTAAGTATTCCTTGCTGAAACCCTCAAAAGCTTCTGGAAGTCACTGCCAACAGTGTTGAGGTAGATGGATCATTTCCTCAAATACATGCTTTCCCTCTTGCATTCTCTGGGTCCACTCCAGCCTTGTAGACTCACCCACTTTTATCTAAATTCCTTAGGATTCAAAAGCTCTCCTTGGCTGCGTCCAGCTTCTCCAGAGCCTTTCGGATCACCACGCCCACCTCAAAGACCTTCCTAGGAAGACATTGGCCGACATCGTTTCCGAGGTAGGGAGATGTGGGGTGTTGTTGCAAAAAAAAAAGGGAGCCTCTTAAATATATAGTTGCTTAGCTTCTTCTGCAAGACCGGCTTGCAGGCACCAACCCGTCCCCGTTAGACCGCTGATGCTAATTACAACGCCTCGCCAGGGCACAGGGAAATATTCCAGAGCTACAGTTCTCTTTGAGTGGTTCAACAGTCAATCCCTCTTCACAGGGAATTCTGGGAGGCGAAAGCGGTTCTCCTAGCAACTCTTAGCACTGCAGTTCCCAGAATGCTTTGCAGGGGAGCCATGTTTAAAATGTGCTTTAAATGTTTGGTGTGACTGTGGCCTCAGTTGGATGCCACCCGTAATTGTCACGTAGGCCAAGTTGTCTGGCGCCTGAGTGAGTTCCACGGAAGTGAATGCTGATGTATTGCCAAGCAAACAAATATGATGAGAAACGGATGTCCAAAGATGGTGCTGGGAAGGATGGATGGACTTGGCTGTGGGTGGAGTTATAAAATGGAGGACAAGGCAGGTGCAGAAAGAGATGGGCTTGTCCTGGGTGCAGAGGGGGTTGAGTAGCCACTGAAGGGGCCTAGGGAGTTGGATGGTCCAAGCGATGGAGGAGGTGAATACCTTTTTTTTTTTTAAAAAAATAATTATTAGATTTTCCACAATTATAACAAAAACCACAGAGCAGAATGACGCACAAAAAAAGAAAAAAAAATACATCAATGAACGAAAGAAGAAAAAAGGAACAATAAACAATAACAACAAACTTAATTCTTTACAAATCCAACCTTTTAAACATCTTGGTTGACTTCCTCTAGTCCCTCCCTTCTGAGTTTCCTTGCAGTTAAAAGTAACAGCTTTCCAATATCATTATTAAACTAAAACAATTTCCAATTATAGTCCATCTTAGAGGAGGTGAATACCTTTGGCACAGGAGTCTTGCCTAGAGGTGGGAGGTTTGAGATGTAAAAAAGGGGAATCTATCATGGACATCCCAACGCAGCGAGTTGTTCGCTTTTGTTTTTGCCGGGGGCTCAGATTCCGGAGGCTGTGTTTGAAGAGGTCCTTTTCAGCTTCTTGGAAGATGACCTCACCTCGGCCTTCAGCAGTCCAGGGCAGCTTTACCTCCTGCTGGTGGGCATCCAGAAGTTCCCCAGGGTTCTCCGGCCAGAAAAACTGAAGGCCCTCTTAGGCACGACTGCTGTCATCACGGCAGAAAACATTCCCAGGTATGTTGACCAGGAATGAATGCAGGACGCTTGCATCGCTTTACAGTTCTTTTGAAATTGAAATACTGAAGTTGAAATTGAAATACTTTATTGTCACTTGTACAACTAGTATACAGTGAGATTACACAAGCACCCGCACTCAGCTCTCTTAGTCTTAATTCCCCTCGTTTACTGACGCACACCCACCAAACCCCAAAGTCAGTTGCCCTGTTGTTATCTTTTCATTCAGCAGCCCACAGATAGAAGCTGTTCTTTACCCTGTTGGTGCAATTCATCATGCTTCTATATCTTCTGCCTGAGGGTAGGAGATCAAGAAAGTGCCGGCCAGGGTGTGAATCATCCCTGAGAATTTTCCTTACTCTTCTGAGGCAACGTTCATCTGCTATTTCATCCAGCGGATTCACGGGACAGCCCAGAATATCTTACAGTGAAGGAAGGAAAAGGAGGATTCTGGGATCTAAGATTCTTCGGGGTGTTGTTCAGTGGTATATCCCCCGCTCTCTGCATGCAGAAGGTCCCCAGTCCAGTCTTCAGCATCTCCCACGAGGGCAGGGAAAGGCGCCCAGTCAACACCCTGGGGAGCTGCTGCCAGTCTGACTAGGCCGTACTGAGCTATATGGGCCAACAGCCTGCTCTAGCCTAAGGAAGCTTTGTATGCCCCTAGGCTTTGCCTCCACACAACGGAAGGCAGTTTTTAATTTTATTTTATTTTTAAAAAATCGTTTTGCTCCTCCTTGCAGGCTGCTGGAGGTTTTGAAAATGGCGGCCAAGTCTGAGAAAAAGGACAGAAGTCTTCCTACTGTCGGACTGGACTTGATGAAAGTGGCTCTGAAGGAAGGCACCTTTGAGCTCTTCTGGAAAGAAGCCGTCGAGAACGGTCTGCTGAAGGACAACGTTGGACCTTGCAGGTTGGCTGGGGAAGTTTTGGCTTGTCTGTCACACGCAACATTCACACCACATGTTTTGAAGCACTATGATACCACTTTGCAACAGCTGTGGTTCCCCCCCCCAACTTCTGGGATCTGTAGTTTGTTGAGGGTCCTGAGAGTGGTTAGAAGACTTCCTTTCCCCTCAGAGAGCTACGGTTTCTAGAATGTTTTAGCAGTCAGTCCCTCTTCACAGAGAACTCTGGGACTTGTAGCTCAGTGAGGGAAATAGGGGGTCCACAGCTCCCATAATTCTTTGGGGGAAGCCATGACTGTCAAAAGTGGTATTGTAGTGCTTTAAATGTATCATGTGAACATGGCCCCAGTCTCTCCTTGCAGTTCTTTCTCCCATTTTTCTAAATCCCAGTGGTTTTCAAACTGTGCTCTGGGAGGCTGTCAAATTCTTCGCGAGTTTAGCAGGCCATTCTCAATTCATGAAATCAGTAAAGGCAGACCCCTTGAAAGCCAGAAAGCTGCTTTCACTCATTATTTCTTATCCTGTGTGTCTTATTCTTCCTCAGTTACATGTGTTATCGGTTGCTGGGCAGCTCTCTCCCGCTCCTGTCGACTAGCCAGCTAAGGATGGTTCTCCGAGGGGAAGTCATGCGTCATTACGGGACCCATGTTGTGTCCACCCAGGTAGGGGAATGGCAACAATATCCCTTCCCCAGTATGGTAGCCCCCATAGTTTACTGGAAAACAACTCACAGCATCTCTGCTGATCTTGCTCTCTGGGACAGATGTAGTCCAAAATGCCTGGAGGCCACTAGGATGGCGAAGGCTGGTCTACCCTGATCAGCAGTGTGTCTCCAGGATTTTAGACAGCAGACGTTCCCAGCCCTCCCTGGAGACACCAGGGATTGGGCCCTTCTGCTTGCCAAGCAGGCGTCCTGCTGCTCAGCCACAGCCCTTCTCCTGCCTGTGTTTTTCAGATGCACGACAGATTCAAGTTTGCCCCAGAGATGGAGGCCTACGTCGACTCATTCTTGGAGGGATGCAGTGACCCGGCCAAGCAGCTGACGGTGATGGTTGGCTTCTCCACGCTCACCAACCAAGGCTACCCGGTGGTGCCTAGTTTCTGGAAAGTGCTGAGGCACCTGCTCCCCGGCGCGTTGCTGAAGTACACGGCCTGGCTCAAGAACATGTTCCTCAACCCGGATTTGGACGCCTGCGTGGATTTCGCCACCAGGCGGCAGCAGCAGAACGAGAAGAAGACGGACGTGTGAGTGGAAGCTGGGGGAAAGGCGGAGGCACCTCCGGCCGAATAGGAAGCAGCCAGTGTGAGAGCCAGTGTGGTGTAGTGGTTAAGAGCAGTAGACTCGTAATCTGGTGAACCGGGTTCGCGTCTCTGCTCCCACATGCAGCTGCTGGGTGACCTTGGGCTAGTCACACTTCTCTGAAGCCTCTCAGCCCCACTCACCTCACAGAGTGTTTGTTGTGGGGGAGGAAGGGAAAGGAGAATGTTAGCCGCTTTGAGGCTCCTTTGGGTAGTGATAAAGCGGGATATCAAATCCAAACTCTTCTTCTTTTTATGCTGCTTCAGACCCCTGCATGGAGGACAGATAAAAGAAAAGAAAGTCCTTCAGGCGGAGCTAGTTATACTGTGGAACTCCCTTCCACAGGAGGCTGTGATGGCCACCAAGCTAGATGGCCTTAAAAGAGGATTAGACAAATTCATGGAGGAGAGGGCTATCCTTGGCTACTAGCTATGATGGCTGTGCTCTGCCTCCACAGTCTGAGGCAGTGATGCTTCTGAATGCTGGAAACCACAGGAGGGAAAGAGGGCTCTTGTGTTCGAATCCTGCTTGTGGGTTTTCATCAGGCATCTGGCTGGCCACTGTGAGAACAGGATGCTGGACTAGATGGGTCACTGGCCTGATCCTGCAGAGCTCTTCTTATGCTCTTGTCTCTCCCAGCCAGGAGAGTTGCCAGGGATTGAACCTGGGATGAATGAATGAATTTTAGTGAATGAATGAATTTTATTATTACGGTCACAGACCACTTCCGGCTCACTTAAAATATCAGGAAAATCGTAAAACACAACAGGAATACATTGAATTGCATTGGGGTATAACAGAGACAATACAGATATAGCAGTTAAATATATATATATAAAATCTTGATCACTAAAATATCACCTAAAATTGTCAGAACCTGGGACCTTCTACACTCAAAGCAGATGCTCTACCACCGAGATTCTATTTTTCACATGCACGTGACGCTCCTGTTGGTATTAGTGAGGCTTTGCCACTGGATTCTCCTCAGGTGCTAATTTCTGTGAGGTTTCTTGGCTGGGGCGGGCCCATTTGTACTTTCCACCAAGGCACCGTGAAGTCTTTAGGCTGGCCAAAGCTCCCTATAGCTCAGTCGGTTAGAGCCTGAGACTCTTAATCTCAGGGTCGTGGGTTCGAGCTCCATATTGGTCAAAAGTTCCCTACTTTGCAGGGGGTGGGACTAGATGACCCTTGGGGTCCCTTCTGGGTCTGCAGTTCAAAGATTCCCACCTATAATGGGGATGGTGGTCAATTGATTTGGTAAACTGTTGCCACAGGAACATAGGATGCTAGGTGTTGTTGTTTTTTAACCAAAACCGCATTCCCACCATTTTAAGCAGCAAGGACTTCCCCCAAAGGATTCTGGGTACTAGGAGTTGTTACAAAGCCCCTGTTCCCCTCAGAGAGCTACAATTCCCATAGCGCCCTGTGAAGAGGGATTGATTGTTAAACAGCTCTGGGTATCTTAGCTCTCTGAGAGGAACAGGAGTCTCCTCTTAACTCTAAGCACCCTAAACAAATGAAAGTACCCAGAATTCTTTGGAGGAAGCCATGACCGTTTAGTACCATGGCGCTTTAAATGAATGGTGTGAAAGTGGCCAAAGAAGGTGGGGGTCCCTGGCCCCACCTGGCAACGCTGGAGGTGTCTCGTAACACTAAACGATGGCTTAGCATGACATCTGAACTGGCCTGCTGTCCACCATCTTTTTACTCCAGTAAGATGATAAGGCAAGGGTCTGCTTTAGTGGCTCATTACTTCTGATTTCTCTCTGTCGATGCAGGGAAATGACCCAGCACTGTGTGACGCGCCTGAGGAAATGGATCATAGCTCGGCTGGTTGGCCTAGTTGAGAACCCGCAGATCAAGAAGGGAGAAGAGTTTGTGACTGATGTGACCAGGTAGGAGGGACAAGATGGTTGACAGCGGCTTGCGCTGCCTGCTTGCCGAGGGAAGGGTTTGTTGTTCACTCGAGACAGCTGGATACTCTAAACCAAAGAGCTGTACAGTGGTGCCTCGCAAGACGAAATTAATCCGTTCCGCGAGTCTCTTCGTCTTGCGAAGCACGGCTATTAGCGGCTTAGCGGCTTTAAGAAAAAGGAAACAAACTCGCAAGAACTCGCAAGACGAAACATCTTGCGAAGCAAGCCCATAGGGAAATTCGTCTTGCGGAACAACTCAAAAAACGCAAAACCCTTTCGTCTTGCGAGGCATTTGTCTTGCGGGGCACCTCTGTACTGCTCACAACCTTTGTATGACCTTAGGCCGCAATCTGCACTATTCCTTTAAAGCAGTGTCGTACCACTTTAAACAGGGCTTCCCCCAAAGCTTTCTGGGAACTGCAGTTTGTTCAGGGTGTTCAGAGTTGCTAAGGAGCCTCTGTTTACCCTCACAGGGCTACAGTTCCCAGAGTGGTTTAACGGTCATTCCCTCTTCCTCCAAACCCTCCTCAAAAGCTCAGGTTTCTGTGAAATCTTCAATCCTCTCACTGGAATGAAGACCAAAGACACATAATTGAATAAAAGTACATATTCTTCCCTTTCCCAGACCTGTTTCCATTTTCCTACCCATCCCATGTCAGAAGTTTAGCTTGTAAGGGAACGGGAGCTGGTCCTCTGGTACTTGATAGCGCAGTGTGTATGTTGATATTGCCAAGAGAGAAACTTAAGATCCTGCAAGACACGTTTGGCATTTACGTTACTGGTTGCCACAATGCAAGCTAGATCTAGCTGAGATGTAGCCAGTGCTTATTTTCTAGAAAAATAGTTGCTGCTACTCACTATGAAGTTTTTGCAGTAAGTGCCACACTTTTTAACAAAAAAGAGGTGCCGGTACTGTGTACCCTTGAGTAAAGGTACAAAGGTAAAGGACCCCTGGACGGTTGAGTCCAGTCAAAGGCAACTATGGGGTGTGGTGCTCATCTCGCTTTCAGGCTGAGGGAGCCAGTGTTTGTTCACAGACAGCTTTCCGGGTCATGTGGCCAACATGACTAAACTGCTTCTGGCACAATGAGTGCCAGAGTGTACAGAAACGCTGTTTACCTTCCCGTCGCAGTGGTACCTATTTATCTACTTGCACTAGTGTGCTTTTGAACTGCTAGGTTGGCAGAAGACCCTTGAGTACCCCCTGAAAAAAAACACTGGATGTAACAACCTGCCCCCCCCCCATCTATATTTATTTGTCACAAACATGAGGACTGGAAACTTCTTTCCAGGTGAAAGTGGGTATTCTTGGCTTTCTAACTGAAGTGACTCTAGAGTTGCAAATCATTTGGGAACGCCGCTTTGTTTCAGCAGCCTGTATTAAGAAGTCGTTGTTGTCTTCTGCCAGGTTCTGCTTCTTTCATGCTTTTTTCAAGACCAAGAAACCGACCCCTGAGATAACCGAGACAAAAACCACACCATCGGTGCCCCTGAACGAGGCATCCCGCACAGCAGCCGCAAACTCGTTTTTCAGGTATTCCCTTTGCTGCCTTGCTAGTTTTGAGCTCTGAAACCATACGTGACTCACAACCCCAGCACCTCAAGCACTGCCTCTCCCCATATGAATCAACCCAGACCTTGCAATCATCATTCCTTGAGGCATTTCTCCATGTGCCCTCTCCTTGAGAGGCCCAGAAGGTGGCAGCACGAGAAGGGGCCTTTTCTGTGGTGGCTCCCCGCTTGTGGAATGTTCTCCCCAGGGAGGCTCGTCTGTCAGCACCATTCTACATCTTTAGGCATTAGGCAAAAACATTTTATTTTCCTCCAGGCCTTTGGCTCTCAGTTACCTGTGGCCTCGTTGAGTAGGTGGGATGTTTTAAGGTAAAGGTACCCCTGCCCGTACGGGCCAGTCTTGCCAGACTCTAGGGTTGTGCGCCCATCTCACTTAAGAGGCCGGGGGCCAGCGCTGTCCGGAGACACTTCCGGGTCACGTGGCCAGCGTGACAAGCTGCACCTGGCGAGCCAGCGCAGCACATGGAACGCCGTTTACCTTCCCGCTGGTAAGCGGTCCCTATTTATCTACTTGCACCCGGGGGTGCTTTCGAACTGCTAGGTTGGCAGGTGCTGGGACCGAGCGACGGGAGCGCACCCTGCCGCGGGGATTCAAACCGCCGACCATGCGATCGGCAAGTCCTAGGCGCTGAGGTTTTACCCACAGCACCACCCGCGTCCCAGGTGGGATGTTTTAATCCTCCCTTTAAAAAAAATAAGATTGCCATTTAGATTTTTCTTTGTTTTTCATTTTTGTTTATGCCACCTTTTAATATGTGTGTGTGTGTGTGTGTGTGTGATAGTTTATGTATGGCAAATGGCTTTGAATTAGCTTAGATGGTTGAGCTCTCAGTTATCTGTGGCCTCCTTGAACAAGCGGGCTGTTTCAACCCTTCCTTTTAGAAACAGGGTGGTTGTTTAGATATTCCTTTGTTGAGCGTCTAAGGCCAAAGCATAGGAAATAAAACCCCACCAGATGACACACAAGTGTTGTGGATCTTCCATCTCACTGGAAACACACAGTTCATGTGTATTTTGCCCCTCCTTGATAGCCAAAGTCCATATGAAGACAGATGTGGATTTATTCCAGATTTTACATTGCTGGGCTATTGAAATCCTGGCTGCAGCTAACATCCTTGTCAAAAGTTATTTTTTTTTTAAGACATAATTTTTAATTGATTTTCACATGTTTTTTCTTAAATTTTGACTTCCCACCCTTACTTCCATGTTTTTATTCCTACCTTATACCTGCTGCTTTATCGGACATACAGTGGTACTTCGGGTTAAGAACTTAATTCGTTCCAGAGGTCCGTTCTTAACCTGAAACTGTTCTTAACCTGAGGTACCACTTTAGCTGATGGGGCCTCCTGCTGCTGCCGTGCCGCTGGAGCACGATTTCTGTTCTCATCCTGAAGCAAAGTTCTTAACCCGAGGTAATATTTTTGGGTTAGCGGAGTCTGTAACCTGAAGCGTATGTAACCTGAGCTACCACTGTACAACTATCCTCTATTTCACTTACCAATGTTTTCTTTCTATGTCAAAAGTTCTTTAGAGCGACAAGCTTTCACGTTGTCGGTCCTCATATTCAGCAACGACAGCTGTCGAGGAAGCCTGATGTAACTATTTTTTGCGTTTCTGCATATCCCAAACGGCGGTTCCTGTGTTCAGTCGCTGCTCTCTCTCTCTCTCTCTGCAGTTTGCTCCAGCACTTGAACACGATGCCTGCCCTGGGGGACTCAGCCAAAGCAGAAGAAATGAGGAAGAAGCACCTTCACGGCTTGACCGCCAGCGGGAACCCCTGGCTCTACCTCATCGTCCAGTACGCCAGTGCCCTCCTCTCTCACCAGGTCCACGTCGCAGTTGTGGTGCCATTTAGCAATGAAGAGAAGCTTGCTTGGGACAGGTACGAGGCACTTAGAGCGGGGTGGGGAGCCTGTGGCCTTCCAGGTGTGGTTGGACTCTCTTCTCAGTGGAGCCTGCCTACTGCCCAAGCCATTTTACCGCCCAAGGCGGAGGGACAAGTTGGTTCATTCCCCATTCAGTGCACAAAGTCTGACTAGACTGGCCTAGTCTCACCAAGCTCTGCTGGCTAGAGCAAGCAAATAACAAACAAACAAACAAACACAGAGTCTGACCATTCTTTCCCCATCACAGAATGCTCCAGACGGTGGAAACCTTGCGGAAGAGAGAGAAGAAAAGTCAGAACCTGAAGTCCTCCGCCTTCCAACACCTCCTGCTGTTAGTTGGCATTCACCTCTTCAAGGTAATATCTGGCACGCTGGAAGCGGCTGTTTTGGGTGAGGCTTTGAATATGGCTGTGGCCATAATGCCTGAGCCAATAATGATGAAGATAATGGAAGGGGAGCCGGGGCTTGTCTTGGGAAAAGCATGGGAAAGTGCCTTATATGAGGTCAGACTATTGGGTCTACAGTGGTACCTTGGTTCTCAAACTTTGTCCGTTCCAAAGCCAAAGTGTTCCAAAGCCAAGACGTGCTTTCCCATAGAAAGTAATGCAAAATGGATTAATCCATTCCAGACTTTTAAAAACAACCCCTAAAACAGTAATTTAACATGAATTTTACTATCTAACGAGACCACTGATCCATAAAATGTAAGCAATAACCAATGTACTGTTGTATAAAATAAATAAGACAGTATTGTAGATGATAAAAATTAAAATTATTTTTTTTCCTTACCTGCACTGATGATAGTCATTGTTTGGATGGGGGGCTTTTCTCCATTTCTACAGTCACACAACCAATCAATCAGTAGCTGAACTGGGCTCCACACAGTCACAAAAACAAATTAACTGAAAAAGCCTCAAAAACAAAAACGCAAAATAAATAGCAAAAACAAAAGTACCAAATACAGTGGTACGTTGGTTCTCGAACTTAATCCGTTCCGGAAGTCAGTTTGACTTCCGAAATGTTTGAAAACCAAGGCGCGGCGTCTAATTGGTGTAGTGTACCCGGAAACAATAGCCGACAGCCGCATCGGATGTTCGGCTTCCGAAAAAGGTTTGAAAACCAGAACACTTCTGGGTTTTTGGTGTTTGAGAAGCAAGGCGTTTGAGAACCAAGGTACCACTGTATATAGTTCAGTGTTGCCTACACTGACTGGCAGTGGCCCTCCAGGGTTTCACAAGCAGGGGTCTCTCCCAGGCCTTACCTGGAGATGCTGTGGCTTGAATCTGGGAATATATATTTTTACATGGAAAGCTGTGCTCTGCTACTGAGTCGCAGCCTCTCCAAAGTGGGAGCAAACTCCCCATCCTTTCAGGCAGAGTTACAGGGGTCCCCTCTTTTATTAATATATATTGCATTTACACCTCAAAGAACTCAAGTCATACCTCATGTTACGTTTGCTTCATGTTACGGTCTTTCAGGTTACGTCCTGCGGCGACCTGGAAGTACCGGAAAGGGTTACTTCCGAGTTTCGCCGCTCGCGCATGCGCAGAAGCACAAAATGATGTCACACGCATGCGTGGAAGCGGCGAATTGCAAGCTGCACGTGCGCAGACGCACCGCTGCGGGTTGCGCTCTTTTCATGTTACGAATGGGCCTCTGGAACGGATCCCGTTCGCAACCAGAGGTACCACCGTACATTGTTGTCTCCCTATTACAGTGGTACCTCGGGTTAAGTACTTAATTCGTTCCGGAGGTCCGTATTTAACCTGAAACTGTTCTTAACCTGAAGCACCACTTTAGCTAATGGGGCCTCCTGCTGCCGCTGCGCCGCTGGACCACGATTTCTGTTCTCATCCTGAAGCAAAGTTCTTAACCTGAAGCACTATTTCTGGGTTAGCGGAGTCTGGAACCTGAAGCGTATGTACCCTGAAGCGTATGTAACCTGAGGTACCACTGTATTATCCTCACAACAACCTCATCTGTTCAGGCCCAGGATCTTCTGTCTTCAGTTCCCGAGCTCTACTGTTTAAATACCTGGAAACGTCAGAAGGAAAGCCTGCCTCTGAGCATGTTCAGAGTGCAGTCCCAGCACCCAATGATTAGTTCTTTAAAAATCCATTGGCTTGCTTACTGTATGCCTCACAAACGTGACATGATAAAACCAGATCAGAACACAGTATGGAAAGATGAATTGCTATTTTGCAGGAAATGGTAAACAGAACAATGTATTTTGCAACAAACGGTATAACAAAACAATCCTGCGGATGTGGCAGGAAGAAAGAGACCAGGGATATGCTCGTTGGTCCATGGAAGGCCAACATGTTCAAAGAACCGAACACATCAGTTGGGGGAAAAAATTAAATCGAAAAGCAAGCAGGCAAACCCAGGAATTGCAAGTGCAGGGTTTGAGGTTGCGTTCTAGTGTATTTCTGTACCTGCAGAATTTTTATTTATTTTAGCAAACCACTGCTTTATCATTCAAAAAGTATCTCTAAGAAGTTTACAAAAATTATCAATAAAAAACAGATAATTAAATACATGCAAAGGATGGCTAAAACCATCAGTTGCTAAAAAGAAACAGAACACGTAACTTCTGCATGTGTGGATAGACTTCCCTACAGAAAAATGTTTTAAGCAGATGCCAAAAAGAGAACGACGAAGACACCTGTCTGATGTCAATCAGCAGGGAGTTCCAAAGTGTGGGTGCTGCCACGCTAATTCAAAGGATGAGTTTCTTACAAGTGCAGAGCAGATATTATGTGTCAGCTGTAGCAAGTGAACTGCAGGGTCGTTGCAGAATGCCCTGAGATGGGCTCCTGGTTGCAAAATTCCTGGTGGGGTAGTGTGATGGATTGTGAAGGCTCTCCGCAAGAAATGCCTTTGCTCACTCACAGATACATATATACAGTCTTTATTTTACATATGTACAAGCAGCACGTTACAATCATGCATCCGAATCCTCCGGCTCAGATTCTGGGAGTGCCTTATGCCCGCCCCTTCTCCAACAGAAAAGGCGTGGAATTTTCATGTGATGTCTCTGTCCCCTCCTCTTTAACACTCTCCTTTCCTTGGCAGACGGAACAGGCATTGTTTCACTGTCTGTGCCAGAACTTCCTGTGCGGTGTTGAGGCTCTGCTCCAACATCTGTGAGCTGTCCCTCCTCCTGGCTTTCCCTTCTTTCCTCCACCGCCACTTCCTGCCCCCTTCCTCTGCCTGTCTCTTCTCCTCCCCTTCATTCTCCGTCAATAAGATTACAGGTAGGGTTGTGGAATGCCAATTTTAGGAAATGGGGGCACCACTGGAACATAGGAACACTGAAGCTCTTTTCCAGTAGACCTGAAGGAGCGTCTCCACCCCCATCATTCTGCCCGGACGCTGAGGTCCAGCGCCGAGGGCCTTCTGGCGGTTCCCTCATTGCGAGAAGCAAAGCTACAGGGAACCAGGCAGAGGGCCTTCTCGGTAGTGGCGCCCGCCCTGTGGAACGCCCTCCCATCAGATGTCAAAGCGATAAATAACTACCTGACATTTAGAAGGCATCTTAAGGCAGCCCTGTTCAGGGAAGCTTTTAATCTGTGATATTTTACTGTATTTTTTGTTTCTATGGAAGCCGCCCAGAGTGGCTGGGGAAACCCAGCCAGATGGGCGGGGTACAAATAATAAATTATTATTATTATTATTATTATTATTATTATTATTATTCCACCAGAAAGTCTCCCATCCTAACCTATTTTGCACCAACCTCGCATGCTGCCCCGAGCAACTTTGGAGAAAGACAGGATAAAAACATAGGGACGATGATAATGACAACATTTGACTCCTTTTTTCTTCCTTTCTCTTTTGGTTCCCTCCGCCTCTCGTTTCCTCACTCGATTCTCGCCCGACTAGTCTCCTGCAGAGTGTGTGAACCTTCTGAGCGACCTGCAGAATTGCACCCAGAGAGCCTTTGGAGAGAAACCCAAGAAGAAAAAGACAGCGGCTGCTGGTGAGTTTCTGTTCACAGCCTGATTTATCCACCACACCCATGTAGATAAGCCCCTCGTAGTTGCTGGCCTTATATTTATCGATTTATATAATAAACAACAGGAGACTGTAGGGATAGGTGTGAAGGCAAAGAAAGAAAGGGAAAATTGCTCTTTTTTCTGTCTGTCTATTTGGTGGGCCTCCAGATCCTATGCTAGTTCTACTCAAGAGTAGACCCATTGATTTTAACAGACATGACCAGGGTGGATTTGATTTAAATCATGATTTAAATCACTAGACTTGATTTAAATCATTTTTTTTTACAGAAAAATTCATCCTTGCTGGTATAATCTTAATATTTACAACAGATGAGGGTTTCAATTTTGGAATAATTTTCAGAGTAGTTTTTACAGTTATATGAAAAATTACTGATTTGGTTATACTATTAGAAATACATAGATAATCATGAAATTATTGTGAGGTTTAATACGTTAATGGTTTATATCTGGACCACTTTTCTGCTGTCCTTTATTCTAAGGAGAAAAATAATTATTTCCTTAATAACAATTTATTTAACTAAAACAATAGCATAGCATATGTATCCATGATTGTTAACTGTTGTGGTTAAACCATTAAAAAAAAAAAAAAAACTTAGACTGAGTTTTAGCACACATGAAAAACAAACAAATCCTTATTTCTTTATGAATAGCCTTTGGACTATAATGTAACTTAAACAGAAAACTATCTTTAGAAAGATTTTTCCTCCAAAAGCATTTTATTTTAAAAATAGATGTTTTTAAATTTATTTTTAAAAAATCATTGATTTTTATCCACCCTGGACATGACTAACTTCGGTCCATCAGTGGGTCTGTTCTGAGTAAAACGTGGTTGGATGTAGGCCCTAGGTAGCCTTTGGCCTTCTAGATTGCTGCAAGTGTCAGCAATGGCTGAGGCATGATGGGAGTTGTAGTTCAACAACACCTGGAGGGCCAAGGCTCTTGATAGCATTTGGTTGCGCAGGAGGGATTGTGCTGAACCCCTGTTCCCTCCTCCGCCAGCCCACCCATGTGCAGCTCTTTGTCTCTGTTGCTAGCAGGATTAAAGGGAGGCTGGATTTGCTGACCAGGCCACTGTTGCATTGCCCACTGGGAGGCATTCAGACTCTCCCTGTGTGTTTTTCTCCACTCAGGTGGCGAAGAAGAGCCGGAATGGGTGGAGGTGATCATCGAAGTCCTCCTTTCCCTCCTGGCCCAGTCCAGCGGCCTCATCCGACGGGTCTGCAAAAGCGTCTTTGGGCTCGTCTGTCAGCACATGACGAAGGGCGCCTTGCAGCTCATCCTAGACGTGAGTAGCCTGGGGCCGCCCAGAGCAGGAACAGTGACATTCCCACCCTCCGGGGCCGTGTGCTCTTGGGGGAAAGCGGTTGGGGGCCACATCCCAACGGTGGGGAGAGTCAGAGCTTGGTGTGTGTGGGGAGTCATGTTCATTTAAAGTGCTAGGATACAGCCGCCCCCCAAATAATCCTGGGAACTGTAGTGTGTTAAGGTTGCCGAGACCTGTATTCCCACAGAGCTACAATTCCCAGAGTTTGCACCACTCTGGGAATTGCAGCTCTCTGAGAGGAATAAGGGGTCTCCTGACAAAACCCAGCATCTCCCCCCGCCCTCAGGCCTGTGGGGCTTCGACCCCAGTAGAAAAACGCTTCCACACTTCTGCTTTTGACGATGGCTGTCATTGAATTCTACTCAATATTGACCCAGAGCAGAACTCTGACGTGTAGTTAGCAGTGTAAAAACGTAAACACATTTGGTCACAAATACATTCAGGATTGGCACTGTCCATAAGAAATCCAGTTGCAGCAGACTTGACTTAACCTACAATAACTTACAATGACTAAACCTTAACACTATACAGTGGCACCTCGGGATGCGAACGGGATCCGTTCCGGAGTTCCGTTTGCATCCTGAATAGAAGGTAAGACGCGTCTGCGCGTGCACAGGTTGTGTTTTGCCGCTTCCGCATATGCGCGTGATGTCATTTTGACCGTCTGCGCATGCACGAGTGGCAAAACCCAAAAGTAACACTCTCCATTACTTCCGGGTCGCCGCGGAGCGCAACCTGAAAATACCGTACTTTTCGCCCTATAAGACACACCTAGTTTTTGGAGGAGGAAAAGAAGGAAAACAAGAAAAAAAATATTCTGAATCCCTGAAGCCAGAACAGCAAGAGGGATCGCTGCACAGAACACCACACCAGAAGGAAGAGAGGTAGAAAGAGAACGTGAAACCCCGGCTCCTTCTCACCTTACTTTTATGGTCAGCCAGAAAAAGAGAAGAGAACCAGTTTAAAGCAGCTGTACTCAGCTTCTCTGAAGGTATAACCCAAACATCACGAACCTTCTGCTTGTTTCTTTCACACAGAGCACCTTCCAGAACCCTCTTGAATTAAGTAGAATAGGAAAGATCTCTACACATCAGATCAATGCTTTCTGTACCAAGAAATGCAAACTGACAATGGCAGCCCTGTGCCACAGCAAATGCATGCTTTGGGAGAGCCACTCCTTTGTGCATGTGAGAGAAGGGGCACATCTTTGTCAATATGGCGCCTGCAACTTAGGTTTGAGCGTCTGTACTGACTACCTGTACGTATATGTGCATATATATATATATATATATATATTTCTCCTCAAGGTTCTCGACCCACAGCACGACCAGGATGAAGAGAACGCTGTCGTCGTGATGGAAGACACTCAAAAGAAGAAATCTTTGCCGGAAGATGTGGTAACTGCTACCGAATTTGTTATAATAGTGCATTTAGCCCTGGAACGTCACTAAGGCCACTTTCCCCCTTTGCATTTTAGGACTGTGTCTAATAAACTGTATAAAAGGCGGGGAACGGCTGTTGCGACTTCAGGCTAAGCCTTCTGACGTTCCTGAGCTGCTGTATTTGCATATAAAATAAGACCGAATGGCAAAAGGAGCGATTTTGAGCGCTTTTAGCTTGATGCAGGATTTTTCTAAGGACGGAGATTTGCCAAGTCTTGGATTCCCGATAAACTGAGTTGAATCTTCCTCTTTCTCGGCAGAGCGAAGAGGGTGATGGTGAGGAGAGTTCTTCTGAAGAAGACGACAGCTCTGAGGACGATGAGAGTGAAGGGGAGGAAAAGGAGGCTTCGGAGACGGATAACGAAGATGAGAACGTTGAGGCTGATGAGAAATTCCGCGCCATGCTGCGAGGAGTTCTGCAAGCTGGGAATGCACTGGTAAGTGTCGCAGGAGGTGAGGGCGAGGTGTTGAAGGCTTAGCAATGCGGCACTGTCTTGTTATTGTTGTTGGTTTTTTTAAAAAAAATATATTTATTTGGTTTTTCAGATTAAAATTTTACAGTCATATATTGAACATAGATCATAAAAAGAAGATTCCAAGGAATCTCCTGGACTTCCATCCTCCCCTTTGTGGGTCCTATTATTAATCATTTCTTCCTGAATCTTTTATGATGATCCAAATCTTTTCCATCTCCATTGTATCCAGAATGCACCATTAAACTAGAAGTGATATTCCAATCCCACTAACCATTTTAACTGTTTACAATGGTCTTCAAGATGAGTTATAAATGTTCCCCATTCCCCTTATTAAAATTTTGGTCTTCCTGATTTCTGATTCTTCCGGTCATTTTAGCCATTTTGGCATAGTCCGTCAATTTGATCTGCCATTCTTCTCTGCTAGGGTCTTTATCTTCTTTCCATCTCTGGGCCAATAATGTGGCCCTGTCTTCTGCGCTGAGGGGACCCTGAGTTCTGTGGGGAAGAGAGCTGAATTCTACAGCTTGGAAACCCATTGGGTTTTCCTTCCTGGAGTTGACCCACTAAAACTGGATGGAATTGACTGACCCCAATCTGTCAGTTCCAGTGTTTCTACTCTGGGTCAAACTTAGTTGGGTACAACCCAAACAGTGGCATAGGACCAGCACTGGGTACAAAACTTTAAAACACACACACATTTTTAATATTTAAAAATCCCAGGGTGGTGATGACAGCGACGAGGACGTTGATGACGAAACCATGATGTCCCTGGACGAGAACCTGTCGGCCCTCTTTGCCGAGCAGAAGAAGCGCATCCAAGCCAAGAAGGACGAGAAGGAAAAGATGCGCAAGGAGAAAATATTACGCCGGGAATTCAAGATCAAGGTAGGAGGAGACGAAGTGTTGGCCCCAGGGGAGAGAAACCCTTTGAAATCGCAATAAACGCAAAGCCATTGAGAGCTGGTTCAGATTGCTGCCTCCCAGTAACTTAAGCAGAGATAAAAATGAAATAGAAATGGATTCGTTGCCCCTGGGTGTGTTTTCAGCCTGCATCTAGAAAACATTGCATTGAAAGATGGGTTAAAACTACTCATCATAATAACCTTCAAACCATGGGTTAGAATCCTGGGTTTTTTATCTGACTTGTTCTGAAGCTGATAGCCAAAAGCAGTCTTTGTAGCATGAATTTTTATTATTGTTTTAACCAGAGGTTTTCGACCTTTTTGAGTCCACGGCTCCCTTGACCAACTACATTCTTTCTGCAGGGCTCAGGAGGCCAGTTGTGTCACCCTTTGCCTGCAGAGCTGGCAGCCTCTCCCCCTTTTTCAAACACCCTTCCTTGTGGAGTTTTCACTCATCCTCCTCTCCTCTCTCCCCTCTCCTTCGGAGCCCTCTGGGCAGCCGCTGCTGCCTCCCCTGGTCTCTGAGCTGCCCCCCCCCCGCCTCAAAGAGAGGTGCCTCCTCACACTGCCCCACAGGGGCCTTGGAAGAAGATGCCCCCAGTCCTAGTGGCCCAACTGGCCAAAGATGAACGTGAGGCTGGCACCTCACCTTGGGAGGCTGCAGTGGCAGCAGCGGGTGCTGCTGGGCCTGCATGGCGTAAAGGCTCCCCTTCAGCACTGGGCACTCCGCATCCAGGCAGGACCTGCACACAGCAAGCACAAGAAAGGCCAGCACAGCGCTCGCCTGCCTGCCTGCCTGCCTGCCCGGTATCCCACTTATCTGTCCATTCCCAACAGCAAAGGCTGGTGGACTGGCTGGCTGGGCTTCCTCACCCATTTTTTTTCTTTCTCTGAGGCCACCTCAGCATCTGGCAAGCAGCACCCCCTGGCCAGCCCCAGAGGCACCATTTGCCTGGGGGGCTTGTAGGCAGGGCTACTGCAACAAACAGCTGCACAAGCCTTTGGGAGGCAGAGATGCAAGAGGGCACCAGAGGAGGGGGGAAAGAAAAGAGAGATAGAGGCCAGTGTCGCCCACGGCACCCCTGACCACCATTCAAGGCACCCCAGGGTGTCATGGCACACTGGTTGAAAGCCATTGATTTAAACATTTTCACCCCACCTTTCAAGGCGCAATATTCTCTTGGAGACACATAAGAAACAGCAAAACATTAAAATAGCACTACCGTAAAACAGTGCATAGATATAACAGCAGCTGAGCAGTAAAACCACAGGAGATTTGCAGACCTTTATGCTTTTGGAAAGGGACAGTATCTATTTTTGTTTTGATGTACAACTTACGGCACATACCGTTTTTAATTTAGAACTGCTGTCCATCCCTCTGTGGCTGGATCTGAGGATGAGAGGATGCGGTTGGGTTTGGGATTGTTTTAATTGTGGCCTCCAGGGGTCAGGATAAGCTTGGGAAACAGTTTAGAGCATGTGAAATACTGTTTGGTGGCAAGAATCCAAAGCGGAGCAGTAGAGCCAAATACTGAGCTAGCTTCTGAGTTACACAGGTCTCTTCACTAATGTTCCTTGAAAAAAATAAGTGGATCAGGGAGGGAGAAGAGGGAAGGTCTTGTTCTTTACCAACATGACAGGCCTTGACAGATGGAAGTGGAGGAACCCTTTTGCAGACTATTTTAGGCTGTGATCTAATACTCACTTACCTGGGAGTGAGGCCCATTAAAAACAACAGGGCTTCCTTCTGAGTATAAGACACTTTGCGCAATTTGCAATGTGAGTTGCACTAAAGCTTAGTGGGAGTTGGGAGAACAAAGGGACATTCATGCAGCCACATCTATGTGGTTAAATTGGGTGGGGCGCCCCAGGACTGGGGATCAGATGTGGCTCTCAGGAAACTCGCCAGGCTACACTCAGGGTGGTTTTTCCCCTGGCTCAATTGTGTCCTTCAACTCTGATAACGCTTGACAGCGGTGTTCGTGTTTGTAGAAACCAGCTTGCTCTGCAAATGGCAACATCTTATTTGCATTGCCCCACCCACTTTTGCTTCTGGCTCCGCCCACCAAGTGGTATGTGGCCCTTGGAAGGTTTCTCAGAATAGAGTGTGGCCCTCTGGATGACCACGTTTCCCAGCCCCTGCTCTAACCACAGTAGCGGGTTATAGGAACGCCCTTCCTCGAGACCCTGGAGAGCTGCCGGTCAGAGCAAGCAGTGCTGGTCCAGGTGGACAGATAGGCTGTCCTGTCCCCATATACTGTAGTCATTCCTGTTGGCCCAGCCCTAGACTTCTTGCATGTGCACCCCTTCCTTGTTTCATCTCCGCCAAGCTAAGCAGTTGGCTCCTTACCTCTCTCGCCCTGACCTAGCCACTGTGATCCACACGACGGTCACCTCCAGACTGGATTTTTGTAACTCGCTCTACGTGGGGCTGCCCTTGAGACTGACCCAGAAACTCCAGCGGGTGCAGAATGCCGCGGCGAGACTCCTTACGGGGTCCTCGCTGCAGGATCACATTCATCCAGTGCTATACCAGCCGCACTGGCTCCCGGTGGAGTACAGGATCAGGTTTAAGGTGCTGGTTTTAACCTTTAAAGCCCTATACGGCCTAGGACCCTCGTATCTACAGGACCGCCTCTCCTGGTATGTCCCACGGAGGACCTTACGGTCTTCCAACAAAAACAGCTTGGAGGTCCCAGGCCACAGGGAGGTTAGGCTGGCCTCAACCAGAGCCAGGGCTTTTTCGGCTGTGGCTCCGATCTGGTGGAACACTCTGTCACAAGAGACTAGGGCCCTGCGGGACTTGACATCTTTCCGCAGGGCCTGCAAGACAGCTGTTGCACCAGGTCTTTGGCCAGGGCACAGCCTGACCCCCTCTTTTGGCAATCCTCACAGAACTCTAGCCCAATGGTTGCCATTAATCTGATTTGAACTGATTTTATAATGAACTGATTTTAGAATGTTGTACTCTTTTACTGTTGTTAGCCGCTCTGAGCCCGGCTTCAGCTGGGGAGGGCGGGTGTGGCGATCACACACAGGGCCCCTGGATGTTTGACGGTCTATTGACCCTGTGCCGCCACTGCGATTGCTTTTTCCGCTGCCACCACCCCGTATCTCACGGGGACACACGGAGTCCAGTCAGTTGTTGACATAAACAAATAATCAAGTTTATTTTTAAATGCAGGAACAAGCTTATGGTTTCAGTTAATTTTTCTCTTGTCAGTTTCTTATTCTTAGTTCCTAACAACTCCAAACTGATTATTCCCAACTATCTATCTGACTCCACCTAACAATTCCTCTCACTCTCTCACAATACAACTCTACCAACCCACACCTAAACCTCCCTCTTCCTTCTTCAACTCCCAAGCCTCAACTCTCAGCCTCAACCAACTCAACTCTCAACACCCAAACCTCAACTAACTTTCAAAACCTCCCACTCTAACTTTTATTCCCCCCTTGCATTCTCACTGGCCAATCACATCACACCTATTTTAACCCTTTCCTTATGACCCATCCTAGGAGGCAAACGCCACAGCGGGATATAAATACAGTGGTGCCTCGCAAGACGAAATTAATCCGTTCCGCAAGAGTCTTCGTCTAGCGGTTTTTTCGTCTTGCGAAGCAAGCCCATTGACGGATTAGCGCTAATAGCGCTATCAGCTGTTTAGCGGCGATTAAAGGCTTAAAGGCGTAGGGATTAGCTGCTAAAAGGCTAGTAAAGGCTATTAAAGGCTTAGCAGATTAGATAAAGGGGGGGGAAGCAAAAAAAAAAATCTCTAGACTCGCAAGGTATTTTCGTCTTGCGAAGCAAGCCCATAGGGGAATTCGTCCTGCGAGCAACTTCAAAACGGAAAACCCTTTCGTCTAGCGGTTTTTCCGTCTTGCGAGGCATTCGTCTTGCGGGGCACCACTGTAAAATTTTATTATTATTGTTCTCTGTCTCTGGAAAGCTTGTGTTGGCCTGAGTCCGACACATCTCCCTTCTGTCCCTCACATTTCCAGGTTCTGGATCTGGTCGAGGTGTTCCTGTCGAAGCAAGCGGAGAACCCTCTCGTGTTCACCATCATCGACCCGCTCCTCTCCGTGATTGAGCAGAGCATGAGCAGCGAGTCCGACAAGCAGGAGCAAGACTACCTCCGGAAGACGGCCGATATCTTCACGTGAGTTTGTGGCGAGGTTTCTTATTTGCTATTTCAATTTAGATAGCTCAGGCGGTAGAACAGAAGACTCTTAATCTCGGGGTTTGTTAGGATATTTCCGTTCCGCCTTAAAAGGGAGCAGGCTTTGTGAGTCACACAGCCTGCGTATTTCCTGTTTCACAGGAAATTTCTGTTGTGTCTTTGTTTTTGCTCTCTCTGTGTCACAGACACTGAAGCAGGCAGTCATGTTTTTCTTTGTTCTGATCAACGCTGAATAAAACTTGTAAATAATACTCTCCTGCGTGCAACTTTCGCTGTGCATTATCTGCTGATAGAGCGTGCATGAGTTCTCGAATGTGGCAGGCTATTTCTGGAGCTCGTGTCGCTAATTGCTGATACTGTATCTACGGGAGATCGATGGGACTTCCAGAGGCGACTTGTGGGGCCATGATGGACTTTGTCTCCCTGGCAGTATCCCAACAGGGTTGTGGGTTTGAGCCCCACATTGGGCAAGAGGTTCCTGCATTGTAGGGGGTTTGACTAGTTGACCCCCCCCCGGGGTCTCTTCCAAGTCTAGGATTCTGTGATTCTATATATATACCACTACAGTGGTACCTCAGGTTAAGTACTTAATTCGTTCCAGAGGTCCGTACTTAACCTGAAACTGTTCTTAACCTGAAGCACCACTTTAGCTAATGGGGCCTCCTGCTGCCGCTGCACCGCCGGAGCACGATTTCTGTTCTCATCCTGAAGCAAAGTTCTTAACCTGAAGCACTATTTCTGGGTTAGCGGAGTCTGTAACCTGAAGCGAATGTAACCTGAAGCGTATGTAACCTGAGGTACCACTGTGCTGACAAACCCCAAAGCAGTTTACAAGAACTTCATACGTACAGTAAAAACCACATAAGAAGTTAAAAACAGACAGCACATTATTATAGCTAGGAAGTGGAAGGGGCAAGCAGAATATAAAATGGAAGAATGGTATAAAGAGGTGTGGGATATAGCTATTAATGATAAATTAACATGTGTCGTTAAGGTAAAAAGGTGAATATGCAGGAGAAATGATTTTGAGGAAATATGGTGGGTGTTTGTAGAATTTGTACAAACTGAAAAGGGTCAAACCATTGCAAGAGGTGAAATTTTGGGAGGTTGGATAGTTACAATGGAACAGTGTCGGGGGGGCACATTTTTATTCTTATTTATTTATGATTATTACTTTGTCAAAATAAAATAAAAATTAAAACAACAACACCACACAGACACAAAAACAGACATCAACGAGATGGAATAGAAAGGTTTTCACCAGGTGTTGAAATGGAAGATGTCTTGCTCAGTTTTTCTACTGGCAGACCGTGATCGACCAGTCTTTCTTTGCCGTGCTGGAGTTTATTTCAAGTACCTTTGCTACATTTTTATCCAGACGTGCAAAACGAACTGGGAGTTGCAGACCTCGTGTTTGCCTGTCTGCATCTTGATGTGGATTCAGTCCACGTGGCATGGGAGGAAGATTTTCTTTTTCAGGCAGACCCCTGGATGTGAAACGTGTATCCAATGCCAGTCCTACTCAGAGTAGACCCATTGAAACTAACTTGAGTCCATTAATTTCGATGGGTCAACCCTGAGTAAAATGTAGATGGATGTGACTCTATACCAGGATCTGCTGCAAAGAGAGAGCCTGCAGGTCTATAGTGTGTTCCTATTGGTGGTACAAAATTGTCCAGCTGTGCTCTCAAGTCAGCATTTTGAATGTTTTTAGGTAGCTGCGCTACTTGAACACTTTAGGTGTGGGGGGAAAGTGCAGTATACAGATTATGAATAAAACAAGAACGGTATCATACCGGTAGGGTTTCTTTGGTTTACTGACTGTGTTGTGTTCTCTTGGTTTTCAGGAACCACCTATGCAGATCCAAGCAGTACTGCAAAAACGTGGCCCCCATCCGGGAAGAACTGCATGCCCAGCTGGAGAGTCTGGTGAAAAGAGCTTGCAAGCAGAGCGACTCCTCTGTTGCCCTTTACTGCTTCAGGTGGGTCGTTTGGACCGGTGTGTGGGTTTAAGACACACACATGCACGCGCGCACACACACACACACACACACACTCTTTATCTTCTCATTTAACACTGCAGTTGAAAGGGGTCTGGAACCCTGAGATTTTCAATGAAAAGCAAAACCCGTTTTTCTAAGTTTAAAAGACTTAAAGCAGGTTCCTAGTTCTCACAGTTTTGGAGGAAATCTGCAGAGGTATCTTCTTCTTCTTCATTTATTATTATTATAATTATTGATTTGTACCCTGTTCATCTGACTGGGTTACCCCAGCCACTCTGGGTGGTTTCCAACATATACAGCAACATATTAAAACATTAAACGTTAAAAAGGCTCCCTATACAGGGCTCTAAGAGAATGTCTTCTCCCATATAGACCTGGCGGGTGTATAAACTATGCAAAGTAAATGTGTTTTGTTTTGCATAATTTATTCTGCTACACCAGTAGTCCAGTACAGGCATCTCCCCACTTATGCGGGGGTTACGTATAGTGTAATTGTTTAATAGCGGGGAACACCATCTAAAAAGCCTGCAAACGCCCTCTAAGCCTCTGGAAACCCTTTTAAAAACCAGCAGCACTTACCAAACTGGCATGAATGGTGGCAGTGGTGGCTCTCAGTGTTCCTCACCACTGGAGGACCGTGTGAAAATGATGGCAAGGTAGGGGGCTAGACTGGTACCCCAAAGTTCCTGGCTGTGATTCAGAGGTAGACCGGTACCTCAAAGTGCTTGGCTCCTTCCACACCATTTTCCTGCTCTTTTCAGACCATCAGTGCCCTTATTGCAGTTTAAATTGATTTGTTCCATTTATTTCCTGGTGCCGTGCGTATACGTGGTCATGCGCTACTTGAACACGCGTATGTGTGGAGACGCCTGTTAGGTACTTAGTCTAAAAAAGAACAGAGTCAGAAAGAAGAAAAGGCTAGAAAAGGGAAGCGGGGGGGGGGGGTAGAGAAATAAAATAAAGGAAAAAACTAAAGAAAAATTGAAAAGAGTAAAAGGACTTCCATCTCTCTTCTGCAGCGACATATAATATTCATTTCTTACAAATCCAACCATTCGGTCTTCTATAAACCAGTATTATTCCAATCCTCAAATCCCGATATTGCCAGTTCATTTTCACTCAAAAAGCCGATAAGAAGTTTCCAGTCTACAAATTGTAACATACAACAAGCACCAATGTTGGAATGAATGTTTGTTTATATTTTTCTTTGATTACTTACGTTACATAGTTTTAAAAACCAATAAAGCATTTAACGGGGGGCGGGGGGTAAGTTTCCAATCCTTAACAGATGTCAGTAACGATTTTTCTCTTAATTAAACATGTTAACTTTGCCATCTCAGCCAGATCCAATAATTTTACCAGTCATTCATCTATAGTGGGCAGGGCTTTCCATCTTTCCATCTTTGTGCAGTCTCACCGCTGTAGTCGTATATCGGAGTAATCTTCTGTAGTCCTTTTCTAACTGTGTGCCCTTAGCCCTAAGAGAAAGGAAGACGTGTGTATTATACAGGGTGCTGAAACCCCAGCTCCTTGCCACTAGAAACCTATCCCTACCCCCTGCCTGGCATTTCTCACCCACAAGCCTATCCTCGCAGCCGTAATAAGGTCTAGAAACTTGCTTTTGAAAATGGAAAGGTGAGATTCATGGAGGTTCTGAACCTAAAAGATATTTCTGAGCTGGTGCAGCATGGCATGATACATACGGTTCTCCCTGACCCTTCTCTTGCGTATCGCTCTGCTTTTAGTGGGTCCCTGTACCTCTTCCGGGTATTGAAGGGGAACACGGCTGCTGAAGCTGCTCCGCAGGTCGCTCAGCCAAAAAAGAAGCTGAAGAGCAGTGAAGGAAGCGGTGCTCCGGCCGCTCAGGTGAGGAGGTCCTGCATTTCTGCATCTGTGTCAGTAAACTGCAGCCTGCATTCTGCTAGCATGGGGGCAGTCCTGGCTGCCGCGGCAAATCCCACCCCCTGCCTTAGCCTCCTCCAATCAGAGGCTGGCGAAGGACTCTTCCTGAAAAACTTACCCTCATATATAGCAGTGGCAGATTTGTTCTCTGATCATTGTATCACCAGAAAGGTGGCACCCATACATTGTTATTATTATTATTATTAGTAGTAGTAGTAGTAGTAGTAGTAATAGTAGTAGTAGTATACCGTCCTATACCCACAGGTCTCAGGATGGTTCACAAGATAAAATCACAGTATAAAAACACAAAATGCATAAAACAAAAACAACCCAGTAACACCCCCTGAGAGCATTCCACAAACTGGGAGCTACTTCAGAAAAGGCCCCGTTCTTGTACAGTTGTACCTAATGTTACGTCTGCTTCAGGTTGCATGTTTTTGTCTTGCATCCCGCGGCAACCCAGAAGTACCGAAATGGGTTACTTCTGGGTTTCGCCGCTCGCGCATGCGCAGAAGTACCAAACTGTGCCGTGTGCCTGCACAGACATGGCGCTTCAAGTTACGGGCTTTTCACGTTACGGACGGGCCTCTGGAACAGATCCTGTCTGTAACATGAGGTACCAAACACTTACTCCTTTTATGCCTTTTTCTCCTAGTCCCTTGCTGTCGGCAGCCTGGACCTCGACCGAGTGTCCGCTGTGTACAAGGAAGCGTTGAACCTGTTTTTGACAAAGCGCAAGAGCCCGCTGACAGGGCCCATGTTTCTCGACCTCTTTGAACGCCACCCGGTAAGTAGCGGAAGAGCCCGGTCTCGCATCCTTTCCACACCACGTGGGCATGCAAAATGCACATTGGTTGTCGATCGGTTTCCTGGGATCCAAGTGACATCCCAGGAACGGAAGGGGTGTTCTGTTGTCAAAGCCTTCACAGGGTAGTTAGTCTTCTGTACCTCAGAATTTATGACACAACCTCCGACCAGGGCCACATTCACACCATGAATTCAAATCACCACTTTCAACTGTCATGGCTACTGCCCTCCCCCAAAGAATTCTGGGAACCGTAGTTTAAGGGTTCTGAAGGTTGTTAGGGGAGCTTGATTTCCCTTTGCCGGCCAGATTTGGAGACCTGGCAGGCCTGATTAGGCCTGTGGGCTGGAAATCCCTCCCCTCACTTGTCCTAAAACATCACTTGCGATCCTGGTGATGTGAGGCTCCACTAACGCCCAGGTCTCTTCTTTTTCCCTTGGAGATCATGTGCAAACAACTGGTTGACACCATTGTCAAGTCGATCACAGAAGGCGCTCGACAGCACCAGCAGGTAAGTGCAAAGGCACCCAAACTGAGCGGGGTCTGGGGTGGAATTTACCTTTTGTGTTTGTGTATATCAGTGCAAAGGGACACAGGTGGCACTGTGGGTTAAACCACAGAGCCTAGGGCTTGCTGATCAGAAGATTGGCGGTTCGAATCCCTGCGACGGGGTGAGCTCCTATTGCTCGGTCCCTGCTCCTGCCAACCTAGCAGTTCAAAAGCATGTCAAAGTGCAAGTAGATAAATAGGTACCGCTCCAGCGGGAAGGTAAACGGCATTTCCGTGCGCATGCTCTGCCACATGACCCGGAAGCTGTATGCCGGCTCCCTCGGCCAATAAAGCGAGATGAGCACCGCAACCCCAGAGTCGGCCATGACTGGACCTAATGGTCAAGGGTCCCTTTACCTTTATATCAGTGCAAATGATGCGATGCCAATGACTTCTTATGTACGTTTAAGAGATTTTTAAAACCAATCACAGCTCCCTCTTTCCACGAATTCTCCCTCTCCTTCCTAGTGTTAACATCTTACAGCTATGCTAATTGCAATTAATGCTCATCAAGGTCCCCGAGTTTTAAGCAAGAAATAGGGGTGTGTGGTACATTTACTCCTGACCCTGACATATTTCTTCCTTTCCTGTTGGCAGTGTCAGGATTTGGCTTACCTTGTAAAATGGCCGATGCTGCGATTTGTAATAAATAGCTTTGAATACATACTAGGTGGGAAAGCAAGCCTTGATGGGACTACTAATGGTTTGCCTCAGACGTCTGGCTCTCACAGAGGGAGCTTTTGCCCATTCCAATAGTTATAATTACTTGTGACGCAGAAATGTGTCCAGAATATGAAGTGGTGCAAGGAAATTGCCTTGGTGTTTCCCTCTCGGTTTTCTTCCCTTTTCTGTTTTTTCCTGTGGGTCATTGAGCTTCCTACCATTGTCAGCCTGACATTGTTCATAAGCATCGAACTCTTACCTCCCAAATTCCAGACTGAAACATGCACAGAAATGAGGCTGAATTTCCCTCGTCTCGCACACACAAGCGCACACACTCTAATGCGGTTCTGATCTTATTGCTGTGACAATTTCCCCCCTCAGGGAAGTTGACCTTCAAAATGGCTTCCTCAAGTTGTTAATCCCTGAATGAGGGGAATTTCTGATTGTGTGTGTGTGAGAAGGAAAGAGAGAGAACTCCCTCATTTATTTCCTTTTTCTCCTGGATGAAATTTAATTTATCTCTGTATGACTTAGCTACCTATGAGAATCCCCTGAGTTTAAAGCAAGATAATGGCTTTAAACTCAGCCAAAGTCTCTACATAGCTCCATCCTTATTTCAGACATTGTGATGTATTGGTATATCACAATGTTTAGCTGGTGACATACCACAATGTTGAAAACTAGATGTAGCCCAGCCCTAATATGAACGTAATAAATTAAAATAAAACAAATAAGATGGAGCAGAGTCTGTCTGATTATTTTTTAAAGAGGCGATTTATGTTCTAGGCTGCTTCTGCAGCCTTGAGACTCCTCGATTTACCAGGATAAAAAAAGGAATAAAAACAAAACAAAAAATCCCCCAGCAACTAAAAGCTACACTCCAGCACATGGCGTCTTATGACTAACGTACAGCATGGCATTAAAAGAGGGGGGAAAGACGCCTCGCGTGAGTGCTCACTTCTGCCCACACCGGCAGTGAAGCGATGACTCAGTTGCACGAAAGCATTTGAAGTTGAATGCCTTCAACATAGATGTTTTTCAGCAGGTGGTAAAGGGAGAATTAATCAAGGAACATTTTGCATAAAGAATGAGAGGCAATAAAGTGGTTTTTCTTTTCAAAGAAAAAAATAATAATCCTGCTCTGGTTAGTGTTGCCTACTCTGTCTTTCTGAACTGCAATTAGCGCTTTCAGCGACGATTAGAGCTTATTTTGTCGATTGGCCTTTTATCCCACTCTTTTGGCCAGAGAGCTCAAGCCAGTGTGTGCGCTGTCTTGCCCCTCCCTGTTAATGGTCACAACAACCTTGCGAGGAGGTTTTGGCAGAGAGAGCGCGCTAGAAGTGGCCAGTTCACTTTGGCAGCCCCCTAGGTGACGGGGTGGGGAGAAATGGGGGTGTCAGAAAGAAGAGAGGAAAGGGGGCGCTCTTACCGCTTGTGGCTTAGCCCACTGCCAGCATGTGGCCTCCAGCAGATCACGCCAGAAGGAATGTGGCCCTTGGCAGAAAACGAGTTCCTCATCTTCACCCTGGTCCATGAGGTCCTCCCCCCTCCCTCACATCCCTTTAAATAGAGCTTGTATTAAACCTGAAACCTAAAGTGTGACATTACCTGTCCTCCATCTAGTCAGTGATTCCTAGTTTGGCATTTTCCTCCTTTGCATAGGAGAATCTTCTCTCTCTCTGTTTTTAAGGAAGTGGCCCTTTTTAGACAAGATGGGCAAAGAGGAAAAAGCTTCAGGCCTTCAAAATGGAGAGGACCCTGGCCCCAGGCCAGGCAAGCACTTAAGTGGTTTTAATTTTAGGCCAGCCAATCGATCTTAATTCTGCCTGTATTATCACACACCTCCCAGGGGCCAAAGCTGTTGCATCGGTCCCCCCCCCCTTCCTCAGACATCACGTTTGTCTCCGTCTCTCCTGATTTCAGTTCTTTTATTCAGAAACAAGAGCCTTTGTGGCACTCTGAAAACCAAACAGATACATAAGGTTTTGTGGACTAGGTAGAGTCCAGGAAGCATTTGGCTGTGATTGACATGGTGATGATGATGATGATTTATTCTTTCTGCCCCACCCATCTGGCTGGGATTTCCAGCAAAATATAAAAAATAATAAAATGTCAGACATTAAAAACTTCTCTGAACAGGGTTGCCTTCAGATGTCTGCTAGAAGTTGTGTAATTCTTTATCTTCCTGACATCTGATGGGAGGGTGTTCCACAGGGAGGGTGCCACCACCGAGAAGGCCCTCTGCCTGGTTCCCTGTCACTTTACTTCTCTCAGTGAGAGAACTGCCAGAAGACCCTCGGAGGTGGACCTCAGTGTCCAGACTGAATGATGGAGAGGTATAGACGTTCCTTCACATATAATGAGCTCAGGCCATTTAGGAGCGTTCGGAGTCAGACAGAGTCCCTAAGGTACTCTGGGCCCAAGTTCTTTTCTCACATTGCGATCTTTGCATAGCACACAAACAAATTAAGCCTGGCTTCAATACAGTTCAGAGGGGAGGAATTCTCTCACCAATCCAGATGGCACGCAGCTGGCTCTCATAACCTTACTCCAGAGGAGGCTAGCAGAAGCAAAACACAGTTGTCCGGGAGGGCAGTTGTTGTCAGTCTCTTCCCCAGATGTTAGTACAGGTCTTATTTTACTGATGTGTGCAAGTTCTAGTAGTGTTATTTCATAGTTAACTTGATGGCTACCAACTTGAGCTGCTTTAGAAGGGAATCAAACCAATTCAGGGAGGATAAGGCTGTCCTGCGCCACAAGTCAGTGGCAGCTTGTCTCCTGATACCCAGAGGAGCATCGATGGGAAAGGCTGCTGCTGCTGCTGCTTGCAGACTTCCTGGGGGCACCTGATTGGCTACTGTGGGGCAGAAGGGGGGGGAGGATGCTGAGCAGATTAAGGTCTGTTGCAGCAGAATTATTTAAGCCCAGCTTGCACCTTCTTAGGTTGTTCAGGCGATGCCCTTCTAAGGTCTGCTTTGGCCTCCTTATCTTCATTGCCACAGGTTGGAAGGGATAATGAGAGCTCCCCGCCTGGAGCAAAGCAGATGAATTGCTCACCGGAGCGTAGCTAACCTGTCTCTCAACAGCCGACTCTCTCCGTGGAAACGTACCGGGGCAGTCCGCAAGGACTTGTAGGGTTGAGTAATTTCCCTAATGCGCTCGAATTATATTTGCCGTTTGATGCGTAGAGAGCAGAGGCTTTAAAAAAAAAAAGATAGGAGACTGACAAGAATCCACACCAGCCTTTTCCCCTTCTTCTTTTTTTGCAAAGTCCACCAAGCGTAGCCTGAGGGGAGTCTATTGCCTCGGTTGCAAGGTCACAGGTAGGTTGCAACTTGGAGGTGCCAGTGAAGGACTTTGCTAAGACATCTCTCCTTTCACCAAAGCGTTTGACTAGCAGGTGGAGCGGGAACCTCTGTCGCATCTTGATATTTCATCTCCTCGGAATCCCACTTTAGCAAATTTTGGTGTCAAATGTTTACTAGGTAAAGGGACCCCTGACCATTAGGTCCAGTCGTGACCGACTCTGGGGTTGCAGCGCTCGTCTTGCTTTATTGGCCAAAGGAGCCAGCATACAGCTTCCGGGTCATGTGGCCAGCATAACTAAGCCGCTTCTGTCGAACCAGAGCAGTGCACGGAAACCCCGTTTACCTTCCCGCCAGAGCGGTACCTATTTATCTACTTGCACTTTGACATACTTTTGAACTGCTAGGTTGGCAGCAGCAGGGACCAAGCAACGGGAGCTCACCCCGTCGCGCGGATTCGAACCACCGACCTTCCGATCAGCAAGTCCTAGGCTCTGTGGTTTAACCCACAGCGCCACCCGCATCCCGTTTACTAGGTAGTTTTTCAAAATTGTAAATATTCACTGCAATCGTTGGTCAAACACCCGTTATTAGTAACTGGAATCCAGCAATACCCAAAAGCGTTTTGCAGCTTAAAAGAACAAATAGGTGGCATTTCAAGGACTAACACATTTCTTAAGACTGTTGACATTATCAGGTGCAAGATAAAGCTTCGGAACACCATACAATTTAGGCACTTTTGCGCCACTTTAGCAGTCATGGATCCCCCCCCCCCCGCACCCAAGAATCTTGGGAACTGAGGGTGCTGAGAGTTGTTAGGGGACCGCTCCCAGCGCTACAGTTCTCAGCACCCCTAAACTACAGTTCCCAATATTGTTTGGGGCAATTTCCTTTTAGAGAAAGCACCGTACAATTTTTCTCCTGCTCTGGAGGGTAGGACTCGAACCAGTGGCTTCAAGTTATAAGAAGTATTTTGACTAAACATCAGGAAAAACTTTCTGATAGTAAGAGCTGTTTGACAGTGGAACGGGCTCCCTCTGGAGGTGGTGGACTCTCCTTCCTTGCAGGTTTTTAAGCAGAGATTGGAGGGTCATCTGTTGTGGATGCTTTAGCTGAGATTCCTGCATTGCAGGGGGTTGGACTAGATCAGGCATGTTCAACTTTCAAGAGACTGCGATCTTCTCCCACTATAAAAAGTCGTGGCTCGCACCCGGCCTGTAATGACACTTCCAGCACTGGGATTCCCGGTCTCAAGATTGTACCATCGTAGCTCACTATGCCGCGCCTCAGGAAATTGAAGTGGTATTTGCCGTCTGGCTTGCAATGGGCTTCCAGATGCACTTGCTGCAAAGAGTCAGGTGCTATCTTTTTGCTGGAGTTTCACTACTGAAAGGAAATATCATCAAGAGTGGCGGAAGAAAGAGACTTGAGGGCCTGCTCGATACGGCACGGTTAAGGAGCCAAAAGGACTGACAATCCCGGGTCCAGGGGAGGCTGAAGCTGACTGGATTGAATCTCGACTTATTATCTTTTCTTCTTATTTTTTATTATTGGGAATGTTTATAAATGCCTGAAGATGCTGAATGAATTATAGGTTTAAGCAAGGATTGCACGATTTGTAAAAGTAATGATGACTTGTTAAATACTATAGTTTCGAGTTTTAAAGCTTTTGAGACGTTAGGTGGTGTCAGAATATGAAAACAATGATACTGTTATGAAAACAGAATAGTTGTACTGTGAGGAGGAGGAATCTAGAAAGGAGGATGGAGATTGCAAGAACTTTATACTTGTTTTCTGTTTTTCTTTTCTTGCGCTGGTCTTTTCTATTATTTGCATTATTTTTGGTTTTTTTTGTTTTTGTATTTTCAAACTTTTTTGGAAATTTTTGTTGTTATTCTTTGAAAACTTAATAAATATCAATTAAAAAAAAAAAAAAAGACTGGCAGTGATCTACCCAAGTTGTTGAGCTTTTTTGAGCTTGGGGGGGGGGGCGGGATCTTGCGATCAACCAGTAGATCGTGATTGACCTGTTGGACATCCCTGGACTAGATGACCCTTGGGGTCCATTTCAACTCAACAATTCTCCCAGTCTTCTCCTTCTCATTCTGACCTTTCATCATCATCCCACAACCAATCCCTGGGCTCTCACCACTTCTCTGCAGCCAGCAAATCCATGACAGTAGGCATCAGCTCTGCCCCACTCTGGGAGCAACTCCCCCCCTCCCTCCAGCTCCAGACTCAGGAGCTCTTTGGGGCATAAGGGTTGGCCAACTTCCCCCTCTTTATTTTTGGCCCATCTCAGAATCTGGCTGTGTTCCCTTAGGTCAGCAGGTTGCACATCCTGTAACTGGCTTCTGTCTTGGCCACCGATATACGATTCAAAATAAAGCCGCAGCGCCTGCCCGGAAGTTGCACAGAGACAGGGTCTGGTCCTGGCACAAACTGGTATATCACAGCGTTCATCAACCTGGTGCCCTCCAGGTGGCTTTGAGTTGAAGCTCCCATCACCCATTGACCATAGCTGGAGCGGATGGGGATTGTAACAGTATATATATATATTTAATCTGGAGGGCACAAAGTTTGCAGAGCTGGGCTTTATTATCTGGAAGGTGATGGAGTTTTTGCCACTAGCTGATGAAATAAAATTGGAAGCTCTCCCCAGTTCTTCCTAATCTTCTTTCTCCTGCTGGCTTAATTTCCTCAGTGGTTCAAAGATAGGAAGATGCAAAAGACCTTTAAGTGTCTCTGTGTTGAATGGCTCTGTTTGTGGCCTTTAGGAACCCAACCGAACGAACCAACCTTTCCGTGTCTGATGTGCTTCTGAGATGCAGGTCGTTAAAGGCTAGGTTATCTGCGTGTGCAAGGATTAGGGCCCAGAGACAATCAGTACTTGTGCAAACATCCACGGGGTTTGAGGTTTCTTTTGCCTGGGAGTTTCCAGCTGTTTTTACACACTGCACAGCAACAGGCCTGTTGGCTTCCAAGTGTGCATTTAGAAGGGCACTGTGCCCTCAGGGGGGTAAGGTGTCAGGGGATGAGCCTGAACAGACTTGGGGTGTGTTGTGGTGGGGTGGGAGGTGGAATCCCCTGAAGTCTTAAAAGTAGCTGCAAAATGGGATTTTGATCAAGTGTCTTCCTCTGGGAGGATGAGTAGGTCTCCTCCTCCCTTGTATCATCTCCTTGCGCCGCAAAACTACTACAGTGGTACCTTGGTTTAAGAACAGCTTAGTTTATGAACAACTTGGATTAAAAAGGCTGCAAACACAGTAGTACTGTAGGTGTTTTGGTTTGTGAACTTTGCCTTGGAACAAGAACATGTTCTGCTTCCTGTTGAGTGTGTCCCATTTGTAAATTGAGTCCCTCACTGCTATGGGAAAGCACGCCTTGGTTTAAGAAAGCTTTGGGTTAAGAACGGACTTCTAGAACGGATTAAGTTCATAAGCCAAGGTACCACTGTACAGTGGTACCTCGGGTTAAGTACTTAATTCGTTCTGGAGGTGTGTTCTTAACCTGAAACTGTTCTTAAGCTGAAGCACCGCTTTAGCTAATGGGGCCTCCTGGTGCTGCCGCGCCGCCGGAGCCCGTTTTCTGTTCTTATTCTGAAGCAAAGTTCTTAACCTGAAGCACTATTTCTGGGTTAGCGGAGTCTGTAACCTGAATCGTATGTAACCTGAAGCGTATGTAACCCAAGGTACCCACTGTATTAGACACAGGCTTAAGGGTGGGTTGGGGAGATCGCTTCCTATATTGTACCAGTTTCCATTAGTTCACCTGCTTTTCCACCCCTTTCTTTTTCAGGCCCAGGCATGCATGCTTCTTCAGAAAGCTCTGCAGACCCGGGATTTCAAGCTCTCGCTGTCCGAAAATGAGTGGGAGGAGCTGATCAGGGAGAGCACCAATCAGATAAAAGAGGTGAGATGTTCCAGCCTGATATTAAAACCAGTGTTTGGTTTCCCCCCCAGGTAAATCTCATACCTCTACTCTACTGCTGTCTTGAGAGTATGATCAGGTCTGTAGACAGGAGAACTGCACTCATATGCTGCTGAGGAATAGGAATGGGCTGTGTTCATGTAGCAGCTTATTCCATTTCCCTTACGTTTCCCTAACTGTTAATTTGCACATTTTATTTGAGCTTCCTCGTGATGTAAACGCCACTTCTGGAACCATAGTGGAAGTTTTAGCACCCATTTCCGTATCAATTGCCTTCAGAAAAAAACCCATTAACACAGAAAATTGCAGGAGTAAAGTGACAAAATTTGGGGTGGTATACCGGCATACGGGTCTTTCCTGCTTTTGCCATGGGGGAATTTGGGAACAGAGGCACACATGTGCGGGAAGTGGAGGGTGGGAGTAGCAGTGTTGTCCAATAATGTTTGCTGTTGTACCCACTCCTATTGGCGTGAATGAAATTTAGCACAACGTAGCAGTGTATCCGTGAAAAAGGCCACAGTTCCATAACGCAAACTGTGAAAGGAACATTAGAGAACAGGACAGAATAAAGTTGGCCAAAGTCCTTATCCAAACTATTCCTTTAGATATTTAGCAGGTCATGCTGGCAAGGGCTGATGGGAGTTTTTGACAGAAACATCTGGAGGTGAATGTATATGATACTTTCAAAGGGAGAAGGACTGTTACTTTCTTCCGCTGCAGTTTTTAAATCCGTTTGCAACCCAGCACAGTCAGTCAGATAGAATTAGGCTTGCTCGCTAAGATGGCAAAATGGACATGTTTAACCAGAGAAAAGTCATTGTTAACATTTGCTAAAGATTGGAAACCACTCACAGACTTTTTGCGTCAGAAAGAAATAATGATATCTGGATTTGAGGATTGAAGATGATGTTTGTTTATAGAAAGTTGCTTTGTGGGGTGTTATAGTAAATTGGACTGTAATACTGTTTTTATATAGTAGACAGATGAAGAATCGGAAGTTCTTTACTTTCAGAATTTTACGTTTCTATCTTTCTCTTTTAACCTATTTTCTATTCTTTTTTATTTCTCCCCCCCTTCTCTATTTTTCCTCCCCTTCTTTATCTATATAAAAAGTCTTGGTTTGGTTAAAAAATGGGAAAATGTATCAAGTTTTGTATTTTTCTCTGTCAGCCTCAATAACATTTATTTTGAAAAGAGAGAATTGGGCTTACTTAACACCCACTCCATCTTATGAGGTAAAGAGAGACATTTCCTTGCCCTTTTTGCCCACCCCTCCTCCTCTTCCCTTTTCATCTCGCCTGAAGAAGCGTTGTGGAAAACTCAAATGTGACATTTCAACTAGCTGTAACACAGATATTACCTCACTGCTATTCCTAGATATTCTCTCTTTCTCTCTCTCTGTGCAATGGACCCAACACTGCTACCTGCATTTCTCATATATAAATCTCAGGAAACAGACACCTGGAGCCGTTTTTTCCCTTTGACAGGTGCTTCTGCTAAATCGTTCGCTGGGGCCCAGTTTGCTGCAGCCTTTTGCTTCCCGCTGTGCCCTCCTTTTCACCCCGGCTTGTAATTTAATAGGGCCGCACGGTGTCTAGTCCACCTGCTGCAGGTGACGCAAGACAGATGATTGCAGGAGTTAACGGGTTGGGGAGCCGTCCCTTTTCAGCGTGTTGTGTAACAGGAAGCCGAAGGAAAGGGAGTCCGGGGAGGAGAAAGAGGCTATTAGGGGGGAATATGTGACAGTCGCCTAAAATAGCATCCTAACTAGCTGCAGGGCTCTGCATCTCTGTGTTCACTTACATAATAAGAACTTCCTGACCTTATTTGTATCCATTCGGGTTGGGATGCCATTTGCGGGGTCAGCCGTGCTTCAGGTTCTCCGCTATGCCTGAGCAATCGCAGGCAACTTGTCTTCTGTGCCTTCGCTCCAAAATTGATTCCAGAAAATATATATATTTATTTATTTATTCATTCATTCATTCAATTTATATACAGCCCTTCATCAAAAGATTTCAGAGAGATGTACAGCGTTAAGAACGCATTTTATGGCGCATCGATAGTAAAAAAAAAATGATGATAAAATAATCATAAAAACCATCAGCTCCCCAGCTTTAATATGGGTTTATTATTATTATTTTAAAGCTATTTGTATCCTGCTGTTCTCCCAAGTTGGGATTCAAGGTGGCTCGCAACGTTTTTTAAAACATTAAAAACACAAAGTCGTAAAAACAAAACTATTTAAAAGCAATAGTTTGAAAACAGTGAAACACAGCCATTAAAGTACAGTTTGCCCTGACGGCAGCCCAGTGATCAGCATCGCCTGCACTTGAGTTTCCATTGGCCTTCCAGAAGGTCTTAGCCTTCTGGAGGAAGGAGAACAAGGAGGGAGCCAGTCTAGGCTCTCTTGGGAGGGAATCTCACAATATGGGGGCTGCCACAGAAAAGGCTCTGTCTCTTGTCACCACCAATTGCACCCCTGATGTTGATGGAATCGAGAGAAGGTGCTCATCAGAAGATCTTAGCACCCTAAGGCTTCATCCCTGTCAGAGTAGACCCATTGAAATTCATGGGCATGGTGGGTTCGGTCCATTAATTTCAGTGGGGCACTCTGGTTGGTAAGGAGGAACTTTTTAAAATAGGCCCAGAGGGGTTAAATTATTTTGGTCTACTTCTGCTGTCTAGCTAACATGTCCCATTGGTGCAAGGATGTACGTTTCCACACTGGAACTTTCCCCGTCCTCCCCTGCCATGTGTGCACCCCCCCCCCCCAAATATGAAACAGCAAATATGAAGAACTGGTTAAAAACAAAGCCCAGCACTTGCCCCTTCCGGTTTTGAATGCTTGAGTTGTGTTTTGTAAAAAAATTTGTTTTGGCAGGCATCAGGTACGACACCACAATACGTCTTGTAGGCAACTGGAGAGCTTTTCCTTCTACCCCCCAAATCAGATATTGTGTTTTGATAATAAGTGTATGTTCCGTTGTGAACTGCTTTGGGCACAGTTTGCTCCGGAAAGATGATACATGAGCTAACCCGTGTTCTCGTCTCAAATGCTGGCTATTCAATATACGCGGAGCTCAGGTTCTGATTTGTTCGTGGTGCTTTGTTCTTGCTTAAATCCGCAGGATCGCTTCGGGGGCCTGTCTGTTTCAATCCATCACTGTTATTAAAAACAAAAGCCAATAATGAGCGACATATTTTTGATGGCTTGGGGTGGCTGAACCTGGTGACAAAAACAGATATGTGTGTGTGTGTGTTGAGAGAGAGAGAGAGAGCGCGCAGCAGCAGCATCAGTTAAGCTTGGATAATATAAAAAATACACTTCATGTGTACACAAATGGAGGAGCTCCTGCCTCAACCCTTTGCATCAACCCTGGTTTTTGCCAACCTGAGTCTAGGATCCTCATAGTGGAAATATTTATTTTAATGTTGATGTTTGTGGCAAGGTTTTCTTTTGGCACAAAGGCAGCAAACAGAGGTGGAGGGTGGGGGTCCTGTACCTTAGAAATATAGTGGTACCTCGGTTTACGAACTTAATCCGTTCCGGAAGTCCATTCTTAAACCAAAGTGTTCTTAAGCCAAGGCGTGCTTTCCCATAGCAGCGGTGAATTCAATTTACAAATGGAACACACTCAACAGGAAGCGAAACATGTTCTGCTTCCAAGGCATGGCTCACAAACCAAAACACCTACTTCTGTGTTTGCAGCGTTCTTAATCCAAGTTGTTCATAAACTAAGCTGTTCTTAAACCAAGGTACCACTGTATATCACTCAGCGGATGAGTTAGCCTGCTGGACTCGTAGATTCACCTCTGCATTCCAGCAGATGGAACGAATCCCGTAAGCTGTTTGCTAAGGATGGTCCTGGGCACCCGGCCTTGCATGGCGAGAGGATGGAAGGCATTACCATGGCAACGCAAGGGCGTGTCAAGAGGTTCTAGGCCAGGTTGTTGTAGGGATTGAATGAGGAGGGGGAGAACCACATACGTGGGCAGAGTTGTTCCGCCTGGCCTTTGGCTTGGAGTCAATTTGATCCCCTCTTTCTTTTTTCCTTTCTCTTCCTGTGATGAGGCTGCATTTTAATGTTTTAATGTTGTATTTTAATCTTGTTTTTAAGTTTTATTCATTCAACTAGTTTTTATTATTGGTTGTTAGCCGCCCTGAGCTCGGCCTTGGCTGGGGAGGGCGGGGTATAAATAAAAATTATTATTATTATTATTATTATTATTATTATTATTAACCACCTGGAGCTCCTCGGAGAAAAGGATATAAATGCAACAAATAAGTTAAATAAATAACTAGGTAGAGGCGTAGCTGGGCAGGGAAATCCCCAAACCCTGTGACCCCATGGAATCTCTGCACCAGAGTAAATTCTGGCATAGATCTTGCCCTGATTTGTTGGTGGCTCCTCACAGAGCAGACTGAAGATCAGTGCTGTGCACATTGAGGCCTGCTCTGTCTGTAGGCAGCAGGACCTGGAGACAAAGGGAGCCTCACTTGCCGAACTCAAGAACAATCCTGCTATTTAAACTGCGTGTCAGACCAGCCGGAGATGATACGGGTTGGATCCTTGGCTCAGGGAGGAGCCCGGGAGTTGCGGCGGCATAGCTTTCTTAAATAAAAGAATAGCAATAATCCTCATCTTTGTTTCTGGCTCTTTCCCCTCCTTCTCTGGGAAACAGCTTATCTGCATTGCTCGCCAGAATGACGAAACTTAGCAACATTCTTTACTAGAATCATCGAGTCCTAGAATGGTAGCATTGGAAGGGACCCCCACGGGTCAAACCCCTGCAAGGCAAGAATCACAGCTAAAGGATCCCTGACAGGTGGTCATCCAACCTCTGCTTAAAAACTCCTGCGAAAGGAACAGACGATAATTCGGTTGGTGGAGCACCTGCTTTTGCACAGACATTCTAGCCGAATGAATTGGGGAACAGTTGATGGGAAAGATTGCAGGGAGCCACTGTCCAGCAGAGGGACACGGGTGGCTCTGTGGGTTAAACCACAGAGCCTAGGACTTGCTGATCAGAAGGTCGGCGGTTCAAATCCCCACGACGGGGTGAGCTCCGGTTGCTCGGTCCCTGCTCCTGCCAACCTAGCAGTTCGAAAGCACCTCAAAGTGCAAGTAGATAAATAGGTACCGCTCCAGCGGGAAGGTAAACGGCGTTTCCATGAGCTGCTCTGGTTCGCCAGAAGCGGCTTAGTCATGCTGGCCACATGACCCGGAAGCTGTACGCTGGCTCCCTCGGCCAATAAAGCGAGATGAGCGCCGCAACCCCAGAGTCGGTCACGACTGGACCTAATGGTCAGGGGTCCCCTTTACCTTTACCTTTACCTTTACTGTCCGGCAGAGTGGACAGGACTAGGCTAGATCAGTCCAATACAAGACCAGCCCACCCACAACACACCAGGGGGCAATGAATGCCTCTGCAGCCAATAATAATAGTAATAATAATAATAATAAATTTATGAATATCCCGCCCTCCCCAGCCAAAGCCGGGCTCAGAGCGGCTAATAACAATAAAAGTAACACAGCATTCTAAAATCAATTCAAAATCAAATTAATGGCTCTACTCCTCTCCCTGCTCTGTCTCATTCTGAGGAGGGGAAGCGGGGTCATTCCTTAGAGCAAGGCATTCTGGGAGGAGGGGAACGGGAAGAGAACTTGTGACCCGCTGCTGTGGAACTTCAAAGTTCTCTGTCGCGTGTCACATACATTGAGCCTCTGTGAAGTTCGGCACTTGTCAGTCCCCGATTCCCACATTTATGGGGCTGCACCACTGTCCCTGACCCCAAGTTCACACAGCAAAAACCCAAATGTAGGTGGAGACCTATGGGACCCTGATGATTTTGCGGAGTTGATACTCTCACGAGAAGCTGAGGCGCCTAAGGAATAGGCCCGTTGAAATGAATGGGACCCAAGCTGGTCAGGCTCATTATTTCCAATGGGTTTTCTCTGAAGAGGACTAGCACTGGAGACAATCCCTAGGCCAAGAGTGGGGTACCTTTGGCCTGCCAGATGTTGCTGAACTGCAACTCCCATCAGGTCTAGCAGGCGGGACCAGTGGTCAGGCACGATGGGAGTTATAGTTGAGGGGGCTGGCTTATTTCTCTCTCATTCTATTAATAAAACCAAAAACAGCAGACCAAGTTTAACAAAACATAAATGAATGAATTTATTAATACGGTCACAGACCAGCGCCAGCACACACAACATCACAGATCATACAAAAAAATATATCAAAAATACAGAGGACAATATGAGTATTTAAATATAAAAATATAAATTTAAATATAAAAAATTAAAATTAATTATTAGCATGCCCCCTGCAATTAACTTCGGGAACAAAAGCAACTGAAGGAAATGAATTAACAAAACATAATTCATTTCCTTCAGTTGCTTTTGTTCCCGAAGTTCACTAGTTTTTCTGCCCATGTAACTTTCCATACTTTCTTACACCATGATTCTAACGATAGATTTTTAATGTTCTGGAGTGATAGTTTTCTGATCCTATGCCTTATTTTCTCTTTTTGTGGCAGTGCTGAGGAAACCGCAACAAATAACATAAAGGTATTGAGGTCCCTCTTCGTGGATATGATTTTCATGGTAATTGATTTCATTTTCTTCCTTCCTTTTTTCTCAGACTTTAAAGACAGTGAGTGAAATCAAGGTCAAGGTGGACCAGGAGAAGATCATCAAATGTCTGGAGCTACTGAACTACCTCATAAAAACTGTGACTCAGCAGGTAGATTTTGCTCTTCCAGCCTGGTTTTATCTTTTATCTGGGACACTGGAGTCTCTTAGCTCACGTAAATTGATCATATGGACCTTTCCTCTTTGGATTAAAATTGCTGTTCCACTAGGTCTTTATAGTTGAGAATAGGTGTTTCTTGGTGTGAGATAAGGCTGGATGGAAATTAAGCCTTACTGTACATTGGGGATAATAATAATAATAGTAATAATAGTAATAATTTTATTCTTTATACACCACCCATCTGACTGGGTTGCCCTAGCCACTCTGGGCAGCTTCCAGAATATAACAGAACACAATGAAACACTTGACATTAATTTTTTTTCCAATACAGGGCTGTTTTCAGATGTCTTTGGAAAGTTGCGCAGTTGTTCATCTTGTGTAGTTGTTGACATCTGATGGGAGGGTGTTCCACAGGGCGGGTGCCACTACTGAGAAGGCCCTCTCCCTGGTTCCCTGTAACCTCACTTCTCGCAGTAAGGGAACCAGCAGAAGACCTTCGGAGGAGAACCTCAGTGTCTGGGCTGAACAATGGGGGTGGAGACACTCCTTCAGGTATACTGGGCCGAAGCCGTTTAGGGCTTTAAAGGTCAGCACCAACACTTTGAGTTGTGCTCGGAAACGTACTGGGAGCCAACGTGGATCCTTTAGGACTGGTGGTATATGGTCCTGGCGGCTGCTCCATGTTCTGCCAACCTTGACTCCTGGTTCCTTGTCCTGTGTCTTTATCTCCTGGACCACCAGCGCTTTGTATCAACCACAAACCAAGCGGACTCAGGTCTGAGCTTCAAGGCCTCCACCTGGGAATGGCATCAGCGCTGCCTCCTGATTCAGTCAGCAGATCCCAGGGCCAATCCCTATTCCACCCTATCCCAGGTTCCGAACTTCCTCCTCCCTGAGGAGCATCTTAGCCCATCAGAGAAGATCTTGCTACCTTCTCTCATCCCGCATACTGCCCTGGACGTGGCCTGTGCTGGGGGCTATGTTTACCTGTCTGTGTTCCCTCTGATGGCTGCTTCTGAAACCCAGCCCCCATCCACATGTGTACCTCACTCTTGGTGCCGGGCTCTCGTACCCCCCCCTTTGGACCCTGCAAATCTTGACTGCTTAGCTGCCTGTCCCTGGATGGTCCCCAGTAGAGAGTGAATGAGTTGTTGCTGAGCGACTGATTCAGCGGATGGGTGAATGAATGAAATCAAGCAATGAATGAATCATTCGTATTTTATCCCCCTTGCAGCGAACATGATGGGGAAGGAAGCAGTGGCATGAAGGAGAACAATGATGCATTCTGCATATGCCAAACATTATTCTGGCCTTGCAGGAGAGCAAGAGCAACTTCATGCCAGCCCCAGTTCATATGTTGATTCCTCCCCTCCCCCTTCTTCTTTAACTGTTATTATGCAAGGCGATCCTTCTCCTTCTTTTGGGCATATTTATTTATTGGTGGATTGTTTAGAATTGCAGGCTTGGAAGGGACCCCAAAGCATAGCTGTCAACCGTCCCTTATTTGGCGGGAAACTCCCTTATCCCAGCGCCGTGTCCCACTGCTGTCCCTTATTGATGATGTCCCTTAAATTTCCCGGGTTTCAAAGGAAGCAGCTCCTCTCCCTTCCCGGCCAGGGAGGAGGGAGGCTCCAACTGGGTTGCTTGGCTGCCCGGCCTGCCCCCCTCCGGCCTCCTCTCACCAGCCTCGGCCCCCGGGAGCCCCTCCCCGCCGGGACTGGCGGGAGTCTCGGGCCCTTCTGCCATCCTCTTCGCAGTCACCAAACTGAGCTTCTCTGTCTGAGGCCTCCCCTCTGCCCAGCGCCGCCGCTCCTGCTAGGCTGTACTGCGGCTGCGCCGCCGAAGGACCCGGATAAGATGAGCAGCCTGGCATGGCCTATGAATTGCTTAGGAGCCTTGAGAGGAGAGCGAGGGCAACCATAGAGAAAGCAGTTCAGAGAGAGGAGGCGGAGGCGCGGGCAGGTGTTCCAAGGGCTAACCGTAGAGGGGGAAAGCGGAGGAAGGACCTCAAGCGCTTCTCCAATAGATTTGTAGTGGTAGACTAGCATAGATGGTCTGATCTGCGTGTTTACTTCGGGCACTATCTCCACCCCCCTTCCTCCCGCCCCGCCTGATGGAACTGAGAGCTGCAGATGGAGCACGAGAGAAAAGATACAGAACTGCAACAGCATCTTCGTAGCTTGGACTTCATTTTGCGTGAAAAGTGGTTTCATCAGCTGGTGTCTTGAGCAGCAACCTCTGGAAACGAAGGCCTAAAAACCCGCGCTGCTCTCCCAAATTATCTGGTCCCTTTTAACTTCATGTTTCAGCTGGTTGACTAAAATCCCTTATTTTGGCTGCTGATCCCTTATTTTTGAGGCTGCTGGTCCCTTATTTTCAAATCTGTAAGTTGAGAGCTATGCCCCAAGGGTCATCTAGTTCAACCTCCTGCAATGCAGGAACCGTAACTAAAAGCGCTTGTAAGACCTTAGGGATCCTTAGAAGTTTGTTTTGGGGGGAGCTAGATTGTCAGTGGAAAAAAATCATTTGTGGCTTTTTCGACAGCTGTGTTGGTGAGACAAGGACAGGACCCTTGTGGGAGAGAGAGGTTGACAGCTCAAGCAGACAGGAAGGAGCCAACCCAGGTTTCCCTTCTGGGTCTCCAGCTTCCCCTGAGCTTCCTTCTCCCGGGTCGCTTCCCTCCTCCCTCCCAATGATAGCATCCTTCTCACCCACCTTAGACACCATGTCTTTCTGTGAAATCACCGGCAATCTGTAGCCAGTGGCAGCAGCCAGGGAATCATCAGCACAGCTTCCCCAGCCCTGACAATGACGGGAGAACCTCAGCAGCGATTTGCTCACATATTATCCATTTCTCAGCACATCCTTCGTGTGTAATGATCCCAAGCGGGTGGGTGTGGGGTGAAGGGCAGGAACGCACCATAAAACTCAAGTATAAGATATCCCGTTTTATCTATTTTTGGAAGAAAAAGACCAGACTCTACAGGTAGATGTGTTTAGAAAGAATTTTATTTATCAATATAAGCTGGCTGGCCTTGAGCACTGTAGTTCTCTTCGCTGCTTTTGTGGGTGGTCTTAAGAAAACTTGGCCCGGCTTCAGACATCCCTGGAAGGGAAAAAAAGGGCAGTGAGTGGGATGGCTGGAATTTAGCAGCATCACCCAGAGCACCTCCACTGGCACCTGCCCAGCAGCTTCATCTACTAACATCAGCCTGCCAGTTTCCACAGCTTTCACCTGTTCACAAATATCTTCCAGTTTCCTTTTTTGCATATTGAGTTGAGCACCACTTGCCTTGACCACATTTGAAGCCTCCTATTCTCACATACACAAACATGCTGCAGCCAACATCCATGAAGAACGCCAGCAGGGATGTTTCTTCGTCATTCGCTCTCCATTCATTCCCATTCATGCCCTGGCTTCAAGTCCACAAATATCCTCCAACTTCTGTTGACTGGTGTCCGAAAGTGAGCTTCAACCAGCCTTCTGTCAACAGACCTTTTATCTGGAACTCCTGTCTGTCTCTCTCTCTCTTTTTCTTTTAATATAATTTTTTAAAATTAATTTTCAACATATCATTTTCAACAGTAATTAAACATACTTTCACATCTTATACCATTTTTGCTTCCATCAATCACATCTGAAAATTTTTCAATCTATTCACTTAATATACATTTCTTACTTCCACTATTACATTTAAATCTCATAACTAATATCTCTATTCTTTCTATACTTTGCAGTGTTTCATATATTTTACTTACAAAACTTCTTGTAATCCTACTAGTGTGATTTGTTGATTACAGTTGCTCTTCAAATAATTCGTATATTTCTTCAAATCTTCTGTGAATCTCTGGTCCCACAGGTTTTGAATCCTTCCTGTCATTTTATCTAATTCTGCCATTCTTTGTCTGCCATTCTTCTTTCGTTGGACTGGAACTCCTGTCTCTCATTCCATAACAGCCGCTGCCTCTGTTGTCTTTTGCGCATCCATTAAAATTCTTTTTTCAAGAAGACACTCAAGTGGAGATTTCCATCCTGGTTTGTCTGCTTTGAATCTGACTTAAAGAAAAAAGAAAAAAAGCAAATACAGCAGAACCTCTACTTACGACTACCTCTACTTGGGCCCGATCCAACTTGTGATCGCAGCAAACCCGGAAGTAAATACCAGGTTTGCTGTGATTCATGCATGTTCAGAAGTGACTTCTGCCGTTTGTGCACACGCAGAAGCGGCTGCTGCCGTCTGCACACGCGCAGAAGCGCACTGCTGCCAAATGCGCCAGTGACCCGGATCAACTTATGGACGGACCTCTGGAACTGATTACGTCCATAAGTAGAGGTTCCACTGTACGTATATGAAACTGTTTTTATATGCTTATATTAAAATGCTTTGAGATACGTATCTGAAATTGAAATTAAGGGAGACCCAAGTGCTCCATTGCGGGGTCGGGAGCGCATCTTGCCAATTTGTGAGCATGTAAAGATACCGATTTGCAGTTGGCGTGACCTATTTGAGGTTCAGTGTTTTGTGGGCACCAACCAATCTGGCTTTGTGGTCTTTCCCCTTCAGAAGCTGAACGTGGATCTGGCAGGGCTGCGCCATGTGCTACAGGCCCTGAGTCAGCACGAAGGCTTCGGGAGGTCCACACGACTCGACAATATCTACTGGAACGTCATGAAGCTCCTGGGCGTCACGTAGGTGCTTTGTTTTGGGGCAAAACCTGGCCGGATGTGAATTGCATTGCTGGCCCTTGCGTTTATTTATTACTTGCATTAAAATGAAAGCTCATGAGAGGTCCCCAGCAGAAGAGCCTCTGTGGTGTAGTGGACAGACTACGGGCATGGGAGACCCGGGTTCAAATCCTCACTCGGCCAGGAACAACCTCCCTCGCAGGGTGGTTGGAAGGATGAAATGAGTAGAGGGAAGACCATGTCTGCCTGCTTGAGCTTCTCGGAGGAAAAGTGGGGTATAAATATAATGCCACTGAAATGTGGCTTGCTGGTAGAACATTGCTCTGCATGCAGAAGGTCCCAGGTTCCATCCTTGGCATCTCCAGGTGGGGCTGGGAAGGACACCCTGGAGAGCTGCTGCCAGTCAGTGTAGACAGCACTAAGATAGATGGACTAGTGGTCTGATTCTGTCTGAGGCAGCTGCCTAGGCTCCTAACAATAGCAACCTGGGTTGGAACAGTGCAGGGATGTCTTCAACTCCTTTCCCCTTGCCGTACTCCCAACTTTCCCCCCTACTCGCCTGCAGTTGCAGTTCCATAAATGAAGAAGATGCATCTGAGGGCCGCTCAGGTTTTGTTCGGCTCTCTGCATTAAGACAGCTTCATAATCTTTGGCCTGCTAAATAGGATGCCTGGTGCACTGGTGCACGGGAGGGGGGGCCGGGGGCGCAGAGGGCAATGTGAGTAGGATGCAGCAGGGCAGTCATGCACCCTGTCAGCCCCCCCACATGTGCCCTGGCTCCACGCCACCCCCCTGGCCCTATCCAGGTGTTCAGAAAGTTGATGCGAGTTTTAATTTGCTTTTAGTCTATTGTTATTTTAACGTTTTGAAATGCCATTTTACTGTATTGTTGGTGATTTTTCTTAGTGATAATTTTATTGCTTGGTTAATTTTATTTTTATTTTACAATCAAGCAGTGTATAAATAAATAAATGAAACATTCAGAGGGGACCCAGGTTTGGGAAGCCTGGAATAGATGCGGTTTTCTTATTTATACAGGGTGATTCTTTTAAAAGAGGCCCTGTGGAACATGTGTACAGTGGTACCTCGGGTTACATACGCTTCAGATTACAGACACCGCTAGCCCAGAAATAGTACTTCAGGTTAAGAACTTTGCTTCAGGGTGAGAACAGAAATTGCATGACGGCGTCGCGGCAGCAGTGGGAGGCCCCATTAGCTAAAGTGGTACCTCGGGTTAAGAACAGTTTCGGGTTAAGAACGGACCTCCAGAATGAATTAAGTTCTTAACTAGAGGTACCACTGTACTCTATATCCACGGTGCCTCTTTTAAAGGGCTCACCCTGTATAAATATCATAATAACAGGGCTGGGGGGAGCCACTGCTCTTAACCCGCCATAAAGCCGCATCATAGATATACACACCACCCCTTTTGCTGTCCTGCGATTTATCCAGCCCCCTTGTTTCAAAGCAACTTGGACCATCTTCTCTTGATTTCCAGGCGACCGGTCAAGGAGAAAGCCCCGGCCCAGCCAAAGAACCCGACCGCAGCCGAGGCGCCAAAGCGGAAGAAAAAGGGCTTCCTCCCTGCCACCAAGATACGCAAGAACCGCAAGAAGGTGCCGCCAAGCCAGTCCCAGGAGAACGGTGCCGAGAACGGCGTCAAAGAGGCGGCCATGACTGTTGCAGACAACGCCAGCCCTGCGGGGAAGAAGAGGAGAAGGAAGAGGAAGAACCAAGGGGGAGGCAGCGGCCGGAGCCAAGTGTCCCTGGAGGGTCCTCCAGCCAAAAAGCCGGCGCAGCCGCAGGGGCATGGCAAAAAGGCTGATGCTCAGCAGGGCAGTTTGAAGAAGAAGAAGAAGAAGAAGAAGGGAAAGAAAGGGAAGATGGCAGAGGACTGATTTGGGAAGGGAACTGGAAGGGGAAAAGTGCTGGTTTTATAAATGCTCGGAGGAGCCTTCGCCAACGTGGCGCCCTCCAGATTTTTGGGACTACAACTCCCATCAGCCCCAGCCAGCATGTTGTAGTCCAAAATGCCTGGAGGGCACCAGGTTGGCCAAGGCTGGGAAAAAAAACCTTTTGCGTCTTTAGTTTGGTTTAAACCAGGGTTTCCCAGACTTGGGTCCTCTGCTGTGGTTGGACTACAACTCCCATCATCCCTAGGTAGCAGGACCAGTGGTCATAGATAATGGGAATTGTAGTCCCAAAAAACAGCCAGAGACCCAAGTTTGGGAAACCCTGGTTAAATAATCCACTGAATGCAAATGTGTGATAAGCATCCCTTTTATGTATATAAAAAAATCAGCTTGCAGAGTTTTAACTATACTACTATAATATTACTATAGTAGACTGTTACTGGTAGTATATTACTACTGATTGGAAGTCCAGTACTCTGCTCCAGAGTTACTAGCTTTGAAACAAATAAATAAAAGGTTTGGGGTCCCTTGGTTAACGTGCTCGGAAAGCCCAAAGGAAGCCAGATCACAGATAATATAACACATTTTGGGTTTAAATGGAAGCAGCCTCTTTTAGACGGCGCTGTCTGAACTCCTTGGAACATTCAGATTTATGATCCTCTCCAGTCCACTGTCCTGACCTTTTTAATAACAGAAGGCTGGAAGTTACTCCGCTGTTGGGTGTGTAATCCTTCATTAAAATTATATGTTTTAAAAGAGTTAGCAGTGGTGAAGTCTCTGTTAGAGCTGGAACAGGTTTTTCTCTGCATGTCCTTATTTGATAGAGACGGGTGGGGGGAATCGATGCCCCCCTTTGCAAAAGATTAACGGTCAATATAATAAAGGATTGTCCTAGATCTGGAAGAGAGGTCCAGTGTCTTCCAGTCCAGCCCTCTGCCAGTGCAGGAAATCTGTTTTCAGAGGTCCAACCTCTTCTTCAGCACCTTCTGAGATGCTCCTTTGGACTTCTGGACAATCAGAAGACCTTCCTCTCGTAATTTGAACCCTCTGGTGTGGCTTATGCCTTCTGGGACAACAGAAAATGATGTTGCTGAAGTTTATTCGGTGGTGGAGAATAAAACAATGAAAGGAATAGTTTCTCATAGAAAAAAATTGAGAAAAATAGTGCCTGTATTTTCTGTTTCATATCTCATGTTCTACCAATGCTAGAAGTATGCTTATACTTTATAACTTCATACTCTAGAGTTGCTAGAGTTCCTTTTATCACTTGATCTGTTTTTGCCAGGTTGAGCACAGTTTCCTTTGTTTTGGAGAAGACGGGGGCAAAGCAGGAGCTGAGAATTCCTGCATTGCCGGGGGTTGGACCAGATGACCCCGAGGCTCCCTTCCAACTCCACGATTCTGTGGTTCTATGACTTCCATCATCTTTGCACTTCCTCTTGTGCTAAACCTAAAAAGCCCTTCGAAAAAATATAATTATACAAAAAGCGGCATGTCGTCAAGCACAGCGTCCAAGGACAATTTTCTAAGCTGTACCACACCACCGTTTGTTAATCCTCACAAGGCTGTACCAGCCTGCAAATGATCCACTGTCTCCCCTGTTTATATTTCCACAGTTCGTGAATTCTTAAATACGTCAGGCTGTTAGCCAGCCAGATGCCAAATCTGCTTCTTGTGTTCTGTCCTGCTGGTGAATTTCTGCCTCAACGGGATGCCAAGTATATTGACACATGCCTACCTGCAGCACTAGAGATCTCTGCTCAAGAGTTTGGCAGGGCTTGCTGACTTACTCTTGGTTTGCAGCCTATATCATACATCTTAATTGGACCTAAATGGTAATCTTGAATGGGGTCCGTCAATACAATTTGGGGGCTACTAAACCTAGCAGTTCAAAAGGATGTCAAAGTGCAAGTAGATAAATAGGTACCGCTCCAGCGGGAAGGTAAACAGCGTTGTGCTGCTCTGGTTCGCCAGAAGCGGCTTAGTCATGCTGGCCACATGACCCGGAAGCTGTACGCCGGCTCCCTCGGCCAATAAAGCGAGATGAGCGCCGCAACCCCAGAGTCGGCCACAACTGGACCTAATGGTCAGGGGTCCCTTTACCTTTACCTTTAAAGTCTAATTTTGCTTGGGTCAGTACATTGGTCCGGTTTTCTTAAAAGAGCAGACTACGAGGCGAACCAGTGCCTGGTCCACACCACTTTAAGGCAGTTCAGTGATGGACTTCTCTGTATGAAAACTCAAGCCCCTGCATGTAGAAAACTAGTCGGGAAGAGGGTTCCTAGGGACACGCCTCATTTATATGCTAGATTTCTGTCTGCAGTGCGTGTTTGTAATTTGCACAGAAACGGAGTAGGCAGAAGACACGAGCACAACTCCCCAGTGTTTTTATAACTCATAAAGCTTGATATTCCTCCTCGGATCTGCTCATCCTTCGGCCTGTCACGTCTTGCTTCTCTGCGGGTGCCGTAGAATAGGATTGGATGTGGAGAGGAGCGTAGGAAGACATCAGGGCCATGTGTGTCCCCCTCGTCCCTCCGTTCAGTCTCGCCGTTTTAATTATTCTTTAATGATGCAGCTACAGCAGCCCACCCTCCGCGTCTGTCTTGAAGGAAACAGCTGCTCATCTTTTGTGCCTGAGGAGAAGAGCGGCACGTCCCGTTGGAGAACATTCATAAGAGTCGCTAAAAAGTTTTCCGCTGAGGAGAAGCGGATCTCTGCGTGGTGTGAAAAGGACCATCTCGCCAACCAGCCGGGCGATTCGAGGTTCCAGACCCCTTGAGGACGAGGGTACCATGGCAACGCTCCCATCTGCATCTCCCTCGTGGCCTGGGAAGAGGCCTTTTGACATATGAAGAGGATTAGGCATCTGAGGGGAAATGGGTGGATGAAAATGGCTGGCGCCACGGGCAACAGCCTCCTTCACTAGTTCCCTCAGGGAGGTTTCCATCCTACGGAGTTCTGGGTACTTTGAAAATGGGGACTTAAACCACCTGCTTTTTGCTGTCTGAGGAGAAGCAGTACTAACAGATGGGTGTGAGAGATTTCTGTAATAGTCTGTGCCCCACAATGTTGCGGTGAGGAGCTCTCGTCCAGGGTTGCAGCAGCCAGCTACGCTCTTTTTCAGGATACTCCATTGCACGCTCCCCCATACAGTTTCTATTCGCTGCTCCTTCAGCTGCCAGCTAGCATTCTGCGGCTACATTCACACCACATACTTAAAGCCACTTTTTTTTTTTGCCAATTATTTTTTATTGGTTTTCCATAATCTTTAACCAATTGTTGCCAAAGTAATACAAATTTAATACTTACTAAAATTAAAGTGAAGGGACGCGGGTGGCGCTGTGGGTAAAACCTCAGTGCCTAGGACTTGCCGATCGTATGGTCGGCGGTTTGAATCCCCGTGGCGGGGTGAGCTCCTGTTCAGTCCCAGCTCCTGCCCACCTAGCAGTTCGAAAGCACCCCTAAGTGCAAGTGGATAAATAGGGACCGCTTTATAACGGGAAGGTAAACGGTATTCCGTGCGCTGCGCTGGTGCTGGCTTGCCAGAGCAGCTTCGTCACGCTGGCCACGTGACCCGGAAGTGTCTTCGGACAGCGCTGGCTCCCGGCCTCTTAAGCGAGATGAGCACGCAACCCCAGAGTCGGTCACGACTGGCCCATACGGGCAGGGGTACCTTTACCTTTACCTTTAAAATTAAAGTGACACCACTTTGTTGCGGCCATCCGCAAACACCCCTGGGAACTGTGTTAAAGGTGCTGATTGATTTTAGGCATCCCGATTCCTAGATTTTTATTTTTATTTTTGAATTCTCCCTGGTACGGAGTACTGGCACCTTGTTTTATTTCTGCTGCTGTAATGGGCCAGGAGTCGGCTTCACCTGTTGAACAGCAGCCTGGAGGGGGGAGAAGATGAAGTGACTCCACCTGCAGCTGATCAGCCTTCAAGGACTCAATGGAAGGTGTTGGTAAAAAGCAGCTGGCTTCAGCCTTCTTAAGCTGAGCTTCCAGCAGCCATCAAATGCTGGAAACAACATTTGCAGTTCCTGGCTTCTTCTTCGTCTTGACCCCTGACCCCATGATCATTGGATTCCTGGACCGTCTGACCACATGGATTGCTGTTCGCCCGACCCTAGGACTGGACCTGACCTCGGATGCTGACCGAAGTCCACCTCAGAGACGCTTCTGGTTGGCTGGTTTGCACCTTGTCGCTCAGCAACGAGATTATGGCAACTGCCCACGGCAGCCATTTTGTGCTGGCACCCACAGTGCTGCCCTCCATGAGGAGCGGCACCTTGCTTCTTTAATCAAAACAGCACTGCCCATTCCCCTCACAGCTACAATCCCAGGCATCCCTGTAAAGAGGGATGGACAGGTTGATAAACAGCTCGGGAAATTGCAGCACCCTTAGCGACATGCGGCTTCCAGAATTCTTTGGGGAAATCCATGGCAGTCCAAAGTGATTTCGCTGTGCTTTAAATGAATGGCGTGTATCTGGCCAGAGGCAGAGGAGGTTATTGGAGATGCTGAAGGCCTGGGCTTTGCTGTCCAGCAAGCCGACATGCCTCCACATTGCTTCCAGTCGCTGCCAGGCAGGTCGGGAGTTGGGGTGGTAGCAAAATGTATCCTAAAAGTTGGAGGGATGGGGAACCAACCTGGGCCTGTTGAGTTAGATTGAGGCTTTGCTAGCAATGTACTTCAGATAATCCAACACACAGCTCAGTCAGTAGAGCGTGAGCCTCTTAAATTCAAGGTTGTGGGTTCGAACCCCATGTTGGGCAAACATATTTCAGGGGGTTGGACTAGATGACCCGCAGGGTCCCGTCAAACCCTTATGATGCTATGTGGTCTTCAACAGATCGCCCCTAGAGGAATGTGTTGATTATGTGAGGGTGAAGGAAGGTGAGGACAGGTGACCTCACCTAGGCCCGAAGTCACCCCCCACCAAAGCAGGCTCAAAGCTTCTCAAAATCATTTTCTCAGCAGCTAAGCATCAGAAACATTCCGCTCTGCTGTAACAAAGGTAGAGAACAGTCCATTGTTTCTCAGGCCTTCTGGCCTTGCTAAAGAACCACATTGCAACTTACTTTCTGTCCAGGAAGCACGCCAGAACAAGATATTTAAACATATCTGAACACTCTGAAACCCCTTTCCTGGGAAGGGCGCCAAGAGTCCAATAGTCCCAAGACAGCTTTCTGTTCATGCTCAGAGGAACTCATGGGGCAGGACTCTGGAAGGAGGAGAAAGGAGGAGGGAACTGGAAAGGGGTATATATGCTTGTGCACATGACTGTGAACTTCATGCATGCTTTTTGTGAACTATCACACTTGCTCCTTCTACCAGTTCATGAATGGTAGAAATAAAAGCCTTTTCTCCGAAACTATTCCTTGAGTGTCTGTTGACTCCCACTTCCCTTTCCCAGGCGCAATATTTTTTTTCTACCCGAGGGCAAAGCCTCATAAGGCTACAAGGGGAAATGCACCACAGAATGCCTTTTTTCATTTGCTCTCTTCGCAGTCCTGTTCAGCACCATTTCTGAGATGGGGTGGGCGGTTGGTTGTGGGGTGGGCGGTTGTGGAAACCGCTGTCAAGGTTCCTGCAGTGGGCGTTCCCTGTCGTTCACGAGAGATGTCAAAAGCCAGCTTAAGCGCATTATTAAAAGGCTGTGCCCCCATTAAAAGCCCTCGGATGTGACCTGGCTCACCCCCTCCCCCGAAGCTCGCCTCTGAGCTGTGCCTTGTTATAAATTCTGCAAATTGGTTCTGCAAATGGAAGGGGGGTGGTCGCAGGCTCTCGCAACTGGCAGTCGGTATGGGGGTTGTTCCTGCAGAGACCGTGTGTCAGGCAGCCGAATTGATTGGAGAGGATGAATTGTCCATGCCTGGAAGCTTCAGGGAATTCTGCCATGCCTGGGCACATGTGCATTTGTCTGAAGATGCATTGCTTGAATGGGGGGGCTGGGGGGAGGAGGAGTGTGCGTGCAAGGTTCACCCTCCTAACATCTTTGCCCTGATAAACACACATGTACACACACACCCCCACACGAGTCAGTCACTGACTTCCCCCGTTTGCAGGCGGCTTCTACTTGAATCTGCCTGAACGCAAGTAGAACCATCCGCACTGTAACAAGTCATTTAGCCCTAAGGCTAATCTCTCTGTAGCTGACAAAAACAGTCAGGTTGACAACGCTAAGCGGTCTAGAGACCGATGATCTGAGCCCAGCTATGGCAACACAAATCTCAACAAGAGTTGTACTGGATTATATAAACAGCCCCATCTCTATATTGATTTCCCCCTAAATTGATTTTTGAATTCTGAATTTATTGTTATTCACGTTTTATACTGTATTTTATGCTGTTTTTTGTTGCATCAATTAAGTGTTTTAAATTTGTTGTTAGCTGCCCTGAGCCCAGTTTTCTGAACCGGGAAGGGTGGGGTATAAATAAAAATTTATTATTATTATCCCAGACCCTGCAGTCATCATCTGAGGCCCTTATCCAGGTGCCGCCTCCACGAGGGGTCCGGACAGTGGCAACATGAGAACTGGGTTTTTCTGCGGTGGCTCCCCACTTACAGAACGCTCTGCCCCGGGAGGCTTGCCCGGTGCCATCATTACTGAGAATTAAGGGCCATTGCAGTAGGAGTAAGGGGCCCACCCTGAATCACACCAGCAGAGCCCAGGAGAACCCAGATGGCAGTCCGTCCCCCCATTTCCTTCCTAGTGGTGAGAGACCAGCAGTGCCTCCTATTTGCCAAGACGCTGCTGTAGAGGTGGCATGGGGGGGTGTGCTGCCAAGGAGGAGCAGACCCAGCTTCCAAGGAGCACATCACAGGTGTTGCTGCCATCGCGGCAGCAGCATGAGACACGTTACTTAGAGGCCGGATCTGCTGCCCCTGTGAATCCCGCCACCCGAGGCAGTTGCCCTGCTTTGCCTCCTGCGTGGGCCGGCCCTACTTGTTTGCAGCAAGTCTCTTCAGATCTCTGCACAGGCATGGCTGTAAGCGCTGTTGGAGGAGAAACACCTGCGGTTTCCCTCAAAGCCGCTGTCTCACCTGGAACCCGCGTCTCCCGACAGGCAGCCGAGCGGGAGATGAAAGCTGGCACGAAGTGTTTAAATAGCTTTATTTCTTAATTTACATAATGCATATATTTATATTTAATTCTTCTTCTTATACTCTGAGATCCATAATCAACTTCATTGCTCTTTAAAATATAAAATAGCCATTTTTCGTCTTATTTGTTTTTGTTTTGCTTCTGAAAGAAAATCAGAAAACTGGTTCGAGTCCTGCCTTGTATAACAAGAAAACGTACGTCACATTTCCATCCCTTTCACCATTTGCCAAAGCGATTGTTTTTAAGTGTCTCTTTACAAGGAAAGAAAGACGGGGGGGGGGAGGACGGAGCAAATGACAAAAGCCCGGCTGTGAGAGGCAGGGTGAAAGGTGGAACATTTGAGGAGATGGGGGGAGATGATGAGGGTGGAGGTCAAGATTACTTTCCCATCTTGCGTGGTGATGCTTTGACCTGATTTATGCTCTGAGAGCGCACCTTTTTCTTAATGTTCTTCTGTGGCTGAAATTCAGACCATGGTAATATCTTCCCCTCCAGGCCCTGACAGCTATGCTCTCCCTGCCACAGCACCATTCTCTCTGGCAAATAAATTCAGCCTAATCCCAGAGCTGGCTCATAGCTTTCCAATGCAAAAGTGGGTGCGTATAATAAACAGTAAACCTAGTTCCACTGTCTCTTTGCTTTGTATTTTTTAGGCCTCTTCTGGAGAGCAGTTTCCTATGTGCCTGTAGCCTGCTCCAGGCTTTCTACATCCAAGTCAAGTAAACAGGTGAAGGGGGAACAAATGTCCTACACAATCCCACCCCCTGCCGCTATTCCTGTTGAGCTCCCTGCACATTTTGGAGTCCTTATCCTCGGGGGTTCATGCACAGAAGAGGCTCCCTGCTTCAGAAGTTTGCCCTCCGACACACCTGACTTGCGGTGTCTATGTGTGTGTGAAGCTAGCTTGCTTGTCTCCACCACCCCACTCGGCTGCAGAAAGCTTGTAGCACCAACAACAGGAAGTTGAAGGGGCTGACACCTCTATCAGGGATCTGTCGTGGAGAAGTGGCACCGTGTACCATGCAACTTAGGGTCGTGGGTGGCGCTGTGGGTTAAACCACAGAGCCTAGGACTTGCCGATCAGAAGGTCGGCGGTTCGAATCCCCGTGACAGGGTGAGCTCCCGTTGCTCGGTCCCAGCTCCTGCCCACCTAGCAGTTCGAAAGCACGAAGTGCAAGTAGATAAATAGGTACCACTCCAGCGGGAAGGTAAACGGAGTTAACGTGCACTGCTCTGGTTCGCCAGAAGCAGCTTAGTCTTGCTGGCCACATGACCTGGAAGCTGTCTGCGGACAAACGCCAGCTCCCTCGGCCAATAAAGCGAGATGAGCGCCGCAACCCCAGAGTCATCTGCGACTGGACCTAATGGTCAGGGGTCCCTTTACCCTTTTTACCATGCAACTTGGCAGGCCCTTCATCTTCCAAGGTACTACAACCTTTCAGCAGAGCCTTGAACCCCCACAGGAGTCACTACCCTCCTGGCCCTTGCAAGAGGTGGGAGGCAATATTCCTGACTATATGTGCATGTTCACTGACAAGAGATGGCTGATGTTAAATCCAACACACCAGAAATCGCCCCTGCTGCTAACCCTCACGTTCTTTCTGCTTCTCTGAGTGAGTTGACAGGTGCTACCGGGAGCCAATCAGGATCTTTCTGAAAACACAAATTTCTTGGAACAGCAGAGGCTGGAGATTTCGGGATTTGGGTGGGATCACTGTGGCTCCACCACAGCCTGCCCTACTCAAAGCGTTCCCCAACATCAACCTACTCCCATAGCATTTTACTCCAGCAGGAAACAGCGGTTCTTCTCCGACCTGACCTTGACTCAAAAGCAGCAACTATCTCACATTCACTTGCATTTAAAGAAACGGACACTCTGGGCAGCTTCATTTCTGACCCGGAGGACCATCAGTAGGTAGGTAACGTTCTCGGCTAAAGCTGCCCACGCCGCCGCTTTCCCTGTTGCTTCTCCCCACCCCTCAAAGGGCTTGAAATTACGCTTGGATTCCCCAGTAGAAAGTTAAAACACCAAATTCCTGGCCAAGACCAAACCCTGCAGTGGCCTTGAGGTAGCTCCAGCAGCTTCCTGCTAGTGCAAAGAACACCTTTAAATAATATATATATATGTATGTATGTGAATATGCCCAGCCGGCCCAATCTTTTTGACTTCCTGCAGAAAGTGTCCTATGCCATGATTCAATAATACAAAATGGATCTTGGCTTTCACAACCCAAAGCCGAGGCTCTGCTTCTCCAACTAGGATGACGCCTCTGGATGGAGACAAAAGATGGATGGCAAGAGCAGCAGTGTGTTCAATGGGGCAGGGAGTCTTTGCCATTGACCCAAGGGAGCATCTTCATGGAGCTGAAAGCAAAGCTGTACACCGGTCCTCCAAGTGACTTTTTGGGAAAGATGCCAGCCAGGAAGGTCCCTTCCCTCTGGAGCAGGGGAGACGGGAGATCTTCTTTAGGCAAGACCGCAAAAGCACAGGACTCCACGTCTGTTGAGATGTGCTCCGACGGACTCCCCCTCTCCTCTGGCTGAAGTAACACCATGTTGCTGCGTAATCGGTTCCCCGGGATGAATTTCCCGCGGCTCCATGTTCCGGGAAGGGTGGATCGGAGGGGGGAGGGTGTCTCCTGCAGGTGCTCGTTTTGGGGTTCGGCGGCCGCCGGAGCTCACAAAAGCTTTCCTTCATCATCCGGGACGTCAGCTGTGCAGAAGGAACAAAGGCAAGTTAGCTTGGAAGAAAGGAGACACACAAGCTTTCAGAGCAAGGGAGACAGTTGGATGTGTATTAGCTCGGACCACTAACGGGAATATGTGTGGCCATAATCCAACAGGCTGCAGAACTGGGCCAGAAGTAAGGGAGGGAAGACAGGTTCAGTTGTTTTCTATGGAAGTCTGCTGCATCAGGCAATTTGCTTACAGTGGTACCTCTGGTTGCAAATGGGATCCGTTCTGGAGGCCTGTTCACAACCTGAAAAGAACGCAACCCACGTCTGCGCACGCGCGGGTCGCGATTCACTGCTGCGCATGCATGTGACGGCATTTTGCGCGTCTGTGCATGCGGCAAAACCCGGAAGTAACCCTTTCCGGTACTTCCAGGTCGCCACGGGACACAACCTGAAAACGCACAACCTGAAGCAAATGTAACATGAGGTATGACTGTATTTGTAAAGATGGAAATACAGGAGGATGGTAAAGGCCTGACTTCATTCCTGGTTTCAATGTAGGATTTTAAAATTCCATGCTTGGGCAATTTTATCAACTCAGATAGCCCAAGACTTAGAAGTTACCTAAACAGGGTTTTATTCTCCTGTTCCTCATGACGGCACACGGCTGTAAGCGGTGATAAGTCTTAGGCTTAATTTTCCTTTATAGCTGCTTCAGATACAAAGCAATTTTTTAGGACATGGATCTGTTCCGATCAGGCCCTTATTAAATACACTACTATGCCAAAGTATTAAGTTCTGCTGATCTAGTCTGTTCTTGCAAAATTAAAGAGTGAACATAGCATTCTCCTCTAGCAATGAGTGACAACCTGTAATTAAATTGTGACTCTCTCGATTTATTTTACAACAGTCACATCCTGTCTGTGCAGTGAGAGAGCTCAAGCTGGCTAACACTGGCATTCCCAGGTGGCCTTCCATCCAGGAACTGACTAGTCCCAGATCAGCTTAGCTTCAGTGAAGGACCTACATCTCCCCTCAGCTACAGGTCATGTGATGCTCCCACTTATGTGCTATAAGACCAGACAAGTTTTTTCCCCAGCGGCTTTTTACATGCAAACATATGCAATGGTTTGTTACATGCCCAAATATGCAATGGTTTGCTGCATGCAAATATATGCAATGAAACTATTATTTAAGCAATACAATATTTAAGCCACATTTTGGGACTGGGATCAGCTAAAGGAAGCAAGAGGTTCACCCAGTTTTGAACCCCCAGAGTGGGAAAAGCCATTGTGGACTTGGAGGTGGGGATTTGGAGCAGGAAAATGGCTTCCACTTCTAGAGGCTAACTGCTCCCTCTGAAGTGGCATTTTCTGTATTAAAAATGGAGGGGCTGCTGAGCTACTAATAGACTTGAAAAGCCTGTTTGCCTAATAATGTACCTAAAGTGATTAAAAAAGACTAAAAGGACTGTCAAATGAATCCCTTGGTGTTCATACGATTAAATTTAATCGCAACTGTAAGAGCTACTTAATAGGATTGTGCAAAGGCTCCTACTGGGATGGCCGGATTCCTTTTATGACTCCAGTAGATGCCCTGCGCAGCCTTTCGCTGCTTCCTTCTAGGAATGCTCTGTTCAATTTAAGAGTCACTGAGGGGAGCCTTGAAGTCCGCCTACTCAAACCCACTGCATTTCCAATGCATGGATAGAGGAGCAACTCAATTCAGCATACCTTTAAAGCCAAACATTTCCCATTTTGTCGTTCTGAAAGGAATATGCACGAATCAAAGGAGCCAAGCCTTCAAAATTCGCACTCATCCGAATTTTTCAATGCCCTATAAAGCTTTACGGACACAAACGTTTCCGCCTTGTGGTTTCACAGGCTTCCTGGCCGCAAGGAAGCCTTAGGCCAGAGGTTCTCAACCTGTGGGTCCCCAAATGTTGTTGGACTACAGCTCCCATCATCCCTGAGCTCTGGCCTTGCTAGCTAGGGGTGATGGGAGTTGTAGTCCAACAACATCTGGGGACCCCACAGGTTGAGAAAGGCTGCCTTAGGCGATATGCTCATTAATGGCTTAAAACACTGCAAGATACACACACACACACCCATCCCTAATTACCCTTCAAATCACGTTTGCATGTCATTGTACACATTGCTACAGTCGGATGTGTTTCTGAGCTGCCTTCAGTCAGCTGAGATGCATCTTCATATATGGCTTATGTTTTCAAATCAGATCGAAGCTGTTTTTAGGGTAAATGCCCCCAAATGCAACATTTCTCAAAAAACAAAAAACAAAACACCCTACAAGACAGCTGGACTGTGGCTAATGTCATGCGCACATGGCTTCACAAACCAGGAGCAGGAGTGCACTGGCTGCAGAGTAAATGGAGATGTCTATCCAGGCTGTGGGCATAGGGCTCTCTGTGAAGACAATCACAGAATCATAGAACTGTAGGGCTGGAAGGGACCCCAAGGGTCATCTAGTCCAACCCCCCGTAATGCAGGAATCACAGCTAGAGAATCAAGATGGCCATCCAACGTCTGTTTAAAAACCTCCAGTGAAGGCCTTTGAAGGTTGTGTGTTCCACTGTCAAACAGTTCTTACTGTCAGAAAGTTCTTCTTTCTGCCCAGAAGTGGAAAGAAGAGAACGTACCAACGAAAGAAGAATGGAGGACTAAGATGATAGACTATGCTGAAATGGCAAAACTTTCTGGGTAAGATCAGGCACCAAGATGGAGAAAAAATGTAATAATGAATGGGGATTTTTTTTATAGATTATTTTAAAGAGCACAGTAAAAATGTGGAAGCATAAGCAGGATTGTTGTAGCATTTATGAACTGAGGGTGGAATTATGATGTGAAAAATAATTTGAAATTAAGTGGTAATATAATTAGATGCATGCAAAATAAAGGGGGGGAATGGAAATCGGTGGGGGGGAGTCAATGCAAATTTGGATTTGATATGTAAGCATATGAAAATTGTTATCAGAAAAAAATGAAAATATAGATATAAATGGGGATGTGGGTGGCGCTGTGGGTTAAACCACAAAGCCTAGGGCCTGCCGATTGGAAGGTTGGCAGTTCAAATCCCTGCGACAGGGTGAGCTCCCGTTGCTCGGTCCCTGCTCCTGCCAACCTAGCAGTTTGAAAGCACCTCAAAGTGCAAGGAGATAAGTAGGTACTGCTCCGGCGGGAAGGTAAACGGTGTTTACGTGTGCTGCTCTGGTTCGCCAGAAACGGCTCAGTTATGCTGGCCACATGACCCGGAAAAACTGTCTGCAGACAAACGTCGGCTCCCTTGGCCAGTAAAGCGAGATGAGCGCCGCAACCCCAGAGTCGTTCATGACTGGACTTAACTGTCAAGGGTCCTTTACCATTTTTATAAATATAGATATGAAAGTTCTTGTTTCTAAGGTTTTGTCCATCAATCAATGTTTATTAAGGCAAACAGCCAGCACACTCCTAAGGTTTTGTCAGAATCTCCTCCCTTGCATTTTGGATCCATTGGCTCAGTTCCTACCCTCTGGAGCAGCGGAAAGCAAGCTTGCTCTCTCTTCCATGTGGCAGCCCTTCAGGTATTTGAAGATGCTCCCCTTCAACACATTTAGCTCCCCTTCAACACATCACCCCAAAGGCCCGGCAACCACCTTCCAACCTGCACACACACACACAGAAGACCCACACATCTCTTTTGGTTTACTCACCGCCTTAGACTTTCACAGAGGCTGGAGGCATCATGAGTTGATTTACTCTGCAAAGCAAGAGGGGGAAGGAAAGGTATCAGCAAGTTCCAAAAATTAAAAAAACCACAGAAACTTTACAGACATAGACCCTGACATCGAGAGCAGCCGTCACTGGATGCTCAACCAGAGAATACTGAAGCCCATCCTGCTGGCTCACTTGTCATTTTTGGACAGGCGAGCCATTTGTGGAAGAGAAAAAGAAAACAGGCAAGCAGAAACGGCATCGCACTGGGCATCCCTCCCACGGTGGCCATGCAAGAGTCGCGCTGCTCCCACACTGGGAACAGTCAAAGACCCAGCAGCATAAACTCCCCAAAGGTTTCTGCAAGCGATGTCACCCCTTCTTTAGCTGGGGGAGATGGTTGTTTTTGTACAGTGCATGTTGACAAGCCATCTTTAGACGACTCCCTGCCTGTCATCCATCCATCCCCTCTGGCAATACAACAACATCTGCCTATTTCCTGTCCTTTCCTCACTCCCCATTATCTATTTGTGAGAAAGGATAACAAGCACAGCGTGCCAAGAAGGGGTCTCGGATTACTGGCACAAGATATTAGAGGCAGGGTTGTGTGTGTGTTTAATAAAATGGCTATAACACTTTTCTAAAGAGAGAACAGAAGAGAAAAATCAGATGACAGGCCAGCACACAGGAACAGAACACAGAAAACCAAACCAGCCACTCAATAAAGTGAAAAAAAAACAAGACAGCTTAGTATTAAAGTTAGAAAAAGCTAAAACAACAACAACCCCAAACTTCAATTTTTTAAAAAGAAGACCACCACACATTTGGCGCCAGGTCTAAAGCAGTGCTGGCCTCCTTTGCCTGGGCTGCTTGAATCTGGGCACACAAAGCACAATTCCTGCTGGCATTGCCCCTCAAGGGCTTGGGTGCTGTCAGGTGTTGGTCTGGTCGCTCGAGAGCAAACAGGCAAGACTCCGACCTGTCTTTTCCAGCTTTACTATTAGTCCAAAATATTTACAGTGTAGAGCGTCGCAAGTTCATGTCTGGCTCAGTCGCTAGCAGAATCTGGGAGTGGGCGGTCCTTGTACCTCCACCAGCATAACAGCTGTGTGAACCCCCCATCCTTCTCCTCCCTTCTCTGCGCCGAAACCTACTGCGCAGAGTGGGCGCTGGCAAAGGGGTGCTTCCCTCCTCTCCAGCTTGCTCAGGGTCGGTGTTGAGGCTCTCCTAGCATCTCCTGGCCCCTGCACCTCCTCCCCACTGGAGGCGGGGCTTTCCTCCTCGCCAGAGGAGGAACTGCTTCGCAAGATCTTCGGAGGTTCCCTATAACACAACTGCCCTTCCACCTCTCGCCTCTGAGCTGATGGCAGTTCCCTGACAGGTGTTCTAAGGGCGGAAAGCAGCAGTGCTTGGAGAGGGGGCGTTGTGAGCTGTGAGGCCCCCAGGGATGCTTCCCCGGGACACCCTCTGCAGCACAGACTGCAGTCGCTGCATCCATCATGAGAAGGGCTGGGGAGCCTGTGGCCCACTAGGCGCTGCTAGCCCGCGACTCCCATCCTCCTTGACCATAAGCCAGGCTGACTTGGAACAACAGGAGTTGAAAGCCCACGAATATCTGGAGGGTCACAGATTCCCCTGCCTGGCTGTAAAGGAACAATTTGAGGGCCATAAGGCCTGCCTTGTACTCGAGGTAAACCTGATGAACACGCTCCAAATAATAATAATTATAATCATATTCCCAAGCTTGGAAATACTGCTCTTGTCACCCCAAGAGTGCCTGCTTACCCACCAATGGTTCAGGCTTTCTGGGTTGGAACAGGGCTGTAGTGTCTCAGGCCATATCTCTGCCTTACAGGGAACCTCAGGCTCAGGGGCAAAATATGGCCCCCAGACCCCTCTGACCGGCCCTTGGGAGCTCTTGTCATGTGCTTCTGCATGGTCAAATGTCACCTTGGATCGCGAGGGTGTTTCTCAGTTGCCTGGATGGAGGATGGAGAGATGTGCTCCGCCTTTGTCGTGGTCCTAACAAGCACAGCCTCCTGTACAAAGAGTCACACCTGCTGCCACACCCACCAGTAGTGTGCCATCTCCAAGTTTTTTTAAAAAAAGTCCTTTCCCATTATAGAATTAGAACTTCATTGAAAGCAGCTCAGACCGGTTACCTGAGAGCCCTACTATAGCTCCACGTGGGATGCCTTATTTAAGTCGCTTTGAGTTTCATTTAAAAAGCGACAAATAAGTGCAGTAAATAACTAAAAACAAACCTACTCCAACCTACTGGGGACAGATCTCCTTTATAAGCAGCCCTCCCAAACAAAACTATTTTTCTTGAGATTGCAAATCTTTTTGTTCCTTAAAGAGGGGGAGGCAGCGACATCCTTTTCTGCTATTTTCTGAAAGGAAATAAGCTGCCATTGTTTTCTTTTTTTAAAAAAAAAAAGTAGCAGAAAAGTAGAGAAAAATGAGATCTTGGAATTCAGAAAAGCTCTTTGTCTGCTGTAGCCTTCTGCAGGTTTTTTTTTTGTTTTGTTTTGCTTTTGGAAAACACCCCTGTCCTGTTGTCTGTTCCACCTTCTCACTCACTATAATATAGCTTGCTGCTTGCAGGAATCTGTAGTGTTTAATCCAGGACAGACTAAAACTCATTCCACAACCTTTGCGAACTTCTACAATTAAGGAGGATTTGCAGCAGCTCCTATTTTATTCCCGCCTACCTGCTCCAAAATGAGTCATTCAATTATTTCTAAAGGTATGTGAAAAAGGGATCTAATTTGATGCCCTGAAAGCTTTCCTGGAGAACCCTCAGGGCGTCTTTGCGCTTCTGTGCCCCTTCTACTGGTAAACCGCTGGTTTCAGCGGAACGCTGCAATTTCCCCATATGTCACCAGCCTGCATTTTGACCCTTCCACGTGTCACCTCCTGGTGTTGTCTTACTTTCTACGGCACTGGGAATAAAGCCAAAAGCAGCATCACGTTCATTGTAGGAACCCTGGGCCCAGGGATGGGATGCATAAACCTGTCAACTGCAGTTTTGCTTTTCCACGTTTCCACACCTCTTTGCCATTTTTAAAAGTCCTCAGGAAAATTCACCAGCATTCTAGTGCAAATTTCTCCCATGCACATTTTAGTACTCAGTTCTGCCAAATATATGAATTTTTGCAATGCATTTTCCTGCAACATAATGCATTTTGTGCATTACCTCCACTCATATATGCATTTTAAAATGCACACTTATGTGCATGCCTTTTTTTAATGCGTTCTTGTTTTTTAAAAAACAGGATTAATTTAGGGGTGGGGGGATCTGTGGCACACCATAAGTTTTTGGACTCCAATTCCCATCAGCCGCAGCAGCAAGGCAAATGGTCAGGGATGATGGGCTTTGGAGTCTAGCATCACTGGAAGGCTACCCCTGATCTCCCCAATGAATCTGCTAAATGTTACAGCCCAAGAAAAGCGGAAAGGAGGAAAAGGCCTGAGCTGATTGAGCTAAAAATATTCCATCTAGTTACATATTGCTTGATAAGCAATGACAGTGACTCCAAGCCTTTAAGGGAACTGGCTGTGCTTTAGGAACCAAAGGCCGGTTTGCTCAAAGGAAAAGTCACAACCGATTAGGCCACTTGAAAACGTTAGTGAAAGAATGAGAGAGGATGCTGTTCCTGAACAGATCTGGGAGACTCATGCGTTGAAGGCCAGCCAGGGGATTGGACATATTAATGGAGGATAAGAGGGCCTTACCAGTAGTCATTTGTTACGAAGGGATAGACAGAATGGTGTGGCCGCCCCCTCGACTTTATGGAGTTTTATTTGAAGGAGTCCTTTATTTCCAAGTCAACTTACAAAGCATGGGTTATTAAATTGGCTTGTGCACAGTTAAGATTAACCACAGTTTAGCATTCAGATGCAACACTAAACTGCAGTCAATCAAAAACGGAAGTGAGAGCTTCCCGACTCATGGCCATGCTGGAGGAGTCAAGGGGAGCACATGAATCCAAGACTTGCTTTGGCTCATTCTAAATAACTGGTTGTGTTTGAGTGCTACACTAAACAACAGTTCATCACATCATCCAGATGTGGCCAGCTACTCAGCCCTGATTTGTCTCTTTCTGCCACTGCTATCTCCAATGCTTCTCTCAAGGTTTTTACCTTCCCGGCCTGTTTTGCTTCAACAATTTGAAGGGGAGAGGGATTCAGGTCTGCCGTCTAGCTCCTTTTCCTTCTGGAGGAAAACTCGGGAGGATAAAAGCCAGCATTAAAAAAGAGAACAAAATCAGTAGCGTTCCCTTCTCTCTTCCCTAGGCAACAAAGCATCAAGGGCTCTTCATTAAGCAACCAAGTGTCGAGACAGAGATAAAACTCCAAAAGACAATGCTGCCCTACACTTTCAGCAATTAGGACTGAAGCTGAAAGCTTGCCATTCTCCTCCTTATAACGGCAAATTTGCATACGGACAACCTATATACCAGGTGCCTGCAAGAAAGTTGTTCTACTCCAACTCCCATCAGCCTAAGCCAGCAGGGCTAAAGTCAGGGCTGATGGGAGTCATAGTCCGAGGCTAGATAGCTCAGTCGGTAGAGCATGAGACTCTTAATCTCAGGGCTGTGGGTTCAAGCCCCATGTTGGGTGAAGAAATTCCTGCATAATAGTTTTCAACAAGCAGAGAGTTGCCATTTTGCACGGAGGAGCAGTCCATACCATGAACCCCTTCTGACCTGTAGTGGTACAATGTGAGGCACACCTCAAAGAGAACTAGCCCCTGGAGTCTGAAACCATCAATGGCTACCCCAGTACTGTGATAAGCCCTTCTCATCTTGCACAGCCTAATTGGTTGCAAAACAAAGATCTGCCGCCTCCAAATCATCTGCCCTAATCATTCTTAAAGGATGCACTCATCATCGCTCCTCCACACTTGTAAAAGCTGCTAAAAGCCTGCCAATATTTCTGTCACACAGGAATATTCACAAACACACTGAGAGGGGGGAAATGTCAAAACTGTGTGTGCACATGTTTGCAACTGCTTTTGAAGCTGTTGTGCCACATTTTGGTACATCGCAAATATTCGGCAGTTTACTTTCCTGGGTGACACCAGATTAAATGCAAAGAACTCGGGAACTGGGGCAAATCAGCCTGTTGTCTGAGCTTGAAATGGACCCTCGTCTCCTGATATCTGTGAAAACGAGTGTTGCATACAGTACATAACCCACAAAAGGTTGGGGGCCGCTGGCATAGAACATCTCAAGGCAACTTTAGGCAGCTCTGATCATAGCTGGACATTTTAAGCATTTGCCCCAGGTATGTTCCACAGAGCTACAAGCCAGCTCTATGCTTCATTTACATACATCAATACTTAAAAAACCACAACACTTCAGGACTTTTCAAATACCACTTCGAAACTTAAAAGACTGTTTCAATACCACTTGTCTTTGTTTCAATGGCAGCTGGAAGATTTTTAGTTGATTAAGCTGCTTAACAAAGATTTCAAACTTTCTGCTTTATGTGTGATTTTTACACTGAATTTGTCTACATTATTCTGTGTTACACTTTATTTCTGTTTTAAACCTAATTGCTGTATAACAACTAATACCAGTGAACTAATACCAGTGTACTGGAAGAAGCAAAGATCACCAGTGCTGAAGCAATGATTCTTCAACATCAACTTCGTTGGACTGGTCATGTTGTACGGATGCCTGATTATCGTCTTCCAAAGCAACTACTCTATTCCGAACTTAAAAATGGAAAGCGTAATGCTGGTTGTCAACAAAAGAGGTTTAAAGACTGTCTCAAGGCAAATCTAAAAAAATGTAGTATAAACACTGACAATTGGGAAACGCTTGTGAGCGCTCCAATTGGAGAACAGCCTTTACCAAAGGTATCATGGGCTTTGAATAATAATAAATAATAATAATAATATTTATTCTTTTTACCCCGCCCATCTGGCCGGGCTTCCCCAGCCACTCTGGGCGGCATCCAACAAAATATTAAAATACTGTAATGCATCAAACATTAAAAGCTTCCCTAAACAGGGCTGCCTTCAGAGGAAGGCATGCTTGGCAAATCCACACTGTGATCAACTCCCGCCTGGAAACCAATGTCCCTGCTGTGGAAGGACGTGTGGATCCAGAATTGGCCTCCACAGTCACTTACAGACTCATTGTTAAAACTATGTTTTATGGAAGACAATCTTACTCGGCTACGAGTGATCGCCAAAGCAGCGGCAGCAGCAGCAGCAGCAGCAGCCGTATAATGTTTAGGGAACTTACATTATGAAGGGGCAGGCAAATGCAAGTAACACCTTAACCTCTCTATAATTGGAAGTGTGTGAGAGAGAGAAAGAGAAAGACAGGGAGAGCATCTATCTTTTCATCCACTTGTCAAGCACTCTTCTTATAACTGTGATTATAGGGCAGTCAAGAGGTCTTAAGGGACACTCCATCTTAACCCTAGGATTTTGAAACAAGCAGTCTTTCAAGCCCCAACCTGTGCAGGCCAGCATGCGCTCAGAACGCGACACCCAGATTAATTCGTTAGCGAAGCCTGCGACCTTCGACCCCTTGTGTCCCGGCCTTGCTTATGATAAATGGGTTTAATCTAAAGCTTATGTGCTGGAACCTATGATCAACGAATAGGTCCGCAAACCACTTATGTGCAGCCTTTCTCCAGGCTTGCCATTGGTGGGATAAATCAGGGTCTTGCTCTGAATCCAATTGGGGAATACACATATCGACAAATGATTCTGATTTCCAGGTAGGATTTTAGACACAGAGGGGGCTTTCTGGAAGGTATCCGCTGCGACTGGCTACACTTCTCTCTCTTTTTTGCTTACCGTACTTTTCCGTGTATAACAAGCCCCCATGTATAAGATGCCCCTATTTTGCGGGACTCAAAATTAAGAAAATTGGGGGGGATTGCCCTGAGTTATTGAGCTTTTTTGGGGGGGGGGGGAATTGCCTGGCCAATGCTGCCAGTAGCACACGTTGCAGAAGCCAACAATAGTCAGCCCCCTTGCCACCAGCAGCCGCCAATCACCCGCCCAATTGATGCAACAACAGCCAATCGACAGCAGCCCTCGCCGCAGCCACCAATCACCAGAACAATCGCCGCAAACAACCTCCCACTCGCGGCAGCAACCAATCACCTGTCCCCACTCTGAACTGCCCATGTATAAGACGACCCCAATTTTTAAACATTATTTTAACAGGAAAAAACCTTGTCTTATACACAAAAAAGAACGGTACCTGGAGACAATTCTTATCAGATTTACGGGTGAAGTAAAATATCTGCTTATAGATATGTGAAGGAGATGCATCTTATATGAGAGCTCAAATCGACAACGGCAAGCATAAAAGGAGGTTCTTTGTAAACAGAAAAATTGCAGCCCCTCCAGCATCTTCTCTGTGACTGGCTGGGAGGCCAGAGTCCCAGTTTGTAAGTCAATCAAACAGTGCAAAGAAGGACCTGACCATTGTTCTGAGAAAGAGAGAGACTGGAAAGAAGCATGTAAGTCAAAATAATTATAGCAAATACTGGTAACAAGAGGAATTTGCGTCAGCATCTTTTTGGTGATGCAGTTCTCCAACCAGGCAACGTTTAAAAAATGCACGTATTAGCGGAAAGTGTGCATAAAAATGAAAGTATTGGTGAAAACAATATAGAAAAATAACTTGCAAAAATGCTATTTTGCACTTGCAAAAATATGTACAGTACATTAGTCCAAACTACACACAAAAATGTGCTTATTAGGAGAAATTCACACTAAAATGCTACGAATTTTTATGAGAATCTTTTTTTTTTAAGTATCACAAATTGCTGCAGAAATGTGGTGGACTGAACTAATTATTGGGAAAATGAAAAACGGAGAGAAGCAAAATGGACGGATCCTTCCACCCCTAATGCCTGCTGAATAATACCTCCTAGGCCAGTCAGAATGGAAAGAGGAAGGATGTCAGAAGGGAGACAGAAAATAAAAATAGACAGGTTGGTACCAGAGCATCTCTCTAGAGAGAACTCACAGAGGGCAGAATTTGGATGCCTCTGGTTTTCAGAAACAAAATCAGCTGGAACACTCCTCAGAAGACCCAGCTTGGACTAGATAGCACCGAGGATCTACCTGGCTGAGATCAAGGACTGAATCTACCACAAAATCATTAATCTGCCCGTTGCCAGGAAGGGGCTGGAGAATGTGATCACAGGGACATAAGAAGATCCTGCTGGATGAGCCCATCTAACCCAACATCTTGTTTTCACAGAGGCAAACCAGAGGCAAAAAGGAGGTTCTTAGGTTGTGGGGGGGAATCAAAACTTCTGAGTTCAGAATCAAGCATGCAGACTGGTCAGGCAAAGGAGGAATGCCAGAGATTTTATCTGCTTGCATAATTTCAGTTTGATATTTGAGCTCCTTCAAGGCGAAGTGGTAAACACAAAACACCCCCTTTCTGGACCCTGTAACCAGAAGTGACATCAAGAAATCTTTGGCAAACGCCAATTCCTGCCTGCAGAGGCAGCCAGAAAGGCATTTGGCAGTGACATCTGTGAGTTACATTTTAGGGTTACAGTTCTCTGATTCAGGCACCCGCAAAAAAGGACTCTTCAAGGAACCATTGGAAGCTGGCCACAAGTCTCCCCACGCAACTTACTTACACATGCTGTGTTCCTTAAATCTCATAAGGAGATTATCATCTCGCTTCTTCCAGGAGAGACATTGCTAAAGGACTCACAGCGCAGTCTGATGACAAATACCTGCATTAAAATGTGCATATTCTTATCGGCATGTCTTGATGACTCTGGGAAATTAACAAGGCCAGGCTGGGCTGAGGACCCACCAGCACTGCAATTTTTGCAACTGCCTTATAAGCAAAGGGTTTTTCTTTGGAAGCTTAAAAGCAGTTCAAAAGAGGTATTGTAAAGCTGGAGAAGGTTCTGAAAAGGGCAACCGGAAAGATCAAGGAGATGGAGTGATTGATTCCCTTACAAAGAAAGGTTCCAGCATTTGGGAATTTTGAGTTTAGCAAAAAGGCAAGAGATGACACAGTTGAAACTTACAAAATTATGCATGATGTGAAGAAAGCAGACTGAAAAACCTTATTCTCCCTCTCTCCTAACACCAGAACTCGTAGACCTCCAATCAAGCTGAATGTTGGAAGGTTCAGGAGAGATAAAAGAAAGTCCTTCTTCACACAGTGCCTAGTTAAACTATGGAACTCACGTCCACATGAAGCAGTGATAGCCACCAACTTGGAGGGCTTCAAAAGAGGGTTGGGCCAATCATGGAGGATCAGCCTGTCAATGGCTAGTAGCCATGATCGCTATGTTCTGCCTCTACTGGAAACCACAGGAGGGGAGAGGACTGCTCTTGTGCTCCTGCTTGCCAGTTTCCCACATGCATCTAGTTGGCCACTGTGAGAACAGAATGATGGACAAGATGGGCCTTTGGCCTGATCTTACAGGCTTTTCTTATGGTATTAAAAGTGGGTTGGGAAGGGTAGAAGATTGGGGACCTCCAGTAAAAGACCCTGGGATTGTGACCCCTGGGCCACCCACCAACAACAGCCCTGCTCTCAGGCAAGAGATCCCAGAACATATACCAAAATGCGTATTTTAGGGTAAAGTCCCCCAAGTATGCAAATTGCATACAAAAATACATCTTCACTATACAGCTTTCATTTTATGCTGAAGATACACCTCTTTGCCCTGGTCTTTTGCGCTTGAGATGATGGGCTCCATAATCCACACAAGGTGACCAAAGCTACTTGACATCTCAGATTGCATCCCTGAAACCCTGGAACCTTAGTGTGCTGTGCATCTAAAATTTTTATTATTAATTATTGTTGTTCTTAGGTTGATTAGTAATCTTGTGCAATACTCAAATCCCTGCAGACCTCTAGCATCGTCCAACAACCCCCACTCAGAAAATGTATCTAGGGAAGAGGACTTGTGGAAATGTTGCTTCTATAGAAAGCTCACTCTCTAACCAGAAGACCCTGTAGCATATTTATTGTCGTCGTCATTGCTAAGGGTAAAATGCCTACCCTAAATGTGTGGACTTTCTTGAAGCTTTTATAGAGCAATGCAAAACAGGATGAAGCAGAGTCATGATTCAACACCTGCGAATCTGAAGCGGACTGGAGACACACAGATCTGGCCGCCCCTATCCCTGACCCCAACCACAAAAGAGGTATTCCTCCTTTCCCGCCCCACAGGGAGGAAATGTCTCTTCCAAGATTGTGCAACAGGTGCACGTGTCGCCCACAAACAAAAGCTAGCAAGCTTTCTTCCTTCATAACTTTCGGCTTTCTCAGGCACAAATCTATGCAGGTTGAGCATCATCTAATTCCGTCAAAATAAGGTTTCTTCAGCGAAGTTGCGTTGTAGGAAAAAAACAGGCTCGTTAGAATTAAGAGAGTCGGGATCCTAAATGCAATAGTGCTCAGCTGCAGGGAGTGCACGGGTGTCGTGACACAGAAATTCATGCAGTGCTATTGCAAAGCCTTCCAGAGCGTTTGATCTCAAGCAGAGAAGGGGAAACAGGGGCCCGCATGACAGTGATGGACTCCGACACCCATCAGCCCCAGCCAGCATACCCAATAGCCAGGGATGATGGGAGCTGTAGTCCATCAATGTCTCGAGAGCCACAGGTTTCCTATCACAGGTCTAACAGACGACAAAGCACATGCTTTCAGAAGGTTCTCGCCTCCTTCCTCTTCCGCAGTGTAGCAGCTTTGCCCGCTCTCCCTGTGCTCCGTAATTGACTTAATGTCATGGTTTCATAGCCAGGTTCGCGCTATCGTTTGCTCCATGCTGTTTTTGTTTATTGTTTCAAATCGCAGGAGGTTGGCAATGCTGCATTCCTTCCGAGCAAGCAGCTAAGGTAAAGGCTGATCTGCAGTTCTGCTGGCAAAGAGGAAACCCATCATATATGTAGATATTTGAGAAATCTCCCCAAAAGGGAAAGAAAACTGGGGTGGGTTGGGGGGAGGGGGACAACAACCCTGGGAAGCCTGTGGAATAATCTGCTACGAAGGTTTCCAAGGAAAAGTGGACAGATATCCCACCAAGCGCGGTAGGATGCCTCAAAAAACATTGAATGCGCTTTTGAATCGAGAATGCAGCTTCCTAAGAACCTCAGATTCCCTCTCAAAAACAGTTGGCAAAGCTGATAGTCCTCATGGTTTTCCAGCAGGCATCTGATGCCTGCTGAAAATTTTAGAAAGCTGAGGAGTGGGGTGAATAAGGTTTTCAGTGGGGTGGGGGGGTGCTTCAGGACCCCACATTAGCAAAACTGGAATAAATAATGCAAATTCGCTCAAGTTGAACGAATTGCATAGCTCACAGAACCGAGCCTCCTCCCCAAGCAGAGGATTCCGTAAATGTTAATGTATTTATTTATTTAAAATCACCTTAATGTAAAGTTTTAATGTCAGCTCTGGACGAAGGAAGAGGCCACATGATGAGAACGGATGCTGTGCCAGCCACCCCGAGCCACAAAAGGATTGGGGTGGATTATAGGTCTAGATTCATAATGCATTAAAAATAAATACACGGCTATCGAAATCTGCCCAAAAACGTATCACATAACGTAAGAGCAGATCCACAAACATGCCTACGGAACCACATGTTTTGGAAACAGCCGCCCGCAAGAAGCAGCCTGGTCCAAAAAATAAAAAACAAATTTCCCAGCAGAAAAGAAGTTCAGATTTCTGTGTGTTTTCTTTTGGCGCTGAAAATATTTACATATATGGTGGGTTTTCCTCCCCTTTCCATCTCCTGGCCAGTGAGTAGAAGCTTTCTTTCTTTTTTTTCCTTTAAAGAAAAAAGACAAAAACACACACCAACTAACCCCAAGTTGTAGCGGTCATGTGGCTGTGTCTTCCGAGTTACTGGAGGTGCCCGTGGCGAGGCGGTCCGAATCCGTGCTGAAAAACACGCAGCCCCAGGTTGAAGAAGAAGAAGCGTTTGGATTTGATATCCCGCCTTTCACTCCCTTTAAGGAGTCTCAAAGCGGCTAACATTCGCCTTTCCCTTCCTCCCCACAACAAACACTCTGTGAGGTGAGTGGGGCTGAGAGACTTCAAAGAAGTGTGACTTGGCCCAAGGTCACCCAGCAGCCGCATGTGGAGGAGCGGAGACGCGAACCCGGTTCACCAGATTACGAGACTACCGCTCTTAACCACTACACCATACTGGCTCTTGGTTGGGTTTCACTTTTAACAAGCCCCCCCAAAGGCTCAGCAGAGATAATTATCTTTTGAGGAGAGGAGTGACAGGGTACTCAAGTATTATTTCATATTGTAAACAATATCTAGTCAGACACTCTCTCTCTCTCTCTCTCTCTCTCTCTCTCTCTCACACACACACACACACACACAGTATTTGGTGGTGTTGTTTTTAATTGCCTCTCTATCCCACCTTTCCTCCAAGCTCAAGGTGGCACAGTTCCTGCATCTTTTCTTCCCCACCTTATCCCCACAACAGCAACAACCCTGTGAGGTAAGTTAGGCTGAGAGACTGTGACTGGCCCAAGGTCGCCCACTGAGTTTCACAGCTCAGCAAGGATTTGAGCCTTGGTCTCCTGGCTTCCAAGTCCAATTCTCTAACTGCTACACTGTGATGGCTTATATTTCATACAGTAAACCTGCAGCTTGCACATTCAGCCTTATAGGTATGGCCGGGGGGTGGGGGATAATTAAAAGAAGAAGAAAAATGACTTTGGCAGTCCCACCTGCCATTGCACCCAATGTGTTTTGATTATGATTTTGGCACGAAGCGTGATCCCCAGAACATAAGTTGTTCTGCACGTAAGTTGTCGGCTTACTGTATATTAGGTAAAGGTAAAGGGACCCCTGACCATTAGGTCCAGTCGTGACCGACTCTGGGGTTGCGGTGCTCATCTCGCTTTATTGGCCGAGGGAGCCGCCGTACAGCTTCCGGGTCATGTGGCCAGCATGACTAAGTTGCTTCTGGCGAACCAGAGTAGCTCACGGAAACGCCGTTTACCTTCCCGCTGGAGCGGTACTTATTTATCTACTTGCACTTTGACATGCTTTCGAACTGCTAGGTTGGCTGGAGCAGGGACCGAGCAATGGGAGCTCACCCCGTTGCGGGGATTTGAACCGCCAACCTTCTGATCGGCAAGTCCTAGGCTCTGTGGTTTAACCCACAGCGCCACCCGCGTCCCTGTATATTAGAGCCGAGCTAAAATGGCTGGTATGATCCTTTTGAACATTTCCCATACTCCTCGGCAAAGACTCTAGCCTGCTGTTTTCTGGGTCTAAATGGCACCCCTAGTTTATATACTGCCTTTCCTCTGTGCAGCTCAGGGTGGCGCACGAGGTTCTCCCCCGTCCCACTTCAACTTCACAACAACCCTGTGAGGTAGGCCAGGCTGGTGTGTAAGTGACAGGTCCAAGGTCACCCAGTGAGCTTTATGGCAAAGCGGGTGGGTGAGATTTGAATCAGGGTCTCTCCATCCGTGTTCTGTCACGCTATCTCACAGAGAACCTGCCCTCCTCCTTACAGAGGCAAACATGGCTGAGGCTCTCTTGCATTGACCTGCCTACCCCACAGAACAGTCAAACGTACATGTCCGTTCAGGCAGACCCTTTTAAATTAATTAAACTGCCTCCAACCCAGTTTCTGGCTGTGACAACATTCCCCCCCTGCCCCCCGACACACTACATGAGCTTTTAACTTAATTAAAATTAAAAGGTGGCGGCGGGAGATACAGCAGCTCTCCTATCCTATATTGAGAGCAGCTTCTGATATTCTGGAAGGTTGTAACACTTGCTGAATCGGGGCCACTGTAGATCGCACATGGCCTGAAGGTTTAACTTGAGCCAAGCTTCTGAGCACGTCCAGAGTTGAAAATGAATAACCCCAGCCCAGTCTTTAAAGTGTCGTATTAGGGGGCAGGGATTCCACAGCAAAGGGGTGCAGCTTCCAGATAATATTCAGTTCTGCTTCGCTCTTCTCTCTCCCCTCTCCTTATTTCTAACATTATGATGATTGCTAAATCAGTCAAGGAGTGCCCATAGGCCTTCTTTCCCTTCCCTTCAATTATGACCCCAGTTGCTGCCTCATTATGCTCTCTTGCAGTCGCCAGGTATAAAATATGACCGAGATGCTGTGGTCTGCCAGAAGAGCTGGGAGTTCCAGCATTCCCCTCTTCAAATCAGATTTCCCGGTCTCAGAATAATGGGGCGTCTTTACAGCGAAGAGCTTCTTGTGCAGTTCGTCAAAGCTGCTTTTTCGAGATGGTGATTTAGAGCTTTGCGGAAAAGTCTCGGGCCCAGGAAGCTGGAAAGTCATTCCAAGGGAAAGGAGCTCGTGCCAGTTTGACAATTGCCAGGACGGGGATCTTCCAGGCAGAGCGCCAATAAACTGGGCCATGCTTATGCTACGAATATAAACTAGTCAGAAGTCCATTTGGCTACCAGGACTTGCTCCATCAGAGGCAGGCAGCACAAGGCCCAGGAACTGACCCACTGCCAAACTCCAGAGTCCCTTGGGCCAGGGGATGGGCTGTAGCTCAGTGATGGAGCAAATACTTTGCATGAAAAAGACCTCCCCAGCATCTTCAGGGAGGGCTGGGAGAGAGACACACCCGAGAGAGCTGCTACCAGTCAGAGCAGGCAACACTGAGTTGGATGGACCAGTGGTCTGACTTGGTCTAAGACAACTTCTTATTTATATATATAAGCAAAATTCATATACCGCTAGTGATTAAAACAACAACAAAGCGGCTTACAACAACCATGCACAGAACCACACAATAAAAAACCATATACAAATTTGAAACCTGCTAACTATTATGGAAACATGCACTATTCTTAATTGCCTGCATAAGGCAGCCTGATGGAAGAGAAAAGTTCTGGGACAGAAGGGGCCGGCTGAATCTCTGTTGACAATACTGAGCCAGTGACACGAATGGCTGCGTTTCTTGATGCCATCAAATGGGCCTCGCCATGACCCACGGTGTTCCTGCAGATGTTCAGCCCGGGATATGAGAGTTCAGGCAGTTCCCTGAGGTACCTTGCACCCGAGTTGTTCAGGTCTTAGTAAATTATGTTCCTATGGAAAGGAGCTCACTCACAGAGGGAGAGAGCCTGAGGAGGTCAACACACCCAGGTGCCCCCCAAAACCTGGGAACTGGCACCAGCTTGCCCCCCCAAACAGCCCTGGGAAATATAGTTTCATGAAGGCACCGATCTTACTTTGTTAGAGATTACTCTCCCTTTTCATGTACTGTATTTTTCGCTCTATAAGACGCACCAGACCACAAGACGCACCTAGTTTTTGGAGGAGGAAAACAAGAAAAAAATATTCTGAATCTCAGAAGCCAGAACAGCAAGAGGGATTGCTGCGCAGTGAAAGCAGCAATCCCTCTTGCTGTTCTGGCTTCTGTGATAGCTGCACAGCCTGCATTCGCTCCATAAGATGCACACACATTTCCCCTTACTTTTTAGGAGGGAAAAAGTGAGTCTTATAGAGCAAAAAATACGGTAACTGGGTTCCTTGATCAGGAACGGCGACGGTCAAATGGCTCTGAATCTCATTTGACTGCGTAGTGCAGACATGCTTTTTTTTCACTGGCTGTAGGGGGCACCAACCCAAAGCTGGCATATACAATATCATGTGCAAATGGCGGGTACTCACTGTTGCTCTGCTTTGGCTCGATCGCTCAGGAAGAAGAGGGCTGTGGCTAGGAAAAACATCCCCCCCAGGACGACGACGAAAGGGCAGAGCATAAGTGCGTAGCCTAAGCTGAGGAATTCCCAGAGCGGCGATTCCTTTGTGCTCTGGCGAATCAGGTCAGAGATCTGGAGAGGAAGCAGAATTGGGGTCGGGGAGAGGGGAGAGGGGGAGAGAAGTTAGCATCTTTCCGGGTGCAGTTTATTCAGTATGACAGTGATCGCTCGCTTGCAAAGATGTGTGGGACTCTCAAGAGATGTCAAGAGGGAAAGAAATATGATGGTTGCTACGATAAACCGGCTCCTTTCCTCATTGTCAGTCAGGGTTTCCAACTGTTATGCTTCCCTCCTGCTGGTCTGCAAAAACCCCTGCATGGAGGGCAGGAATAGCCAGGCTAGATTAGTCGTGGATAAGAGCAGGGAGTGTCACCCACTGTTATGTACTGAAGTTCTCACCCTGGGCCAGCAGGGGGATACTGTAGATAGTTATGCAAATAAGGGATCGAAAGTGACGTTCAGTGATTGGATAGCTTTAGAAAGTTGTTACAGTTACACTGTACTGGAGCTCTATATAAGCAGGCTGACTGAACCCTTCAGTTCAGTTCTGTCCTGGCCTGTGAATAAACAAGAGCTGTTTGAAGAATCGCTGTGTCGTCTGATATGTTCACCCACAACTTATCACCCACAGATTGGTGGTACAGCACATGAGTGATTGAAGAGGGTCCCAGGTGCAACCCCTGGTTTCCCCAGTGAAGAAGAAGACCAGAGAAATGATTTTGCCTCCTCTTCTCCCACTCCAGTCCTTGGTACTTTCAGACCCTCCAAGCGCCCCGATTTTCCAGGGACAGTCACAGATTTACAGAAGCCATTCTGGTTTCTTATTTTATCCTGGAATGTCCCGCTTTGCCTTAGGACATCCCTATTTTCATCGGGGAAATATTGGAGGGTATGGAGTTATGTCACCCCCGAGCCAAGGAGATAAGTAACTATACAACCTTGAGAAGACAGCTGAATGCAGCCCCGTATAGGGCCTTTTAAAAAAAAAGAAGTTTAATGTTTTATTATGTTTTTATGTAGGTTGGAAGCCGCCCAGAGTGGCTGGGCCAATCCAGTCAGATGGGTGAGGTATAAATAAATTAATGATAATAATAATAATAATAATAATAATAATTTTTTATTTATACCCTGCCCTTCCCGGTTCAGAAAACCGGGCTCAAGGCGGCTAACAACAAATTTAAAACACTTAATTGATGCAACAAAAAACAGCATAAAATACAGTATAAAATGTGAATAACAGTAAATTCAGAATTCAAAAATCAATTTAGGGGGAAAATCCATCCAATAAACATTAGATGATCACCAGGGCTAGCTAGGACATCCCTATTTTCATCAGAGAAATGCTGAAGGGTATGCACTTTCCTTCCTGTGGTGGGGAGACATGATTGCCTTGCAAATGAGAGCCAAGCCTCTCAACACATCCCTGACCCAGACACCCCAAAAATGCACTTACAAATCCAATAAGGTAAGGGCTCCCAGCGTCTCCCAGAAGGTGTGAGGTGAAGCTTTGCAAAGCTACTGCAGTTGCCCGGCGTGTAGGAATAACCACGTACTGGCAGGGAGAAATATATTATTTATTATCATTGCATTTATATCCCTTCTTTCCTCCAATTAGCTCAACGTGGCATTTATGGACCTCCCACTCTGCGTATTATCCCTCACCACTGACTGGCTCAGGGTGACCTAGTAAGCTTCATGGTCAAGTGGGGATTTGAACCCTGGTCTCCTTGATCCTTGTCCAACACTCTATGGGTAAAGCATTTCAACAACCAGTCAGTCAAATGACCAGCCCACACTGGGATATGCCATTTAGCACAAGCATGCATTTGGGGACCATGCGATTACAGAAAAGAAAATGGCAGCAAAGGTATAGAAAAGAAAATGGCAGCAGAGCTGGCCTGATCTTGGTTGTACTTGTACCAATCTAAGAGTAGACCTACTGCAATTAGAGGCCTATACATTTAAAGATGTATCAAAACAACCATGGCTTCCCCCTGACTGCAGGAGAGAGAACCCCACAGTTGTGTGGCAAACCTATACAGTACTTGCCATGGACTGGCTGGATGGAGAACGAATGGTGGGAGGAACCAGCTGGGGAATTCCCAAGGGATTGGTGGTGGGACATTGGGTCAGTATTGTGAACACCTAAGGCTCTCCCAGAGTATTGACTGCCTGGGGTATTGGCCCTCCCTCAGTATTGACTGACTGGGATACTGGCCCTCCCTCAGTATTGACTTACTAAAGTTAGTGTCTAACAACATCTGAAGGGCCAGAGGTGCCACATCCCTGCTCTGTAGCCACTGGGGAAATCTGTGGGGCCCTCTGGAAGTTATCAATCCATAATTCCCATCTGGAGGGCCAAAGTTTCCCCATACTTGTAGCAAAGGTTGGTGGGTGCCCTTTTAAAGAGCACTTAGAAAAGAAAAAAAAACCCAGCCAAACATTAGTTCCTGCCCACGTTTGGAAAATAAGTCAATTACAGGCCTGAGTGAACCAAAAGAGCACCACAGGAGCTGGCTCGGATATCCCTGCCTAAGATGGCGGCAGGTTGGCTAAGCCAGGAAGCAGAGCGTGGGATCGCCCCGGTTGCTCCGAGCTGAGTGGCACACACAGCTCAGGAAGCCGGAGGAAAGACCACAAGGGTTGCCCTGGCAAGGCCTCGCTTCCTAAAATAGAGGCCTGGGGAAAGGGCTGGTGTTGGCACCAATGTCCTCTTCGCACCACAAAAAAACGAGCAGAGCTATTCGGGGCATCACATGGAGCACCACTAAGCTGGCTCTGAGGGCCAGGCAGAGAGGCCTGGAGGGCCACATTGGGCGCCCAGCCCAATGTTCCTCACCCCATCCTTCTTAAGATTCCCCCATAATGGCAACAGGATGCTGAACTCTGCACCAGTGCAATTGCAACATTATGGACTGTGTGTGGCCTTCACCAACACAGTTAAGAGCACTCCCCATGCCAGCTTACCATGAGTATGTCAGCAGTGATGGCCCAGTTTGAAAACAAGAGTGTCTCACCGATAAAAATGCAGACCTGTTGATGAAACACAGACAGCACCAATTGTTTAGTTTTTACCACATTTTAAGCAGATTTCGTAAAACAGTAGTACTCGCTCCCAACGCAGCCATATGCACAGCAATTTACTTTATTGCACTGCGAAATTGGGCTGCTTGTTTCCTTTTGTTTGGGAGGAAGATTGGAAATGTTCTTAGACAGATACTAGTCAAATTCTCATTAATTATGGTTGTGGGCGGAGTTAGCTGGAGGAGGGAGAATCTGTATATTGCAAGGAGAGAGATAAAGGGAGCTAAACAGCAGACAGAGAATATTTATTTTATTGATAGTATTTATGTATTCACTGCGAGTGTTTGCATAGTGAGTCAACAATTTCCATTAATCTCTATGGGAACATTTCTAATGTGTTCCTGACCACAGAATTTTGATCCCCAAATGACAGGAAAAACCCAGGAAAACCCTTGAAGGGGGAAAATGCTCTCTTATTTGTCTGATCTCTCCCCCCTCCCTCCCCACCATTTTTTAAAATTTTTTTTTGCAAAATGGATGCCATGGACCAGCAAAACACAAAAAAGTAAGGCTTCTTTAAGGCTGTTTACTTGTTTACAATACCACATGCGGGTCCAGATGTTTGGATATGTGAATCTCTGGTGCATAGCTGTCAACTTTTCCCTTTTCTTGTGAGGAATCCCATTCAGAATAAGGGAATTTCCCTTTAAAAAAGGGAAACGTTGGCAGCTATGCTCTGGTGTGCATAGCAAGGTTTGGGTACTAATTCCTCGTGCTTGGATAAGTGAATTCTCGTATAAAGAGTGTTTGGGTAGCGGGACCTTGGGAACTTGTGGACTTTCCATCCTTGGAGGCTTCTAAGCAGAGGTTGGATGGCCATCTGTCATGGATGCTCTAGCTGAGATTCCTGCATTGCAGGGGGTTGGACTAGATGACCTTTGGGGGTCCCTTCCAACTCTACGATTCTATGAATCTGTGACCTGTGTGTAATTGCAATCAGGAAAGTCAGTCCCTCCCCCCCCCCCCGGACGCAACCCCAAGCTGCTTCATACATACGTAGGCTCCCACAATGCTGCTCTTTGCCGCAACGAAGATCAGGCAAGTGAAGATGGCTGAACCCAACATCCCGACGGCGCAGACAAGGGGATCCGCTCGCTGCGTCTTCAAACGGCACCACTTGGTTGCGCCGGCCCCGGTGATCACGCCCAGAAATCCGGTGAAGCAAGTGATAGCCCCGAAGATCAAGCTAAGGGCAAGGAAGAATTCCAAAAATAGAGGCCTCTCTCACTGATACAGGCATATTTTTATACACAGGAAGGTGAGAGGCAGGTGGAGGCCGGGATTAGCAAAGCAAAAGGCATGAGTAAGATGTGCTAAACGGACATTTATGGGCGAAAACCCAAAGCAGGGAATTCATAAAATTAAGACGCTGGCTCTGAGGACAGTCTGGAATCTTTTCCATGGGAATCTGAGGTTCTCAGGTGACTGAACCTCGGGGGGGGGGAGCACCTTTTTCTGAAGGGCAGCAATCTGTAACTGCATTTTAAAATTAACCTGGTTCACTTATGTACTCTGTCTCTCAGAGGAGTCTATCTCTACTGTTTTCTTTTCTTTCTTTTTGGTGGTGCAGTGGGGCAAGACACGTACAGTATGTCAGGTCCAGGAAATCCTTTTATAAAAATTATTTATTTGGTTTTTCGAATTATAATTTTACAGTCACATAGGAAACGTAAAAAACAAGATTCCAAGAAATCTCTTTAACTTCCCTCCTCCCCGTTGTGGGTCCTATTGTTAATCATTTCCTCCTGCATCTTTTATGATAATCCAAATCTTTTACCTCTCCATTGCGTCCAAAATTCAATATTAAACTACAAGCGATATTCCAATCTTACTAGCGATTTTAACTGTTTACAATGGTCTTTAAGAAAATTATAAATTTTCTCTACTTTCCACTCATTGCCTAACCTTGGACGAATCCCTGATCCTTCAAGTTTGAGTTCCTCCAACATTAAACAGGAACCCCCCTCTCTCAGTGGGTTGGCATAACAACAAACCTGTCCAAAGCCAGTAAAAGGGCTCTGAAAAACTGAAAAGGACTTTTATACAAAGTGATGAGCTGTTAGTGAAGAGCCAGTGTGGTCCAGCATTTAAAGTGTCAAACCTGGGAGACCAGGGTTCGAATCCCCCCACTTGGGCACGAAGCTCACTGGGTGACCTTGGGGGCCAGTCACTGCCTCTCAGCCTAACCTACCTCACAGGATTGCTGTGGGGACGACCTGGGGAGGGGGAGAGCCATGTATGGCACCTTTGGTATACGGGCCACTATATTGGTCGCACCAAACCTGCAGCTGAATGCAGGATTGGAGTATGAATACGAAATCATATTGAAAAATCAGAACTCCTATTAGAATAAACAAGTTCCGTTGTAAATACTGAAATACTAAATAAGATGGATAACAACGTGTAACAGAAAAAAAGAAGTAGAAAGTTGGTTTAAAAGTGTGTGAAAGAAAGTAATAGAAGTGGAAAGAAATTGCAGTTGGGTAGATTGGAAGTCAAGCACAGGGTGGGGTGAGGGATGGTGGTGGGAAAAGGAAATATGCGTGGGATTGAGTGTGGGTATGTATGAATATTTTTAAGGATCGTATGAAATGTATGTTTGTCTGTAAATTCGTAATATGTATGTATTAATGTTGAATTATTTTAATAAAATTAAAATTTAAAATTTAAAAAAAGAATTTAAAAAAGAATTCATGAACTGACTCCCCAGAAATGCCTTATGTCCAAGAAGGGTGCTATCGCTGGCACTTAAGAGAATCTTAGAGCTGGGACATTGGGGGTGGGCATCTAGCCCCACCCCACGGCAAATGCAAGACTGACAGCGCAAGCTGCCCCCTGCAGCATCCCCACTAGACGTAAAAGCAAAGCAGGAGCTCACCTGTCCTTGGTCCCGCAGGGCTGAGATGTGCAGGTCTCTGCGGTTTTCTGGACCACTTGCGCCCGGTGGAGGTAGAGGGGGATCCACATGCCCAGGGCCCCCGTGGCGAAGGAGACGGCCGAGGTAGCCAGAGAGGAAAAGACGTAGCTGCGGCTGAAGGGATAAAGGGGTTTTGGGGGGTGAGCCAAGAAGGGGAGGCTTCATATCCCATGAAGAGGAAGTTCTTGCTGCTTCCCCATAAACGATCCTGGAAGGTTTTGGTTTTAATTTTGTAATAGCATGGACAGAACATCAGAACGGACAAACCAATATAAGACGATAAAGCCATTCCAAAGAGCATGACAGGGGAAAGAAATGCACTTTGCACCTTCATTACACTCTTTGAGAAGAATACAGTGGTACCTCGGGTTAAGTACTTAATTCGTTCCAGAGGTCTGTTCTTAACCTGAAACTGTTCTTAACCTGAAGCACCACTTTAGCTAATGGGGCCTCCCGCCGCTGCTGCACCGCCGGAGCACGATTTCTGTTCTCATCCTGAAGCAAAGTTCTTAACCCGAGGTAATATTTCTGAGTTAGCGGAGTCTGTAACCTGAAGCGCCTATAACCCGAGATACCACTGTACAGTGGTACCTCAGGTTAAGTACTTAATTCGTTCCAGAGGTCCGTTCTTAACCTGAAACTGTTCTTAACCTGAAGCACCACTTTAGCTAATGGGGCCTCCTGCTGCCACTGTACCACCAGAGCACGATTTCTGTTCTCATCCTGAAGTTCTTAACCTGAAGCACTATTTCTGGGTTAGCGGAGTCTGTAACGTGAAGCGTATGTAACCCAAGGTACCACTGTATACAATGTGTATACAATGAGTGCGATTCAAATGAAAATTTGCTCATACATATAAATATATGAATGACATATTGACATAAGAACATAAGAAGAGCCTGCCGGATCAGGCCAATGGCTCATTGAGTCCAGCATCCGGTCCTCACAGTGGCCAAACGGATGCCACTGTGGGAAACCAGCAAACAGGTTTCACACACAAGAGATCTTTCCTGCTCCTGTGGCTTCCAGCACTTAGCATTCAGAAGCATTGCTACTAGCCATCGTGGCTAATAAGCTAAAAAAAGGTAAAGGACCCCTGGACGGTTAAATCCAGTCAAAGGCGACTATGGGGTTGCGGCGCTCATCTCGCTTTCAGGCTGAGGGAGCTGGCGTTGGTCCACAGACAGCTTTCTGGGTCATGTGGCCAGCATGACTAAACCGCTTCTGGAGCAACAGGACACCGTGATGGAAGTCAGAGCGCACAGAAACGCCGTTTACCTTCCCGCTACAGTGGTACTTGCACTGGTGTGCCTTCGAACTGCTAGGTTGGCAGGAGCTGGGACAGAAAAATGGGCGCTCACCCTGTTGCGGGGATTAGAACTGCTGACCTTCTGAGTGGCAGCCCAAGAGGCTCAGTGGTTTAGACCACAGTGCCACCCGTGTCCATGACTAGTAGCCATGACTAGTAGCCATCAATAGCCCTCTCTTACGTCAGCAAAAAATCAGCAAAGAAACTTTGAATTAGGGGGTGCAGAACTGACACAGGATGGAAACAGGCTGCATAGTTCTCTTACTTCCTTATCAAGGCCTTCATATCCCTCAGCCACGAGGTCCGAGCCTTCAGCTGCGCCCCCAGCTGCTCGGCGTTGCCTCTCTTAGCAGCTGGAACAAATATTAAGATGAGTGTGCCGGTGATCATACCTAAAAGCGGGGAGACCTGGAGGAGAAAGAGGTGTGCGGTGTGAGGAACCAGGAATCAGAAACATCTAGAGCACACGGCCTGGTTTTTTTAAAAGGGCGGATGACTGGGGCAAAATGAACACCCAGATTAACTGCAATCTTCTCTAAGCGGTGCACGAGAAACTCAATACAATGGAAATGTTAAAAAAAGATCAGTTAAAAATGATACAATTGCAATTCAGTTTGCTGGAATAAAAGATTCAGCGGACACTGGATGTTCACAGGGAGGGATGGGAGAATCTCTGACCTCGACAGGAAGGGAGCTGCATAAAATTGGGTGCGCAATAGTAAAAGCGCAAGTCCCTTAGTACGAGCTGTGTGTTTGAGCCACTGGGGACCACTAAGAGGGCCCCCCCAAAGCGTTCAGCGATTAGGCAGGGATATAAAAGATTAGGTGGTTTCTTGGGGTATTCTGGATCAAAGTCGTTCAGGGCCTTGTAAGCTAGAACAAAAGCCTTGAACCATACCAGGTAGCAATAGAGGCAACTGGTGTAGAGCTTTGAGCACCCGAGTTATGCGCTGGCGATAGCCTGGCCCCATCAACAGGCCAGGAGACCTGATTTTAGCTTTATCTACAAAAGCCACACCTCCCATCCCATAGTTTTCACCTTCCTAAAATTCCATCCACGGGAAAAGTCGCTCCTCCACTGGCAAGGGGCCAAGCGGGGTCAAAGGTTAGGAAACAGTTTTGCTGCCCTGTTTCCTGTTGGCTATTTCTTTTCTTTTTTTCTGGTCAAGCGCTCTTTGTGTCTGCTGCGTCCACTGCACGCTTAAAGTGTTCCCCGCACATTTCTCAAGGTCCCCCAAAGTGTATAGAAGGAAATGGAGAAACCTTCATGCAGGAAAATGAATGCAAAAGGGAAACAATTATCCCTCCCGCAAAACAAGAAAACATCCCTGGCTGAGTTTCATGGCAGCCAAGGGACACTTTGACTAAAGAGCAGCAGAGGGAACGGAATGCTGCCGCGACCTTTCGTTTTCCTGTCCTGACAATAATCTACCTCAGGCCAGAAGCATCCTAAATTCTTCCGCAGATTTTTCCTCCACTTCTAGCAAAACAGTGGTCCAGGAAGCTATTTAGCCTGTAATGTTTCCCATGACACTGACATGAGGGGAGCATTCTAATATTTAGCCAACCGAAAGGGTGCCTGACTCTTTTTTATTATTATTATCTTGGGCAAGTGTTGGAAGGGGCCTTGATGGTCATCCTGTCCCCCACTCGTGATGCAGGAAACCAGCTGCTGCAGTGCCCCTGACTGATGGGATGCCCAGCTTGCCCTGTCACGAGGGTCTTCATAGTAAAAGTGCCTTGTAACCTGCTGAAACCACATCAGAAGAGGCTCTACGCGTGCACCAATGTCTGCAGGTAGAGCTTCTCTATGCTCTCCCTCGCATAGCTCTATGTGATAGCCAGTGTGCAGGGACAGCCAGTGCAGTACCCCCTAGATGCTGTGGACTACAACTCCCATCATCCCTGGGGCTGATGGGAATTGTAATCCAATAACATCTGGAGAGAACCAAGCTGGCTAGACACGGTACAGATCTTCTTCCAGCACGCCGATGGTGTGGTCACTGGGGGTAAGCATGACTCGCCCATAGAAGTCCCACATGCAATCTTTTCAATGTGTGGGCAACGTGATCTGTAAACGGCACCTCACTTAGGTGCAGAGTGGAGCAGATCCTTGAAACAAACACCAAAAAACAGGCTGCTTGCTCACCCGAAGGGCCCAGTGCCAGTCACCAGCTACTTGCTTGACGCTTGATCCAGTGATGTACCCTAAACCGCTGGGGAACAAAGCAAAAGACAAGAGGAAAAATAGGGGAATTAGTTCATTTGTTTGTTCAAGTTCCTAGCCCACTTGATCTCCCAGCGGCACCTGAAGTGCAGAATCCAACACGCTTAGAACGGCTAACCAAACGGATTGAAAACATGGTACTTTAAAACTTCACCTGTACCAATCCAACAGCTGCACTGTGGCCGCCCAAAGCTTCTTTTAAAGAAAGCTTCACTAGATCATGGCTGAAAGGCACTTGTGAATTTCCAGGGGAAGGGAGTCCCACAGTCCAGGAGAACATCTAGTGCTGTTTGTGCATCCTGCAACCAGTCTCAGGAACTACACAAACAAAGCTACTGGTATTTTTTGTCAGCATCCGTCTTTCTAGAGAGACAACGGAGTGTGCCTCTGAGGTTGAAGTCAACTGCTGCATTTTCAGCACCAAAGTAACACCCCCAGGGCGAAATCCTGGGCACTGTGTATGAAGGTCCTGGGCTGCCCAATGACAAGGCTCCTCTCTCGGCCTCATTGATATGGTCCAAAGGAAAGCAGAGTAATATGCTTGGCACCAGCTTGGCCAAAGTTGCCGGAAGGAGGTGCACAAGGCACCATCCAGCCGTCTTAGGGACTTCACTCTGGATTTCTGTAGGGTTTACTCCTTAGCCTTTTCTTCTCCCAAAGATGTCCCTCAAGGCAACAGGGGACTACTGGTATAAGCGTGCAGAATTCAGCATCCTGCCCATCTCATTTGAAAAAGTGTGATGCAATTGAGCTTTACTCAGTCTAGACACCTTGAAATAATCTGACCCAAATTAGTCATTTCCATAGTTTTCAGTAGGTCCACTCTGAGTAGGATCAGCATTGGAGAGCTCTCCAGGTCTTTAGCCCTTAAGGTTACAAAGTCCTCAAGGTGTTTGGTCTAGTTTAACAGCTGCTACCTTTTCTATAGGGACCCTTGGAAACCCATAGTGCTGAGAGGAGGCCTACTGAAATCCCCCTCACCAAAATGAAACTCCCAGGATCCTTTAAGAGAATCTAGAGCAGTTTGGTTTGGTTCACAGACAGATCCTGACCATCTCTAAGTACCAGCTGCTGAGGAGCAAACAACTGGGGCTGGCTGTTGCCTTTACGAGTAGCTTTGGGAGTTCCAGGAAGAATCTTGCTGACCCCTCTCAGATAAATGGCCCAGGGACCCCATTTGATCTGACCCTCCTCACTACACCACCCTAACAATATCAAGCTTGCTATTTTAAAGCCAGCGTCACGGGCCAAACTCACAGCCTCGCTTCCTGCTGTTGTTCAGGAAAAAGCTGCCCCCAGCGTTCTCAGGCGGGCCTGGGGACGCATTTTTTCCTGAAGAGCTAAAAGGAATGCTTTCAACCCTTTGTCTCCAGGCTGGCCTGCAAACGGCGAGTTCAGGATAGCTTGTTCGCCAGCCCGCCACAGATGTTTTGTCACCCGACTGATTACGGGAAAGGTTTTCCCCGCGCCGATGGAAGTAAACATGCGGCGCTGAGATTCCCCGCAGGAAACGGCCCTGCCAGCTGGAATGTGGAGCAGCCAACCCGTCTGTCACCATGCCAAGCTGGGGCAAGGAGGCATTGTGAGGAGAGAGGAATCCCCAGAATGCACCAGGCTGATAAGGGCGGCTCGAAGCAGGGAAGGAAGCCATTAGCCCCAAGCTTGGCACCATAGCCGAGGTTTCCAAACTGGGACCTCAGTTATTCTCTACCTCAGGGGCACTCTGTCAGGGGCTACATGCCCCCGGTGGATGGGACCTGGACGAGTGGTGGGTGGGGCTGAAGGTAACAGTGGGCCGGGCCAGAGCAAAAAAACACAAGGCCGCTTCCACACCATCCATTTAAAGCCCAAGAATTTTGTGGGAACTCTAGTTTGTTAAGGACACTGAAGGTTGTTAGTGTTTCAAATGTAAGGTGCAGACATGGCCCAGGGCTCAAGGTGTTTTCTGTGTTCAGAGTAAGAAAGCAAAGAAACGAAACACGATGCGTGTAGAAACAAGGAGTCAAGGGGTCCGTGGAGTTCCATACCTGCCCAAAGGGATTGCGAAGTAGAAAACGGAGAGCATGAGGGTCCGGGTGTTTTTGGTGAAGAGGTCTCCGATGATGGTGGGCGCAATGGTGGAGTAGCTGGCTTCGCCGATGCCGACCAAACCCCGCGAGAGGACAAACAGCCAGAAATACTGAGGGTGAGAGAAGGAAAAGGGGAGAAGGAGTCAGTCTGTTGTCATTACCATTCACACAGCAGTCCTAAACTCCCCCCAAATGACTGAGCCACAGGTCAGAAGGAACTCCCTCTCCAGTTCAAACTCTACTGTGGAATAGTGTGGTGTAGCAGTTAAAGCAGGGTTTCCCAAACATGGGTCACCAGTTGCTTTTGGACTACAACTCTCATCATCCCTAGCTAGTGGTCAGGGATGAGGGGAATTGTAGTCCAAAAACAGCTGGAGAGAGACCCAAGTTTGGGAAATCCTGGTTTAGAGTGTTGGACTAGGAGTAGCACCTGGGAGACCAGGGTTCGAATCCCCCACTCGGCCATGAAGCTTGCTGGGTGCCCTTGGGCCGGCTACTGTCTCTCAGTCTAACCTACCTCACAGGGTGGTTCTGAAAACAGTATGGCAGAGAGGGAAGCACCTATGCTCTCTCTGGAGTAAAGCTGGGGCTGGAATATAATAGATAAATGGAACACCCCCAAGCCTCAGCCTCCCTCGGTTCCCTCTGGCCTGCTCTGCACATAACACTTAATCCACTGCTGCCAGTCAGTGTAGACAATACTGAGTTAGATGCACCAATGGTCTGATTTGGTATAAAGAGGCAGCTCCCTGTTTGAATCACTTCTTTAATTTGAACCATGAGGGCTAGCATCTTACTCTGCCTCTAAGGGAAGGGCAGTAGCTCAGTGGTTTTGCATGCAGAAGGTGCTAAGTTCCTACGTTCCTCTGTGCAAATGCCTTGCCCGTCCTGCAACCCGGTCTAAAAGCAGGTGGAAATCTGCTGTCCCGGCACATTGGCTCTGCTCCGCGCTGCAAACCAGCCAACCTCCATTTGCCTTTTGTGCGCTTGGCAGCTCCACCTTGGTACCCTTTTTTGGGAACTGTTATGCTGCCGCGTGCCCTATAATTACAGGTCCAATTAAATGTTTCCTGCTGCCCTTGTCATATCAGAGACAGATGTGTGTGGGCTGAGCCCTAAAGGGCAGGCACATGACTCAGGGCCATTTAATGAGTGTCCATCGCCCAACACTAAACCGCTCCGGAATACCGTGGGGAATCTGCTGATGCCCAGTCAAGAGGGGAGCCAAGAGGCCTTTCAAGGAAGCGGCCATTCTCACAGAGCACACGCTGAACAAATTAGCCGGCAAAACATTTGCAGCGGGAACAGACAAGGGGTGTTTCCGCTAACGCAAATGCACAAGCGTGCGCGCGCACACACACACACACATATATATTTGAGGATTTTTACTTGAGGAGGAGAAGAATCACAGAATTGTAGAATTGGAAGGGACCATGAGGGTCACCTGGTCCAACCCCCTGCAATGCAGGAATCTCAGCTAACGCATCCATGACAGATGGCCCTCCAACCTCTGCTTTAAAATCTCCAAGGAAGGAGAGTCCACAACCTTCCCACTGTCAAACATCTCTTCCTGTCAGAAAGTTGTTCCTGATATTAAATCAAAACCTCCTTTCTTGTAACTTTTTCTGTGGGATTAGAAACACCTTTGAAGGACTATTTAGATTTAGAAACGAGCAGGGAAGGGAGGCGTTGAACACCCGCCCCCCTTTGTGCAAATTCATAGCTAGAGAACTGGACTGCAAAATTCGGAGAAATGCTAATTTCGAAAGGTGGCTGCATTGAGGTCCACGCAGCGTTCCGGAAAGCACGAATTTAAACACAAGCATAACTGACTTTCTCCCACTTCCCTAGCCTTGAGTAGACAAAGCCATGGAGAGCTGAGGTGCAGACCAGCCTTCACAACCAGCTTGGCACGTAGACACAGAGACTTCAAGGATGCCCAGTCCTCATCGGCCTGTTTCCAGGGTTTCCCTCACTCTGAGAGTTTCTGCCCTCTAATTTTTGTGTGTGTGTGCGCTTCTGCAAACTGGGACGCTCCCTCAAACCTTCCCAAACCTCCCTCTTTTGCGTGAGGATGATAACAATCGGCAGTTGCTGTCTAAATGTCGGAAGTAGAGGGAATGGCCTTCCTTTGGGAGCCAGCAGAATAACAACTACAGGAAAATGGAGGACAGAAATATATATATATATATATATATATATATATATATATATATATACACACACTGCCAGCCAACTCAGAATGGATGGTTAAAGTCTGGGACATTGTCCTTTTGAGTAAACAGATATATTACACCCATACAAAAGAAATGTCAAATGGCTGCTGAGTCATTAGCCTTACTAGCTGTATGATAATGACATGGCGACTGCCTGGCATTCCTTTCGTGTGTTTTTTGGGAATAATTCGAGACAGGACAAATAAACAAGACAACTTTTGATCTTTTTAAAGTCTGCAACAGTATTTTAAACCAGGGCTGTGGTGCAATGGGTGTGTGCAAGAATTTCATGGAACAATGCCATCCCCACTGTGAAATACCCCACTCCATTCCATGAAATAACAGGGAGGGGGCTGGAAAAGGGGCACAAAAAACACCCACCCATTCAGAGTGAGGGCAGGAAGTACAGTTCACATGTCGAAGCTTTGCGATGACATCACATCCTGAAATCTGGTTGGCGCAGCGATGCTACGATGTCAGCTACATAGTTGGAGTAACTCAGAGCAGGGATTTCAGTGCAGATGCCCCAGTTCTGTGCAGCTGCCGAGATACAACAGTATCTGAACTTTCCAAAGGCGATTTATATTTTTATTGTGACCCCCTTTCCCAGATGGATGACCAAGTCTCTGCCATAGGTGTCGACCTTGTATTGCTTCTAAACTAAGCTGCTGTAGGGAGCCAGTGTGGCCTAGTGGTTAGAGTGTTGGACTAGGACCAAGGAGACCAGGGTTCGAATCCCCTCTTGGCTATGAATAATAATAATAATAATAATAATAATAATAATAATAAACTAAGCTGCTGTTACTTTCCATTTTCCTTTTAACTGCTTTAGGCTGTTTTCATTGCATTATGTATATCACTCCAAGACACATTTTTGGAAAGTGGTTAAATTATTGTTGCTATTACCACTACCAGTACTACTAATACTAATAATATAAACCCTGATTGGCTTCATCACAAGCCAGCAAAAGGAAAAAACTGTCTTTAAAACACTGTACTAAAAGAGGAAAACTGCGAACAGGCTGTGAAGAAAAAGACAGCAGCTTCGAGGAGTTTGCAGGAAACACCCCCAGCACACCAGAACTCTTTGCCCGTCAAAATTTGGCTCAGCCCGGCAATGTACTCCTCCCCGGTATTCTTCTGCAATCTCTTTAAATGCATTAAAATCGAAATAGTATTTTTTTTCCAAAGGTTCGAGAACCCCCCTCCCCACGCTAGCATTCCTCACCAACACCCCATTCCTGCATCCGCGCACAGCCAGCCATGCAAGTAATCCATACTTTAATAAGCCTAAATGTGTCCCTGCTCCTCTTGCTCTCCTCCTAAATTGCTTAAGAAAAGGAGAATTACGCTACTGTTCTCCAAGAGCTCCGCAGCCAGTGATAAAGCGATAATCTGCTGAAGTATGTCTAAAGCCCAGGGGCAAACTGCCTCGCCATCTCAAAAAGCACATGATCCTTAAATCCCGGGGTCAGAAAGCATTAGAAAACGCATGTGATGCGATCGGAGGCTGCGAGAAATCCCAGAGAGAGTTGCGAGGCCTCTGGGCTAGGCTTCCACACATCCAGATCCTGAGAAACGTTTACGTGGAACTGAAATTCTTGTGGTGTGTTGTTGTCTTTTTAGATACACATCTGGGAACAAAATAGCCTAAGGCCTTGTACAGGAGAAGCCCGTAGCTCAGCACACAGAACATGTCATTGCCATAAAGGAGGGGGGGAAAGTTGCAGGTCCAATCTCTGAATTTTTGTATTACATTAAAGCAAGGGGCAGGGAAGCATTCGTGCTGGAAAGTCGATCGGGGCCCGCTATTGATGGTGGACATCTGGTGGTGGTGGGGACGGGACACCAGAGTCAAAAGGTGGCACTTGAAGCAGTGGTGTTTGCAGCACTGCAGCCGAGCCGAGTCCGAGCAGGACTAGGACCCGGGAGACAAGGGTTCAAATCCCTGCTCAGTCGTGAAGCTTACTTGTTGTGTTGGTCCATTCAAAGGCTGTGTACACATAACGTTTTATTCTAGAATCAGTGGAGATGGAGTTGTCTTTTTCTACGTCCTCCATGCACAATCCAGATCTGTTGCATATATCTTCTGACCCAGAAAAGTGTTTTTTTTTTTTTTAGGAAACTGGTTTCATTCTGAAAACAAAACTTTGCAGATTCATCCTTCGTTTCTCCACCTGCAAGCAGTTCTTGAGCATGAGAGGCCTCTCCCCTCCTGAGTTTTCCAGCAACTGATATTCAGAAGCATTGATGCCTCTGACAGAGGAGGCAACACACCATGCCCAGTAGCCATCGATAGCCCTCTCCATCATAAGTTTGTTTCATCCTTTTTCACAGACATCCAAACCAGTGGTCATCACTGCCTCCTGCGAGAGCCAGTTCCATAGTTTGTGTTGCCTGAGTAAGTAAAGGTAAAGGTAAAGGGACCCCTGACCATTAGGTCCAATAACGGTCGACTCTGGGGTTGTGGCGCTCATCTTGCTTTATTGGCCGAGGGAGCCGGCGTACAGCTTCCGGGTCATGTGGCCAGCATGACTAAACTGCTTCTGGCAAACCAGAGCAGCGCACGGAAACGCCGTTTACCTTCCTGCCAGAGCGGTACCTATTTATCTACTTGCACTTTGACGTGCTTTCGAACTGCTAGGTTGGCAGGAGCAGGGACCGAGCAACGGGAGCTCACCCCCTTGCGGGGATTTGAATTGCCGACCTTCTGATCGGCAAGTCCTGGGCTCTGTGTTTTAACCCACAGCGCCACCAACGTCCCTGAGTAAGTACTCTGTCCTAAATCTTCACTGCACATCCCTGAGTTGTAGTGTTGTGGGGAAGGGAGATAAAACCTTCCTCTACCATGTGCATAATTTTATATACCTCTAGCTTTCCCCCCACAGGCTCCCCAGTCCTGCTTTATTGCAGCATTTTTCTTCCTACCTCCCCCACAATTTTTAAAGATGCAGGTTTAAATGGACTTTGCATGATTAATCGCTGAATATTTCTTTGAATTGGGTGGCTGCCTTCCTTCCAAATTAACTTCCAGGAGGGTGTGCAGGCCCACCTTATCTTGGCAGGTGTCCTGGACGAAGCGCCAGCTGATTATGGGTTTCCCTTTCGGGCTGCATGTGTTCCTGCCGTATAATTAGCTGTGCTTTTTATTGCTCCCTCTGCATAATAGTTCACCGGTTTCACCTTCAAATCGGAATGCTAAACTCCCATTGTATTGATTTGCAACTTGCCTTGAAAGTAGGAGCGGTGGGATAAAAATAACGCAAGTTAAAAATAAAAAGGAACACCTGGTTTCATGGGACAAAAGGAGTGACAGTTGTACCCTTTGGGTTTGGGGGATGCGGGAGGCCCAAAATCACAGTAGTAGTAGTAGTAGTTGTTGTTGTTTGTACCCCACCCATCTGACTGGGTAGCCCCAGCCACTCTGGTCAATGTTATTTTTCTTCCTGGCACAAGTACTTCTGCAGCTTGGTGGTCGGCTGTCATCCTCAACAAGAGTCCTTCACTCTGCAACAATTTGTTGCAGGTACCACTTGGGCCGTCCACATTGTGAGAATGAAATGGCAGTGAAGAGACACCAAAGGGCACGATAACTAAGCTTATTCCGGGAATTTCCAAGCCGGCTATCCATTCTCACACTGCACCTCACCTCCCAAATACGGTAAGCCTTTTGCTAGCTGCCAAAGTTATAAAAGGGAGGGAGAGAGAGAGATGGAGAACAAAGTCTGTATTTTAACATGCCAACACAGGAACAGGATGCTGCAAACTGACCCTGTCAGATATCCTGTTAATTGCGTTCCCATTAATGGATTCAATGCTTCCCGATGACCGTTGCCGTGGCAGAGGAGAAAAACACAGAATAATAGAAATAAAATAATAAACGCAGTTGCGTGCACCGATGGCTGCAAAACAAGAGAATCGGACAATTCCATGGAGTTCCTTGGGAAGAGTGATTGATTGTTGTTAAAGCAGTTTCTGGAGGAAACTGTAGCTCTGTGAGAGGAACAGGGGTCTCCTAGCAGCTCTTAGCACCCTTGACAACCTAATTCCCAGGATTCTTCCCTGATGAGTTCTCCAAGGGCAGCCTTGATGAAGAGGAAGCTGATGGGCAGAACCAGCCCCTGAATTGGTTGTAAGGAAGGCGGCAGGAAGGGAGTGGCTGGCTGTGGCTGGTGGGGCAGTGCCCCATTCTCCCTAATGGACCAGCCTTCGTTATTCGGGGCAACAGAGAAGGGAGACAATGAGAAAGTGGGCAGCTTTGAGGCACTGACCAACTCCCAGCAGCCAGAGTTTACATACTGGGCCTTCCCAGCTACGTATTAAGGTGTCGATTGTAGGAGCGCCATTAGGTCAGTTAAAAGGTACAAAAGGAAACACGTTGAGGGCATAGCTGTCAACTTTCAGATTTGAAAATAAGGGATCAGCAGCCTCATCTGTCCCGGGGACAGTCTACAGGATATCTAACAATCCGGGATAGCGGCGGGAAACGGTGCTGGAATAAGGGAATTTCCCACAAAAAAAGGGAAGGTTGACAGCTATGGTTGAGGAATGAAATGTCCTCTTGCCTTTTGGAAATTGGTGGAAGGCAGGAGAAATGGACAATGTCTAGAGCTGGCAGAGTAGGAGAGCCTTTGGCTGCTAAAGTTAAACAACATGTAGCAGCTGGTAACTGGAGGGGGGAATTTGTTTGGACAACGGTATTTTGGAACACCAAAAAGCAGGCCCCACTCTTCAACTGTGCAGGAAATGGAGAGCTTTACCATTCGATCATGACAGAACTGGTAACAAGCTCTCCCTGATATGTTGGAAGTAAAGCGACAAGGCCTGCAATAAGCTACCTGAACCAGCAGGCAGAAAGGCAACCTTTTCTTCCCTTGCTGATTCCTTCTTAACTATCTGCAAGTTGGTTTTCTCTCTCAGGCTTTACTTCCTTCCTGCTGCTTCTCCAATGCGTGTTAGACCTTCTTATTGTGGCTCCATGACAGCCGCATGTGAGCTGGCACTCAGAATAGCCTTGTTTGCCAGGACTAATAAACCTCATGTTTCTATATTCTTTCCACCAGATTTCTACTTTGCAAGGGGTTGGACTAGATGACCCTTGGGGTCTCTTCCAACTCTAGGATTCTATGATTCTATCAGGCTATTTCTGTATGATAGGACACCTGCTAGAACAGCAATGGGGAGCCTCGCATGCAGCCTTCCAAGTCCTCTCAATCTGGCCCGTGGGACTCCCCTAGGCCACACACACCCCAGGCCACACTGCAACATTTTGTTGCAGATCCCACTTGTGCATCCTAAACCAGTTTAAAACTCTAGTGTAAACACACCCTGCAGGGTTGATATTCCATTTGGCTTCCCATCAATTAAAAAAAACCCACTCCTTGTGACTCTGTGGTGACTAGCCAAGCAAAGTATGATGGCGGCTCCAAAGGCTTTTAGAAATACTCGCCTTTTTGTCACACCGCAGTCGGCAGCTGAGGAGCCCAGACATGCACCCACTGACATAATTAAATGTGTATTTTTATCCCGAAGGTATCTAAACTTGAAATGAAGGGTTTTGGGGGTGGGGTTTTGTTTTGTTTTGTTGTTGAGGCAGGCACAGACACGTTTCACCTCAAGATAGCACGCTTGCGGTAACCTACAACATGTGGCAAAACACCACTTCCTGACATGAGGTTCGAAAAGGAAAAAAAGGAGCAAAGGAGAAGTTACCGCATGATGGCCAACCACCAAGTGGAAAGTGTGAGGGGAAAGGTGGGGTCCTTTGTCTCCGAGGCACACCCAGCCACCCCTGGAAGTGACCGCGGCCGTAAGGCCCTGCCGGCCACAAGGCTGGGGACTGTCATAAGTGAAGCGGACAAGCTCAAAATGAACTGCCTGGCCAGCAAACTGAGAGGAAGGTTGACCTTTTGTGATAAGAATTTTAAGGTCTTAGATATGTAATAAATGTACCAAGCAAACACATACATAAATATATAAACCACATGTCTGAAAACCCCACAGAAAAAAGGCTTGAACAAATTGACCTCAATTATTTCTCTGCAAGGTCAAAGTGGGAAACCTTCCCATTGTCTTTTTCCTTCACAAATCCTGTCTTAAGGGCACATTTAAGATATGAATAGGGTGTGAGCCTGTGACTTGGCTCAGGAACTAAGTATTTATCATTACAGAAGACTGGTTAGGCTCCCCCGGCAATCCAATCAAGTGACCATTAAACAGGTAACCTGTCAGATGAGATAAACAAGTCACTCAGATTTCTGCTGTAGACCGCCTTTTCTGTGATGTAGTATGATGTATCTGGGGGGTGGTCTTAGAGCTCCAGGGCAGGGAATTTAAAATGTCTATATAAGGCCTTGCACGCCATTGTTCTGGGTTCCTCCTCCCTCCTGCATGTGGTGAGTGAGGACCCTGTTGCAACAGATCAATAAAGATCAGGCTTACTAGCTGCTTTGCTTCTCAATATTCTCTGGTTGGCCTCTGTTATTTTCTCCTACCAATAGGGAACCCACGTAAGGACTCTATATGGGCTCTTGGATACCCCATAAGGGAAAAGGGCAGATTTTGTTTACAACACTTTACACCGGGTGCTAGCAACCAAACAAGCCTTGTCGAAGCAGATACCTGACCCATTTTACTGAAAGGAAAACTGAGAGGGCGAGAGGAGGAAGGGGAATGAGGTCACAAGGCAAAGCCCGTGGCAGAGGCAGGAATCCCTTTTGGAGATGTAAACAGTGAACAGTCCTGGGAAATGGACCTGCGCGGCCGGCCGGCCTGCAACATCTACCCCCTCCCTGCGAGGTGACAACCAGCATTCAATTATTAGAAACGGCACACCCCGTGGGATCAGGTGGGTGGCTGCTCACCATCTGGGTGTGACAGGATGAGGGTGATCCCAGGAATGCAGATGGACCAAGAAGACGAGAGGAGTGTGGGATGGTTGGCTGGCTCTCTCCTTCTGGAGGGAAATGGCCCGGCATGACTTTGATTGATCTCGCCAGGAATACATTAATTAGCCCTCTTCAACAGCAGGTTGCAAAACAGGAGCATTTCTGTTCCCAGCTGCGGAGGACTGTGGCGTCACAGCGCTGGCAACAGAAAGCTGCAATGTCTCCGGCACAAACAACCCCTTCCCACTCCTGGGTCCAGAAACAGGTGTGTGACTTGGAGGTTGCTGGAGGATGCTATATTTAGCCTCCCAAAATTAGGCAAGAGCAGCGCCCGGCACGCCAAACCCCAAATTGCATCTGACGAGCTTGGAGCTCAAAGGGCAAAACAGAGGCGACAAAAGGGCCGCAGCGAGGTTGCTTCAGGGCAAATCTTCCCTGTGCGGTGGGTTTTTGTCACACGCTAGCGAAGAGAAGGTCTGTCCAATTCAGCTGACAAAAGTTTCTGCTGGTATTTGTCTATGTCACTGCATACGATTAATAAATAGACTTTTGTCTCTCTCTTTTTAAGCTAGCAAAACTTCTACATGGAAGCTTAGAAGCAAAGCTGCGATACTTAGTTGATCAACGCAGCCCAGAATCGGCTGCAGAGCACCCACTGCTTCCTCTGCACATGATCTTACCTGCTCAGTGATGAAGGAGCTGGAAAAGGTGATGGCCGACCAGAAGAAAATGCCGCAGCTGAGAATAATTTTCCTGTTGAAACGGTCACCCAGGTAGCCGAATATTGGTGCTGCTACCATGAAGCTGCAGATGAAAACTGTAGGAGGAGAGAGAAGCAAAGAGATGGGTTGAAGAAGAAGCATTTCCCAGACTTGAGCAGGTGCTAACTTATGCTGCCCCCAAACCAAGCACCAGTCATCTCTCCTACTCCTGGGTGAATTGCCCGGCGTGCAATTCCTCACCTACAGCATCCTTTGCCCTCCCTACTTTGGGGACCAAACTCCCATTAGAGCAGGCAGGAGGTGTAGATGAATGACTGGCCTGAGAGCTTTAAAAGCAATTCCAGAAAGCTTTTTGCAATGGAGGATTTGCATAAAGTGAATAAAACTATGACAGACCAACAGTTGCCAAAAGATCTGCTTTATTTAGATATAGGGGTGAGATAATTTGCTCAATGACAAGGGGTGTCAGAAGACATCGCTTCCTGACCTAGCCTATATTCATTGCATGTTGTAGCTTTGTTTCTGTACTGCTGCAGTTCTTCTTCTGTCAAAAACCACATAATAGAATCAATTGAATAATTATTAAATTATAATAACACAACAAGATGGAAGAAGTAAAATATTGAGATCACACATGGGTGAAGGGGAGTGGGGGGGTATATGAGAATCTATAATATCATTTATAATATAATTTGTTAATTGCGTTGTATTTACATATAGCAAAGGGAAGCCTAGAGCAATTAGTTATATTTTAATTTAGGTAATCCATGTAATAGGCTTATGTTCGAAAATGAATATGGATTTTGAATTTGATGTTTGTAATTTTTTTGTTTTTGAAATAAAAAACAACAACCACATGATTAGTCTCAATGTCAATTATGCAAGTTGCGTAATGGGTTACACATGTTACGTTGTTTGGACATTATCCCACTCCATTCCTTTCAATGCAAAGGAAACACAATGCAAATGAGGGAGGGGAAACAGAATCGTGTATCACAGAATCGTAGAGCTGGAAGGACCCTGAGGATCATCTACCCCAAGGCCCTGCAATGCAGGAATATACAGATGTCCCATATGTGGATCAAACTTGCAACCTTGGCATCATCAGCACCATCCTCTAACCGACTGAGCTATCCAGGCCATTTGCAAACTGAAAGCAATAACAGGAAATACCAATTGTATTTGCTAGATTGATCTCTGTTGCAGACATGAAAAGCATAGGTGAGCACCCGCAAATCCCCATCCCTGATTCTGTTCTCATCAGAAGTATACTACATCCCTACCTGAGATACCTTTTTCAGAGTTGAGTATCTCCTGCTAGCACACACTGGAAAATTCCCTGCAAGATCTAGTAACCAACAGCATAGAATCCTGTGCTTGGGCTTTTCTTCTTTAGCCGACTCCATAAATACATAATGGAAGCTGGGCTGGTTCAGATCAAGGTTCCCTCTAGCCCAGCAGCCTGTTCCCCAAAATGCCCAACTACATGCTTCCAGTTACCCCACTGGTACTGAATGAGAACAGATTTCCCTTGCTGTCCAACCCCTCCTCCAAAGGGTATCCAAAAGTGCAAGTTACTTAAGCTGAGTGTTGCAGTATGGAGTGTTCCTGCTCAGGGTTTCAGCCAGCCAGTCAGCAGTGCCCAGCTACACAGTGCTCCATTCCGTTCCCTCCCCCCACCAGCTCCCCCACTCCACCCCAGTCAGTGTTGCTTGTATAGCTGCTGTACTGGTTTTTTTGGGGGGTGGGGTATATCTACAAACCTCTGCTGCTAACCCTGAGTTAGGCTGCTAACCCTGGTGGCGATGTTCTGCCTCCACTTTCAGAGGCAATATACTTCTGAATACCAGTCTCTGGAAACTGCAGGAAGGGAGAGTGGCTATCCCAGATAACCGACATAAGCTTGCAACCAAATTAATAGGAGTCGTCACCCAATTAAAGACATCTTAGCCAATTAATTTCATGGCCCTGATTAAATCTGCATTACCTTGCATATGAGAAAATCCAACCGCCTGCAAAGGAAGGAGGAGCCCATTTTGTTCACTTATGCAGAGCAGCCTCAATTATATTAGAAAACCTGTTCCCATGGGATATAGGAAGCTGCCTCCTACAAAGTCAGACCACAGGTCTCCAGAGTTTCAGGCAACAGGCATTTCGAACCCTATCTAGAGACATCAGAGGCTGGAACTGGGACCTTCTGCTTGCAAAGACGATGCTCTAACCACTAGGCTGTGCTATATAGGCATTGCTAAGTTGCCACTAGAGATGGCAACTTTGGAACAATTAATTTTATAATGAATGATTTTAGAGTGTTGTTTATGCTGTACTTTTGTACTGTTTTATTGTTGTTAGCCGCCCTGAGCCCGGCTTCGGCTGGGGAGGGCGGGATATAAATAAAATTTATTATTATTATTATTATTATGGAGAGACCTGCCACTTTCAGGTTTCCCCAATTCCCCACATTCCTGCAGCAATTTGTAAAAAAAACAACAACCCACCAACAACTTCTCTTGAAAAATCCTCATGAAAATTATTCCACATTTTATGGCCAATTTCTCCCAATAGACACATTTTTCTATGCAGTTTTAATTAATGCAGACATTTTCTTGCCAGCTACTTCTCCAAATAGCATGCATCTTTGTATACTTTTTAATTGATTTATTCAGTTTTAGGCACACTTTTACCTAATGTGTGCATTTTTATAAGCGCTGGTTGGAGAACCACATGCAAAATTCGGATATGCATGAATGTCAAAGGACAGCTGTGTTTTGGTTCTCATGCTGTTTCATAAAGTGCAAACTTGACACGACTCATTTTAAAATGCAAACTGAATTAAATTCCTCCCCGATCCCTAGCTGATATTTGCAATTTGTTACACATACTTGTGTTAAAAGTAAGTTCGATGTGCTCCACAATTTACCAGCAGTTCTTTAGTCCATCAGAATGTGAACTAGATTGAAATCTCAAACATGGGTTTCCGGTCATGTCACGAGTCAATGGCGGTTGCTCCCTGTAGCCCCTCCATGGGCTGCGAGGAGGTCCAGGCAGAGGAAAGCCAGGATTTATGAGGCACAAATCCTGGCAACGCTCCCCAGTGGGGTCTGGGGAGCTCACTGCATCCTGATGTGCTGCTCAAGCCTGTGTCTGCCAAGTTGAAATGAAAGGCAGAGCGGGTGCGACCTGGGAGTGTATCCCTGCCATGGAAGAGCCTCTGCCTCCGGCATGATTTATGGCTGGTTCCTCCATAATTTGGACAATTGGCATTAATCAAGAGGCACTCCTGGACCTACATATGCTAATGGACTGCAATCAGTCAGCTGCCGAAAGGACTGGGCTTGATTCTTTGAAGGTGTTTGAATGTTTTCTTTGAAGCTTAAGAATCCTGACAATAGCCAGGAAAGGATGGAGGAGAACAAGGTGTTTTGTGCTTCTTGTGGTTTCCAAATGGTCTCTTTTTTTCATTGTCCTCCCTGCATAATGAAAGAGTCGTGTAGCCGCTGCTACAGTGTTACCTCGGGTTAAGTACTTAATTCATTCCGGAGGTCTGTTCTTAACCTGAAGCACCACTTTAGCTAATGGGGCCTCCCGCTGCTGCCGCGCCACCGGAGCACGATTTCTGTTCTCATCCTGAAGCAAAGTTCTTAACCTGAAGCACTATTTCTGGGTTAGCGGAATCTGTAACCTGAAGCGTATGTAACCCGAAGTACCACTGTATGTTACTCTGTTTGTTACATCAAAAGCCCCCCCCTTTTCGAAGTAAGCTCAACAAGGAATTTAACAAGGTTTTACTATATGCCCTCCCCCCTTGACCGAGGATGAATGGACTTTGTTTAAAATTATTCCTGGACTGCTGTTGGAGAAATGCAGTGGGAGGGGGGGGAGAGAATGAACTGCTGCTGAACAGATGTGGTAAAGAGGCTGAATTTGAGGGAAAGCTCTTGCTTTTAACTGTGTGCTGAGGAAGAACTCCAGAGTGGAATTTTAATGGCGGAGTTTGGATATGCATTCTGTGAGTTATTTATGGCTGCAGCTCCTACGCTCGTCTGTAAACAGTGGAAGGAACGGACTGTGACCTTGTGCCATCCAGATAAACACTGCAAAGAACTGAACAATGCTCCAGCACACCCGGTCTGGAACAACAATGTATATGAAGGATTACACACGTGAAACGGATTATTTATTTATAAGATGTAACAGAGGTGGCTGCTTGTAAGGTGGAATAAGCGGCCAGCTAGAAGAGTGGTTAAACAGCAAGTGAAGGATGTCAGCTGGACTCTAAATAAGAAATGATGAGACTATGAGAGAAAATAGTGGTGGTCATATTTGGAACAGGAAAGCTGATTTTAAGAAATGGTATTAAATTAAATTTGGTTTGATTTGTAATAATTTGGAAAAATAATTTTTAAAAATTGTGTAATGAAATCTCAAGCATGCTTACAGTCCTATCAAACACAGTGAAAATGACTTCCAAGTAAGCATAGGACTGTGCTGATAATAAATGAGATGAACTGGTAAACCTATAGTGGAATCCTATAGATGCGCATTAAGAAATAAGTCTCACTGATCTGCAGAGACTTTGACATACTCCCAAAGTAAGTGAGTGCAGGATTGCAACCATTAGTGTCACAGCCTTACAAAATCACTGTCTTGGATTTTTTTGCGATGGAAGTTGGGAGTGTTATTAAACACACGACAGGACACAATCTTCCATGCACACACTTAATTATTACTCTAAGATGTTGGAGAAGCTGTTAATAATTCGAATAAAAATGAACAGCAAACTAACTTGCTCATCAGGAAACAGCAACCCATCAGGAAATGTGAGATCTGAGCAGCATACAGATCTGCATACATTTTCTCCCATTACAAATAATTTGTTGGCTAAAAGCAGATGTCACCCTGCGTTGTGCAATGTGCCTTGCTAATATTTTCCATTTTCCCTCCTTGTATTAGCAAGTTACATTTAAAAGCCAACAATTAGAAGACTGATGCTGATGTGCAACATGACCGGAGAGGGGAAGAGATGCATAGAGGCGGACAAAGGAATAAATTCATTGCCAAGAACAAAGAGATGACAGAGCCCAGATGGCACAATAACGAGGCCAAGCCTGTCACAGCTATACATTTACAGGAGCCTCAAATTACGTGAGACATCCAAACACTGATTGACTTGTAAACAAATTCAGAAAACGACTCTTAGCCTATCAGACAGATTGCTTGCCAGCGAGTCTTGTTAGGCACAAATCAATTCCTGCGACGCGTTTGCATGTGATGGATGGGGCTTCCGAGCTCCGGCGACAGGTCTTTGTCCACCTAGCTTAACCTCCAGCACAACTGAATGCAGGTGAGTGCATACCAAGGCTAGTCAACAGGCAGACACAGGGCCAAAACCCAGGGATGGGGAACCTGTGGCCACGCAGGTGTGGTTGAAGGACAACTCCTGGCCGTTGGCCATGTTGGTTCAGGGGATGCTGGGGTTGCAGGCCTGCCCGACAACATCTAAGGAACCCTCTGATGTAGAGGAAGGAATAGATGCAGGATGCAGGGGACAGAAGTTGGAAAGAAAGCCCATCTGAAGGGGTGGGCAGGCCTTGGACCTGGCGCTCCCACAAGGCTGGGTTGAAATGGACCTCAGCAAAGTGGGATCTGGTGGAACCCCATGTGGTTTCTGGAGGTCTTTCAACGATGGCACCGGCAGCTCCAGACAGTGGCCATTTCCACAATGCCCAAGAACAGTGGTTCTCAATCTGTGGGTCCCCAGATGTTGTTGGATTACAACTCCCATCATCCCTGACCACTGGTCATGCTGGCTAGGAATGATGGGAGTTGTAGTCCAACAACATCTGGGAACCCACAGGTTGAGAAACACTGCCCTAGAAGTTGAACCATCTTCCATGGTGTCATGGAAAACCAAGATGTTGGCCACCTGGAGCCTGATGGAGTGGGGGGTTTGGTGTCTGATCTTAAAGGATGCTTGGGGGAGGCAGCAGAGGGGGATCCTGCCAGGGTACAGCCCCCCCCAGAGTCCTGCCTCCATTGAAGTTGCTAACTGGGAAGACATAGCTGCTTACGGAGGATACACCACGAGCCTATGGGGAACCTCCAGCCCACAAAGGGAGCTACAGTTTCCAGAATGGTTCAACAATCAATCCCTCTTCATGGGGAACTTTGAGACTTCTAAGCTCTGGGAGGGGAAAAGAGCTCTCCTGACAAATCTCAGCAACTTAAACAAACTACAATTCGCAGGATTGTGTGTTGGGGGGTGGGGGAAGCCTTGACTGTTCAAAGCAGCACCACAGCACTTTAAATGCATGGCGTGAAGGGTAGTCTTGGTTTGGGCAGCCATTTTGTAGACTAGGAAGGAGGAGCAGAAAAGGACCGCTTTCAGAGGCGAGTCACACCAAAGCCGTTTAAAATGGCGCCGGTGAAGCTACCAAGTCCCAGTCCGCAGACACCGCTGAGGGCGTTCTGGCAAATGCAAAACTGCCGGCTGAAAGGGGAAAGTAAACACAAAGAAACAGAGCTTCTATCAGGTTTCTTTGAAAACTAATAAAATTAAAAATATATTTTAAAAAAGAAAAGATATTTTTTAAAAAAAAGGAGATAAACATGCTTTTTCAGCGAAAGAACAGAAATTAGCTTTCCGTAATGCCGCTGAACGAAAACTAATGTCAATTTCTGCATGACATGGTTGCTGAGCATTTATGGCAGATCGAGCGCTTCTGCTTCGCATCCCATGTTTCATTCTACCTTGCATTCTGTGGATCTATAATTTCATTAAAATGTTGCTTTCGGTGGGAGTGGGGGAAACAAGAGGCGAAAAAAGAAACAGAACATACGCCCTTTCCATTTAAGTTCCTTCCTAAGGGAGGCGGATTTGGGGTGCTATTTTGGAACTACAACACACACACACACACACACACACACTGGAAAAAATGCATTTGTTTCGCTATAATTGTGCTTTAAAAAAAAAAAATCAGAGGAAAGGCTGAATTAACTAGACAGGATGGGCAGTTCAGTATCTATTTCTGCCTTCAGTTGCCTGACCCACCCTGATACAGGTGGGCCGTTGTTTCTCTCAAATATGTCCCAGTTCTTTTTTGGTATGTGGTTGGATTCTTCGCTCTCTCTCTCTCTCTCTCAATTAAGTGCAGAGGGAAAAAGCAGTTCATCCTCTCCGGGCTCCATAGCTTCCTTCACGCACTGCTACCCATGAGTGTCCTGCTCAGTTATTCCGACTCGGGAGAAGCCATTCAACCGACAACTTGGCTCTCTGACAGGAAATGTGAGGTGCTGCTGATTTTCTTGATTTGAAGAAATAAAATAAAATAAAACCAACACAGGGGATAAGCAGGACGCACAAATTTGATTTATTTTCAAATACAAAACCTGGGTGTTGTAGGAGATTAATATCATTAAACGTGCTGTGGTGTTTTGAAAGTTTCTCCGCAATGTCAGAATAAGGAGATTAACTGAGGGAAACCGAAAGCCCCGAAATGGGCTTTGGATTTCAAGATATCCTCCTCACAACCAGAGACACGGGAGAAATTTGGTTCAGTTTGGATTTACTTGCTTAAAATTCACCCTTCCTGGAAAAATAATGAGACACAACCATCGTTCGAAGTGTGCGTTTCTCAGAGGTTAGGGCTGCAGTTCCCTAGCCAAATGAAAATGGATGTTTTTGTAGAAATAACTTGTGAAATGCATTGTGCTAGGGGAGAGTGCTTGCAAAAATGTGGAAATCGGGCAAAATTTGCATTCCCTGTCAGAGGCAGCAATGTTTCTGAATATCAGTTGCTGGAAAACTCAGGAGAGGAGAGGCCTTATGCCCAGGTCCTGCTTGCAGGGCAGGGTAATGCAAAAATCGACCTACAATAAACTTTTGTTTTGCAGAATGAAACCAGTTTCTCAAGAAGAGCTTTTTGGGGTCAGAAGACATGCAACCGATCTAGGTTGTGCGCGGTGTCCGTAGAAAAAAACAAGTATTCGGTCTCCACTGATTCTAGAACAAAATGTTGTGTGTACACAGGCTACCAAGCGAGCTTCATGGCTGAGCCGGGATTTGAACCTTTGTCTCCCAGGTCCTGGCCCAACTCTCTAACCATCATGCTACCCTGGTACATCATGCTACACTTCCACCCCAAGTACTTCCAGTTTAAAAGGGATCAACGTTAGCTAGGCTGGGAAGAGACTCTCTGCTTGGGGCACCGTTTCCCAAACTTGGGTCTCCAGCTGTTTTTGGACTACAGATCCCATCATCCCTGATCACTGGTCCTGCTAGCTGGGGGAGATGGGTTTTGTAGTCCAAAAACAGCTGGTAGTCACTATCCTCCATTAATTTGTCTAATTCTCACTGCCCTGGGTTACTCAGACCATGCCAATGCCCCCCTCTTTTATTTCTCAGCAGTTTCCATTTGGCTCCATTTTGACCAGCCCTCACCACCCAAGTCTGGCATCAGAAGGAGAGATGCCCCAGTTTTCCAGTCAAGTTAAGCAGGGAGAATAGGCTGCATGCCGCAGCGTTTAGGTTGTGTTGTGCCACACATGAGATTATGCTGTTTGCTGATTCTTCTATTCCCCCCCATGAAAGTTCATGCGGCAACAACAAAAATTCCTGCATTCAGCAACCCGGGTTTCCCAAGGTCTTAAAAAAATTTAAAGAAGAACGAAGTCCGCTAATTACCTTTAAGGAACAAGAAAGAAGCATGCAAATTAATATTTTTAGCCAGAAACACCGGCCTGTACAGGACAGATATGGCAGCTGAAAAATTTGAGTACTTGAGAATCACATGTGAAGGGCTTGCACCCCCCCCCCCAATGTTAAGATCTCCCCCTCCCCCATTTAACAGTAATATGGGCTTCCATGTCTCTCACTCATGGCAAGGAGCATACACGCCAACTTCTGGGGCCGAGGCAATTTTGGGGACCCCAATGTTTTTTTTGAGGGGGTTGTACCCCCTCAATATTCAGAGGGCATTTGGCTCCACCCCCTGGCTCCTTGTGATGTCGCATGTGTGACGTCAGGCTGTCGCATTGGGCCCCCTCAAACAACTTGTGAAGATGACGCTTCTGGCAAGGAGGCAGTTGAGCGAGTCCCGGAAGCCTGCAGCCATCAGCTTGAACTGCAGAACTAGGCTAGAGGCTGCAGTTATATAGGGCAAGGAGGGATCTTATTGGCTCCTCAGGTCACCTGAGCTGCTGGGCCTGAAAGCTGCAGTGCCTTTTCTGGCCACACGGAGAGGTGGCACTGTAGTAGCAAAACAGCGCAGGGGCAGGAAACCATCAAATGATGTCACACATTTGGCCCCTGGGGTCCCTGTCGCCTTTGCCCCTAGTTTGAGCTTCTCCCATCCCAACACACCTCTTCCTTCGTTGCAAAACTCCGCAGGAATAGCTATTCAAAGGCCCCAAACCTTCAACTTCAAATTTTTAGAAGCCATAATCATGCTCACATTTCTAAGCCCCAGCCTTGACCGCAGCTGAAAACAGAACTATAGATGGAAATGGAGAATGAAGACAAATTTGCAGAGGAGGCGAGCAATTACCTTGAACTGTTTATACACCATTCTTTCCCTCACTTGGTTTTGTTTTTAGGTTTTGTCTTGTTTATGCTATGTTTGATTTGCTCCTTTCTATCCTTTTATAGAGAGGATTCAGTCAACCCCTAGTAGCGCATATTTAGAAATCTACGGGGCAGAGAAATTTGTCGCCTTCTAGCCGTTCTGGGGCTCCAGCTCTCGTCAGCTCCGGCCGGTATGGCCAAGGGTCAGGGATGATGGGAACTGGAGTCCACTAACCCACTGAGAGCACCCAATCCCTTTCCATTTGCTCCAACCATGGAGTGCCTTGCTGAGAACTATTCTGCCTTTAATAGGGCATCACAATCAGGAACAGCCTGAGACACTTCGTGGTCTGAGGCAAAGAATAAACTGACACCCCCACACACACACTTGAAGGCAACTGATAATTAAATTTTAGTTCAGCACTGTTGATGGGGCCACAGAGAAGGCCAAGTGGGTGCCAGTCCATTAGGAAAACTAAAGCACCAAGCTCAGGCTAATCCTTCGCTAGTCCTCACCTGCCTGCCTCCTTGTTTAACAAGCACAGCAAGGGGGGGCACTGACTGTTGACACCCTCTTTCTCCTCCTCTCCAGCCTTAGTGTTGCCCACATGGAGAAGGATGAGGACAAAACCAGGCCTAGCTGCCCCTGCCTATCGTTTGCCTCTGGCTTCACCCCCAGTTGGCCTCCCTGCCTTCTGACTTATCAGTCGCAATAAGCACCGGCCACCACGGGCAGCACACAGATCTCTCCTCCAGGGCCACCCCCCAAGGGTGGATCAATTATGAAACTCATGAAGCTTAAGCTTCAGGGCCCCCAGAAGCAACTTTAGTCCACACTGCTTTAGAAAAAATGGGTCTAGTAGACCCGATTTCATCATTCTGTGGCACATCATGCTTGTATAGAACATTTCCCTAATTTCCATCCCCCTGCATAACTCCAAAACTATAGGTAAAGGTAAAGGGACCCCTGACCATTAGGTCCAGTCGCGGACGACTCTGGGGTTGCAGCGCTCATCTCGCTTTATTGGCCGAGGGAGCCGGCGTACAGCTTCCGGGTCATGTGGCCAGCAAGACTAAGCCGCTTCTGGCGAACCAGAGCAGCGCACGGAAGCGCCGTTTACCTTCCCGCCGGAGCGGTCCCTATTTATCTACTTGCACTTTGACGTGCTTTCGAACTGCTAGGTTGGCAGGAGCTCAAAAACTATAAGGCATAGGGAATTTTCGCTCACTTTATTGACTTTGGCATGTGTGGTAATGCAGGACAGCAATTTTAATCAAAATCTGAAATGCAGTCGTTAAAAAAATGCAGCCATCTGTTGTGGAGCAACCCCACTGAAGATGATAACAGTGGTTACCCAGACCTCATTGTTGTTTGTGAAGGGGCCCCCATAACAGTTCAAGCTTCAGCCCCGCCCCCAAATGTAGATCCAGTACTGCCACCACTCTTTGCATCTGCCGCCCGAGGCAAGTGCCTTACTCTGCCTAATAGTAGAGCCGGCGCTGCTGACAAAGAAAGGTGCCAACAGTCAACCTGGTTGGGCAGCGGTGCTCCCTAACCCCGAAAAGGCAGGGCAGATGGGCTGTGGTTTCTCAGCACAGAGGTAAAATGGTATCCCGTCTGCCCTGTGGCTTCCAGGCAACCCAGAGAAATTGAACCATGGGTTATTCCAATGGAAAGGGGAACCAAGTCACACCACCAGCTTCCTAAAACCAGATCAAAAAACCACACCAGTGGCTTGGGAGAGCATTGTTGCTTTGATGTTGCTCTTGTGTAAAATTCCAGACCTTTCCCCCCAAAATGCACATTTGAACATGCACCGGCAGAGCAAAGCAGGAGAGAGCTGAAATGTCACCATTCTCCGCTCCACGCAGGGAATGCGTGAGTATCGGTTAAAATGCAGGCGCAGAGCTGAAAACCATTCCTGCCTTTTACTTCTTTCCTGTGCCAAGGTTAATTCAAACATCCCTGAAAACATCTGAAGACGCACAGCAAAGTGAGGCTGGCAGTAGCCTCTGCCGATCCTCATTCTTTAAGAGTCAGAGAGACATTTGTCAAATTATATTGGAATTCAAGAAGGGGGGGGGGAGTGCACTTGCAGAGGGAAGTTGCTCAAGGAATGCTAAAATAACCAGCCTTGGTTTACAGTCCTTGCTCTTCGCTGGGCCTTGTGTTTCTGAATTCGGCCCCATCTGGGCTCTTGGGCTTTATGCAAACCTCTCTCTTCAGGGTCACCACCAACAACATATGAACATAAGATGAGGCTGCTGGATGAAGCCAATGGCTCATGTAGTCTAGCATCCTGTTCCCACAGTGGCCAACTTTAGCCTATCCAAGTTTATGCCATAGTGTGTTAAGTCTAATGGTTGCTTTTGCTCAGACAGCAAAATATACCAAAAGCCACAAATTGGTGCAAACCAAGGTTTAGTGTTACATCCAAACTAAGAAGCTCTGGTTTGGGGACAACCTGCTGAGGATACTCAGGATATGGGATGAGGATGCACAAATCAATGATTCACGTGCACATTTTTACCACATTGTGGTTTGGGAACCAGACTCATTTAGTGAAAACCATGGTTTGGTGCGAAACCTGAACCAACTGCAAACACCATCTTCCTTGCTCTACAGGAACAAACTACTAATTTTGGTACTCTGGGGTGGGAGAGCAGAGGGAGGACAGAGATACAGTCAGGTTCTAGGTTTTATATGAATAATATCCACCGTGCAACAAGGAACGGAATTAGTTAATAAGGTCCCTGATGCACACACGCCTTCGCTGCGTTGGATGCAACCAAGAGATGCGGCTTCTTTCTAGTCGGGCTTGGAAAAAGCCAAGGCCGTCTGTCTGCAATATGTGCTGCGTGCAGCAGCTTCACCAAACGCTGCCTTTACAAAAGAGCACCATCTGGCCACGTGTTTTGCGAGCCAGGATTGGCTGGCAGAAGATTCAGAGAGCTTTGCAGCCGGGGTGGGAAACCCATTTGGCTCCAGATCTACATTGGAAGGTGGGCGGGACAACAGACCAGTCGACCACGTGGCGCCATCACAATGTGCCATGATTGGCAGGTGGGACTCAGGGACGCAAGAGAATAGGGCCGCCAATGAGGCTACTTTCTCTTCTCCCCGAAGCTAGGTAGCAGGAGAGAAAGAGGCCTGCGTTTTGCAAGTGTTTAGGGGAGGACAGGCTTACCACTCAACTGGAACTGAACTCTCTAAGCCCCAGAAGAAAAAACAAAATGGCACAGAGATTCTACCTGAGCTAGAGCAGCCAGCACCCCTCCAGATGTTGGACTACAACTCCCACCAGCTCCATCCAGTGGGGAACATCTGGAGGGCATGTAGTTGGCAATGGCTGATCTACAATCTCAGGGCTTGGCCTTGGCATTCTGAACTCCTTCTCCTTCTCTCCCTCCATGCAGTAACTCTCAGCTCAGCTCAGACTGGCTCCCAACACAGTGCAGCTTGGAACTGCTGCTACTACATTACTTTTGTTTTGTTTTGTCCTCTATTTAACACTGTAGAGCAGTGTTCTTCCATCTTGGATCTCCATTGTTGCTGGACGATGACTCCCATAATCCCTGGCTACACCAAACGTTAAGAACATAAGCAGAGCTTGCTGGATCAAGCCAATAGCCCTTCTGGGCAGGACCCTGTTATCATAGAGACCAATCATATGCCTGCAGAAAGCCTCCAAACAGGATATACTGTACCCTCCTGCAGTTTCCAGCAGCTGGTATTCAGAAGCATTCCTGCTTCTAACATTGGAAGCAGAGAATAGCAATCATGGCTAGTAGCCATTGACAGGCTTATCCATGAATTGGCCCAACCCTCTTTTGAAGCCCTCCAAGTTGCTGGCTATCACTGCCTCATGTGGACTTGAGTTCCATAGTTTAACTAGGCACTGTGTGAAGAAGGGCTTTCTTTTATCTCTCCTGAACCTTTAACATTCAGCTTCATTTGAAGTCTACAAGTTCTGGTGTTAGGAGACAGAGAGAAGAAGGTTTTTCAGTCTACTTTCTTCACGTCATGCATAATTTTGTAAGCTTCTACTGTGTCATCTCTTGCCTTTTCTCTAAATTCAAAATTCCCAAATGCTGGAACCGTTTGATGTACAGCATCAAAACTGTCTTGTTTTGTGACCCCTCTTAGAACCTTCCTGTGATGGGCTAAATATTCCGAAACCCTCTCAAAGCACCCACCCCTAATTTTATAATCTGGTTGGGGATTATTGGGGTTGCAGTCCTACAGTGTTGGAGAACCCAAGATTGAATCATTCATTTATTAAATTTATTAGCCACTCTTCTTTCTGTGGCAACTCAAAGTGGCTTACAAAAAAACCCCACAACACCCACATACATTAAAACTAGGGGGGAAATGCCTTAAAGCACCCCACCCATTCTAATACGCCACAGATAGTTAAAAGTCAAAGACCTGGTTAAAAAAGGAATGTTCTTGCCTGGCACCTGAAGATATGTAATGATGGTGCTCTCCCTGGGGAGAGGATTCCCACCAACGGGAAACCACCAGTGAAAAGCCATCAGGATGATCTGCTTATGGTAATACAGTGGTACCTCGGGTTAAATACTTAATTCGTTCCGGAGGTCCGTTCTTAACCTGAAACTGTTCTTAACCTGAAGCACCACTTTAGCTAATGGGGCCTCCCACTGCAGCCGCGCCGCCAGAGCACGATTTCTGTTCTCATCCTGAAGCAAAGTTCTTAACCCGAGGTACTATTTCTGGGTTAGCGGAGTCTGTAACCTGAAGTGTATGTAACCTGAAGCATATGTAACCCGAGGTACCACTGTAAAGTGATGGCGATTATTATGACCGTCATCTGTTTCCTAAGGCTCAGCATTGCCTTAGGCTCAGTTCAGCTCCCCAAAGCTACACAAAACAGGAGACGTTGTCTGCTTTACCTGGGATACTGAGATGCTCTTTGCCAATGGGGGGGAAAAAAAGATGCTACAAGCATCTATGTCATTCCTCACACCCATCACCTGCTTTGCTCTGTTTTGCTTGGACGCTGAAGGCCAAGCTGCAGCTGAGCTGAGTCAAAGCAGGGTGCAAGGATGTAAAAACAGGCGTTTGCCAGCCAGCTGCGATTTAAAACCAAGCCAGCGCTCACTCGCAAGGGCACTGCGACCTTGGATTAAGAAGCCGCACAGAAGAGGAGGGAAAACACGCTCAACAGTTCTCTTACCTGTCTGCAGCAAGCCGGCTCCGCTGTCCTTGACTCCAAAATGTTGCTGAATGTCTAGCAAAACACCTGCAGGGCAGAGAATAACATCGGATGAATGAAGTTGGATTCTGAATACCTGTGAAAAGCAGCAATCCTCAAGGCATGTTCAAGAGAACCTGCTGTCCCCCTTTACTAAAGACAGGCCTGATTATTATTTTTTTGGAAGGAGGTGGCATCATCAAATATCAGCTTCCCAAATCCAAATGTTAGCACTGTTGTTTTTTAAAAGTAAAATTATAAATCAACACAGTAAGCTGCAGCTAAGCAGTCATTTCTTCAGACTAGATAAGGGAAGGAGGGAGGGAGATGGGACTGCAGGACCTCTTCATTCACTTTGCTGGAAGATCAGGAATAAATACTGTATTTTCCGGCGTATAAAACAACTGGGCGTATAAGACGACCCCCCCAACTTTTCCAGTTAAAATATAGAGTTTGGGATATACTCGCCGTATACGACTACCCCTCTTCCAATGCACACCAAATAAAAATTAAAAAAACCAGTCTCCAGTCTGGCTCGGAAATCCGCTCCACTTCCCAGTGGCCGGGGGCTTCTGGAGCCAATTTTCAAGCATATTTCTGCTTCATCTAGAGAGCTTGGTGTCCTCTGATTCAATTTGCTGTCGTTTTATCCTTTGGTGGGGAGACGACCTCCGACTTTTGAGAAGATTTTCCTGGGTTAAAAAGTAGTCATATGCCAGAAAATACAGTATTTCCATTCCAGCTAGTTAGTAGGAGAGACAGTGTGGTGTAATGGTTAGAGTGTCAGACTAGGACCTAGGAGACCAGGGTTCAAATCCCCCCACTTGGCCATGAAGCTCACTGGGTGGTCTTGGACCAGTCACTGCCTCTCAGACTAACCTACCTCAAAGGGTTGTTGTGTGGATAAAATGGGAGGGAATGTAAACCATTTCCAGCCTAGCGAAGAGGCAAGACACCTACCAAAGGACAAACGGCCACAAAGTATACAAGGTCTAGCTTTCCCGCAGCACATTTGCAATTACATTAATCAGATTAACCAACATAAGTGTCAGTTGATTAATCGGTCGGGGCCCAACAAAGTTGATTGACAAGTTCCGAAAGGGCAAAAAGGAGGAACTTATTTCACAAGAAATCCAAGGCTCTTTTATCAGAAGTGCCTAGTAACACCTAGGCTTAGCTGCCAGCTTCAACATCTTTTTTATTCTTAGTGCTCTCAGATTTCGGGTCGTTCCCCCCGCCCCAAAAAATGTCCTTTGCTACTGCTTTTAGAAAACGAGCTTTGGTTGCACTTTTAGTATTAAATGGTTTTATCATTGTGCCGTTGGCTATGCCGCTCTGCAAACTTTTAGCAGGAGAGCAGGATATTATGCTGATTCTTTATTGCTGTTGACGGGAGTTGTAGCCCCAAACATCTGGAGAGCACCAGGTTGGCAAAGTCTGGCTTTAGGCATGCTTTTTTTAAAATAAAGAAGAGAAAGAAGAAGAAGAAGAAAAACCTTACTCCTCCATGCAATGCTTAAATCAGCCTTTGCTACCACAGGAGGGATCCGCACCACATTGTCCCAATTCCAGCGTGAATACTCGGGAAAGTAATCTCCCGGGTCAGCCAAGATCTGCTGTGCTAATTGGAGCCAATTTCCTATTTCACACACAAGCCCATGTGGGACGTCCACTGGGCCCTGAGAGTGTTTTTCTACAGTTTCGGAAGAATTAAATTGGAGAGGCAGCCGGGGAGACCACATTGATGATGCAAGGGGCACCCGAGGGAAGGAGAGCCTCCTTACTTCCATGCATGACTTTCTGCCCTGAGACCTCCTTTGGGGGGAGTTGCTGCAATTGCCAGGTTTCCTCGACTGCATTTCAACAGACCCTTTTCTCCCTTCGTCTTCTCCAAACTCTCTCTCGCCCCTTAAATGCCCGCAAGTCCTTTTTTCAAGGAGGTGCACTGACAAACTGCCACATATCCCAGGGTGGTGAGGGGTCTGTAAACCGAGTCCCCACAAGGAACAATTAGGTACTTAGAAAACTGCTTTATCCCACATCTGGCCTTTGGTCCCATCTAGTTCAATATTGTCAACACTGACAGGCAGAGACTCTGTGGGGTTTCAGGCAGAGGTCTCTCTCCCAGCCCTGCCTGGAGGAGGAGGAGGAGGAGGAGAAGAAGAAGAAGAAGAGTAGTAGTTTGGATTTGATATCCCGCTTTATCACTACCCTAAGGAATCTCAAAGTGGCTAACATTCTCCTTTCCCTTCCTCCCCCACAACAAACACTCTGTGAGGTGAGTGGGGCTGAGAGACTTCAGAGAAGTGTGACTAGCCCAAGGTCACCCAGCAGCTGCATGTGGAGGAGTGGAGACTCGGACCCGGTTCACCAGGTTACGAGACTACCGCTCTTAACCACTACACCACACTGGCCCAGTGAGAGATCACTGGGCATTGAACCAGCGGCCTTCTGTATCCCAAGCAGCTGCTCCACTAGGGTCTATGGACGCCTCAGAGAAGCAGCTCTAGCCTGGGAACAGTGTGCTGGGCCTTGGGGTTAAGGACAGGTTACGGAGAGACATGGTAGCAGTCTTCAAATATCTGAAGGGCTGCTGTCATGGACTGGCTGGACATAGAGAATTGGTGGGAGGAACCAGCCGGGGAACCCCCAAGGGAAGAAGGCCCGGAGCCCCGGGATTGGTGGTGGGACGGCAATGAGAGGGAGAAGACTAGGAAGAAGTGCTGGAAGATGAAGAGGCAACAGGGTTTAGTGAGTGGGGAGAGTCTGTGGCAGAGAGCAGTTCAGAAGCAGAAGTGGAAGCAGGAGAGGAGGGAGACCAAGAGGCAGAGAGGAATCAGGCTGGTGAAGAAGCCAGAGTATCTCCCCCTCCTGCTACAACAAGCTCCCCTCCCTGCTGGTCTCCCAGAACCAGAAGAGGTATGAAGAGGGAGGCGCAGAGACAGGCATGCCAGCAGTCTCAGATTGCTTAGGAAGGAACCGGTAGAAGAGGAGGTTTAGGCAGCTGTGGGAAGATGGGGACCTTCAGTCCCCACAACTGTTTCGTAGGGACAAGATCTATTGGGAAGAGTTGCTGTACTCATTAGGCCTGGCACTACTCAGCAGCCCTAATTTCTTCTACTAAGGAGTTAACTTGATTATTGCTGACCCTTTCCTGACACCCGCTCCTGCCAGGTGATTCTGGAGAACGACAGGTTAAGGAAAGACATGCTAGCAGCCTTTAAATATCTGAAGGGCTGCCGTGAGGGAGATGAAGAGACTTGTTCTCCATCGTACCAGAGGACTGTAATCAGTGATTGGAAATGAGAGAGAAATCAATTCTGGCTAAGCATTAAGAGACACTTCTCAACAGTGAGAGCAGCTTTACAGTGGGCTCTCTTTCACTGGAGACATTTAACAGAGGCTGGATTGACATCTGTTAAGGATGCTGTGGTTGCATCCTGCATTGCACAGGGGTGAGACTAGAAGACCTCTGAGGTCCCTCCAACTCCATGGGATGTATCCTATTCACATAGCTGTCAAGCGTCCCTTATTTGGAGGGATAGTCCCTTATCCCAGCGCCATGTCCCGCTGCTGTCCCTTATTGATGATGTCCCTTAAATTTCCTGGGTTTCAAAGGAAGCAGCTCCTCTCCCTCCCTCCTTGCTGGCCAGGGAGGAGGGAGGCTCCAACTGTGTTGCTTGGCTGCCCGGCCCGCCCCCCTCCGGCCTCCTCTCACCAGCCTCGGCCCCCGGGAACCCCTCCCCGCTGGGACTGGTGGGAGCCTCGGGCCCTTCCGCCACCATCCTCCTCGCGGCCGCCAAACTGAGCGTCTCTGCCTGGGGCCTCCCCTCTGTCCATCACCGCCGCTCCCGCTCCCGCTAGGCTGTACTACGCTATGCCGCCAAAGGACCCGAATGAGATGGACAGCCTGGCATGGTCGATGAATTGATGAGGAGCCTTGAGAGGAGAGAGCGAGCAACCACAGAGAAAGCAGTTCCAAGAGAGGAGGAGGCGGAGACGCGGGCAGGTGTTCCAAGGGCTACAAGGGAAGGACCACAAGCGCTTCTCCCATAGATCTGTAGTGGTAGACTAGCATAGATGGTCTGATCTGCGGGTTTACTTCGGGCGCTATCTCCCCCCCTTCCTCCCGCCCCACCTGCTGGAATTGAGAGCTGCAGATGGAGCACGAGAGAAAAGATACAGAACTGCAGCAGCATCTTTGTAGCTTGGACTTTGTTTTGCGCGAAAAGTGGTTGCTGCTTATAGTTATTTAATTGCAGTGTTTCATCGGCTGGTGTCTTGAGCAGCAACCTCTGGAAACGAAGGGCTAAAAACCGGTGCTGCTCTCCAAAATTATCTGGTCCCTTTTAACTGGTTGACTAAAATCCCTTATTTTGGCTGCTGGTCCCTTATTTTCAAATCTGCAAGTTGACAGCTATGCCTATTCAGAGCAGGCCCGCTGAAATTAAACAGGGCATTCATTTCGGCAGGTGTGCTCTGAGTAGGACTAAGTTGCATACAACCCAACTATTTTACTCGGGCAATTTTTTACCACGGCAGCACCAGAGGATGGGCTGTGGCCCTGAGAGCAGAGTCACCAAGACTAGCAGCGAAAGGGTTGGAAGGTGCTTTTAAGCCGCTGGAAATGGAGCATCCCGTGTCTCCTTGCTGGAGCGAAGGAAAGAAGGAGCACCTGATGCAGCCGTGGATAAGCGAAGTAGTCGCCAGTGGCAGACAAAAGTTTGTGCTAATCAGAACATTCATCAACGTGTCTCCGGAGAAGCGGCAGAGTGACAGCGAGTGAGCAGCCAACACCTTTCCATGAGAAATGGCGGGGATTTGGCAATCGCCACGCAGGAGAGAGAGAAACTTACGACATGCTCAAGCTGACTAATCACCACCTTCGTGGGCCTATATCATTATGCACACCTCTAGTGCTTGCTGCAAAATAACACCTCCCAGGATCTGTGGCTCCGGCTCTGCATTAAGCAAGCCACCCACCTGAGCCATCAGCATTGCACCTGGGTGATTTAAGCCGCGGTAGCATTGAACAATGCCGAACGAGACAAAAGGAAGATGCAGCCAGCCAATGTACCAAGAGCCTTGACCGAGAGAGACGGAGCCAGAGAGAACCCCTAATACAGAAAAACGATGATGGGGATATAATGCTTCGTGTATAATTAGCTGGTTTCCATTTAGCGATGGCTGGGGCTGCAGGCTGCATGCACCAGGTTCACCAGTGCCCAACAGAAGCCTTGAAGTCCCCTCTGCAAAAAGGCTTAGGAGAGATGCCATTACCCACAGACAGAGATGCTGTCAGAAGGTGATAGCTGCAGGTCCCGCCCCAGACAAAACAAGCCGATTGGCACTTATCGGACTAATGCACAGTTACAGGGAACCGGGCAGAGGGCCTTCTCAGTAGCGGCGCCCGCCCTGTGGAACGCCCTCCCACCAGATGTCAAGGAGATCTATAACCGCGCAACTTTTAGAAGACACATGAAGGCAGCCCTGTATTAGGAACTTTTAACGTTTGCTGTTTTATTAGGTTTTTACATCTGTCAGAAGCTGCTCAGAGTGGCCGGGGCAACCCAGCCAGATGGACTGGGTACAAATAATAAAACTATTGCTATTATTATTATTCGATCGGAACCTAGGACCTCTCTGCTGGTTTTCTCACGCCTCCAAATGTTTCTCAGGTTCAGAGACAAATGCGGAGATGGGACTAAGTGATGGGTGAGGGCCGTGCTTTTCCGTTGCAACAAGATGCAATAAAAGGAATCCCTTAAAGAGTAACACATTTATGTATCATGGCAGAAGCCAGTTGCCTGGGGCTGATGGAAGTTTGTGGTCCAGCACTGATTTAGGGGAGGTTGGCAGGAGTTTTTCTTTTTTAATGCCAGTCTATTTAAGCTGGCACAAATCATCTATTTGTTCATTTATTGCTACAGTGGTACCTCAGGTTAAGTACTTAATTCGTTCCAGAGGACCGTTCTTAACCTGAAACTGTTCTTAACCTGAAGCACCACTTTAGCTAATGGGGCCTCCTGCTGCCGCCACGCCGATGGAGCACGGTTTCTGTTCTCATCCTGAAGCAAAGTTCTTAACCTGAAGTACTATTTCTGGGTTAGCGGAGTCTATAACCTGAAGCGTATGTAATCTGAAGCGTATGTTACCTGAGGTACCACTGTATTTATATCCCACTTTGCTTCTTTCCTGGATTCTAATGCAAGTCTCCCCTTCAGGCATTGACCAGGATCAGGCCGGCTGAGCATCAGCAAGGGAGTGGTCCTATGGTGCTGTCAGATCATCCTGGGACCTATGTTTATATGAACTAGGGACTGCTGCTCCTGCTCATTCCATTTGCCAGCTCCACCTACTGCTTTGCCATTCCGCTTTCCCTCCTCCCTTTCCACCTCACCCACCCTCTCACAGGTTGCCCAAACTTAACCTCCCCACCACAGGTCCCTCTTCCCCTCACAACTCACTGCAAGCCCCTCCTCTAGTGGGAGGCACTTCAGAGCGCAGTTTGGCAAACTGCCCTCTGAAGCGTCCTCTCCCTGCCATTAAACTGCTCGCCTGAGCCAACTGCACCTCCCAAATGCTCCTTACTTGCTCACCTGCCTGCCTGCCTGCTGGTCTGTCACCCCACTGGAGTTGGCATGGCCGCCTGTTGGCCATGCAGCATGACGACAGCCTTACAGTTTTATTATATGGTAAGAAATGGGGAGGTGTGAGGTTAAGAGGAGTATAAGATGCGGGAATTACAGACTGTGACAATTTCATAAAAGACAGGCTATATGCAAAGCCCTCACAGCAGCCAATTAACAAAGCCGTGATGATGTTAATACAAACATCATGGCGTTTGTGAGATAATTAACAGTGACACGTATCAGAAGCAAGCAAATCTGCCCAACCCAGCCCCCGAGTGGCACAACCTGGAAGGCTGCTGATTAGCAGAAAGCAAGCTCTCTGTTTTTAAGAAGTTAGGGCAACATTCCTTATCGTTCAAAAGCAGCCAAGCACAAGACATAACTAACAGTTTATACGGTTCTTCTGAGAATAGGTCAAATTACTGGAATCCAGAGTCACCATAGACAGCAACGGCCACGACTTACGTTCACTTTCAAGGTAAAGCTAGAATTCATTGATAGGGATGGGGTTTCTGTATAGCCATCAGCTGAGATGGTGAAAGGGAACTTCCATCTCCAGACTCAGTATTTTAGTTCTGCAGTTCAGGACTGAGCGCCCACTGGCTACATAACCAAGACAATGCCATCCACTCAAAAAGGAGAAGAGATCATCAGAACAACAAGAAGAGCCTCCCTGATCACACCATCTAGTCCAGCGTACTGTTCTAACAATGATCAGCCAGATGACCAGCACTCTCCCCTCCTGCTGTTTCCAGTAATGTGAAGAAGCATACTGCCTTGACAGTGGAGGGAGATCATAGCCACTAGTTAGTAGCAGGCTCGGGGAAAAGAAAAGACTTAGAATCATAAAATTGTAGATTTGGAAGGGATCCCAGGGGTCATCCAGTCCAACCCCTGCAACGCAGGAATCTGAGATTGAAGCCACTGGAGAACTAGAAAAATTAACAGGAAGGATTCGAAACCTGTGGGATCAGAGATTCTTAGAGGACTGGAGTAAATATATGAACTATTTGAAAAGTAATTGTGATGAACAGATTACGCTAGTAGGACTGCAAGAAGTTTTGTAAAGTGGATTATCTGAAATATTACAAGAAAGACTATGGAAAGAATTATTAGTTAAGGACAATTAAATGCAATATAGAAACTAAGAAATGCAGAATAAGTGATAAAAACGGAAAATTATCCGAGGTGTTGACGGAAGTCTAAAACATTGTATAAGATGAGAAGTTATGTTGTATGAATGTTGGAACTGATATGCTAAAAAATTAATTAAAATGTATATTTAAAAAAGAGATTGAAGCCATTGGCTTTGGGTCCTCCCCTCCAGAGCAGGAGAATACAATCTTGATTTGAACCTGCCTTTCCAACATACAACCCCAGCACCCTGATCTGCCGTACCCCAGTGACTCCCAGAAAACACCACCCGCTCCCAGGATCGTTCAGCAGAGTTAGCTACACATCCGAACTCTCAGATGCTTTGCAAGGGATACCTCTTCTGGAAACCTTCCCAGTCTCAGAAGGAGAGCAGGAGTTTCGCCGGGCGCCATGTTGGCCGCCCTTCCCAAAACTATCCCTTTTCGCCCAATCAGCTTCTCCTTCCCTTTGTTATCATCCCTGTGGGAAGAAGAATCTCTGCACTATTCCTTCCTCCCTCAAGGGGTTCTGGCTCACCTCCAGAACGCGCAACAGGTAATTATAAACATCAGAGGGGGAGAAGGCCATGCAGTAAGCTCAGGGGAAGAGAGATAGAGGAGAAAACAGCTCCGGAAAATAAAGTTTAAAATTCCTTTCGCCGTGGAGGTGGCTGAACCAAGATTTCTCAGGAACCGATGACAGGATAGCGCAAGTGTCCTGCACGGCAAACCCAAAGAGCCTTTTAATGCAATCCATTTTTTGTGTGCCACAAATGCATTTACTTCACATTCCCTCGAGGTCTGGCTTCTCCTGTGGGTTTGTGGCAAGAGGGGCGTGGGGTCTCCTATTTTTAGAGTTCTCCAAGCAAAACATTTTTCTACTTGGGGAAAACGCCCCAAGGGTGAAGGTGTGTAATACAGTGTCTTGCTGTTGCAAGTGTCACCGCTGAGAAATGTGAGTGAGTAAGTGGTATGTAAATGCCTTGAATAAATGAGATACTTCCCGGTAATACAATGTGCAGGGCAAAGAAAAAGGGATCAGCTCACTCTGCCTCCTTATTGTAATATGTAACTCATATTACAATAATATTGTAACTCATCTCAAATAATACTTTCACTATAGGAGAACTTCTGGAAACAATTCCAGAAGTGGAAGATTGTTGGAAGAGGCTTTATACCAAGTTCAGACCATTGGGTCATCCAGATCACTATTGGCAAAGATTCTCCAGGGTTTCAGACAGAGCGGTCTCTCCTAGAGCTACAGTGCTACCTCAGGTTAAGTACTTAATTCGTTCTGGAGGTCCGTTCTTAACCTGAAACTGTTCTTAACCTGAGATACCACTTTAGCTAATGGGGCCTCCTGCTGCCGCTGCGCTGCCGCCGCACGATTTCTGTTCTCATCCTGAAGCAAAGTTCTTAACCTGAGGTACTATTTCTGGGTTAGCGGAGTCTGTAACCTGAAGTGTCTGTAACCTGAAGCGTATGTAACCTGAGGTACCACTGTATCTGGCAATCTGAAGGATCGAACTGTGGTCCTTTCGCATGCTGTCAGGTACACAACAATCAGCTGCAGTCGTCTCTGATGCAATGGAGCTATGCCAGCATTGGATTTCGGGGACAGCCTGCCAAGGAGATCAATAGTCTTTGGATCCTCTCTCCTATCGCTAAGGCCCCATTTGCACCATATCTTTAAAGCATTGCTATACCACTTTTTTTTGTAGTTTCTCTGAACCATGCTAATTCTTTTTTTAAAAAAAATATTAAATTTGTTATTTTCAATGCAAAATTACAACAAAAATTACAAACATAAAATCTCAAACAAAAAAACAAAAACAAAGTGTCAGGGAACTGCCATCGGAGCTGGAAGCGGAGGGAAGGCTCCAAAGGGATGGCGGAGAGGGTCCCAGTAGGGAGAGAGGGAGCCCGTCTGCTGGGGAAGGAAATCAGCGTAACACCAGTAGAGAAGGGGGGCAGATGGGGGAATCGGGGAGGAGGCTCCAAGACTCCTCGCCGGAGACCAGCGGAGAGAGTACGGGTACTCCACTGCCCACACCCTCCCTGCGCAGAAGACTTCCGCGCAGGGAGAGTAGGAGGAGACTTGGCGTCAAACAACTTTTATGCTGGAAAAGGTTCAAGAAACGCCCACTGACGGATTCTGCCAGCGACTGAGACAGTCACGATGCTGGAGGCTGTTCAGTCAGAAGGGGTTAACCAGGTAACCTAGCCAGGAGTGGCGGCAACTTACGCACAAGCAACCCCTAAACCCACTACACAAAGCAAAACGAACAGAAACCAAAAAAAGAAAGAAACACACCTACAAAGAAAACCATGCCATCATAATAATCTATTAGGTCCAGTCGTGGCCAACTCTGGGGTTGCGGCGCTCATCTCGCTTTACTGGCCGAGGGTACAGCTTCCGGGTCATGTGGCCAGCATGACTAAGCCGCTTCTGGCAAACCAGAGCAGCGCACGGAAACACTGTTTACCTTCCCGCCGGAGCGGTACCTATTTATCTACTTGCACTTTGACGTGCTTTCGAACTGCTAGGTGGGCAGGAGCAGGGACCGAGCAATGGGAGCTCACCCCGTTGCGGGGATTCGAACCGCCAACCTTCTGATCGGCAAGTCCTAGGCTCAGTAGGTTAACCCATCTTTAGGTACATATACACATATTGACTTCCTTCCTCTGTTTTGAGACCTCAAAATTTTTAATCTTTCTGAATTGTTGTTTCTAATGTACATTACCTCTATCTTTATACCTTTTGCACCATTTTTCAATTTCTTTAACCCTGCAAAGCTTCATTCATTACATACCAATATACCTTTTTCATATATTCTTTAACACAATCCCATTCTTTTGCTAATTTTTGGTCCATACTCTAACATATGTACTGTTTCAAAGGCGTGAAGGGGGGATCGGGACCCTGAGTACGTGGATGGTGAGGGGTTGGGCTGGCTAGAATGACCTTAGGACCCCTCACATATCCTTTTAAAACATGGGAGGGGTCTGAGCGTCCTACTGCACCACCATTCAAGGGATGTTCACACGGTACATAATTCAGCGAGCGCACGAGCTGTACACCGGTATTCACAAATCATGGCGCCGCACAACAGTTCAGCAGCTCACACGTACCGTTCAACCCACACGTGATCTGCGCACCTGTAGGTACGACAACTGGGTTGTACAAGTGAACAAGCGTGCCCTCTTTCACACCAACACAAGTGCGCGTGTAGAGCTGGCTTGTCCCGGTGTTGAGCGCAATGTGCGAACAACTTCACAAGGAGCTAGAGATGAATTCCGATCGAAACTTTCCCCCAGGAAGCCTGACGCAACCTTGGGTTTGCGTCAACCCTCATGGAATGATCCCATTGCAGACGGGGAAACGTGTGTGGCTCTATCTAGAGACATCTCGCCCACAAGAATGTGGAATGCTAACCTGGATCGCGCAAACATCTGGCAGCGAAGCTACACCCTAATCAAGCCTTTGATCTTGCTAATTAAAAGAAACCACACAAAGCCAACCCTGTTCTCATCGGTGGATTGCCTGGGAAGCAGAAGTTCCTGACGGGTCGAAAAGAGGGCAAGAAACCGCACAGGCAAGGGATGGCAGAGAAATTCAATTCAGTTTCCCTTTTTAAAGGCCGGCCTACTGAAACAATCTGCAAACTGAAACACAGCAACCTATGGGAATTTGAATTTATCTGAACTCTGCAATACCACCTGCCAGCCAAACAACGTTTGCAAATATTAAGGGAAACTCTGCATAAAAGCAAAGATGTTACTGAAAATAGCATACAAAGCCACCTCTATATGAGGGGAAACCGCTTGCAAAAAAACCAACCCAGTACATTAGGCAAAAATGTGTTCACTGGGAGAAATTTGCACTAAAATGCTGGTGAATTTTCATGACACTTAAAAATTATAATAATCCAAAACAATGAACTGCAAATTGCTGCAGAAATGTGGAGACCTAAATTTAAAATTGGAAAAATGAGAGAAGAGGAAAAACAAAACTGGCAGATCCATCCTTACTCACAGGAAACAAAGCAAGGAGCAGGGTGTTTGGGGAGAATATTATGTGGAAATTGATGTCCTTCCTGAAGACTTAAAAGGGGAAAGTCTGAACGCTTGAGAATTTTTGTGCCTCAAGGTGCAAATTTTTTGTAACTTTTTTTTTTTTTTTGGATGGATTGCAAAATTCAGAGGAATGTGATTTTTAAAGGCTAGCTGTATTTTCCATTTGCGTATTTATTTGGGAAACGCTAATTAGGCAGGTTCACATTAAAGTGAACCAATTCCTTACTCCAAGCTAAGGGATGCAGGTGGCACTAAACCACTGAGCATCTTGGGCTTGCTGATCAGAAGGTCAGCAGTTCAAATCCCCGTGACAGGGTGAGCTCCCGTTGTTCTGTCCCAGCTCCTGCCAACCTAGCAGTTCAAAAGCATGCCAGTGCAAGTAAATAAATAGGTACCTCTGCGGCAGGAAGGTAAACGGCATTTCCATGCATTCTGGTTTCTGTCACAGTGTTCTGTTGTGCCAGAAGTGGTTTCGTTATGCTGGCCACATGACCCTGAAAACTGTCTGTGGACAAACGCCAGCTCCCATGGCCTGGAAGTGAGATGAGTGCCACAACCCCATAGTTGCCTTTGATTGGACTTAACCGTCCACGGGTCCTTTACCTATTTTAACTACTCCAAGCTAAGTGTGCATTCAATTGCAGCCCTAATTTCTCCCAGTGGTTACAAAACCAGTTCTCTGGCAACATATAACTTGTGGACATCCATTGGATCTGAATGCTGGAAGGTTCGGGAAGCAAGAATTTCTTCACACGGCACATAGTTAAAAGATGGAACTCATTCCCACAAGAGGCAGTAATGGCCACCAACTTGGATGGCCTTAAAAAAGGATTGATTAAATTCACGAAGCAGACTATCAATGGTAGCTCCACTGTCAATATGCTTCTGAATCACGAATGAGGAGAGTGATGTTGCGCTCAGGTCCTCCTTACAGGCTTCCCACGGGCATCTGATTGGCCACTGTGAGAACAGGATGCTGGACTAGATGGGCCATTGGCCTGATTCATATGGACTGTTGACATTTCCTGTTGCAGAAAGGACCAAACAGATGGCCAGGATTGGCAGTATGGTGGAAGCTGCGACTTGGGACCCAAACCAGCCAAGGATCTGAAACTGAGCTTGTGGATATGGAAGACTGGAGGCCAAGGAGATCATTCTCAGAGGTGAACACCCACTTGAGGTTTACTCTTTCTGAAGTTTCTGCCCTATGCATACTCATTTAAAATGTTAATCTGCTGGAGGGCTGGTGGTTTAAATTGGTTGACTAATTTAATTAAGAACTCAAACAGAATTTTAATTTCATCGTTAATTGAATTTAATCGTACTCTAACCAATAAATAAATGTGCACGTTGCTAAAACACCAGCATAGGTGTCTTTCCGAAGAGGTGAATGCTAGGGTTAGATCCAGCAGCTACTCTCGCCAATGGCCACGAGTCCTATTGCACTCAGGTCCTGCTTGTGGGTTTCCCACAGGCTTGTGGTTGGCCACTGTGAGAACCAGCATTCAAAATTTGCCAGGCGCATTTTGCACCTGGCGATTGGCCACTTGCAACCAAGGGAAGAGGCCCAAGGTGCCAGGATGGCGCCTGACGCCTCCACCATCTGGAGGTGCATGCCTGGGGATCCCCGTATCTCGACTGTTTTCACACGCTAGCAACACATCCCACAGAACACTTGGCCGTTCAAAGTGGTATGATACTGCTTTAAATGTCAAGTGTGGATGTGGCCGGTGTGTGTAAGGAGGGGAAGATGCATGTGGACCAGGAAGATCTGAGTTGGGGGGGTGGTCAAAGTCCTGTAGTGAGGAAGTCCCCACAGGAAACAACTGCCCTGCAACCCATTTACTTACAGGCAACTTTCACTTCTCTCTCACACACACTCAAAAATCAGCTGGCTTGCGATTCTCAAGGGGTAACTGGGCCACCAGCAGACCTGCTTAGCTTCAAGAGCAGAACTGCACCATTTTCTGGGCACTGAAGACTGGAGATGCTAGGCCCTATCTGCACCTCCCCCCCCCCCATATATATATGTGTGTGTGTGTGTGTGTGTGTGTATACTGGGAAACGTAGTTTGTTAAAGGTGCTGCTGAAAGTTGTTAGGAGAGCCCCTGTTCCCCAGCTACAGTTCTGAGAACAGTTTAAGAATCAATTCCCTCTCTGAGGGGAATATTGGGTCTGGGAATTGAAGCTCTGCAAGAGAATACTGGTTTCCTAACAGCACCCTTAACAAACTACAGCTCCCACAATTTTGGGGGGAAAGCCATGCCTGTTTAAAGTGGTTTGATACAGTTTTAAGCATACAGAGCTGATGAAGCCCTCGGTAGTCTGTAATGTGTTGTACTTCAATTTGAACACAGCAACAACCACCCATTTTGCTTCCGAGTGCCTATTTTGGCTCCAGCCTTGTCCACCGCTCACCACCCGAGCCGACTGTTAGCAGGAATGATACAACAGTGCAAATTATTATTTATGTTGCACTGTCAATGCACATTAGTGGCCTGCAATATAGGCAAGGAAGGATGAGCCTCTGCCCCAGGAGGTTTGTTTACAGCCAAAAATTTCGGAAGAGGGCATGCTAAGGAAGGATATTGTTGCTGTTGCACATGTCGAGCCTCTCCCCACCCCCCCAGGAATGAACACACCTCAATTTCTTGACCCTCCGTTTTGGCATTCATCAAAGCACACGCTCTGGAGCTGGTTGGAAGCGAGCGAGGCGCCAGAGACGGCCGCCGGTCGGAACGAGGGCCAAATTACAGCGTTGCGGGAACTGCCGTTCCACAGGCAAACCTGTAATCTGCAAAGAATTCGAACTACCAGGGAGAAAACAAATTAAGGCCACAATGAAGAAAGGGGGGAAAAACACACAGAGAGAGAATTAGACAGGGCTCTATTTAAGCATCATTCTTTCTGAGGTCGGGAATGGAGATGAAGCCGGGAAAAGGGAGAGAGTTTTGTTTGTTGATGAGTTGTTCAAGTTTCCATGAAATTGGGGCGGATAGCAACCACCCTTCCCCGTAATTAGCTTTCACTTCTTGGGCAGCACAAAATTAGCCCAACGTGCTCGTGGGAGAGAGGAGAGAGAGGCTTCTCTCCAAGCAGCTAGAGTCCTCCTCGTGTCTGCCAGGCAGAAAGATCAACGGTGTCGAAAAGTCTCCTTGCTTTGGGGAATTCCCACCACCCCCAAAAAATACCTTGTCTGTTGCAGGACTCCTGTGTGTCGCAGAAGTCTTGCACCCTGCAAAGGGTTATGGGAAATGGCCAGGCCTGCTGAGGCCTAGTTGCTGTTGACATGGCACACATTATGGGGGGAGACCAAGAGGGGATAAGATAAGAGCAGGTATGGGGAATCTTTGGCCTTCTAGATATTGCTGAGCTGCAGCTCCCACCAGCCCCAGTAGGCATGGCCAATGGGAGTTGTGGTTCAGCAACATCTGAAGGGCCAAAGATTCCTCACACCGGTGACAGAGGTTTATAAAATTATGCATTGTGCGGAGAAAATGTACAGATGCTTTTTGACCTTTTCTGTAATACTAGGCCCTAGAGTCATTCATCCGTCAAACTGCACACCATCCAACATTTCAGGAGAGCAAAGCGGGACCTACACACATCCTGCCATCCAGCCCACCTGATCTCTGATCTCTTTCTCCCCCCCACCCATGCGATCTCCAAACTCTTTCGGCCAACGCCTGCCTGTCTCTGTGCTCTTTCGGCCACGCCACGTCTGATCTCTGCTGCCGCAAGACCAAGGCTGCTGTGAGGTTGAAGCCTCCGCCGCTGAGGCAAAGCCTTGTCCACTGCAAGGCTTCCTCCGAGGCCTGCCATGGCTGCAGACGGACTTCCAGAAGCCGGCACCAGCTTCCTGAAGTATGTCAGTGGCTTCGGCAGAGGCCTCGCAGAGCAAGAGCCTTCACCGTGGCGCTGGAGGTCTTGGCCTCACTGCAGCGGCAGCAGAGGAAGCGAGACACCCGGGATTTCTAACAGAAGCCAGGGTGGCTTTTGTAAATCAAGGATGTCCTGCTGAAAGCAGGACAGTTGGCAGGTATGAAACTGATGTGCAGAAGAGTCAGGGTAGACCGCAGAAAAGTGTATGTTTTAAATACATCGTGGAATTTGTTCCCATGATGGTAGAGTCAGGATGGGGAATCTGTGGCCAATAGTGAAGAATGATGGACGTTATAGTCTAGCAACATACAGAGGGCCAAAGGATCCCCGCCTCTGGCAGTAGAACATGTGTGTTCAGAAGGTCTCAGGTCCAATTCCTGCAGCTTCAGGTAGGGCTGAGAAAGTCCTTCAAAACTCTGGAGAGTTGCTGCCAGCCAGTTCACTGTAAACAATATTAAATTTGGCCACATGATCTGAGTCGATATAAAGCAGCTTTCCATATTCCCTCATCCTGATAGGAAGTCTTCCTGGCATTCAGGAGCAGAAGCTTGCTTAAATATAGGGTTTTTTAAAGTTGAAATTTTTTTTTTTTTTAAGGGAGTTTTTCTTCTGAATGCATTTGTAAATTTTTACATGAATAATAAAGTTTAAGGAAAGAAAAAAAGGAATTTACATTGCTAAGTTATGCATATGAGCACCAAATATTTTGTGAAGCACTGTGCAGAATGGCAAGAAAGAGCACCGTGCCTAGTCTCCACAGAGCTTATACCATCCCCTGGACCTCTCTAGATTTTAGGAGGAGCTCTTTCCCCCTAAAAGCAATGCTTTCAAGGATTTCAGAGCACAACTTCCTGCGTGGGAAGGTGCATTTATGCAACAGGCACCCTCGTCGGGGCCTGAAGGCTATTTAAGTCAGAGCAACTTGAGAGCTACTATCTTACAAAAACACACACCACCAGCGAGAGGCAAGCCCAAGTCATAATCTTGTGGCGAGCTCATCCACTTAATTGTCAACAGGCCGAAAACTTCGAGCAACAGAGCCACAGCTAAATTACAGGGGGCACCGGGCAAACAGCAGCTTGGCAATTGGATTCGGTAATTTGCAGTACAAAAACAGAGGGCTGTTCCGCGCACCCATTTGCAAGATGCTAGCCTCACTTCTTAAAAGGAGATCCCATGACACACCAGAGAGGGAGGGTAGCGGGGGTGGGGGTGGGAAGGGGAAGCTGAATAATTTTCTGTAGTTTTTTTCCACCTTGAGAGCAACAAGATTGGTTTAAAAAGTTACTTCTCTGAAATTTCTCGCTAAAACCTTCCTTGCGCGCTGGGTTGCACAGTTGCTAAGCTACACATCATCTTCAAAGGAAATGTCCACACAGTTCCACTGGGTTCCATGTCCTTTGGACCGGGTTGTTAAAATTTCCCCATGTGTTTAGCACCACAACACCACCAGCCCCAGCCAGCAAGCTCATTGGTCACGAATGAGCTACAGCCCCATGGAATCAGATGAAGGAAGGCTAGCCTAGTTCAATGTAGGTTTGTCTCAAACAATGGCAGTCAGTCTGTCAGAATTCTTATCTAGGGAAGCTTTCCAAAAAAAAAAAAAGCGGGGAAGTCTGCCAGTTTGGAAAGCCCCGCTCCAACCCGTAACAAATTAGGTCAATGTTCAAAAGTGCTTTGTGAATGTCAGAGGTGGCCATCCCATTTTTTACTGCGAGAGATCAGCGGCCATTTGGGTTGCTGTGATCTCACAAAAGTTTCCCTTGAAAAAAACGGGCCATGAACTCATGTTTTTGGGTGCCATGCCTGGAAAAAAAATCACTTTGGGGGGAATTACAGTGCGAAATCACGCGAGATCACGGCGTCCAGGAAGACAGCATCCCAGATTTTTGCTTCAAGGTGTTGGAGGGTATACATCTGCAAGTGAGAAAACTGCTGTGGGAACCATACCCCGATTGTGTAACCAAGAACAAACTATGTCTACAACAGAACGCTAGACTTTGTCTGCGCTATAAATTTAAAGCAGCATCATACCACTTTAAACCATGATGGCTTCTGGCAAAGAATCCTGGGAGCTGTGGTTTGTTAAGGGTGCTGAAGGTTGTGAGGAGACCTTTATTACCCCCACAGAGCTACAATTTTCAGAGTGGTTTAATGTTTGATCCCTCTTTCTGGGAACTGCAGCTTTGTGAGGGAAATAAGGGTCTCCCCAATAACTCTCAGCGTCATTAACAAGCCACAGCTCCCAGGATTCTTTGCCGGAAGCCATGAATGTTTACAGTGATATGATACTGCCTCAAATGTGAGGATGAGGCCCTAGTCTCAGGTCTAATTTGAGGAGGTGGGAGACTGTGGGCCCCAGGCAAAATCTCTGAGGGGACATGTCTACCTGCTGGATCCAGATTGCTTATCCCTCTTGCATATTTCCCCTGTGATCTTTATGACCACTCGTAAGGCAGGCCAGTATCACTGTGTCCTTTCTGCAGATAGCATACCACTCAGCCTTCCTGCTTTAAGTGGGACATACCGGAACGACAGAAGCCATCTTCTGTGATCCCAGGATGCCCCCTTTTGGCTCCTGCAACAGTGCAGTCCCAAAACACTCTCATACCGTTTTCCTCTGCGGTAGGTTGGAGGGTAAGAGGCAGGAGAGTCAAGGCGAAGGAGGAACGCCCCCCGTGAGACCAACGGGCTGCTCTTTGGGAGAGGGAAGATTCCTACAAGCAACTTCTCTATTCACAGTGCAGACTCTACACTACACAGGAGGGGGGGAAATGTGTTTAAGAGGTAGAACACAGTAGGAAAAAAGCCCAGTTGTTTGTGTGTAATGCTCAGTATCAAGGCATTGTGTGGGGAACATCTGACAACTCTTTCCCATCTCTGGAGCATCACTTTTTTTCAAAAAGCAATAGGGTGTTTTCCAGAGGGGGGCATTTGCCCCCACCAGCAGAGGGGCCTAACAGCGCTGCCATTTCCCCTTTGCACAGAGAAACCAAGATGTTCGGATGCAGCTTTGGAGAACTCTCTTTTTGCAAGTCCCAGATCTTCCACATTGAGAGGGGACTCATCAGGGCTGCTTTGCATGTGTTCCCCCCCTCAAAAAAATCACAACACCCTGGAGCCAGCTTTGAAAAGCAAGACCATTGCTTAGTCACAGCATGTCCTGCCCTGCATCCTCCCGTTAAAACTGTTACAACACTGCAGTAGAATCTAAATTATATCTTCTAAATTATATACATTAATACGCCGCGGATGTCATCGTAAAGAATGGGTGTAATTACAGCATACTCTTATAACCTACCATGACTCCCTTTGAGAGAGGGAAAAAACCAGCCTAAAATAAAAAAAAGCATTCTTTCCGAGCTGTTACCCTCCCCCTCCTTTACCCCTCTGGTCCTTTTTCAAAAATAGAAGCGGGTTTTTTGGCCTGAGCCAAAGGCAAAAGTCACACAGGCCTGCTCCCGCCTCTTTTGACAGCTAACACGAGGGAGCCACGAGGCAAACAGATTCTATTTCCAGGATTTCAGCTGCGCCGGTGTAATCAGAAGCCGCTTTCTAATGAGATGGCTGGGGCTATTCTGAGGGGTGAGGATGACTTTACTGACGTCAGAACAGTGAACTAACAGCACTGTCCTGCCTTCTCTCACGAAACCAGGGCTCTCAAACCATGGCAAGCCTTTACACCTGAGCGCATGGAATGATATCTGTCAAAATGCTTTGAATGCCTTAAAAAAAGCTTTACTGCAGTTTCAATTGTTATTGGCACCTGACCCAAAGAAGCCTTTCGTAGTTCAGACTGACGCTTAATCTTCAAGTAGACCTGGACCACATACATACAATGGACAGCCGTACCTCAGAAGTCAAGCGGAATCCATTCCGGAAGTCTGTTCGACTTCCAAAACGTTCAGAAACCAAGGCGCAGCTTCCGATTGGCTGCAGGAAGCTCCTGCAGCCAATCGGAAGCTGCGTCGGACGTTTGGGTTCCAAAGAACGTTTGCAATCCGGAACACTCACTTCCAGGTTTGCGGCGTTCGGGAGCCAAAACGTTCAACTTGCAAGGCGTTTGACTTCCAAGTTGGTATATATTTAGTATAACCATTCTACAACCAACAATAACCAAGCAAATAAATTAAAAACAGGAAATATACATGAAAAAATATCCATAATGCGTACTGCAAGACTAAAATACACTATTTAAAATTGATTTTAATCCTCATAATCCACATAGATTCTAGATAAACAGCCAGCAACTTTGTTAGCACATCCTTTTTATATGAACTATGTCAAAATCAAAATCCTGAAGAGCGAGACTCCATCTTAAAAGCTTTTGGTTACAGTTTTTTACTCTGTCTAACCAACATAACGCTGACCCCAGAGGTAAGAGTGTAGTTTATTAAGGGCCCATACTACAGGTGAGGGACGTGGGTGGCGCTGTGGGTAAAACCTCAGTGCCTAGGACTTGCTGATCGCAACGTCGGCGGTTCGAATCCCCACGGCGGGGTGATCTCCCGTCGTTCGGTCCCAGCTCCTGCCCACCTAGCAGTTCGAAAGCACCCCTAAGTGCAAGTAGATAAATAGGTACCGCTTTATAGCGGGAAGGTAAACGGCGTTTCCGTGTGCGGCGCTGGTGCTGGCTCGCCAGATGCCGCTTAGTCACGCTGGCCACGTGACCCGGAAGTGTCTCCGGACAGCGCTGGCTCCCGGCCTATTGAGCGAGATGAGCGCGCAACCCTAGAGTTGGACACGACTGGCCCGTACGGGCAGGGGTACCTTTACTACAAGTGAGTAAGAGGGCGTGCAACTCAACCCTCCTGTACCCATCGGCAATGGCTGCATCCACGCAACCGTTCTGCTAAAAGTCATATTACATAAATATCATAATATTTTTCATTGTATTTAGATCTTCCCCCAAAATATATGGTTCTTCCCTACACACACGTTTTATCCTCCTAATAACCTAGTGTCAGGGAAAGGAAAGTGTGTGTGTTGAATTGATAACGCTTGGGTCTGCTTAAATTAATATGCCAACAGACTTCGACGCCTCCGTTCTCTCTTAGAATCTAAACTATTTCTTAGCAAAGCACATGCGACCCAAATGACATGTCTCAAAATATTTACAAGTGTTCCAATAAACATAGAAATGTTCCGCTGAGACCACATTTACTGGTCACTCTGATACACGTCTACCTCAAAAGAAGTCCAAGCGAGTTAAACAGAGCTTAAGGATGGTACATTATTCAAGAACAAACTATAACATCCATTAAGCAACAGAAAAGCCGCCCCCCTCCCTATAATCTGCAACAGTCTTAGGGTCTAGTACCTTTAGCTCCTGCCTTTAAAACTTGGACTAGATCTGCCCCAATGAACTGGAAGGCATTAAAACGTGGACTGGACTCCCAAAATATTATATGGCAGGGGCAGGGAAATATTTTGGCTCCACAGGTCAAAGTTCTATCACAATCCACATCACAGACCAAATGCGACTGATGGGCAGGTCCACCCACTTTTCAAAATGCCTTTGACAGCTCTGCAACTACGCTTTGAAGCAACCTAACCCCCTCCTTTAACTTGGGTGGGGGGCAGTTTCATATGGTGCTTTGCAGCCAAGCACTTCAAGGAAGTCTTCTGTGCTTCTGTCAGACACACCGGAACGTCCCTCAAATCACCTGTGCTTCTCCTTCAAGCGGGCAGGAGGCAGGAACAAGGCAGTGTAGTCAATGCAGGATTAAACCCTGTCCTCCTGCCCAGTGATGCCAGCTGATGGGTTGGTAGGAGTGGGGGTTGGGGGGGGCATGGTCCCATGAGCCAAGTTGGATACCACGGCAGGCCAAGACTACCTCACAGGCTGAACGAAGGGGCCAAGAGAAATCAATTGAGAAATCCAATATTTTGATGTATCTGGGATTGGACACAAGTATATCCTCCCGCTGAAACAGCCCACTGAAGGCTGAGCATGCTCAGCGGGAAGGATTGTTTACTTTGGGGAGGAAATGGGAAGCCCTACAGAAATATATTGTTCCGCCCATGCTCTCTTGTTGATTGTTCAGCTGTTAAAAATCGATAAAATAAATATGTATTTTAATAAAGAAAGCCAGGGGGATGGGAGATTGAATGGAGATAGCATGGCTAGCAGGCACACTGTACAGGACAACTTCACACTGCAAGAATCTGTTGCAAGAGCCATGGGTAAACAATAAAGGAACTCATCCTCCCGTGTTTTATATGTGGATGGGGCAACCAGGTGAACGATGACCCCGCCGCATCACATTTGGACATGAAAAGAAAGCTAATCTCTTGAGGCTTTATATATATAAATTACTTGTCTACCACTCCATTGCAGTGAGAACCAGAGCTTCCAAAGGCTGCAAACCTGCTTGTTCAGCCTTTGGTGGAAGAGAAAATAATAATAAACATAATAAACATCATAATAATAATAATATGAATGTTACATCTGCAGGGTGTAAACGTCAGCAGATGCTTATGGGAAAGATTATCCGGGAAAGTCAGCCAGCCGTTTCAGCTGCAGAGAAGAATGAGGGCTTGAGTCTTGGGAAAGTGCATGAAAATTCATGTCACTGCAGAGGCTCGCAGGCTCCCCCATTTAACATTAGATGTGCTTTCAATGCATAGTGTGGAGGTGGCAACATTTTATTCAGCCTGGGGGCTGCGACACCCTAGGAGAAAGCCAGCGGCTGGCAGTGCAATGGATGTGGCTCTATTCCAGCTATGCCCCCCCAATGCCCCCCTCCCATGATATCTCTTCATCCAGGTAAGCAAGCGGGATTATCAAAATTCAAGTGCACCCACCAGCTCAGCATGCGTCCTTGAAAAAGGGAACAGGGGAGACAAAGTTTGCAGCCTGGGGAGAGTGTCACAGGCCAGAGAGAGAGGCCTGGAGGGAGACATGCAGCCCGGAGTCCTCACACCCCTGCTCTAACCACTACACCCCACTAACCAGATGCGCCAATCAAAACGAGACTCCATTCCATGTGGTGTGGATAAAAGTGGGCAGAGAAATGCTTTCCCTCCCTCTCTCGTAATACTGGAACTCAGGTACACCCAATGAAGGAGGATGTTGGAAGATTCTGGGCAGAAAAATAAATAAAGCACTTCTTCATGCAGTGCAGAAGAGCTGAACTCTGGAACTCACTGCCACAAGAGGCATCAACGGCCTCCACCTCAGATGGCTTTATTAAAAGAGAGCTGGGCAAATTCACGGAGGTGAAGGCTCCATGATGGCTATGCTCTGCCTCCACAGTCACAGGCAGTAATGCTTCTGAATGTCAGCTTCTGGAAACCACATGAGGCGAGAGGGTGTTGTTGCACTCTGCACATGCTTGCAGGCTTTCTAGAAGAGGTATCTGGCTGGCTACTGTGAGAACGGGATGCTGTACTAGGTATGCCACCAAGCTGATCTGGCAGGACTCTTATTATATTATTATTATTATTATTATTATTATTATTATTATTACCCCCTCCTTTGACGATCCTCGTAGAACTCTGGCCCAGTGGTTGCCATTTGATTTTGAGTTGATTTTAGAATACTGATTTTAGAATGCTGTGTTACTTTTATTGCTTTTAGCCGCTCTGAGCCCAGCTTCGGCTGGGGAGGGCGGGATATAAATTTATTATTATTATTATTATTATTGTTGTTGTTGTTGTTGTTGTTGTTATTTTCCTAAAACTGGAGACTCCATGGCTGACATCAAGTTTAAAAACAGTCACATAAGAGGACCCAATCGTCTGCAAAATACCTTCTTTTGCAAACTCGTTCACTGAGGCCCAGATTGCAGGAGCCTTTCACTTCCCACTCTGCTCTTACCCTCAGGTAACCTCTGTGCATAGCTGGAAGGCTACGGTGTGCATGCCTGACCCCAAGCCTCTGGGGCGTGTGAAGTAACAAAACAGGCACACCGAGGTAGAATTTCAGGACGTTTAATAGTAATACATTACATACTAAGATCCGCATAAGTGAACAGGACTTTGTCACCGAAAGGAAGCCGGACGATCCAGCAAACCAATGCACGATTTGGCAAAAGTAGCAGACGCTCTGTGGCAAAACCACCACAGGGTCTGAGGCCCCAACTACAGGATCAGACTACTTTAAACAGTAATGGCTCCCTGCCCCAAAGCATTCTGGGAATTGTAGTTTGTTAAGGATGCTGGGAGTGTAAGGAGACCACCACCACCCCATTCCCCTCACAGAGCTACAGTTCCCAGAGCTCTCTGGGAAGATGGACTGCTTGCTAAACCACTCTGGACATTGTAGCTCTATGAGGGGAATTGTCACTTCAAATTTCACCTCTGTACAACAGAATAGTTTCTACAGACGCTCGCACACTCCTCGCCGTCCTCCACCCCTTTAGGCAAAATGCATTATCGGAGTTGAGGGACACATTTCAGCCAGGCAAGAGGCACTGCTGGTGAGGGGTGTGGCCTGAGGAAAGGGGGCGTGGCCTGTGGAGAGTTCAGAGGGCCACATAGAGATGGTTTAAGGCAGGCATGGCCAAACTTCACCCTCCAGCTGTTTTAGGACTACAGTTCCCATCATCCCTGACCACTGGTCCTGTTAGCTAGGGATGATGGGAGTTATAGTCCCAAAACAGCTGGAGGGCCAAGTTTGGCCATGCCTGCTTTAAGGGATACATTTGGCCCCCAGGTCTCAGCTTCCCCGTGAAGTGTTCTAGAGAACGTGAATGCTTGCACACTATTTTGTGATGTTTTAGTTGCCCTAATAAAAGGGAGTATCCGAATATGGATTTTGGATTTCCCCCCTTAAAATTAAGACCAACCCAGAACTAACTCTGTTTGATTGAGACTTTTTTTTTTAGGGACAGAGGAGGAATTTTGCAAATGTCCAGATCGGACCAATTCTAATTTGTCCATCCCTACTTATTTCTGAAGGGACGCGGGTGGCGCTGTGGGTAAAACCTCAGTGCCTAGGGCTTGCCGATCGCATGGTCGGCGGTTCGAATCCCCGCGGCGGGGTGAGCTCCCGTCTTTCGGTCCCAGCTCCTGCCCACCTAGCAGTTCGAAAGCACCCCTAAGTGCAAGTAGATAAATAGGTACCGCTTTATAGCGGGAAGGTAAACGACGTTTCCGTGTGCTGCGCTGGTGCTGGCTCGCCAGATGCCGCTTAGTCACGCTGGCCACGTGACCCGGAAGTGTCTCCGGACAGCGCTGGCCCCCGGCCTCTTAAGTGAGATGGGTGCACAACCCTAGAGTCTGTCAAGACTGGCCCGTACGGGCAGGGGTACCTTACTTATTTCTGAGAAAACATCTTACGGTATTTATATCTTTATTGTATTTATTTCCCATCTTTTTCTCCAAGGATGAAGCAGTTAAACTGGATGCATCTTAAAAGCAACAGTTCCTGCGTGGGATGTGCAGAGGCGTTCCTGCTTCAAAAGATGCATCCATATGTCTCCATAGAAGCCGTCTTACAGGAAACATTTCTCTCTCTCTCTCTCTTTCTCTGTGCACATGCCTGTCCAACTCTGTCTGAAGAAACAAACTTTCTCCTTTTTCTAATATTAAAAGTGGCAGACTCCAACTTGTCATCTGCAGTACCTGCATTAAAAGTAACTTTTAAAAAATTATATAAAAAAGGCAGATTTAATGGCCATGGGGAATTTCCAAAAGGCGGCACTTAGTTCTGGATCTTAGGCAAGTCAGTCGGGAAAAAAGTACTTTTGGCGTTTGGGGAATTATTTTGGGGGTGCCCTGGTTTTTACTTTTTGAAATATGGCAACCCTATACAATATCGCTATGAACCATCATGGTTCCCCCACCAAAGAATCCTACGAACTGTAGTTTGTCAAGGGCGCTAGTCCCCTCCCACAAAGAAATTTCCTCCAAAATAATGCATGTCGATGTTATTTTCACTAATATCTGTAATTTTTATGCATGTTACCTGGCACTACAAGATTAAGATGAGGGCACATTTTAGAGGATGGTTGTGTTTCAGTTCCCATCTTGCATCAGAAAGTGTGATTCAGGTAGGTTTGCCTTTAAATGCGCATTGAGTTGAATTTCTTCTCTATCCTCACCTCCAGTAAGTTTGCTCCAATCTCCTGTCCAGAAGCAGCAAGATTTCCCATTTCCGAAGCATCCCAAAAAGTCAAAAGGCAGGAAGGAAATTCTACAGCCTTCCAAGGAAGTCTGGTCCGTTGACAACCTATTCTCAGCGCCATCCATCTCTGCATAACCCAACACAGCAACAATAGCATCAACTAAGTGGGATTTTGAAAGAGTGTTTGAACAAGTAGTCCCCAAGCACAAATTGTATTCTCTTTGGCAACGTTCCTTCTATTTCCAAAGTACAGCGTGCGAGTGCCAATCATTTTGTAGACAAATAAAAGCCAAGGCTATCTTCACAACAGCAGGCTCGGGGGAACCATAGAGTTTGGAGTCGTACCCCCAAAAATGTTTTTTTAAAACCCTGGCCAGGAGGCGGCAACTCCAAAACAGCCCAGTGAGGACTGTGTTTACTCACTGGTCACATAATAATGCCAGCCTACTGGAGGTAGAGACAGAGACGGAGCAGGAATCCTGAGCAGCTGCAGCGAAATAAATTATGTGCAGTTCAAATTCATGCAAATCTCTAATCCCAGCCATATTGCACTCATTTAAAACTCTTACACTCTGCCTTTCCAAGGTGACTTACAATTCCTTTCTTGTTTTAAAGTCAAATGAAATCCACAATAAATTAAAACTAAGCACACAGACGGCCGCAGAACCACCGGCAGAAAAATAGCCAGGGGGGGAAATGATTAAAAGATCATGTTATTATGCACCAAAAGCTCAAGAGAATAAGGCTGTGCACATGCCATACATTTAAAGCACAGACTTCTCCTCCTATGCTCCTTGCCAAAAGAATCCTAGAAACTGCAATTTGCGAGAATCGTAGCTTTGTGAGGGGTAAACTATAGTTCCCAGGATTCTTGCAGAAGGGGTGCTTTAAGCATGGGATTTAAAGGGTTTTTTCATATAAATGGATTGCATATGCCAGCCCTGTATGGTACATTAGGCTGGCCCTGCCTCTGTTTGCATGTGTGCACTTAACCCTTTCTCTAGGTAAAGGTAAAGGGACCCCTGACCATTAGGTCCAGTCGTGGCCGACTCTGGGGTTGTGGTGCTCATCTCGCTTTACTGGCCGAGGGAGCCGGCGTACAGCTTCCGGGTCATGTGGCCAGCATGACTAAGCTGCTTCTGGCGAACCAGAGCAGCGCAGGGAAACGCTGTTTACCTTCCCGCCGGAGCGGTACCTGTTTATCTACTTGCACTTTGACGTGCTTTCGAACTGCTAGGTTGACAGGAGCAGGGACCGAGCAATGGGAGCTCACCCTGTCGCAGGGATTCAAACCTCCGACCTTCTGATCGGAGGCTCTGTGGTTTAACCCACAGCGCCACCCGCATCCCTTAACCCTTTCTCTACTGGCCAGTAATATCCACCACTGCCCCCTTTCACGGTAGCTTTTCTTTCAGTATAAAGATTCACAGATCTAGCATATTCCCTCCTGCAGCTGAGAAAAATGGTGATTTTGATCAGAAGGATGACCTCTGGGGGATGCGTTGAGACACCCCCTTCTCTGTGTTGCTGCTTTAATCAAATCTGAACCCTCCCCTTCACAAGCACACAGACACCCACTCAAATGAAAGAAATGATTAAAACAACCCAGCAACAGGGGGAAACTTGAAGTAAATCTCCCATGCTGTACCTAATACAGCCCCAAGACATGAATCAATGTCTACTCTTTCAACCGTATTCACAATTTAGGCTTCCAAGTTCCCGGTTCACACACAAACACACACGCCGACTTTGCCATCATAGCTTGAAGGATGTAGACTGGAAAAGCAGGCTAATTATTTTTTAAAAAATCTGCATCCGTTGGGATCGCATTTTAAAAAAAAAGAATGTCAAGAGCAAAACATATTTGCATGCTTCACCTCGTCAAACTCTGGAGCCAGAGGAAAAAGTTACACAGATACACTGAGATATCTCCTCTGAGGATCATCTCAACCACAGGACAGCTTAAGCCTTGCATACAGATCATCTCTGCTCTAACAGGCTGGCTTTGCAAGGAAGCCTCTGGAAGCGAAGTTACAGAGGGAGAAAAGGCCTGACAACAGAGGGGTGTTGAGTGTGTACATCTCAGGTTCAGCGATATGTATCTGACTGACCCCGATTCATGGAGGCAGCTGAGGTCTTGCAATGTCCTCTGCTGCAACCTCAGTTCTGGTGCAGCTTCTCTTGACCTCATTTAGGAAGCATGGATAAAATAATAATAAAAAAAAGCCACATGGAAGCAAATTTTGCAGTGGTAAACCAGACTCTAAAGAGAGGAAGGGAAAGCATTCTGCCTAAAAATAGATCCTCTTGCCTTGCAAGTGACAAGTTTGTCTTTAGAAGGCAGAATAAAGACTCTGGGTAGTATCCCACTAAATTCTACAGGTTCTGATTAATGACTGAGTGAGGTCCGTTCATTCCAATGGATCTACTTAGGGTAAAACACAGTTGACTCTTTGCCCTTAACTGCAAGAGGCTTATCTCCTTTCTCATAAGCTTAGAACTCAATGGGTTCGTTCCATGAAGCCTCCATAGCTGGAGATACATCGCAGACAAAACAACAAACTTCTTTACGCAACAGCTCATAGTTAACTTGGGGGATTTGAAGCCGCCAGTGAGACGGCCACTAACGGCCTGAAAAGGGAATTAAGACAAATTGGAGGAAGATATCAGTGGCCGCTAATCAGGATTGCTATATCAACTGCAGCCTCAGAGGCAGGACATGAGGGGAATGAGTGGGAACAGTGGTGGACTTTGGGCTTTCAAATTGCAGCGCCAACTTTCAGCACCTTCCACTGATCATCATTGTTGTGGCACCCTCAGTAGCACCCAGTGTGGGTGAACTGGTTGTGCTCTCCTAAATCTGCCTCTGAGTGGCAGAGGGGTAACTGAGCTCACAGCCTACATTCAGGCTTTCATAGGCTTCTGTCTGGCCAGTATGAGACTAAATGAGCCTTAAGTCTGATCCAGTGGGGATTGTGTGAACTAGTGTCAGGAACTCCCCAGGCATGTTTTGCTACTGGTCCGGGTCCCATTGCGACTGCGTGTAGGTTCCTAGGCACCAGGTTGGCGACTGCAGTTTTAAAACCTCTGCCTTTGTCCATAGTCAATGCCATTTCCATTTCCACTGTGTGTGTGTGTGTGTGTGTGTGTTTCTCCTTCTTGTACACTGGGACAAGTGAACTGTTGTAAAAGCAAGCTGCAGTCAAGGAATGTAAGCTGAGATAATAGAATCGTAGGATTATAGCATTGGAAGGGACCCCGAGGGTCATCCAGCCCAACCCCCTGGCCAAAACAGACATTTGGTTGTGGCAACCTAGCTTTTTGGCACCTAGTTTATATGTCTGAGTTCCCAACACTGGCGTGAACGATAGGAGCTAACTTCTAGGGGCCGAGGTCCCTTCAACCCCCTAAATAAAATATTTAAGGGGGGCAGGCCAACACAAAGTTGATGGGCATTGCCATTCAGATGGTGTGCATGTGATCGATTATGCAGGGCAGAGCTCACCTGACACACACACCCCATATTTTATTCAAGTTGGCACCCTTGTGAGCCAATACATCAGGCAGAGTAGAACACACAAAGTTACCTTAACCAAGCCAGACCGGTGGGTCCATCTAGCTCAGTAGTGTCTACACCAACTGGCAGCAGCTGTCCAGAATTCCACTCCCAGCCCTACCTGGAGATGCAAAGGATTGAATCTGGGGATTTTTGCATCCAAAGGAAGATGCACTGCAATTGAGCTACAGCCCTGCCTTTACAGAATTGCTTTATTTGGGCTGTGACCCTTCCTCCAAGCATGGAGGTGTGTTGAGATCAGGAGCCCCCTTTGCAAGATATTGGAAGGAAACTCTCCTGTGGTTACAGAAACCATAAAGAGAGATCAGGAAAGAGGAAGCGAAGATCAGAAAGAATGCAAAGAGTTACTAAAAGGAGATGCGAAGGATGAGTCAGAGGCAAAGGCAAAACAACATTCCAAAGCCTCCGAATCTAGAATCCACGTGACTTTTGCGGAAACGTCATCTTGAAGGAGGGGCGGACACCGTGCCAACAGGTGTCTCTGGAATGCCGCTCCGACAATTCTCACCGTGGCGCTGCAATTGCCTCCGATGACAGAGCTCGCTCTCATATCCTCAACCACTTCCCTTCCTTAGTGACAAGAGGCACACAATTTTCTTCTTCTCCAGGAAAAGCCACGTGTGCAGGCAGAATAAAAGAAAGCCAACTCCTAACTCCAGGCGGACGGAGGGTAGCTAACTCCTTCCACAATAAGCCTTTGGGGGCAGATGAAGGCTGCAGAAACTTCCGTCGTGGTTGTCTGCAAGTTGAACTTGCTGCTTAAAAGCAGAGGAGCCGGCTGTGCAGGTTTCATCCCGGTCAGTTGACAACCCAGCCTGGCCAACGGACAGTCTGTTCTGGACCCTCTCAGACACTTTGAAAGCCTGCCATCATAAACTCTGGAGGGTCACAGAGTGCCAATTTGCAAAGCAGCGAATCACTACTGTATAACTTAGCTGCAGTTAGAGTGTGGTGCTTATAATACCAAAGTTGCAGGTTCGATCCCCGTATAGGACAGCTGCATATTCCTGCAACTGCAGGGTGTTGGATCAGATGATCCGCAGGGTCCCTTAAAACTCTGCAGTTCTGTGATTCTATGAACGTGGGGCTGCTTCATTAGACATTAAGCCAACATAGCCAGAGACAATGGGAGTCACCTGGGTAAGCTAGTCTCTTGAGCAAATGCACACACACGCCAAATTTCAGCTGTCTGTTGGGGAAGTCTTACAGCTGATTTTTCCCATCAGCAAGTGAATGAGTCAGTGACGACAAAATGCCAGGCAACAAAACTCATTATTTTTTTTATTTTTATAGATGGTTCTCTGCGCCACAACCTACAGCATACACTATACCCTCACAACAACCCTGTGAGGCAGGCTGGACTGAGAACATGGCGGTCCCACATTCCTCCACCGAGTGGGCATTTGAACCTGGGTCTCCCCAGGCCTAGTGAAACACCTTAACCACTGGACCGTGCTGGATCGAAAAATGAATTCCTGAGATTCTAAACAAAAAACTTGCAAGCTATACTCGAAGGTGGAGATGACCACAAATATTTATGCATTTATTTGCCTACCCCTTCAGAAGAGTTTTGTTTTGTTTGTTTTTTCAAAGAAAACCAACCAAGAGCTTAACAGCTTACTCACTGCAGAGCCGGAAGTCAACAGAGAAGCCACATATTGCTAACCAGGTATCAGGAAATGAGCACGTAAGGTTTGGCTTATGACTTAGCAGCCAAGCATAAGGATGTGACCAAGGCAGAAACTGCACCTTATCCTCTGACACACACACACACCGAAATCTGTCACCTTGCGGATATCCCTCTGGGTCCAGCTCCTCCCTTGCAACTGGGCCGGGGCCGAATTTCCAAAGCTGCTGCGTTCTTTAATGAGCACACCATGCTTTGGCTGCATTAAAGAGCAGGTAGTGCTAATTGCCACCTGCCCTGAGACACAAACCGGATTTTTCACCTGATGACCTGATTCGCACACAAACACACACATACATTGCTGGCACCTGTCTGGGGCTGGATGTGCACCCAGATTGCTGAATCACCGATTCCAAATTAGAGCCGGACGGGGGGGGGGGGGAGGGGGCGGGAAACACATTTGCACAAATATAGCACAGGCAGAGTAATTAACCTCAGCTAATCTTTTCATTACCTTGGGCTGCTGCCTTTCCATTTGCAGAGTTAGCAACCCAGAATTCGTACGCAAGCTACATTTCAATTACACTGGTGCTCTGCCGCACTAGCTTCAAGGCTCGTCCTCATTTTTTACATGCCATCTCAGCCACGCCCCATGACTTTTGAGAAGCACGTCCACAATGAAAAATCCTGCACATTTCAGTGACCTGTGGATTATTATTTTTAAGGCACCCACTCAAGTCACACGGAGTTCTGGGCACATCTGTCCCAATGAGAACATACCTTGAATACTAAGGTAGCTGCACATTAGAGAGGGGAAGCAGAAGTGGCAAGCAAGGCACATGTCAGCTTCATTTATCCCCTTTATATCGCATATTTTTCTCCAGGGAGGTCAAGGTGGGGTACATGGCTCTCCCTCTCTCTGTTTTATGCTCACAGCAACCCTGTGAGGTAGCTTAGGTTGAGAGTTCATGACCGGCCTAAGGTCACCCAATGGGCTTCATGATCTAGTGGGGATTTGAACCCTGGTCTCCCAGGCCCTAGGTCAACACTCTAACCACTACAGTCATACCTCGGGTTGACTATGCTTCAGGTTGAGCGTTTTCGGGTTGCGCTCCGCGGCGACCCGGAAGTAAAGGAGTGTGTTACTTCCGGGTTTCGCCGCTTGCGCATGCGTAGACACTCAAAATGACGTCACGCGCATGCACAGAAGTGGCGAATCGCAACCCACACACGTGCAGACGCGGGTTGCTTTCGCTTCAGGATGCGAACGGGGCTCCGGAAAGGATCCCATTCGCATCCAGAGGTACCACTGTACAGGATTATCCACAATCTTATCCACAATTACTGGTGTTACTGAGGAACCCCAATAAACTTTGGAATAATAGTAACAATAGCAGTAGTAGTAGTAGTAGTAGTAATAGAAATTTAGAGTGGCAAGAATCCTTGAATGTCACCTAGCCCAACCCAAGGCTCAGTGAAGGAATTCTGTATCTGCCAGCATCCCTGAGAGATGTCCACCTAGTTTCTGCTTAAATATCTCCAGCGATGGAGACCCCACCACCTCCCAGTGCAGTATGTTCCACAGTCAAACAGACCATTAATTAAGAAATTTGGGAGCCACATCTCAGTGGCAGAGCATCTGTTTTGGAAGCAGAAGGTTTTAGGTCCAATCCCTGGCAGATCCAGGTAGGACTGGGACTGTCCCTGCCTGAACTCTCTTGCATAGCTGCTTCCAGTCAGTGTAGACAATACTGTTCTTGATAGAGCAATGGTCTACCTATGTCCCTATGAAGCAGCTACCTAGGTTCCCCAAAATCTGCCCACCCTGCAATTTCTAATCCTGATCTCTGGAGCAACGGAGCACACAAGGAGTGCCTTGTTGGATCAGGCCGCTGGCTCATCTAGTCCATCTTCCATTTGTCCTTTCTTCATAGATTTGTAAACAGCTTCCATTCCTCCCCTTAATCGTTCCCTTCTCCAAATCACACACAAACACTTTCAATGGTTCCTCATCTGATGCAGTTTCTCAGTTTGGAGCACGGTTTGGTGGGGAGTGTGAAACCATCGCCCTTATCACTTTTCCTCTTAGTTAGTTCCTGCCTCTCTATACCCAGAATGTGCCACTATGAGTAATGCCACCCGCAACCCGCATCTGATGTCCTGGCCAGCTTTTTGGCCCATTAAGGAGGGCTTGGGACTTCCCCAGCTTTATAGCCATCCTCAGAACCAGAAGCCAAACAGAAAAAAGGACCAAACAAAGGAATGTGTTAGGGCTGAGGAAGCCACCCATTCCACAAGGCCAGCTGACATTTGCCCAGGCTTTTGTTTACACAGGCGTTTCCTGGATTTCCTGAAAAATGGTGGTCTGCCATCGCTCCGCACCCTATCAAGAAGGTCTCTCGCCACCACCTCGTCCTGGGGTCTCTTCCCTGACAAAATGGATGTGAGCGACCAGGGTGGGGTTGCAAAGAAGGATCTCGTTTGTGTTCTCCCAGAGTGAACAGCGGTGGTTTTCTGCGGCGTAAGCAGATTTGACCAAACACTAGGAATACAAAATGTGCTTGGTTTCCCATCCAGCCCAGGAGGAAGTTCCCTCCCTCTTCTTCCCCTCCCCACCCCCAACAACTCCGGCTGTCCCTGACACCATTTCTCACAATAATAGCGTGTCACTGCCGGCCTGCGAGCTGTTTTTCCGCAGTTTGGTTTTCACTGAAATGTCATATTGCATTTTACAGCTGTTTACGTAAGCCAGCTCGAAAGGGCCTTAGCCCGGGAATAATTAAGGAAAATAGACAACCGTCAAAAAATTAGGAGCCTTCCCCTCAGCCACCCAAAAGTCAGGTCTATACGACTTGCAGGCTTCCCACAGGCATCTTGTGGGTCATTGTGAGGAAAAGATGCTAGACTGTGAGCATGTTCGCACCATACGTTTTGAGCATTACGATACCACTTTGGAAAACTGTGGCTTTCCCCCAAAGAATCGAGGGAGCTATGGTTTGTTATGGGCACTGAGAGGGATTGTTGTTCAACTGCTCTGGGAATTGCAGCTACATGGGAGAGAAAACTACACTCAGCTTCCTTAAGAAACCACAACTCCCAGAATTCCTTGGGGGAAGCCATGGTTGCTTGGAGAGGTATCTTATGGTGGGCCTAGATGGGCCTAGAATTTGGCCTAGAAATTGGTCCAATGATCCAGCAGTCAGGCTTCTCTTTGTCTTGTCATACACCCTGAGGTGGTCACAGGGACATAGGAAGCTATACAGAGCCATGCCACTGGGACATCAGTACGGCCTCAACACTGACAGGCAGTGGATTTCCAGGATCCACTTTCCTAAACCTACCTGGAGTTGTTGGGGATTGAACCTGGGAATTTCTGCATACATTGCTCAAACACAGAGCCCTGCTGCTTCCTTCTCAGCATAACTAGGGTTGCTATACATCTGGAATTTCCTGGACACAGACGGTATTTGGCCCTCTTTTGTAGCTGACATGTCCGGGAAAATGAATAGCAGCCCATGTCGGAAGTGCAGATTTTGGTGAATTTCATTTTTTTAAAAAAAAACCTTCAACAGCTTTGTTTCCCTCCCCCCCCCCAAAAAAATATGGCAAACGAAAGCCCCCACTGCCCCCAAAATACCGCCTCTCATTTCTCCCCGTGGCTGGAAAGGTGCTTCTGGGAAACTGGCAGGTAAAATACATTTTTTAAAAGCCTTGCCCTGTTGTGTATACTCTGTGGAAGCACCACTTGTGTCAGGAGAGTCTGCCTGTAGCCAGTGGCCCCCACCACACACTGCAGTAGCTAATCTGAACCCCTCGCTAGCTCTGTAGAGAAAATGGGTCCAATTTCAAACACAGTAAGGAGCTTTCTGAACCTGCCCACATAAAGAATGGAGAGAACGTGGCTCAGTAGCAGAGTGCGTGCTTTGCAGGTTCAATACCTGACATCTCCAGTTAAGGAGGATTGTGCAGGAAGTGAAGGGAAAGTTTAGCAGAGACTTTGGGGAGCTGCTGCCAGTCGGAGCCAACAGCACTAGGCTGTAGGGACAAACAGTCCAACCTAGTATAAAGCAGCTCTCTCTGTGGGCTTCGTGGCTGAGTAGGCATTTGAACCCTGGTCTCCCAGGTCCTAGTCCAGCCTTTCTCAAACTTGGGCCCCTAGGTGTTGTTGGACTACAACTCCCATCATCCATAGCTACCAGAACCAGTGCTCAGGGATGATGGGAATTGTAGTCCAACAATATCTACATACAAATATGTGCTTATTAGGGGGGGAAATCAAACTGCTGAAGAATGTTCATGAATGTTCTTTTTTTAAGCATTAATTACTGCAGAAATGTGGAGGATTGAATTTAAGACCAGGAAAGAAATAAGAAACTGATTGGAATGAAGTTATATGGCTTTAGTAGAAATGTTATAAGGAATTAAGTATAAATAGATTAATATAGTATTAAAGGAAAAAATAAGGTTAGAATGGGTTAAGATAATTATAGGATAGAAAACAGAGGAAGATGGAAAGGAATTGCTGAAACAATTAACAGAAGTGGAATACAAAAAGGGAGGTGTGAGGAGGTCGTTTGAAATAAGTGAATGAAAGATAAGATATTGAAATTGTTTGATGTGTTTTAAATTGCTTTTGTTTTGTTTTGTTAGTTTAATGTGTTAGTGTTATGTAGTGTTTTTGTATTGTTTTGTATTGTATTGTATTGTATGGTTCCTTTTTTTTTGCAGTGTTTAAATTGTTGAAAAGGTAATAAATATTTTTTATTTAAAAAAAAGAAATAAGAAACTGAGAACAATGACAGTGTCAGGTCCTTCCATCCCTGTTTGAGTGTGTAGCAGTTCCCAGCAGGAATTATAAACTGCCTCCCCATATTCTCTTTCCCAATCAGAAGACACTCTGTGGCCTTATATAAGCACTATCTAAACATGATTACAGAGGCAATATAGCATAGTAGCCAGCACTGGCTTTGGATATGGGAAACACAAATTCATATCCCTCTGCTCAACCATGAATGTCCTACAGCTAGTCCTACATCTTAGTTTAAGCTACCTCAGAGGGTTGTTGTGTTGATTAAATATGTTTTCCAGCTCCCTGGAAAAAAGGCAGAATTCAAAGGCAGACAACCATTGTTTACATACATGGGGGGAAACTCAAGCTTCCCTTGTCCCGTTTCACCCCAGTCACAACAGACCTGCAAGGTAGGAAAATATCCTACAAAATGGAACAAGACTGAGGACCATCAGTTCTGCCTACTGAACTGGTTCCAAGAAAGAGGCGTTGAATTCTGAGCCATGGCACCTTGCACAGCTGGGGACAGTACTTGTGTCTGTTGGAAATGCAGCATTTTAAAAGCATTCAGCATTTCAAGGGAAAACACACAGCAGCTCATTCTTGCTGGCTGCCAGTTCCCCTTCCAGCATGTTTTCCCCTCCAGGCAAAAAAAAAAGGGGGGGGGATCATAGCCCATTTTCTCGCCCAGAAGAAAAAAGCTCTCCTACAAATCTCTCCATGTGCTGCTGCAAAGAGCAGTGTTGAAACAGAAGCCAAGATTGCCCTCTTCTTGTGCTCCAGAAAATCCAGGATATATTATACACACACAAGCACGCACAATGACTTGCTTGGGCAGTACACACACACACCACAATATTTCCAAACTAACTGGAAAATACCATCCTTCCGACCCAATTCATTTTCAAAGTACATCTTATCTCAGGTCTAACAGCTGTACCTGTCATCCATGCAGAATGCAGAGAGGCATCCCATATTTCCCTCACAGCCCTCTCTCTCTCTCTCTATCACACACCCACACACACTCACACACAGTGTCAGGGATCTGGGATGTGCACACACAGAGGAGTTACTTTCGGGACCCCAATCAGGGCTGGGAAGCAAACATCTCTGAGCTGGGACCCCAAACGACTTATTTTATCGCAAAATTCAACAGGGGAAGGGACAACAGAACCTTCCTTCGTTTACTGGGGAGCACAATTAAAAGACAGAGCGGAAGACAATGCCGCAAGCCTCCACACAAGGAGTGTTTAGTTAATTACGTTGCACGGGCCCCGAATTATTTATTTATTAAAACCCAAAGCGCTGCAATTCAGCCATCGTAAACATGGGTGTGAGGAGAGAGAGTGGGTCGTCTAGCGTGGGCATCTATTGACCTGAGTAGTTTTAAATTCTTTATCATTTTTAAATGACACACAGAGAGATAAGCCTAGCTCTGAAACCACCTCCAGCTGACCTGCCTGGAATTAAGAGAAAGGCTTCAAATTCTCACACCAAGCCAGCGAAAACAGCGAAGCCTGTCAAACCACCACAATGGATTCCTTCTGGGTATGCGAAGCATGTTTGCAGCGGAGAGATGCGGACCAAAACATCCATCCATCTATCCATCCATGCCAATGGCACCGGCCACCTCCAGCATACCGAAATCCAGGAGAGGACCCCTGCTTTTCCAAGGTGCCTAGCGGTGGGCGCCCCTCACCGCCCGCCCCGCAGCTCTGCTCAGCCTTTTGTATGCACATCCCCATGGCAAACCAGAGAGCTGCTTTTATTCCAATAGGACAGCTAAACAGCATGCGGCAGAGAGAGAGAGAGAGAGAGAGAGGCGCAGATGGAAGGAGGGCGAGCAGATCGCTGGGGACGGATGGGGAAGAGGATGGGGAAAAGAGAGACGGGGAGAGGAAGGGAATAGGAAAGAGGAAAAGGAGAAGAACAGAGGAAGAAGAGAAAGGCTGGAGATGGGGAGGAAGGGGGGAAAGAGAGAGAGGGAAGAGGAAGCGAATGAATGGGTGGAACAGGAGGAAGAAAAGGATATAAACGGAAGAAAAAGGGAAGGAGAAAAATTTAGACGAGGAGGGAAATAAGAAAGAGGGCGTGGGGGGAGGGAAGCGCAGGATGGAGAAACAGGGAAGGAAAGAAGGCGAATAAATGGGAAAAGAAGAAATGAGAACAGGGGAGAAGAGGAGGGAGTCAAAAGAGAGAGAAAGCGACCGAAGGAAAAGATCAGATGGAGAGAGAGAATGAATGAATGAATGGAGGGAGAAGGTAGAGAAGGGGGAGCGCGCGTGGGTTTTCCCCCCTCGGGGGCAGAGAGCCCCTTCTCGGCCCGCCTGCCAGGGATCTCCCGAAGCGCCGCCTCACCTGCCACGGTGTACCTGTCCAGGTAGTTGAGGACGTTCCCCACGCTGAGGATGGCGGCGGCCGCCACGCGCGCTCTGCCCAGGCTGGGAGGCGCGGCGCCCGCCGCCGCCGCCGCTGCCTTGTCGGCGCCGCCCTGGGGCGCGTGGACGGCGCCCGACAGGGTCTGCACCTCGCCGCTCCGCCCGCAGCAGCCGCGGTCGCCGCTGCTTCCTCCTCCTCCTCCGTCGTCCTCCTCGTCGTCGTCGCCCGCGCCGGCCGCGGCCGAGACCCGGAGGCGCCCGCTGCAGCCCGGCGGGCCGCCGCTCGACGAGCCGTCGCTCTCCAGGCACATCATGAGCCGCCGCGGCCGCGCTGCCACTGGACGCGCACCTGCCGCCCGGCCGGCCGCCGCTCAGCCCCAGCAGCGCCGCATCTTCCACCGGCCCCGCCCGGCCGCCAGGATTGGCTGCGCCGCCTCGGCTCCGCCCACCGATCCTCCGCCCCTGCCCGACGGCGCGCAAAGGGGAGCCGGGCGGAGGATCGCAGATGCGCGGGCGCGGGCGCGCTCTGTCCCTCGCGCTCTGCCGTCGGCCGGGCCGCCTCTGACTTGTCCCTTCCTCAAGTCGGGGGGACTTACTCCCGAGGAGACGCGCACCCAAGCTACGTTCCTCGACGGGCTTCCACCCAGTCAGAAATCTGCCATGGCATGGGCGGATTTTAGCCTCTGAGCTTCTTCAGGCACGCTAAGCTGAAGCTGCCTTATGCAGAGTCAGGCCTTGGGTCCGTCGGGGCAATATGGCAGCGGCTCTTCGGGGGTTTCAGGTAGGGGATGTGGCCACAGGGTTACCTGGAGAGGCTGATGAAGGGACTCAACCTAGCATTCGAGAGGGGAACTTGCTTCTGAAGAAAGTTGAGCAGGATAAGGGCGCTGGCCCCCAATAACTGTTTCGTGTTTACTTGGTAAACGTCAGTTGGTTCCATGGGGTTGGCTCCCCCGAGAAGTCCGACATTGGCTATGGATTATAGCCCTCAGAGCCACTTTGGCTATTCATTCCCCCACTGCTTGCCCTGGAGGAACACAAGCTGGAAATGTTTTCTGTACATAAGCAGAAAAGACCCGGGGTCGGGGTTAAAAACCTTCCCCAGCACTGTGGTTTGGATCTGAATCACTCCGCCCTGTGGCATCTTAAAAAAATATAAATAAATGTATGCTTTTGTACTTTCGCGTTTTCAACAATGATTTATCGCATATTTCGTAAAACCAATTATACACACACACAAAAACTATCTATCTATCTATATTTATATATAATGTCCACACACAATCTTAATCATGTTTTCCCACATCACAAATAGCATGACTAAAGGCATGTGCAATGGGGCAAATATGTCACTACACCGCTAGTGTTTGTTTATTTCAAGCACTTCCCCCTTTAGAGCCCCACACGGTCTCAAGGAACACAGGAGCCCGCCTGTGATAGAACTCCTATAATCCGTGGCCATCTGATGATTGACACGTTGTTGGCATCCATCCCTGTCTCGAGAGACAACAGAGGGTGCCTTGGGAGGTGAAGTCAAGCCACTGTTTTTGCAGCACTGAACTGACCTCCCCAGAGCACAAGTCTGAGCAGTGTGTCTGGAGGTCCTCTTGGCCTCGCTGGTGTGGTCCAAAGGAAAGCAGATTTGGCACCAGCTTGGCTGCAGGAGTTGCTGGAAGGAGGCGTACAACATGCCATCCAGTTGTTCTAGGGACTACACTCCAGATTTGTATAGGGTTTATTCTTCAGCCTTTCCTTCCCCCAAAGATATCCCACAAGGCAGAGGAGGTTTAGGATCAGAGTTTGCCTTCTCCTAGATGGGCTACCTTCACAGGTTGACAAGCCCCATCTGCCCCACTTTTCCTCTAAGGCATGTGCAGAAACCACCTTCTTGACCATTGGTCTCCTCTGCTCAATGCATAGGAGACTGTCTTTGCATGTAGGGGAAGCCCCTAACTCACTGAGGGTTTGAGACCCATTGGCTACCCTCAGCTGGTTCAGCCGGCGAGTTGAAGCTGTTTTTCAGAGTGTAGCCGCTGTCACACACTACCACCTGCCAGGAGATGCAGGTAAGAGTTGAGTATTCGGTGGGGACCAAAGATGGACAAACTACCCCAGAGGGAGCACCATGTATCCCCCACCAGAATTACTACCCCTCCCTAACACCCCATACACCCCATTGGCAGGTATATACAGTGGTACCTCGGGTTAAGAACTTAATTCGTTCTGGAGGTCTGTTCTTAACCTGAAACTGTTCTTAACCTGAAGCACCACTTTAGCTAATGGGGCCTCCCGCTGCTGCTGTGCTGCCACCACACGATTTCTGTGCTCATCCTGAAGCAAAGTTCTTAACCCGAGGTACGATTTCTGGGTTTGGGGAGTCTGTAACCTGAAGCGTCTGTAACCCGAGGTACCACTGTATTGTCTATACCTGGGATGGGGAACCTGTGACCCTTCAGATGCTGTTGGACTCCAACTCCCATCAGCCTCTGCCAGTTTGGCTAATTGTCCAATGACCAGGGATTATCAGATTTCTGTAATCGAGAGCTGAAGTTATCCTTACCCTCCCCACTTTCTAAACACCTCACCACCCAGCTTCTTATGCTTCATTTTGTAGATTTTTGGCCTTTCTAACATGTCTTCTTCTACTTTGGCAATCACTCGTAGCCGAGTAAGATTGTCTTCCATGAACATGATCTTAACAGTGAGTCCGTAAGTGCCTGTGGAGGCCAATTCTAGATCCACACATCCTTCCACAGTGGGGACATAAGTGATGGTGATGTTGATAGTGATTTATTATTTTGAAGTCCGCTTCAGTTTTATTTGTTTTAGCCAAGAGAACGGGCACAAAAAAAACACAATAAGTGAGGTAACTGCAAGGCGAGTGTTAAAATAGAAACTGAGATCAAAGGAGCAGAGCGTCGCCTGTGTAGCATCCCCATTATCTAATTTACAACCTCAGAGGGCTTGCTGTCTTACTTAGTTTGTCGCAGCAAAAAAGCAACAGAGGCTTCTCTGCCACCCTAAAGCATCCTCAGGCTCCCATCAGCCCTAGCCAGCATAGTCATTGTGGCTAAGGGCTAGGAATAGGGATGAAATTCAGGCCGGTTCTCATTTTAATACAAACCTATCTAATTCCCAAAGCAAGATGTGCCCTGAAACGCAGTTATCCTTCACAATTTCCACTTGCAATGCAATGTACGAAAATACATACCGGTATTTTGGGGGAGGTGTGCCAAAAATGCATATATTAGTGAAAATAGCATACCAAAAAATTTTAGTATATTAGGGGAGGTTGCTTGCAAACATTAATATTAATTATCAATAATAATATTTATATTATTATATTTATTCACCAGCTATTTATAATTCAGTATGAAGAACAGTTAAAGCAGATCTCTGTCACCAGAGTAGGGTGGGTCCTGAAAACACACGTCGCAGGTGTAAAAAGCAAGGTTAAAAAGCTGTGTACTCAGCATTCACTGGAATTAAACAAAACACATTTCCATATTTGACAAAATTGCATATTAAAAATGCACACTACAATGTGGATGAAATTAACCAAGGACTTAAAAAAAAAACTGATGAGAAAATAAAGGCAAACTGTACTTAAAATGGGAAAAACAAGGTACCGAGAGAAACTAAAACAGATACATTCATTGCTAGCTGGGGCTGGTGGGAGTTATAGTTCAAATTCAGGGCGCCAGGTTGGGGGAGGCTGCTCTGAAGACTGGCACTTAGGGCTCAACTTCACTTCTGTTTGCCCCACTACTTTCCTCAGGGAAAACCTGTGGTTTAGACAAATAGCCATCGGGTTTTCTGCAGATTGTTTTGAATAAACATCCACAATTTTTTTTTTACTGATAATAATTAGCTAAACAGTTTGAAGATCTACACAATTCTGTAACATGCAGAAAATAGCGTTACTGGAGAAACCAAAGACTGGAACTGAGGGAAGTCGGGGGCGGGAGGATGGTTTGTGGGGAGGGGAGGAGGAAAACGGGGGAAATAAGGATATGTTTTTGGAAAATATGTTTTGTTATAACTTTGAATAAATATATATTTTTTTTAAAAAAAAAGATGTTTCTATGAAAAAATCCCTGTCCCCAGCAGGATATCCATGTTCCAAGTGAAATTACTTTTGCGGTCTTGCTGCAGTTCTCAGCAGAGACTGTGCTCTCCTCTGAACCACATCTTAGCACACGAGTGTGTGCGCGCACACACACACACACACCCGCTTCTGCCTGGAAAGAAAACAGGGCGGCTGTCCTTCAAAATGCTGATGGCTAAAGTTTCCCAAGAGGGACAGAGTGTATTTTAATTACAACCCAGAGCGTTCCACCTCTTCAAACAGCTGCCAATTTCTTGGAGGTCTGGTGAACTACCGTTTAGGAATCTTATGCAGAAATAACTTAAGACGAGCGTGCAGGATCAGTCCACCTAGTCTAGCATCCTTTTCTCACAGTAGCCAGGCCAAATGCCTAAGGGAGGCCCGCAATCAGGACTTGAACACAAGACCCTTCTCCCCTCCTGCGGGTTCCAGCAACTGGCATTCAGAAGCACACCAGACCGTGAGGGCAGAGTATAGCCATTGATGGCTTTTTCCCATCTTTCTGTGGCAAGTAACTTAAACTAGATGGTGTGTTGTGATGATGTCACATTGCACACACCTCAAGATGAATTTGAATACCCCGGGAAGGGGCACACAAAGTACTAGGTAAAGGTAAAGGGACCCCTGACCATTAGGTCCAGTCGTAACCGACTCTGGGGTTACGGCGCTCATCTCGCTTTATTTATTGGCCCAGGGAGCCGGCATACAGGTCATGTGGCCAGCATGACTAAGCCGCTTCTGGCGAAACACAGCAGCACACGGAAACACCGTTTACCTTCCCGCTGGAGCGGTACCTATTTATCTACTTGCACTTTGACGTGCTTTTGAACTGCTAGGTTGGCAGGAGCAGGGACTGAGCAACGGGAGCTCACCCCGTCGCGGGGATTCGAACCGCCGACCTTCTGATCAGCAAGTCCTAGGCTCTGTGGTTTAACCCACAGCGCCACCCACGTCCCACACAAAGTACTAGTGGACACAAAGTACTAGTGGACTTACAAATAGTTCTTTGAAGAATTGAAGCCAAGTAGGTTATTTTTTGCAAGCTGGTAAGTTTTTATGAACCATTTTGCAGAACGAATCGACCTCATCCCTAGCAGGGGACATGGCCTGGATGGAGACTGTGTGGCCTGGGGAGGGCCCTGTTCAGACCCCAACCTGAGGTTGGTTCCCCGCCTCTGCCCTATGGGATGCCCACAAGCAGAAAAT